GAACTGCTTGATAGTGAGAGCCGGTAAACAGGTTAAAGTCAGTTTTTCTTTTGTTTCAAACACACCTATCAGGTAGTTCCCATGTGTAAAAACCGTTAAATTTACTCATTATCTAATTAAAGTGATTCAGGCTCAGTGAACAGCTCAGCAGTGACTCAGTTAGACCCAGATTGTGCAATACTAACAGGGTTACTACTTTATTTAGAAGGTTTAATAAAAGTTATCAGTTTATCACTCTCACACACAGATACTCTGCAGAGAAGGATCAGAGGGTAGAGTCAGAACGACTTCTGCTCTTAGTCAAACCTCTGCAGACTGAAAGCACTTTATTCTCTCTTCATCTGCTGCCAAGTTTCTGCTCTGACATTTACATCAGGTGCTTTTTGTTCCTAACAGGTTAACAGGTCCAGTTCTTCCACTCACTGAGTTAATGAAACACAAACACATCACATGTCAGAGCTCTGCACCTCTTCAGAGTGATCAAAATCATCTGCAGACACCGAGACGCCTGCAAAAATTCACTAAAACCTTGCACCAAACCTTATTCAATTTTTATCAAATTTAAGTTAAACTGCTCGGAATCAGATTTTTACCCTGTGCTTAATGTGATGTTTCAGGATGTTAAAACCTCTGAGGTCTGAGTCACAGACCACAGATATTTTAAACACCATTTATGTTTTTTTCCTTTCAAGCTCCCTAAATGCCCTGCAGCTGCGTTGCGCTCTAAAGTTTTTGTCTTAAAAGTATTTCAAAGTTTGATTTCTCTAAAAGTTTGGTGTTCCAAATGTTTGAGCTCCTGACTTTACAGTTTGAATCTGTATGTGTTCAATCATTCACAGTAATGATCATGTCTCAAATGTCTTATGTAGAGAACACAAACCTGATGAAATAACACAAATGAAAACGTAAACATCTTATGGCTAAATCTGCGTGAAACACTGTTCAACAGCTGGAAGGTCTGGGTCTGAGTTTCACTGCAGTACTTCTCCAACATACAGTGAAATGTTAACTTTGAACCTGCATTTTTAAGAAGTCCAATCCAATCTTAAATATCTTTCAGTGTTTATTCTGTTCTTAAATGAGTTCATGTTAAACTGATTGTTTGTTAAAGGTGATTTTACTTTCAACATAAAGCACATTCATTAGAGAAACATTGCACTCTCTCAGACTCAACGTCTTTTCACCAAACTCCATTCAGGTTTTATCTGTTTTAACTAAAAGGTCTGTTTTGTCATACCTTACAGTATTTCAGCGTGTTTAATGTTTGGATGAAGTTCTTTTTCAGTAGATAACCCAGCAAGACCTTGATAATAATTAGTTTCTAGTTGTTGCCAAAAGGAGTCGAATTGAAGAGGATTTGTTTTTTCATGTCCTCTCTGATCTGAATTCTCTTCAAACACTCAGATCAGTTTTGGACCCAAGTCAGATTTAAAGATCCTTTTTGATCCTCATCCAGCTTTATTACATTAAGAGCTGCCAGACACCCACACAGGGACAGGCATGTCGCTGCCGCCGCGGCAACCGCCCTGCCTGCTAATTGGTCGATCACCTGTGAGAAAAAAAACAACGATTAAAGAACAACAGAGAGGAGAATGTACGGATCATAGCGCTGATGAAAGAAATAAGGAGAGAGAGAGAGGCAATTATTTCATCAAAATGTGTGTGTGCACAGGTGTGTGTGTGTGTGTGTGTGCGTCTGTATGCAGGTGTGTATACAGGTGTGTGAACCAGATAAATACTTTCACTTGTTTTTTTTGTCATCTTCATTCTTCACCTATTAAGCTGTGCCAACAGGCCTGAGGGAAATAACACAGACAGGTTCATACATGGCACACACACACACACACCCTCTTAATAGCGTGTGGTTGTATAAGAACTTAATTACTTAAGTTGAATCACAGATTAAAAAATTATGTATCATTAAAAAGGATTTTTATTCTTTATTAAAAGTTTGAAACTCTAGTTTTGATTTTATCTTGATTTCTTTTTCCATCAGATTTTTGAAGATTTTGATTTGTAGGTGATATATTGCACAAAGGTCAGCAGTCATGGATAAATAGGACCAATATTTACTTTCAAGACTTGTCATGTGCAAAGAAAATCTAATAACTGCAGAAAAGAAGCGCCTAAATTAGAGTAACATTCAATGCTGCTGCAGTAGGACTTAAAAAAAACAACTAAAGTAAACTTCAATTGTCCCCATGGGGGGGGCTGATGGACCAGCAGCCCGAGTGCCACACACATACAGGCTGCACTTGCCACTGCAGTGGTCTGTGGTTCAAATCCTTCTCAGCTGTCTCATCTAATAAAGGAGAAAAACAACCCAAATAAAAGTTGAAAAAATATGCTTGAAATACAAGAAAAGGTCAGAAAACAGAGAGGCTTACAATTTTCAGAGAGGACAGGAGAGGTCTGAAATGAACCCCAGCTGCCTGATTATAGTAAGCATGTTTAAAGCTCCAGTACAGCAGCACCTGAGAGTATGTTTTTATCACCGCAAATGTAACAGAGTCATAGTGTTCTGCAAATCTAACACTATCAGAAATATAATCTGTCCAAGTAAACTACCGCAGTATGTGTTCCTGTCCCTCTCTGACTGTGTGTCTACTCAGCTGAGGAGGTTTGGAGATCAAATAATAAAAAGCACTTTCTGTTTTATCATAAATCACACTCTGTTCTCTGATATCAGCTTTTCTTTACAGTAACAGACTGTACTGTTCTGTGTTCTACGCATTTTTTATGAGTGTTAAAGCAGGTCGTTATTATTGCATGAGTGTTAAGTCTTCCGCTTAAAGCTTTAGTCTATCATTTGTGTCCTCAAGCATAAATACCATAACTGCTCTGTAAAGATCAGTGCGACACACAGAGGCCCTTTGTTGAAAATGTTATACAAGCAGAAAAAAATACAAGTGTTAAAAGCATTTACTTGAGAGAATGTCTAAGCATCATATCTGTCACACCCACATGTCACCTTTCAGTGAGGCCACGCCCATTTGTCGCAAATTAAAAAAAACTTCCACACACAGAGAGGCATTGTCAGAGGTGGAAAATTTCTGCACACAAAGCTACAGAGCTGCAACAATCACACACACACTAAAATCATTCCTACGTTGATCTGGCTTTAATCAGCTAAAGTCAGGTTAATTGATATTTTTCAGAGATAAGTGGCTCAGCAGAGTGTCAACACTATCGACTGCTGTCATCACTTTTTTCCTCCTGATACAGTCAGTGCGTCTGTGTTAGAGTAAATGAGAAAAGAAGAAGTGACATCCAGGTTTGTGACAAAAGGCACTATGATTGTGTCCTCACTTAATGTTTGGTCAAATGATTTCAAACATCAGTGATCTGAAAAAAATTTGAAGGTTATTATTAGGTATCAGACTTTGGAAGGCTCTGGGATTCTCCACACACAGGATTTAATTGATTCTTTATTTTGAAAGCTTTTAAGTAAGTTTTTAGTAAGATTTCCTATCTTTACCTTAGGTCTTGAGTATAGTCTAAACAGTTTTTTTGTGTCTTGGGATAACACTTAATGTGAATTAACTCTATATAAGTAAAGGTTGATTGATTGGATTCTATTTCTAGAATTTTTTAGTGCTTTTAAGTTATTTTTAGTGAGCTTTTCAACTTTCTGTAGTTTTTGTTTTCACAGTTGAGTGAAACTTTTTGGAAAACATACGACAAGAAGACAAACTGCAGCAGAATTGTCAAATGAAAGAGTGGTCTGGCTGCTGAGTGAACTATTTCAGCAAAGAAAAAAGCTTCACATAAATAGCAGAAATCCTAATAACTAGTCTGTTTCAATGACTTTCAGTCAGGAATTTAATATCAATATATCAATACCAGTTTTTGTTGGAAAGTAAACTTTTTAAACACAGAGAGAGAGAGAGAGAGAGCTCAAAGGTCAAACAGTGAGTGTTTTATCTGAGTAGAGGATAAGACAGATTGAATATATGAGTACAGTAATATTTCTTTAAAGAAACAATAATTATGTTTTATAAAGTCTCAGGTTTGGTAGTTTATTTCTATAGTTTTTCTTTATTTTTATAGTTTTTTGGCTGAAATATCTCAATGTTTTGTAGTTTTCATTTGAGGTGTCTCCACGTTTTGTAGTTTTCAGCTGACATGTCTCCATATTTGTAGTTGTTTTGACATTTGGAACTTTATCTGATGCTCAGGGGGGAGGTTCTGACTGGTTCACATTACATCACACTTCATGAGTCCACCCCCCTTTGTGTCTCTGTATCGCCTGTCTGAGTTCTCTGCAGGTAAAGGTGTCAGCAAAGCTCTGGCATGCTGCTGCCCCATAGTGGTCAGAGTGAGAATGACACCAAAGGACAAACTACAATTCAAAGCCCCATTTGTATTGTGTTGTATTGTATTGTATTGTTCATGTTTGTGAAGAAACTGGATCATTATGAGGTTTATTGCTCCTTGCTGACTATCTGTTAAATAGAACTTAGTTCATGAATAAAATTATATAGATATTAATCTTTTTTTTCTGATATATGAATGAGAGAATAGATACATTTTGAATAACTGTGTCATGTTTACAGCATGTTCTTATAAATTGAGAGCCAGACCAAAAAAAAAAACACTTAAAGAAAACACTCTGACATAGACTGGTCTAAATTAACAGAGACTGAACGTTTAATTTCTTGCTGTCTGTAAGAAAACCACAGATAAGTTGATCTGAAATTGATCAGAACTTGATCTACAATCTTTTTTTTTTGTGAAGAGAGTACATAATTAGATGAGGATTCCTTGGTTTGTTTAAAATAGGATTTTGCAGTATTTTATTTACAGGAAATCAAAGTTGTAAAAAAAATAATCAGTCAAAAAAGAGCTTGAGCAGCTAACTGATAGAAAAAAATCAAGCTGTAAAAGCCGATGATGAACTGAAACTGGAACATTCCTGAACTGACGGCTGACACAAAGACACACAGTTTCATCTACACAACAAGTTTATCTAAAGCATAATCAGTCTGAGTGTTGAATTATTATAACCATAACATCCATACAAAGACGTATAACAGAGTTTTGTGGAGCTTGCTCAGGGGGGTCTCAGTTTTGCGGAGCATTTCCTCTGAGGATTTCATTACTGTCTCATCGATGGCATGGCTGTACTGATGGTTTAGGTCAGACTCAGGAAGTTTGGAAGTCGGTACAGATCTAGTCAAACATGCGGCAAGGTGGACAGTGGCTCTATAACGTGAGAAATAAAGCACCAATGACAGAGCCAGAGTGACCACAAAGAAGGGGACTGAAAATTCCCTCTTTTCTGGGAGGATAAACGGGATAAGGACTCGGTTTCTACCTGATCCACCATATTGACTTTGCAGCCGCACAATGCGGTCCCATGCCCCATCTTCTGGTACTAGAGGACTGACACTGATGTTTGGGATCTTCTGCTTTCCAGCTTTCTTCATCGAGTTCCAGTTGTTGGGCAGTTTGGTGGGCTGATGGTCTTTATGAGGTATTTTAGGGTTTTTTTTCCCCTTACAGTAGAAGATCCTGTGCTCAGGCTTCAGGTATCCTGTAGAAATACCATATGCAGCATCAGCTGTGAGACTGCAGTTCCAGGGAGAATACAGGACCACATCCTGGATGGTGGAGAGAGGGAGCAGACAGCTGGCGGGGATCAGAGGATCTTTAATGGATCCATGAGCCACAAAGATAATGTCAATATCTTCTTTATCAATCTTCTCTCTCTGCTTATTGAGCTCTTCATGCAGGAAGCAAAACATGTCAACCAGCTTGGAGAAGTCTTTGGAGTGAACATTTTCTTTCAGCCATGTCCTGACCTCCTCATTTTCACACCGTTTTATTGCAAAATCCACCAGAATCTGCCTCTCCTTCAAGCTTCTGTGGCTTTTGTCTACTCCTGCTATCTCCTTCAACATGTTTCTGCAGGGGAACACAACAAAGGACATCTAAGCTTTGTTTCGTCCAAAGAGTCAGAGCATTGCCTCACAGGCTACTACTGCCCCAGAGTATTTACCATCAGGATCTACAAGAAGAGTTTAATTTCTTTTTGAGGTTTTTGTAAAAAAAAAAAAAAATAATAATAATAATAATAAGAACTTTTCACAGAAACACAAACACATTTCAAATGTAAAACTGGTGAAAATGTAAGGAACTGTTTTTTATGTGGGCAAAAATCAACTTATAGTTTGTGTAAAAATTAAAAAAGGCAGTAATTCAAATCTGTAAGTATTTTAAAGTAACCATAGAATTTTAAGTCTAATTTTTTTAGATTTGAATTTTCAGAGTTACTTTACTTTACTAGACTGAGTCTTCATGGCCTTGGCCCTCTCCGTCAGACTCTTGCTGCTGTCTGTCTCACAGTTGTTCAGAGTTGCTAAATTGTATATCAGTTCAGTAACCATGAAACACAGTGTTAGTTCAGGCACAACAGTCTTTCAATCAGCTGTTCACAAAAATTATGTTTAATCACTGTCTGTATGGTTGTGAAAGCTTCCATCTATCTGGCCTTTATCATTTTAGTTCTCTTCAACTGTCTGTTCCCCTTTTTCTGTACCTAGATCATCAGCTAATGGAGTAATCTTTTACCAATCTTACCTGCTTTGGAGCATCTCAGGCTGTGTTGCCGAATGCCTCAGGCTCAACTTTGCCTATCTACAGTATGAGCAGAGAAAAAGAAAGTGAAGGTGGGTGTTCTTAACCTTTCATGTTTTCTATTGGTGGATTTTGTACCAAGATAATACTGCTGTAAAAGAAAGTGAAACAAATGTTAGCCAAATGTCCAGTGGTAATCCCCTGAATTTTGGGCAGTAAAACAATATTAACCAGACCGTACCATAAGATTCATTTCAGTTCAAACTGCTCTTTCATCTGTATTTAATGTAATACTCACATAGCATAGGAAAAATATTTTTAATGACAAATCTCTGTTCATATTAAATTTGATGCCGTAAAAAATTTCAGCACCTACATTTCATACCTCAACATGTCGAAGTTTTTTCCTGTTTCAATGATGATGCCACAAATACAAGACCAGATGACTTTAGGGGCACTTTGGTATTTGGTAAAAGTCCCTCATTGAGTTGTTTGTAACTGACTCACCAACTACTCTTGATTGCCATTGTGTACATTATGGACCATGTGCCAAAGTGAGACCCCACAAAAAGCTTCTCTAAACCCTTTCTGAGTTCATGTCCAGGTGAAGCTCACCAAACAAGGCTGAGGTTATCTTAACCCTATGAAGATATGTGGGCTGGGCGTCAACAATGGTAGAAAGAAGTCATTTTAACCACTTCCAGTTGTTTAGTTGTCTTTAAAAAAAGTTCACATTATTGTGAACTCGCACATCAGTGTCTAAAGCTGTCTGACAGTGTCAAAAAGCTGAGCAATTTAAAGTTTGGCCTGTAAAACTGGAGACAGATTAGTGATGTTGGAATAAAATAGGCCTTACTGGTGAAACAGAAACAGAAACCAGGAATCTTCAGCTTGACTATGTGCTCTGAGACACACCTAACCTGACAATAAACTGGGTTGTTTAGATCCATGGGGATTTCCATCAAGAAAACTGAGTATAATAACTATAAAAATGCTTCTGCCAGATATTTCCATGCAACTAATTCATAAAAGAAGTAAAAATTGTATTTTTTTGATTATGTTTATTATTGGTCTACTGTCCTCCACACCTCAAACTGCCTAGGGATAAAAAAATACAGATTCATTCACAAAGCATGGCTCTTTTAAACTGATCTGTTTTGACTTGTACTGGTTCATAGAAAATAAAAAAGAGAGACAAAGGATTTTCTTGGCTTTTAGATGGAACGTACCTGCAGGGTATTGCTGTTTGTTGCACAAGGCCAGCTAAAAAGATAATTCTGTGCAGATGTTTTGCTCCATTGATCTCAGAATATCTCCAAAAAGTGGGCCAGCAGCAGACCCTACTACTCCCTGAGATCCTTCCCAATCGTCCCATTTTACTCATTTTAAAGCCAGAATCAGACCCTTTCTTCCTTAGTCTCCTCAGTCATTGTTAATTGTCCTATTGTTCTTATTATTTTTTTATTATTATTTTTTCCGTCTGGTTACATCAAGCAACCCAGATTGTTTATGGGATCTTCCACTGAACGTTCTCTAGCTGACTTACACCAGGTGGATGCCTTCCTTTTGATCTAGATGATTTTCAGTATCAACAACTTAGCAGAAATACCAGGGATATTTGACAGTTAGACTCATTCATAGTAGAGGTCACATCGAGAAGTCAAACTGGTGCTTGCTGAACAAGTAACCTAGCACTTATAAGCAGGTCTTTGCACTTCCCAGATATTTATGTGTACCAACCCTTTAACAAGTCAGTGGAAATCACAGAGATTTATAACACATGGTTCAAACACACTTTCACTTCACATATCTCATTCTTTATTCTTCTAAGGTGGACTTCTATAGGACCAGTTTATGTTGAAATATCAACTGTTTGAAATTGAAGACCCTTAAAAACAATCCTCCAAACTAAAAATAAACTTGCTGTGCATAATTAAGTGGAATTTGGTCAGAGGTCTTTAGAGATGCCGCTTGTAGCTTTCTCTGATCAATAACATTCATATAATTCATATAATTCAGACCTAAAATAGACTTTGAACTGATTTGTTAAAGTGTGAAGGAACAGGGATGGCTGATAAATGTTGATGTTTCTCCTAAAAAAGAAAACATACAACATATAACTGTGTAAATACACTGGAATCACTCAGCAGCAAAAGAGCTGCTTTATAGTTTCTGCTGCCACCTGCTGGCATAAAACAGTAAACTCAGGCTTTAGGAGTCAATATTTTACATGACCATGTTACTGCTTGACATGTTGTCAAAATCTTGTTTTCTTACAGCTAATTATTTGGATGATGTCGTGTATCCATGAGAGGGGCCTCAAAACCTTCAATCCATTTAAAACATTGTAAAGCATCCATCCAACATCCACACTAAAGCAAAATGATCAATGTCAGTATCAATATCAGCAGTGTCAGCACACATGAGTGTGTGAGTGTATGATTTTTAAAACGTGAGAAGAGCACAGGAAACAAACAAACTGAGGGAGAGAATGACACTGAAGGGGAAGATGGATTTGAAGATGTGCTACACCAGGCCCAGGTACCAACCAGTGACTTAAAACAGCAAGACAGGGACATCTAGAGGTTTGGAGGGGTCATTACAATCCCAACAACACACCGGTAAAACAGAAATAATCCTATATTGTCTGAGCCTGTTATCTCTCTTTAAAATCTGAATAAATCAAAGAAAAAGGTAGAGCTCACCTCTGAGATGCATGACATTTAATTAGTTAAAAAAATAAACCTGTGAGTTGGTAACTGGCACTTAACCGGCACCAGATTCTCTTACTCTTCACAGGTAATCCAGACCTTATTTTCTTAACCTGTAATTTGTTGGAACCAAATATGCATTATTGGGCTCATTATAAGTGTCTTATTTAAGTTGAATCAGACTTTTTTTCATCTATTCAAATTGTCTCACATGAACACTGACAGCAGGAACTCTACCTCTGAACCTCACCTCCAAAATCCGTTCTTGGATTATTATGAAGCCTTGCATCTGTTTTATGAAAGGTTGTTTGATAAAAAGAATAACATGCAAACTCCATCAGAGACAGTAAGACTGCACTAGATCTAAAGACATATTAAAAGTGTGTAAATCGGCTAAAAGCTTGTGTATTTAAAGCTGTAGAATAAAACAGATAAACAGCACACTGGTGAGTAAACAGCTTTATTTCATAGATTGAATTAAACCAAATCTTTAAAACACAGACCAATAAAAAAAAAAAAAAAAAACAGACAGACCTCTGAGCGCTGTGAAAACATGCCACACATTAGGAAAGACCATAGATCACCAAGATTACATGGACCACAAAGACCACAAAGACTTCAGACTGGATAGAAAACTGTCGGTCAGTCAGACCTATTTTTTAGATGACTACATGTTTCATAGATACGTCAATCATCCCTGTTTCATGGTGTGTTTGACCCTGAGATTACAAGTCACCAAATGAAGACCATAAACTCACTCTAAAGATATTTACTGAAAGAATAAGATGTTTGATATCTCCTGGTTAAACATTATATTTGTTTAATTGGTTACTGTACAGGACTGAACCACCGTACGGGTGCAGGTGTATGTACAGGTGTGTTGAACAGTAAAGCGTGATGTCACTGCCATCCTCCCAGCTATCCAATCAGAGATGCATGATGTCATCCAGGTCCTCAGAGTCAGCGCTGGTAACAGCGACCCCTGTAAACAGCCAGCGCTGGACCAGAGGAGACTTGTCTGCAGAGAGAAAGAACAGAAGATTCACAGTTTTGATATTTGAACATATTGGTGTTCAGACCTCCTCGCTTTTGATGGTTGTTGATGTTATCGTGTTATTTTGTTGTTATTGTTGTTTAATCTCAAGGGGTTGCTCTCACCTGCAGCCTGTTTTTGTTGCTGTTGCTGTTGTTTTGTAGCTTGGGGTTTTTTCTTCTCATGAGTTCTCTCCCGCCCAGCTGCTGAGATTGACAGAGCTGCCATCTTGCAGACGCTGATCCTCTCCTTGCTGCCCCCGGCCCCGCTGCCTGTGCTCCTATTAGACCGGCTGCTACTGCTGATGACCCTCCCCCCCATGCTATTGGTTCTTCCTGACCCAGAGGAACTGCTGATCCTCCCTCCTGATTGGTTGCTTAGTCTATCGTTGCTTCCTCCTCCACTCCCAGCACTACTGGTGTGACTCTTGCCTGCTGTGGAACTGCTCAGCCGACCACCACTGCCCATACTGGTGCTGACTCTCCCACCAGGACTGGGGGCTCTCTGGCTGCTGGTCCCTGCGCCACCTGTACTCCCTGCACTACTCTTACTTCCACTAGCAGAGCTGTAAACTGGCTTCCATTCCCCACTGCCAGCACTACCATACTTCCCAGCGCTGCTGATCCTGTGGCTTCCAGATGGGCCACTGAGTTTGCCTCCGCTGCCGACACTACTGCTACGCCTTACCACACCTGAGCTGAGCCTGCCTTCGCTCCCAGAGCTGCTCATTCTCTGTGCACTGCCTGTACGGCTGCTCGGTGGGCTGATAACTCGTCTACAGTTTGCAATATCACTGTCTGCACTGCCCGCAGTACTCAGACGTCCTGGACTCCTACCATAGACCCTCCACTCTCCACTTCCCCCACCTGAAAATCTTCCAGTTCGAGGTATTGTCAGTGGGCTGGCTCTTGTTGGGCTTAATGCTGTAGGACTTCTTAATGGTGGACTTAATGCTGGAGGACTTCTTAATGGTGGACTTAATGCTGGTGGACTTCTTAATGGCGGACTTAATGCAGGTGGACTTCTTAATGGCGGACTTAATGCTGGTGGACTCCTTAATGGTGGGCTGAATGCTGGTGGACTTCTTAATGGTGGGCTGAATGCTGGTGGACTTCTTAATGGTGGGCTGAATGTTTGTGGGCTCAGAGTTGATGGACTTCTTACTGGTGGGCTTCTTGATAGTCGTATATTTGCTAATGGGTTTTCTCTGCTGTCTGCATCTGGTAAACTGCTGCTGCCGGCCCATCTGCTCATACGTCCAGTACTTCCACCATAGACCCTCCACTCCCCGCTCCCTCTGCTGCCAAACCTTCCTGTTTCTGGGGGGCTTGTTGCCAGGGCCAGGGCTGTTGGTTGACCTCCACTAATGACTGTCTGCTCTCCACTCTTTGTTTTATCCAGTGAGCTTGTTGCGGACAGCGTAGCCGCCTCACTTCTTGTGTTAGGGGAGCTGCTTATCCGCCCAGAACTCCCACCATAGACTCTCCACTCTCCGCTCCCTCTGCTGCCAAACCTCCCAGTTTCCGGTGGGCTTGTTGCAAGGTTTGTTGCCATTGGTGGACCTTCCTCTTTCTCTTCTTTGGGTAAATTGCTGCCATCGTCCAGGCTGCCCCGACACCCTAGAGTGCTATATACCATCCACTCCCCACTTCCTCTCTTACTTAACTTCTGTGATTCTGGTTGGCTTACCGCTGGAACTAAGGCCTCTGATTGGTTCTCTCTGTTCTCTTCTGGACGATAGGAGCCCCCGGATCCACCGTTTTGACTCTTGCCACTTTTAATGACTGCACTGTCCCCCGTACCTGCGTTTCTGTCTCTTGGACTTTGTTTACTGTCCTTATTCCTTCGATACAGACCTTTGAAACCAAGCTGCTCCTCTTTGTCTGCCATGACACTACGTTCCCCTGGGCCACTTGGGTGGCTCCCTGTCCCTCTGCTGCTTTGTTTGTAAGACTTATTAGCGCCATTCAGACTAATTCTGTTCTCTTTGTTATCTTCAAATGATCTGAGACGCACCTTGTCACCGTCTCTCAGTGGAACACTGACCTTCGAGTGCCTGTTCTCTTTTGGTGAATCTTGGTCCCCACTGAATGTTAGAGACTGGCCCTCCTCTTTTGTGGTGAGGACATATTTCTCCAGTGGTCTGACCTGAGTCTCAGTTGGGCTCAAGCATGCATCTTCATCCTCCTCTCCAAAGTTTGGACACTCTTTGGTCTGGATTGGACTCAAACATGTGCCGTTGTTTGGGCTGAGAGAGGGGTCCTCTGGACTCAAGAGGGAATCGGGACTCAGTAAATCCAGATCAAGCGGACTGAAAACTTGATCAGTGATACTTAGTAACACATCAGTCTGATCAGAGCTCAGGGAAACTTCTGGACTCAGGCTTGTGACCAGCTTTGTTTGGTTCATGAACACAGGACCTTCTTCTGGACTCAGACAATCTTCAGTGCTGGACAAAGCCAGGCCAGAGTCTGAGGAGTTTTTGGACTCTGTGGTGCCAAATAATGTTTCTTTACCCTCTAGATGAACAATCTCATCATCAGTTTTTGCAAGGTCCATTGTGACCTGACTGACATCCCCAGACCCATTACTGAATGAATCACTAACAGAACTCTGGATTACTCTTAGAATGAAATCATCTTCCTCTCGTGTTACTTCTCCCTCTTCTTCGCTGTTCCCTCTCTCACGATTATTGTCATCCATTGAGAACATCTCTGCAGAGATCAGACCCTGAGTCTCCTTAGTCCTTAGACTGTGAGACTCAGAGACAATAGATGCTGGATCAGCAGTTCCCTCAACATCTTCTACAAAGGCATCTACCTGAGCTGGATCCTGGTCTTCAGTCTGAATGGAGGCCTCAGTGAAATCTGCTCGCAAAGAAATGATTGTTTCTGTCTCTATCTTCACCTCTGTAGTGGTTTGTACGCTGGGATCATATATATCTGTACCTATTACAGAGTTTTCTTTTGTTTTTTGTCTGGGGGTTTCTGTGGTGGTTTGTTTTTCAGGGAGCAGGATGGTGTTTGAAGGATTTATCTCTGGTTTAGAGGTCTCGATGGCAGCTCCTTTAGAGAAACTTTGACTAACCTGGGACCCAACACTCGCCTTGTTTTCAGACTGATGGAAAGAGCCTGTCCGATATATGGTGTTGACTGAGCTCACGGCTTGACCTTTTGGATGTTTGCTGATGTTCCTGACTGTCCGGCTTATGGTGGTGGTCTCTGGGAGTGCAGCAGCTACGGGTGGTTTCCTGACACTGTGGATCTTGTCTTCATAGACAGTTTGACCTTGATTCATCCACAGATTTCCTTCCTGAGCTCCTCCTATTTTGTCTACAGTGATATTCCTCCTAGAAGCAGAGGGGCTGGCTGGGATTTGGTAAGATGGGGTATTTTTCACAGATTTTGTGAGCAGACTTGAGAACCTGTGAAAACCAGGACACAGACAGGTGAGACAACTGGCTTAGAAAAGTCTAAATATTTTGTTTAAGACACATTTGGATGATATGGTATGATATAACGAAAAATAAACTCGCACCTTTGTTCGTCTTGTTCATCCAGAAGTCCTCTATAGTCGCTTATCTCAGTCTCTAGTCTGATCTTGATGTCCATCAGGGCCTGATGGTCTGCAGCCTGCTGAGCTTCAGCCTGCAGCACCGAGTCCAGGTCTCTGCACAGTCTGTCTGCTCTCTGCTGCAGGACATCCAGTTGTAGGACAAAGGACTCTGTCTGCTCCACACCGGAGGCTTCCAAGACTGTATTCTGCAAGAATAGACAGAGAGACAGATACCTGGAGTCTTTCACAGTTATAAGGGGATCAAGCTGTGGGTATCCATGACCCAGATCACTGAGTCTACACAGACATACAGACTCAGTGTTATATCATTTAAAATAGCGCACGTATGTTACAGTAATTACATTAATGATTATAGTTATAATTGATATAATGCTTATTATTTGAAGTCATATATTTGGTAACACTTTATTTGACGCCTATCTCTAGAACGCATTATAGATATATTTATTATGCATTATAATCACGTTATAGCACTGTATAACTATAGTAATAGGCACTCATAAATCATCATTATGCTTTATAGCAATAATCATAACACATTATAAAGCATTTTATTGTGACTTACAAGGTCAGGTATCATAATGTGTTATAACTGTTGACAACTTACTGATAATGCCCACATAGATAATGCAATGCAACTGTTGGTAACAGTTATAACATATTATAATACCTGACCTTGTAAGTCATGATAAAATGCTTTGTTGTGATTATTGCTATAAACCATTATGATAATTTATGAGTGTTTATAACTACAGTTATTCAGTGCTATAATATGATTATAATGTTTTATAAATATGTTTATAATGCGTTATAGAGATAGGCATCAAATTAAGTGTTACCATATATTTCTTTTATGTAATATATGTAAAATGGGATGTTAACATTCATATCACGTACATATTATGTTACATCACATGGCATATAAATCTATAATTTTACATACAACACACTAAGCATTCATGTTATTAATATTATACAATAAATTCCTGCTCTGTGGTCACCTGACTCAGGTGTATCTGCATCGTCAGTGGGTTGTTTTACAGAAATCAGGTCTGTCTGTATGTTATTGAATACATCTATGTCTCTTACCACAGCCTGCAGCTGACTCAGCTCCTCCATCAAACCTGTTGCTGTCCTCCTCAGCTCCTTTAGCTCCGCCCACTCCACTTCCACCTGGGCTGCAGAGTCAAATGTCACCTCAGGGTGACTCAGCAGTGACACCTGGACACCACAAGGACATCATCATGAAATAACAGAGTCTGATGGTGACAGAGCTTCACAGCTATGAGTGTGCTGTACAGGTGTGTGTACGGATGTGTGTACCGGAGCGCTGAACCAATCCTGGGTCTTGTCCATCAGACTCTCCCTGGTTGGTCTCAGGTCCTCCAGCTGATCTTTGAGGTGTGGCATCCAACTGGTCTGCATTTCCACTGTGACACCCCCTGACACCTGGGCCAGGAGACCCTGTGAGTCCTGCACAGGTTAAGAGGTGAACAGGTGAACAGGCACAAAGAGAACCAGCAGTACAGCCATGTTGAATTGTCAAGGTTTGTTGTTGTGGTTTACCTGCTGGTGTTGTTTCTGCAGCTCCATCATCTGCTCTGATTGGTCGATGATCCTCCTCTGTAACTCAGGCAGCGTCTGGACCTCAAGCTCCTCCCCCAGTAATCTCAGGTCATCAAGTTCCGCCTCCAGACGACCATGCTGCTCCTGCACCCTCTCACACCTGAGCACACAGCAGGGCATGATGGGATATCTCTCCCTATGGGCTGTATAAATATCCGTGTTTGAAGGTGAGGATGTCTACCTGTCCTTTAGATCGCAGTAGGTGAGCTCTGCACTGAGCAGCTGCAGCTTCACCTGAGCCTGGGACTGAAGACACTCACCTATCTAGGGGAGAGAGGGGGTGAGAGAGGAAATGAAACAGGAGCATGCTTGCCCAAGGGTGAAGGAGGGTGGAACGTGTGTTTAACTTGGGTCTGGGTCAGGTCCTTGTATTTTCTGCTGCCGATCGACTTTTTGTTAAACTTTGGGACTTGTTGGTTTTGAATTGATGGTGAGCTTGACTTGGAAGTTAGGAAGACTTGAATGGGACCTGAATTGTGATAGTTCATGGTTTTGACTTGGGATAGGAATCTTGACCTGTTGGTATGCAGGTCTACACTGAAGATTTCTGGTCTTTGCCATGACTTGTCAGTTTAACTTCATGACTTGACCTTGTTTTGTTTGACTATAGGCTTAATTAGACTGGACTTGACAGTTGGCTTGTCAAGTGTTGGGATTGACTTGGACTTGTTGGTCTTATTTTAAACTTGAAAGATGAGGCTTGAGACCTGTGGTATTCTTTGGTCTTGGCATGGGACTTGACTAGTACTGGTCTTGTTTTGGAGTGAATGGTCTTGATTTGGGATTTGTGGTTAATGATTTTACATGATTTTGTTTAGAGACTCTTTAGACTTGTCTTTGTGGGTCTTGACTTAAAATATTTTAATTATGACAGCTTAATAAAGCTGATTCTAATTCATGACGTGGATGTTTTAATCTTGACTTGTTTGTCTTGACTTGAAGTACAGTGTTTTCCTTTTGAATTTCACCTAGGACTTGGTCTGTCTTTTGGTTATGATGGTAGAAACTCTGGACCTTGGACGTGACTTGGATTTTCTAGATTTAATGGTAATGACAAGACGACTTGGGACTTGTTGATCTTAAATGGTGACTTGTTAGATCTCACTTTGGAATTCTCTGTCATGACTTGGTGAGTAATTTTAGATACTTGATTTAGAGTTTGGACGTTTGGACTTTTGGACGTGACTTTTGTCATTTTGGTCTTAGATTGATTTTTGCTTTTTGACTTGCAGACTTGATTTTGTTATTCCTGTGAGGAGAATAAACAGATACATACAGATGTAGCATGGACATGTCGATCTGAATGTTTAGAGAGATTTACTCAAAGGTTAAAGGTGTTTGGTTCATCTCGAGTGCGACGAAAAGAAAACAGGTCGCCCAGGTTTGTGTTGTTATTTTTGATTCAGCTGTGAAGGTGAATCAAAGTCAATTTCACAGGTCAACAACATGTCAGAAGGTTTTAAGCATCATGTGTACGGACCTGTCAGACAGCGAGTCACTTGAATAAAGTCCGCCTGAGTTTGGTGGACTGATGGTCCTCATAAACAGATTCCAGTATAACCTGCTGCCACTTCTCTATTCAGAGTCAAGCACTGTCAATAAAACCCTCTTTGTTGGAAATCTCTGACATGTGACTGGATGTCTCTTCAGATTCAGACTCGTCTCAGCAGGTCTGACCTTTAAACAGAAGCAGAACTCACTGACGAGTCTAAACCGGCTGGAGACGCTTCAGGTTTGACTTCATCATCACTCTGCCTGCACAGGTGCTCCAGGCTTGTGATCAGCTCTCACTTCTGCCCTCTGGCCTTGCTTATTTTGTCTGTGTTACAACTGACCTGATTACATTTTTGATCATTTTATTTAAATGATTTGCACAGTGTTGTTCTTTATTTATTTGTGTATTTTATTGTTGTATTCATGTTTGTTATTGCTGTATTTTCATTAACAGTATTGTTTATTTTTCCCACATACCTGGTCCTGCAGCAGAGACGCTGTCCTCAGGTATCCCTCCAGCTCTTTCAGCTTGCTTGGACACTTCTTGTCCAGTTCCTCCTGGACCAGACGCTCCAGCTCCTTATTGGCCGCCTCCAGACTATGAACCTGTTTCCACCAATTAGAGGACAGACACAAATTAGGACATTTTCAGCCCCTCTGTTTTGAACAGCTGATCAGTGGTTAAGAAATTGACCACTGTAATACAATTTCAGCCAGCCTCATTTTCTACTTTTGTCTTAATCATTCACTCAGATCATCCTTTAATCTAGGGGTTTCAGCCCCTCAGGTTACAGCTCATATCTTTCTGATCCTGTTCAGCCCAGCATGATACAGTATGAAACCACCTGATATTATCTGATATCAAACTCATGAATGAATGAATGAATGAATGAACTTTGTTTGTCTACAGTGGGAAAGTCTGTCTTCAGCTTCACAAAAAGAGACACCCATAGTACTTGAATTTTCAGACTGTTACAGTTTATAAAGGACTTGAAAGGCCTGATCTCAAAAGTGGAGATCTGAAAGTCTCTGTTTCTTGTTGTTACAGCAGCAGAGATGATTTGCTCTGTTTTTCTAAGTGTATTATCGAACAAAAGCAGATACAAGAAACTCCATAACAAACATGACATGTCTGAATACTCTGCTGTCATTATTTTCTTTTTCCTCACTGGTACCAGTCAGAAACCACTGATAAACATCAACATTTGTCAGTTTTGTGCAGCTTCTGCTGGATCCATCTGAGGTTTTTTTTTTATGTGTGTGTTCTTTGAGTTTCTCCTACCTGCTGCAGGTACGAGGCCAGCCTCTTGTTCAGCTGCTGCAGGATGGATTTCTCTGCAGACGGATAGAAGCTCCCGCTGCTGTTTGCGTCTGCATATGCATCTGCATAAGCATCTGTGTCTGCATCTGTTGCTCCATCTGCATCTGCTGCCAGAGCTGAACTGTGATGCACTGAAGTTGAGCTGTGATGCACCGGAGTTGAGCTGTTATGCACTGGAGTTGAGCTGTTATGCACTGGGGCTGACCTGTAATGCATCTGGGCTGAGCTGTAATGCACTGGGGCTGAGCTGTAATGCATCTGGGCTGGGCTGTAATGCATCTGGGCTGAGCTGTAATGCAACGGAACCGAGTTGTAATGCCACTGAACCGAGTTGTAATGCACCGGAGCTGAGTTGTAATGCACCGGAGCTGAGTTGTAATGCATCGGGGCTGAGTTGTAATGCACTGGAGCAAAGCGGAAATGCACCGGGGCTGAGTTGTAATGCATTGCAGCTGCAGGTCCATGATGAAAGCGGTAACCCTGAGCCGCCCTTGCTCTGCCTGCTTGAAGAATCTGCCAGGGAGTCATCTTAACGCTCAGTTAAGTTTCCTCTTCGATCTCAGGAGGTCACAGCTGGACTCATGTATCCCCCACAGCATGCACTGTTGCTCTAAAAAGTCATCCTTTGCAGAGTTTCAGGTTTTCTGCTCTGTCTCACTGCTGTGCTTCTGACACAAACCCCTCTCTGTCTGAACTTCTGCTGTGACTGTGGAGCCTTCAGGTGATCACAGGTGTGTCAGGACCTGATGGAGCGTATTTTAATCTGCATTAACCTTTAAGATGTGATAATGGAGCAGGTTTCAGCAGGATGTCAGCTCCGCCTCTTAGATGGTTTCAGTGATCAGCTTGTCACACGTGAATTTAAAGTACATCAGGTTCTCACCTGCCTCTATGATGGCCTGAAACCTAAGGGTAAACTGGCAACTTTCCAAACTACATTTTGCATAAATGACTGATTCTCACATAAATCAGCTTCAGGTTCTGTTTATCATTTTCTGTGCAGTGGTTTAAAAAAGTAGGTTAACAATGTAGACAGAATAATAAGTTTGAAAACACAGCTAGTGTAAATGCTGTATGTCAAAAACAATAATCATTTAAAGCCATAGATTTCCTGAATAATCTTTCAACTAAGAGTTGTTTTAATACTAACAAACACATCTCAGCATTATACTACTCATACAGAAGTAACGTGTGTAACTTCATACAACAGACAACAAAACTTTTAAACTCCTCATGCAAGTCTCTACTAAGCAATCAGACACTTTGATGTTTCTGTTTTTCCCCCTCAATCTCTAGTCATACTGAAACAGTCCATGATATCCAAAAAGAACATCAGAACTTGATCCATCAATCCATAGGACTTTTTCCTCTTCCTCTCAGTCCATCTTGAACGGGTTCAGGTCAAAAGAAGTCTCTGGTGTTTCTGGATAATGGTTATATCAGGTTTACTCTATGTAAGGTTCAGTTTCTACTAGCAAGTTTAGATGCAGTGATGAACTGTGTTCACAGCAGTGGCGGCTGCTGGTCTTTCAAGGAGGGGAAGCTCATTTTTCTGGCCTACATCATAATTGTGTTTGTTTATTTGTATGTAACAGAACAGAGTCGCCAAACACAACGGCAGTCGTTTTTAACAAAGACAAAAGTCGCTGAGGATCGATAAAGTAAAGAGCAGTTAAGAACAACGGAATGAATAACTTGGAAAATGCTCTGATAGATGTTTTATTCTTCAAGATCGCTGATTTGCTTGTTTAGCTGTCAATCAAAAAAGGATTTCGCCTTAGACAGCTCATCCAATTATGGATGCAGAAGCTCGGAGTCCGGGAGAAAGTCGGGACCGCCCTCTCGCCATAGAACTCCAGTGAAGCTGGGCTTCTGATGGGCGGGACAAAGCCCAGCATTTATCCAATGAGCGTCTAGTTTCGCTGCTGTAACAACCCACTTTGAGCTTCCACATTGAAGTCAGCAGAAGCCCAGCGTCCGGCTGTTTAAAGCGCTGAGGCGCTACGAGGATGAATGAGAGCGAAGTTATGCCGGTTACCTGTGATTATCAGCTTCTTATCACAGTGTCTGAACAAAAGATGAAGGCTTTCTAGTGCGTATTTAGTTAATGAAATGTACACACAGCAGTACGTATTTCACCACTTTTTCTTTTTTTGGGGGGAGTGACATTTTAAGGGAAGCCGAGCTTCCCTTGCAGTCTTAGAGCAATCGCCACTGGTTCACAGACAATGGTTTTTGGAAGTGATTTTGAGCCCATGCTGTGATTTCCACTACCTGTCTGTCTTTGATGCAGTGCTGAGAGCCTGAAGATCATGACCATCCTGTACTGGTTTTGGTCCTTTTCCCTTTTGTAAAGAGATTTCTCCAGATTCTCCTAATCTTGTAATAATATTAAGTACTGTATATGATGACCTCCACTAATTCTTTGACATTTTAAATAAGCTTAATTGTTTAGAAATAAAAAATCTTTAAAATAAGCTTCGCTTAGACGATCTGTTTCATTATATGTGTATAAAAATGTTCTTTTTCCAGGTCTTTGAGACAGTTGTATTTCAGCACTTTTCAGGCCTAGGTTCAGGTTTTACTGCTGTTCTATTTCTGTCCGCTGCCAGCAGAGGTCGCTGCCGAACAGACTGTCCAATCTGAACTCCGTACACGAAGCAGAGACACAAACCAATCAGAGAGCAACAGCCGCAGTCAGTGCGCCTGCGCATTGTGAGGAGTGTATTTTTGTTGATATGTGTGTCTGTGGGTTTTAATGGTTGTTTTGCGGGTTTCCGTGTTTCTCGGAGTGTGACCCCCGCGGCCCGGGCTGATGGAGGACCCCAGAGACATGGTGAGTGACCCGGTCTGTCTCTGCAGCGGGGACCCGCGGAGGTCTCCTTTGTTTTGGTTGATATAGCGGTGCTGCTTCAAAGCGACACTGACAGAGGTCTGAGGTCTGAACCCCTTTAAGAAAACTCTAATTTTAAGAGTTCATCCGTCATGCAGTAAAAACATCACACACATCACGGTGTTATTTTACATTGGAATAAAATAGTATAAGCTACAATTATATTCGGCATATATATGATACATTAAACATGCTTAGATTGCACCAAAACATAACGTTTGAGACTACATCGTCTGGTATTCACCTGCAAACCCCCATTGTAAAAACCTGCGCTATTAAATTTCCTTTGAATGTTGACAAAGACATGTTTGTTACCGAGCAGTTATTGTTGTTTGGGAAAACTGGAGCAACTGGTCTTTTATTCGGCTGTGTCCTTTACCAGGCTGGCAATATTTAACTTTAGTATTTGGCTTTAGTTATCGTATTACTTTGAACCCACTGCAGCAAGAACAGAAGACCGAAGAGAGGGGCTGTGGAGGTGAATCAGACAGTCAAAACAGAATTATTGTAACACACTCTGTGGCAGGTGCATTTAATGTAAGGCAACCGAAAGGTGTTTCTAACACTGTTTGATGCAGCCCAGACAATAATATCAGAAAAGACATCACGGTGTCTGTGATCAAAGTCGTTTAAAACAAGCTGAATTCCTCAAGTGATTTGGTGCTTCATCCAGACAAGGGTTCGCACTGACAAAGTCTGTTAGACAACGACTAAGTCTGTCTGCAAGTGTCTTTACCATCTCTCTCTCTCTCTCTCTCTCTGTCTGCACTGCGGTGCTGCAGCAGGTCACAGCTGCAAAATCACTGATGGAAACAACCGCTGAATGCAACAGCTGTGTGTGTGTGTGTGTGTGTGTGTGTGTGTGTGTGTGTGTGTGTGTGTGTGTGTGTGTGTGTGTGTGTGTGTGTGTGTGTGTGAGAGAGAGAGAGAGAGAGAGAGAGAGAGAGAGAGAGAGAGAGAGAGAGAGAGAGAGAGAGAGAAAGAGATAGGGAGAGAGAGAGAGCATCTGTGTGGTTTTAATTGTCTAAGCTCATCTGAGTTCAATAACTGGTTTGTTTTGTGACCAAGATTTAAGACAAAGATGTGGGGAATTTCATTTAACTGTCTTTAATGATTTTTTTTTTTTTTTTCCAAAAAATGGAAAACAATTTTTTTTTTCATGTTTAATTAAACAAATGTGATTCTGTACGAGTGTTCAGATGCCTCACCAAAGGACCACTAGAGATTTATCCAAGTCAAGACACTGTGTTAATTATAGATAAAAACAGAATTAGATGGTTTTTGAATCGTTTAAAGCCTATATTTAAATGAAATAAGTGCAAAGACAACTTTTACAAGGTAGGATTCTTCCTTCATACGAATGAACTGTTTCTGAAATTAGGAGTATTAAAACTGCACAATGTACAAAGCTAGTAACAATCCACTCCCTAGTAATATACAGAAAATATTTGGTGGAAGAGAGGGCAGGTATGTATTAATAGGGGAACGAAATTTAAAACAACCAGGCGTTCATACCAGAACCAGCCCAAGTCTTAACGAGGCCCTAAGCAAAATTTCATTTTGGGGCCCTCTATTTCTGCCAAAAATATTAATTGTTGCTCATTCACACATCTTCTCATATATTTCTCTCTCTCTCTCTCTCTCTCTCTATATATATATATATATATATATATATAAGTGCATATGCATATGTAGTGCATATTTATAGTGCATATATATAGTGCATATTTGTATGTATATATGTATACAAGGTCTTTGTTTCAGTATTAATGATTAGTTACATATTTAGACTTTGGAGCTTTGGTTACTTTTTGGTGACATCAGAAATTCTAAATTCTAGAGACAAGTAAAGGATAAACAAATAGGAAGGAATGAGGGTAGGTACATATTAACCAAATAGCTTTAATATACTCCTTTTCAATCTCCAAAAAATAAGGAATCTCTTGTCTAAAATTGTTCTGTATGTTTGATCGAATAAACAATCTTGAACGTCTAATATCCAGACTTAAAAATGTCTTTTTTCTGAAAAATCTAAGCTCATTTTAAATTTCATGTCAGCAACATAATTGTAAAAAGCATCGAGATTTCTCTGATGACTCGTGATCCTGCAGGTGGAGCGTCCATCCAGGAAGCGCAGCGACTCCTTCGGGATGCTGGACGGTCCAGATGAGGAGCGCAGCAGCTGCAGCTCTGAGTCCAGCGAGGGGAGCGGAGCATCCAGCCCTGAGGACAGTGAGGATGAAGACTATGGAGGAGGAGGAGGAGTGACTCACCTCACCCCTTCCTCCTCCTCCCTGACACTTATTAAGACTAACGGACAAGTATACACCTATCCTGATGGAAAGGCCGGCATGGGTCAGTATCAGCCTGATGATTCTGCTGTCAACAGCTCAGTCTCACCTTTGGTCCGTTGCTCAGTGACACACAGAAACCAGCCTGCTGCCCCTAACACTCACTAAACTCATCCACTGCTAAATATAGTCCCTGACAGGAAAACATCAGTCTGTAAGTAGAACCAGTGTTAACGCAGCAGCCGTTAAAGTCACTCTTTATATTTATGTTAAAACCCTCTTCCTCTGTATTAAAAAGTGCTCTCTCAGCAGGGATCCTTTCTGTAGTGCTGTCAGACTGAGAATAACTACCCAAACCTGTCAGGGACAAAAAACTACAACTTAAACTGACATACTTTAAGGGTTATGATGCAGATATTACAGACAGTTTACCTGCTGCAGGAGAAAGAAATCTGCTGCAGAAACATCTAAAATGTAAACTTTCAGAATTCCACATGTCTCCTAAGTGATAATAAAGGAAAATTAAAGGACAGAATGATATTCATAGAGATTTATTCATGTGTTCATTTGTGTATCCTGCAGCGACTTGTGAGATGTGTGGTATGGTGGGGGTCAGAGATGCTTTCTACAGTAAAACTAAACGGTTCTGCAGCGTCTCCTGCTCCAGAAGTTTCTCCTCCAACTCCAAGAAGGCCAGCATCCTCGCCAGACTGCAGGTTCAGTGATCACTCAAACTAACCAAAAGTTAAAGCAGACTATTTTCACTAATCGTTCAATCTGACTGAGCCTAGAGCAGTCTGAGTATGAAACAGTTTAAGTTTCCAGAGGAGGGGGTCAAGAAGGGAAAGTTTAAAATGTCTCTGTGTCTTGAAGGGGAAGCCTCCCACCAAGAAGGCCAAAGTCCTGCAGAAACAGCCTCTGATGAGTAAACTGGTTGTTTACAGTCAGAATCAGGGGAACCAGCAAGGCGGAGTCAAGAAGAGCAGTGAGTCAGATTCACTTTTAGAGAACATCCTGCAGTTTATCAGTGAATAATTCAGCTGAATGACCCGCTTCACATTTACAGGGTCACACATTGAATTAAAGCTTTTGAATCAGACGCAGTAACAGGTCCTCCCACACAGAGCCTGTTAACCCTCTAGTTACCGTAACACAGCAAGCTGAGTGTTTGAGTGTCAGTCTGTTTACCTGGGCTCACCTGTTCCTTACAGTCTCTCTGGACGGGTTTGATTGGGGACGTTACCTTGGAGACGGAGATGTGCTGGGAGCACCTGTCAGCTGTTTCAAACATGTGGGTGCATCACACAAACACACACACCCAAAAGGAGGAGTTCAGTAATTTTTTTTTCACGTTATTTTTCATGTTATTTTGTGTTTAGGTCCCAATTGGCCTGTCATGGGAGGAGATAAGTGCAGGTGTGCGGGTTGAAGTCCCGAACACTGACAGCGGTCTGCCAATGAAGGTTTACTGGATCGCTGGAATCATCAAACTGGCCGGTACACATAACACACACAACGCACACACACACACACACACACACACATCTGTTGACATCTAAACATAGTTTTCCATCACTGCAGAATGTTCTTATTTTTGCACCTTTTCCCCGTATTCAGGTTTCAAGGCCCTGTTGAGGTATGAGGGCTTCGACGGTGACTCCACCAGAGATTTCTGGTTGAACTTGTGTGTTCCTGACATCCACCCCGTGGGCTGGTGTGCAGCTGGAGGGAAACCTCTGGTCCCCCCTCAGAGTGAGAGACACACACATACACACACTCTCTCACACACACACACACACACTGGCAGTATAAGACCTCAGAGTGAAGCAGAGAAGTTAGAGGAGCTGGGTGCAGGGTCAGGGCTCAGATCAGTTTGACTCACAGCGGCTCCTCTACCAGCAGTCTGTGTTTGAATTAAGCTCCTCATGGTTGAAGAAGATAATCTTTCTTTATCTGCAGCAAACAGCAGTGTGGGGTTGATCAGCAGAGACTTCTGACCCTATAAAACTTTGGATTTGTCCTTTAACCCCTAAATAAAGCAGTACTCGTACCTTTTCTGCCTCAGATTCCGTTTGGTGCGGTTTTGGAAAAGGTTAAAAATCTCAGTACCATTTAATAACACAAACATGACCTCTATATGTGTGTGTGTGTCAGTGTGTATCTATGTGTTCATATGTGTGTGTTCTCTTAGCCCTACTGCACAGGTTCTCTAACTGGAAGACATTTCTGGTCAAACGGCTGACGGGCTCTAAAACTCTGCCTCCTGACTTCTCCTCTAAGGTCAGCCACACACTCATCTGTTTTTCTATACCTCTGGGGACCACCCTCCACCCCTTATAAAATAATGCCTGGGAACTTTTGAACCTGAACCTTCCCCTGTGTGTGTCCGACCTGTGCACAGGTGCAGGAGAGCATGCAGGTCCCCTTTAAGAAGCAGATGAGGGTGGAGGTGGTGGATAAAACTCACCTGTGTCGGACACGGGTCGCTTTGGTGGAACAGGTGAGACTCAGGAGAGTGAGGACTCTGTTATGTTTCGCTGGTCTGGGCGATAAGTGAGGCACGGGGTGCAGAGAGGTTGGGGTAAGTCCCTCAATCTGGCCAACCTGTGTGTCTGCTCTCATTCCCTGTAAGAGTCAGGTGATCCTCCAGGGTGTTACTATTTACACAACCAGGCTTGAGGTGTGTGTTTGTCTGAGGTGCAGAAGACCTCCACATCCTAGAGATAGTAACCTGCCATCTTTGAACCTGACCACACCTGTCTCTGAGACCAAATTAAAGTACAAGAGAACTAAGAATGTTGAATGACTAAGTAGAGTGTAAAATAACCAAATGAGCACTAACTCTAACCCCTTACAAAGACGCTTTGGGCCCCGAACGTCTAATATCATGGTATTATATTGAAACAATAATGGGTTAATGTGATTATTATGTTAGTGTTATGTTGTTTTTGTTGTTCTTATGTTGGTATTATGTTTGTGTGTGTTGTTATAGGTGATCGGAGGACGTCTCCGCCTGGTGTACGAGGAGTGTGATGATGGGACGGACGACTTCTGGTGTCACATGTACAGTCCTTTGATCCACAGCATCGGCTGGTCCCGCTCCATCGGACACCGATTTAAAAGATCCGGTGGGTTTAGTGATTTCGCAGTAACACGGTCACCATGTTTTATCCTGATTAAAGCCACAGGAAAGCTTAAAGAACTAATTCTGACTTGATTCAGTTGTGTGTCTACATGTTCCAACATCTTTAAGGTTGGAGCTAGGGTTAGGGTTAGGTGTGGGGTTGGAGCTAGGGTTAGGGTTAGGGTTGGAGTTAGGGTTAGTGTTGGAGCTAGGGTTAGGGTTGGGCTTGGAGCTAGGATTTTTCTGAGTGCAATGAACCAACTCCCGAGTCTCTAGGACGTTCCTAAAAAAATTTGATTTTTTTCCCATAGGAATGCATGGGTTAGGGTTGGAGCTAGGGTTAGGGTTAGGGTTAGGGTTGGAGTTAGGATTAGTGTTGGAGCTAGGGTTAGGGTTGGGCTTGGAGCTAGGATTTTTCTGAGTGGAATGAACCAACTCCCGAGTCTCTAGGACGCTCCTAAAAAAATTTGATTTTTTCCCATAGGAATGCATGGGTTAGGGTTAGGGTTAGGGTTGGAGTTAGGGTTAGTGTTGGAGCTGGGGTTAGGGTTGGGCTTGGAGCTAGGATTTTTCTGAGTGGAATGAACCAACTCCCAAGTCTCTAGGACGCTCCTAAAAAAATTTGATTTTTTCCCATAGGAAGCATGGGTTAGGGTTAGGGTTAGGGTTGGAGCTAGGGTTAGGGTTAGGGTTAGGGTTGGAGTTAGGGTTAGTGTTGGAGCTAGGGTTAGGGTTGGGCTTGGAGCTAGGATTTTTCTGAGTGCAATGAACCAACTCCCGAGTCTCTAGGACATTCCTAAAAAAATTTGATTTTTTCCCATAGGAATGCATGGGTTAGGGTTAGGGTTAGGGTTGGAGCTAGGGTTAGGGTTAGGGTTAGGGTTGGAGTTAGGGTTAGTGTTGGAGCTAGGGTTAGGGTTGGGCTTGGAGCTAGGATTTTTCTGAGTGGAATGAACCAACTCCCGAGTCTCTAGGACGTTCCTAAAAAAATTTGATTTTTTCCCATAGGAATGCATGGGTTAGGGTTAGGGTTAGGGTTAGGGTTGGAGTTAGGGTTAGGGTTGGAGTTAGGATTAGTGTTGGAGCTAGGGTTAGGGTTGGGCTTGGAGCTAGGATTTTTCTGAGTGCAATGAACCAACTCCCGAGTCTCTAGGACCTTCCTTAAAAAAATTGATTTTTTTCCCATAGGAATGCATGGGTTAGGGTTGGAGCTAGGGTTAGGGTTAGGGTTAGGGTTGGAGTTAGGGTTAGTGTTGGAGCTAGGGTTAGGGTTGGGCTTGGAGCTAGGATTTTTCTGAGTGCAATGAACCAACTCCCGAGTCTCTAGGACGTTCCTAAAAAAATTTGATTTTTTCCCATAGGAATGCATGGGTTAGGGTTAGGGTTAGGGTTGGAGCTAGGGTTAGGGTTAGGGTTAGGGTTGGAGTTAGGGTTAGTGTTGGAGCTAGGGTTAGGGTTGGGCTTGGAGCTAGGATTTTTCTGAGTGCAATGAACCAACTCCCGAGTCTCTAGGACGTTCCTAAAAAAAATTGATTTTTTCCCATAGGAATGCATGGGTTAGGGTTAGGGTTAGGGTTGAAGCTAGGGTTAGGGTTAGGGTTAGGGTTGGAGTTAGGGTTAGTGTTGGAGCTAGGGTTAGAGTTGGGCTTGGAGCTAGGATTTTTCTGAGTGCAATGAACCAACTCCCGAGTCTCTAGGACGTTCCTAAAAAAATTTGATTTTTTCCCATAGGAATGCATGGGTTAGGGTTAGGGTTAGGGTTGGAGCTAGGGTTAGGGTTAGGGTTGGAGTTAGGGTTAGTGTTGGAGCTAGGGTTAGGGTTGGGCTTGGAGCTAGGATTTTTCTGAGTGGAATGAACCAACTCCCGAGTCTCTAGGACGTTCCTAAAAAAATTTGATTTTTTTCCCATAGGAATGCATGGGTTAGGGTTGGAGCTAGGGTTAGGGTTAGGGTTAGGGTTGGAGTTAGGGTTAGGGTTGGAGTTAGGGTAAGTGTTGGAGCTAGGGTTAGGGTTGCGCTTGGAGCTAGGATTTTTCTGAGTGCAATGAACCAACTCCCGAGTATCTAGGACGTTCCTAAAAAAAATTGATTTTTTTCCCATAGGAATGCATGGGTCAGGGTTGGAGCTAGGGTTAGGGTTAGGGTTAGGGTTGGAGCTAGGGTTAGGGTTGGGCTTGGAGCTAGGATTTTTCTGAGTGGAATGAACCAACTCCCGAGTCTCTAGGACGCTCCTAAAAAAATTTGATTTTTTCCCATAGGAATGCATGGGTTAGGGTTAGGGTTAGGGTTGGAGCTAGGGTTAGGGTTAGGGTTAGGGTTTGAGTTAGGGTTAGTGTTGGAGCTGGGGTTAGGGTTGGGCTTGGAGCTAGGATTTTTCTGAGTGCAATGAACCAACTCCCGAGTCTCTGGGACGTTCCTAAAAAAAATTGATTTTTTCCCATAGGAATGCATGGGTTAGGGTTAGGGTAAGGGTTGGAGCTAGGGTTAGGGTTAGGGTTAGGGTTGGAGTTAGGGTTAGTGTTGGAGCTAGGGTTAGGGTTGGGCTTGGAGCTAGGATTTTTCTGAGTGCAATGAACCAACTCCCGAGTCTCTAGGACGTTCCTAAAAAAATTTGATTTTTTCCCATAGGAATGCATGGGTTAGGGTTAGGGTTAGGGTTGGAGCTAGGGTTAGGGTTGGAGTTAGGGTTAGTGTTGGAGCTAGGGTTAGGGTTGGGCTTGGAGCTAGGATTTTTCTGAGTGGAATGAACCAACTCCCGAGTCTCTAGGACGTTCCTAAAAAAATTTGATTTTTTTCCCATAGGAATGCATGGGTTAGGGTTGGAGCTAGGGTTAGGGTTAGGGTTAGGGTTGGAGTTAGGGTTAGTGTTGGAGCTAGGGTTAGGGTTGGGCTTGGAGCTAGGATTTTTCTGAGTGCAATGAACCAACTCCCGAGTCTCTAGGACGTTCCTAAAAAAATTTGATTTTTTTCCCATAGGAATGCATGGGTTAGGGTTGGAGCTAGGGTTAGGGTTAGGGTTAGGGTTGGAGTTAGGGTTAGTGTTGGAGCTAGGGTTAGGGTTGGGCTTGGAGCTAGGATTTTTCTGAGTGCAATGAACCAACTCCCGAGTCTCTAGGACGTTCCTAAAAAAATTTGATTTTTTCCCATTGGAATGCATGGGTTAGGGTTAGGGTTAGGGTTGGAGCTAGGGTTAGGGTTAGGGTTAGGGTTGGAGTTAGGGTTAGTGTTGGAGCTAGGGTTAGGGTTGGGCTTGGAGCTAGGATTTTTCTGAGTGGAATGAACCAACTCCCGAGTCTCTAGGACGTTCCTAAAAAAATTTGATTTTTTTCCCATAGGAATGCATGGGTTAGGGTTGGAGCTAGGGTTAGGGTTAGGGTTAGGGTTGGAGTTAGGGTTAGGGTTGGAGTTAGGGTTAGTGTTGGAGCTAGGGTTAGGGTTGGGCTTGGAGCTAGGATTTTTCTGAGTGCAATGAACCAACTCCCGAGTCTCTAGGACGTTCCTAAAAAAATTAGATTTTTTTCCCATAGGAATGCATGGGTTAGGGTTGGAGCTAGGGTTAGGGTTAGGGTTAGGGTTGGAGTTAGGGTTAGTGTTGGAGCTAGGGTTAGGGTTGGGCTTGGAGCTAGGATTTTTCTGAGTGCAATGAACCAACTCCCGAGTCTCTAGGACGTTCCTAAAAAAAAATTGATTTTTTCCCATAGGAATGCATGGGTTAGGGTTAGGATTAGGGTTGGAGCTAGGGTTAGGGTTAGGGTTAGGGTTTGAGTTAGGGTTAGTGTCGGAGCTGGGGTTAGGGTTGGGCTTGGAGCTAGGATTTTTCTGAGTGCAATGAACCAACTCCCGAGTCTCTAGGACGTTCCTAAAAAAATTTGATTTTTTCCCATAGGAATGCCTGGGTTAGGGTTAGGGTTAGGGTTGGAGCTAGGGTTAGGGTTAGGGTTAGGGTTGGAGTTAGGGTTAGTGTTGGAGCTAGGGTTAGGGTTGGGCTTGGAGCTTGGATTTTCCTGAGTGCAATGAACCAACTCCCGAGTCTCTAGGACGTTCCTAAAAAAATTTGATTTTTTCCCATAGGAATGCATGGGTTAGGGTTAGGGTTAGGGTTGGAGCTAGGGTTAGGGTTAGGGTTAGGGTTGGAGTTAGGGTTAGTGTTGGAGCTAGGGTTAGGGTTGGGCTTGGAGCTAGGATTTTTCTGAGTGCAATGAACCAACTCCTGAGTCTCTAGGACGTTCCTAAAAAAATTTGATTTTTTTCCCATAGGAATGCATGGGTTAGGGTTGGAGCTAGGGTTAGGGTTAGGGTTAGGGTTGGAGTTAGGGTTAGGGTTGGAGTTAGGGTTAGTGTTGGAGCTAGGTTTAGGGTTGGGCTTGGAGCTAGGATTTTTCTGAGTGCAATGAACCAACTCCCGAGTCTCTAGGACGTTCCTAAAAAAATTTGTTTTTTTCCCATAGGAATGCATGGGTTAGGGTTGGAGCTAGGGTTAGGGTTAGGGTTAGGGTTGGAGTTAGGGTTAGTGTTGGAGCTAGAGTTAGGGTTGGGCTTGGAGCTAGGATTTTTCTGAGTGGAATGAACCAACTCCCGAGTCTCTAGGACGCTCCTAAAAAAATTTGATTTTTTCCCATAGGAATGCATGGGTTAGGGTTAGGGTTAGGGTTGGAGCTAGGGTTAGGGTTAGGGTTAGGGTTAGGGTTGGAGTTAGGGTTAGTGTTGGAGCTAGGGTTAGGGTTGGGCTTGGAGCTAGGATTTTTCTGAGTGCAATGAACCAACTCCTGAGTCTCTAGGACGTTCCTAAAAAAATTTGATTTTTTTCCCATAGGAATGCATGGGTTAGGGTTGGAGCTAGGGTTAGGGTTAGGGTTAGGGTTGGAGTTAGGGTTAGGGTTGGAGTTAGGGTTAGTGTTGGAGCTAGGGTTAGGGTTGGGCTTGGAGCTAGGATTTTTCTGAGTGCAATGAACCAACTCCCGAGTCTCTAGGACGGTCCTAAAAAAAATTGTTTTTTTCCCATAGGAATGCATGGGTTAGGGTTGGAGCTAGGGTTAGGGTTAGGGTTAGGGTTGGAGTTAGGGTTAGTGTTGGAGCTAGAGTTAGGGTTGGGCTTGGAGCTAGGATTTTTCTGAGTGGAATGAACCAACTCCCGAGTCTCTAGGACGCTCCTAAAAAAATTTGATTTTTTCCCATAGGAATGCATGGGTTAGGGTTAGGGTTAGGGTTGGAGCTAGGGTTAGGGTTAGGGTTAGGGTTTGAGTTAGGGTTAGTGTCGGAGCTGGGGTTAGGGTTGGGCTTGGAGCTAGGATTTTTCTGAGTGCAATGAACCAACTCCCGAGTCTCTAGGACGTTCCTAAAAAAATTTGATTTTTTTCCCATAGGAATGCATGGGTTAGGGTTAGGGTTAGGGTTGGAGCTAGGGTTAGGGTTAGGGTTAGGGTTGGAGTTAGGGTTAGTGTTGGAGCTAGGGTTAGGGTTGGGCTTGGAGCTAGGATTTTTCTGAGTGCAATGAACCAACTCCCGAGTCTCTAGGACGTTCCTAAAAAAATTTGATTTTTTTCCCATAGGAATGCATGGGTTAGGGTTGGAGCTAGGGTTAGGGTTAGGGTTAGGGTTGGAGTTAGGGTTAGTGTTGCAGCTAGGGTTAGGGTTGGGCTTGGAGCTAGGATTTTTCTGAGTGGAATGAACCAACTCCCGAGTCTCTAGGACGTTCCTAAAAAAATTTGATTTTTTTCCCATAGGAATGCATGGGTTAGGGTTGGAGTTAGGGTTAGGGTTAGGGTAAGGGTTGGAGTTAGGGTTAGGGTTGGAGTTAGGGTTAGTGTTGGAGCTAGGGTTAGGGTTGGGCTTGGAGCTAGGATTTTTCTGAGTGCAATGAACCAACTCCCGAGTCTCTAGGACGTTCCTAAAAAAATTTGATTTTTTCCCATAGGAATGCATGGGTTAGGGTTAGGGTTAGGGTTGGAGCCAGGGTTAGGGTTAGGGTTAGGGTTTGAGTTAGGGTTAGTGTTGGAGCTGGGGTTAGGGTTGGGCTTGGAGCTAGGATTTTTCTGAGTGCAATGAACCAACTCCCGAGTCTCTAGGACGTTCCTAAAAAAATTTGATTTTTTCCCTTAGGAATGCATGGGTTAGGGTTAGGGTTAGGGTTGGAGCTAGGGTTAGGGTTAGGGTTAGGGTTGGAGTTAGGGTTAGTGTTGGAGCTAGGGTTAGGGTTGGGCTTGGAGCTAGGATTTTTCTGAGTGCAATGAACCAACTCCCGAGTCTCTAGGACGTTCCTAAAAAAATTTGATTTTTTTCCCATAGGAATGCATGGGTTAGGGTTAGGGTTAGGGTTGGAGCTAGGGTTAGGGTTAGGGTTGGAGTTAGGGTTAGTGTTGGAGCTAGGGTTAGGGTTGGGCTTGGAGCTAGGATTTTTCTGAGTGGAATGAACCAACTCCCGAGTCTCTAGGACGTTCCTAAAAAAAATGTGATTTTTCCCATAGGAATGCATGGGTTAGGGTTAGGGTTAGGGTTGGAGCTAGGGTTAGGGTTAGGGTTAGGGTTGGAGTTAGGGTTAGTGTTGGAGCTAGGGTTAGGGTTGGGCTTGGAGCTAGGATTTTTCTGAGTGGAATGAACCAACTCCCGAGTCTCTAGGACGTTCCTAAAAAAATTTGATTTTTTTCCCATAGGAATGCATGGGTTAGGGTTGGAGCTAGGGTTAGGGTTGGAGTTAGGGTTAGGGTTGGAGTTAGGGTTATTGTTGGAGCTAGGGTTAGGGTTGGGCTTGGAGCTAGGATTTTTCTGAGTGCAATGAACCAACTCCCGAGTCTCTAGGACGTTCCTAAAAAAAATTGATTTTTTTCCCATAGGAATGCATGGGTTAGGGTTGGAGCTAGGGTTAGGGTTAGGGTTAGGGTTTGAGTTAGGGTTAGTGTTGGAGCTGGGGTTAGGGTTGGGCTTGGAGCTAGGATTTTTCTGAGTGCAATGAACCAACTCCTGAGTCTCTAGGACATTCCTAAAAAAATGTGATTTTTTCCCATAGGAATGCATGGGTTAGCGTTTGGGTTAGGGTTGGAGCTAGGGTTAGGGTTAGGGTTAGGGTTGGAGTTAGGGTTAGTGTTGGAGCTAGGGTTAGGGTTGGGCTTGGAGCTAGGATTTTTCTGAGTGCAATGAACCAACTCCCGAGTCTCTAGGACGTTCCTAAAAAAATTTGATTTTTTTCCCATAGGAATGCATGGGTTAGGGTTAGGGTTAGGGATGGAGCTAGGGTTAGGGTTAGGGTTAGGGTTGGAGTTAGGGTTAGTGTTGGAGCTAGGGTTAGGGTTGGGCTTGGAGCTAGGATTTTTCTGAGTGCAATGAACCAACTCCCGAGTCTCTAGGACGTTCCTAAAAAAAATTGATTTTTTCCCATAGGAATGCATGGGTTAGGGTTGGAGCTAGGGTTAGGGTTAGGGTTCGGGTTGGAGTTAGGGTTAGGTTTGGAGCTAGGGTTAGTGTTGGGCTTGGAGCTAGGATTTTTCTGAGTGCAATGGACCAACTTCCGAGTCTCTAGGACGTTCCTAAAAAAATTTGATTTTTTCCCATAGGAATGCATGGGTTAGGGTTAGGGTAAGGGTTGGAGCTAGGGTTAGGGTTAGGGTTAGGGTTGGAGTTAGGGTTAGTGTTGGAGCTAGGGTTAGGGTTAGGGTTAGGGTTGGAGTTAGGGTTATTGTTGGAGCTAGGGTTAGGGTTGGGCTTGGAGCTAGGATTTTTCTGAGTGCAATGAACCAACTCCCGAGTCTCTAGGACGTTCCTAAAAAAATTTGATTTTTTCCCATAGGAATGCATGGGTTAGGGTTGGAGCTAGGGTTAGGGTTAGGGTTAGGGTTGGAGTTAGGGTTAGTGTTGGAGCTAGGGTTAGGGTTGGGCTTGGAGCTAGGATTTTTCTGAGTGCAATGAACCAACTCCCGAGTCTCTAGGACGTTCCTAAAAAATTTGATTTTTTCCCATAGGAATGCATGGGTTAGGGTTAGGGTTAGGGTTGGAGCTAGGGTTAGGGTTAGGGTTAGGGTTGGAGTTAGGGTTAGTGTTGGAGCTAGGGTTAGGGTTGGGCTTGGAGCTAGGATTTCTCTGAGTGCAATGAACCAACTCCCGAGTCTCTAGGACGTTCCTAAAAAAATTTGATTTTTTTCCCATAGGAATGCATGGGTTAGGGTTAGGGTTAGGGTTGGAGCTAGGGTTAGGGTTAGGGTTAGGGTTGGAGTTAGGGTTAGTGTTGGAGCTAGGGTTAGGGTTGGGCTTGGAGCTAGGATTTTTCTGAGTGGAATGAACCAACTCCCGAGTCTCTAGGACGTTCCTAAAAAAATTTGATTTTTTCCCATAGGAATGCATGGGTTAGGGTTAGGGTTAGGGTTGGAGCTAGGGTTAGGGTTAGGGTTAGGGTTGGAGTTAGGGTTAGTGTTGGAGCTAGGGTTAGGGTTGGGCTTGGAGCTAGGATTTTTCTGAGTGCAATGAACCAACTCCCGAGTCTCTAGGACGTTCCTAAAAAAATTTGATTTTTTTCCCATAGGAATGCATGGGTTAGGGTTGGAGCTAGGGTTAGGGTTAGGGTTAGGGTTGGAGTTAGGGTTAGTGTTGGAGCTAGGGTTAGGGTTGGGCTTGGAGCTAGGATTTTTCTGAGTGCAATGAACCAACTCCCGAGTCTCTAGGACAATCCTAAAAAAATTTGATTTTTTTCCCATAGGAATGCATGGGTTAGGGTTGGAGCTAGGGTTAGGGTTAGGGTTAGGGTTGGAGTTAGGGTTAGGGTTGGAGTTAGGGTTAGTGTTGGAGCTAGGGTTAGGGTTGGGCTTGGAGCTAGGATTTTTCTGAGTGCAATGAACCAACTCCCGAGTCTCTAGGACGTTCCTAAAAAAAATTGATTTTTTCCCATAGGAATGCATGGGTTAGGGTTGGAGCTAGGGTTAGGGTTAGGGTTAGGGTTGGAGTTAGGGTTAGTGTTGGAGCTAGGGTTAGGGTTGGGCTTGGAGCTAGGATTTTTCTGAGTGGAATGAACCAACTCCCGAGTCTCTAGGACGTTCCTAAAAAAATTTGATTTTTTCCCATAGGAATGCATGGGTTAGGGTTAGGGTTAGGGTTGGAGCTAGGGTTAGGGTTAGGGTTAGGGTTTGAGTTAGGGTTAGTGTTGGAGCTGGGGTTAGGGTTGGGCTTGGAGCTAGGATTTTTCTGAGTGCAATGAACCAACTCCCGAGTCTCTAGGACGTTCCTAAAAAAATTTGATTTTTTTCCCATAGGAATGCATGGGTTAGGGTTAGGGTTAGGGTTAGGGTTGGAGCTAGGGTTAGGGTTAGGGTTAGGGTTGGAGTTAGGGTTAGTGTTGGAGCTAGCGTTAGGGTTGGGCTTGGAGCTAGGATTTTTCTGAGTGCAATGAACCAACTCCCGAGTCTCTAGGACGTTCCTAAAAAAATTTGATTTTTTCCCATAGGAATGCATGGGTTAGGGTTGGAGCTAGGGTTAGGGTTAGGGTTAGGGTTGGAGTTAGGGTTAGTGTTGCAGCTAGGGTTAGGGTTGGGCTTGGAGATAGGATTTTTCTGAGTGGAATGAACCAACTCCCGAGTCTCTAGGACGTTCCTAAAAAAATTTGATTTTTTTCCCATAGGAATGCATGGGTTAGGGTTGGAGTTAGGGTTAGGGTTAGGGTAAGGGTTGGAGTTAGGGTTAGGGTTGGAGTTAGGGTTAGTGTTGGAGCTAGGGTTAGGGTTGGGCTTGGAGTTAGGATTTTTCTGAGTGCAATGAACCAACTCCCGAGTCTCTAGGACGTTCCTAAAAAAATTTGATTTTTTCCCATAGGAATGCATGGGTTAGGGTTAGGGTTAGGGTTGGAGCCAGGGTTAGGGTTAGGGTTAGGGTTTGAGTTAGGGTTAGTGTTGGAGCTGGGGTTAGGGTTGGGCTTGGAGCTAGGATTTTTCTGAGTGCAATGAACCAACTCCCGAGTCTCTAGGACGTTCCTAAAAAAATTTGATTTTTTTCCCATAGGAATGCATGGGTTAGGGTTAGGGTTAGGGTTGGAGCTAGGGTTAGGGTTAGGGTTAGGGTTGGAGTTAGGGTTAGTGTTGGAGCTAGGGTTAGGGTTAGGGTTAGGGTTGGAGTTAGGGTTATTGTTGGAGCTAGGGTTAGGGTTGGGCTTGGAGCTAGGATTTTTCTGAGTGCAATGAACCAACTCCCGAGTCTCTAGGACGTTCCTAAAAAAATTTGATTTTTTCCCATAGGAATGCATGGGTTAGGGTTGGAGCTAGGGTTAGGGTTAGGGTTAGGGTTGGAGTTAGGGTTAGTGTTGGAGCTAGGGTTAGGGTTGGGCTTGGAGCTAGGATTTTTCTGAGTGCAATGAACCAACTCCCGAGTCTCTAGGACGTTCCTAAAAAAATTTGATTTTTTCCCATAGGAATGCATGGGTTAGGGTTAGGGTTAGGGTTGGAGCTAGGGTTAGGGTTAGGGTTAGGGTTGGAGTTAGGGTTAGTGTTGGAGCTAGGGTTAGGGTTGGGCTTGGAGCTAGGATTTCTCTGAGTGCAATGAACCAACTCCCGAGTCTCTAGGACGTTCCTAAAAAAATTTGATTTTTTCCCATAGGAATGCATGGGTTAGGGTTAGGGTTAGGGTTGGAGCTAGGGTTAGGGTTAGGGTTAGGGTTGGAGTTAGGGTTAGTGTTGGAGCTAGGGTTAGGGTTGGGCTTGGAGCTAGGATTTTTCTGAGTGGAATGAACCAACTCCCGAGTCTCTAGGACGTTCCTAAAAAAATTTGATTTTTTTCCCATAGGAATGCATGGGTTAGGGTTAGGGTTAGGGTTGGAGCTAGGGTTAGGGTTAGGGTTAGGGTTGGAGTTAGGGTTAGTGTTGGAGCTAGGGTTAGGGTTGGGCTTGGAGCTAGGATTTTTCTGAGTGCAATGAACCAACTCCCGAGTCTCTAGGACGTTCCTAAAAAAATTTGATTTTTTTCCCATTGGAATGCATGGGTTAGGGTTGGAGCTAGGGTTAGGGTTAGGGTTAGGGTTGGAGTTAGGGTTAGTGTTGGAGCGAGGGTTAGGGTTGGGCTTGGAGCTAGGATTTTTCTGAGTGCAATGAACCAACTCCCGAGTCTCTAGGACAATCCTAAAAAAATTTGATTTTTTTCCCATAGGAATGCATGGGTTAGGGTTGGAGCTAGGGTTAGGGTTAGGGTTAGGGTTGGAGTTAGGGTTAGGGTTGGAGTTAGGGTTAGTGTTGGAGCTAGGGTTAGGGTTGGGCTTGGAGCTAGGATTTTTCTGAGTGCAATGAACCAACTCCCGAGTCTCTAGGACGTTCCTAAAAAAAATTGATTTTTTTCCCATAGGAATGCATGGGTTAGGGTTGGAGCTAGGGTTAGGGTTAGGGTTAGGGTTGGAGTTAGGGTTAGTGTTGGAGCTAGGGTTAGGGTTGGGCTTGGAGCTAGGATTTTTCTGAGTGGAATGAACCAACTCCCGAGTCTCTAGGACGTTCCTAAAAAAATTTGATTTTTTCCCATAGGAATGCATGGGTTAGGGTTAGGGTTAGGGTTGGAGCTAGGGTTAGGGTTAGGGTTAGGGTTTGAGTTAGGGTTAGTGTTGGAGCTGGGGTTAGGGTTGGGCTTGGAGCTAGGATTTTTCTGAGTGCAATGAACCAACTCCCGAGTCTCTAGGACGTTCCTAAAAAATTTTGATTTTTTCCCATAGGAATGCATGGGTTAGGGTTAGGGTTAGGGTTAGGGTTGGAGCTAGGGTTAGGGTTAGGGTTAGGGTTGGAGTTAGGGTTAGTGTTGGAGCTAGCGTTAGGGTTGGGCTTGGAGCTAGGATTTTTCTGAGTGCAATGAACCAACTCCCGAGTCTCTAGGACGTTCCTAAAAAAATTTGATTTTTTTCCCATAGGAATGCATGGGTTAGGGTTGGAGCTAGGGTTAGGGTTAGGGTTAGGGTTGGAGTTAGGGTTAGTGTTGCAGCTAGGGTTAGGGTTGGGCTTGGAGCTAGGATTTTTCTGAGTGGAATGAACCAACTCCCGAGTCTCTAGGACGTTCCTAAAAAAATTTGATTTTTTTCCCATAGGAATGCATGGGTTAGGGTTGGAGTTAGGGTTAGGGTTAGGGTAAGGGTTGGAGTTAGGGTTAGGGTTGGAGTTAGGGTTAGTGTTGGAGCTAGGGTTAGGGTTGGGCTTGGAGCTAGGATTTTTCTGAGTGCAATGAACCAACTCCCGAGTCTCTAGGACGTTCCTAAAAAAATTTGATTTTTTCCCATAGGAATGCATGGGTTAGGGTTAGGGTTAGGGTTGGAGCCAGGGTTAGGGTTAGGGTTAGGGTTTGAGTTAGGGTTAGTGTTGGAGCTGGGGTTAGGGTTGGGCTTGGAGCTAGGATTTTTCTGAGTGCAATGAACCAACTCCCGAGTCTCTAGGACGTTCCTAAAAAAATTTGATTTTTTCCCATAGGAATGCATGGGTTAGGGTTAGGGTTAGGGTTGGAGCTAGGGTTAGGGTTAGGGTTAGGGTTGGAGTTAGGGTTAGTGTTGGAGCTAGGGTTAGGGTTAGGGTTAGGGTTGGAGTTAGGGTTATTGTTGGAGCTAGGGTTAGGGTTGGGCTTGGAGCTAGGATTTTTCTGAGTGCAATGAACCAACTCCCGAGTCTCTAGGACGTTCCTAAAAAAATTTGATTTTTTTCCCATAGGAATGCATGGGTTAGGGTTGGAGCTAGGGTTAGGGTTAGGGTTAGGGTTGGAGTTAGGGTTAGTGTTGGAGCTAGGGTTAGGGTTGGGCTTGGAGCTAGGATTTTTCTGAGTGCAATGAACCAACTCCCGAGTCTCTAGGACGTTCCTAAAAAAATTTGATTTTTTCCCATAGGAATGCATGGGTTAGGGTTAGGGTTAGGGTTGGAGCTAGGGTTAGGGTTAGGGTTAGGGTTGGAGTTAGGGTTAGTGTTGGAGCTAGGGTTAGGGTTGGGCTTGGAGCTAGGATTTCTCTGAGTGCAATGAACCAACTCCCGAGTCTCTAGGACGTTCCTAAAAAAATTTGATTTTTTCCCATAGGAATGCATGGGTTAGGGTTAGGGTTAGGGTTGGAGCTAGGGTTAGGGTTAGGGTTAGGGTTGGAGTTAGGGTTAGTGTTGGAGCTAGGGTTAGGGTTGGGCTTGGAGCTAGGATTTTTCTGAGTGGAATGAACCAACTCCCGAGTCTCTAGGACGTTCCTAAAAAAATTTGATTTTTTCCCATAGGAATGCATGGGTTAGGGTTAGGGTTAGGGTTGGAGCTAGGGTTGGGGTTAGGGTTAGGGTTGGAGTTAGGGTTAGTGTTGGAGCTAGGGTTAGGGTTGGGCTTGGAGCTAGGATTTTTCTGAGTGCAATGAACCAACTCCCGAGTCTCTAGGACGTTCCTAAAAAAATTTGATTTTTTTCCCATAGGAATGCATGGGTTAGGGTTGGAGCTAGGGTTAGGGTTAGGGTTAGGGTTGGAGTTAGGGTTAGTGTTGGAGCTAGGGTTAGGGTTGGGCTTGGAGCTAGGATTTTTCTGAGTGCAATGAACCAACTCCCGAGTCTCTAGGACAATCCTAAAAAAATTTGATTTTTTTCCCATAGGAATGCATGGGTTAGGGTTGGAGCTAGGGTTAGGGTTAGGGTTAGGGTTGGAGTTAGGGTTAGGGTTGGAGTTAGGGTTAGTGTTGGAGCTAGGGTTAGGGTTGGGCTTGGAGCTAGGATTTTTCTGAGTGCAATGAACCAACTCCCGAGTCTCTAGGACGTTCCTAAAAAAATTTGATTTTTTTCCCATAGGAATGCATGGGTTAGGGTTGGAGCTAGGGTTAGGGTTAGGGTTAGGGTTGGAGTTAGGGTTAGTGTTGGAGCTAGGGTTAGGGTTGGGCTTGGAGCTAGGATTTTTCTGAGTGGAATGAACCAACTCCCGAGTCTCTAGGACGTTCCTAAAAAAATTTGATTTTTTCCCATAGGAATGCATGGGTTAGGGTTAGGGTTAGGGTTGGAGCTAGGGTTAGGGTTAGGGTTAGGGTTTGAGTTAGGGTTAGTGTTGGAGCTGGGGTTAGGGTTGGGCTTGGAGCTAGGATTTTTCTGAGTGCAATGAACCAACTCCCGAGTCTCTAGGACGTTCCTAAAAAAATTTGATTTTTTCCCATAGGAATGCATGGGTTAGGGTTAGGGTTAGGGTTAGGGTTGGAGCTAGGGTTAGGGTTAGGGTTAGGGTTGGAGTTAGGGTTAGTGTTGGAGCTAGCGTTAGGGTTGGGCTTGGAGCTAGGATTTTTCTGAGTGCAATGAACCAACTCCCGAGTCTCTAGGACGTTCCTAAAAAAATTTGATTTTTTTCCCATAGGAATGCATGGGTTAGGGTTGGAGCTAGGGTTAGGGTTAGGGTTAGGGTTGGAGTTAGGGTTAGTGTTGCAGCTAGGGTTAGGGTTGGGCTTGGAGCTAGGATTTTTCTGAGTGGAATGAACCAACTCCCGAGTCTCTAGGACGTTCCTAAAAAAATTTGATTTTTTTCCCATAGGAATGCATGGGTTAGGGTTGGAGTTAGGGTTAGGGTTAGGGTAAGGGTTGGAGTTAGGGTTAGGGTTGGAGTTAGGGTTAGTGTTGGAGCTAGGGTTAGGGTTGGGCTTGGAGCTAGGATTTTTCTGAGTGCAATGAACCAACTCCCGAGTCTCTAGGACGTTCCTAAAAAAATTTGATTTTTTCCCATAGGAATGCATGGGTTAGGGTTAGGGTTAGGGTTGGAGCCAGGGTTAGGGTTAGGGTTAGGGTTTGAGTTAGGGTTAGTGTTGGAGCTGGGGTTAGGGTTGGGCTTGGAGCTAGGATTTTTCTGAGTGCAATGAACCAACTCCCGAGTCTCTAGGACGTTCCTAAAAAAATTTGATTTTTTTCCCTTAGGAATGCATGGGTTAGGGTTAGGGTTAGGGTTGGAGCTAGGGTTAGGGTTAGGGTTAGGGTTGGAGTTAGGGTTAGTGTTGGAGCTAGGGTTAGGGTTGGGCTTGGAGCTAGGATTTTTCTGAGTGCAATGAACCAACTCCCGAGTCTCTAGGACGTTCCTAAAAAAATTTGATTTTTTCCCATAGGAATGCATGGGTTAGGGTTAGGGTTAGGGTTGGAGCTAGGGTTAGGGTTAGGGTTAGGGTTGGAGTTAGGGTTAGTGTTGGAGCTAGGGTTAGGGTTGGGCTTGGAGCTAGGATTTTTCTGAGTGGAATGAACCAACTCCCGAGTCTCTAGGACGTTCCTAAAAAAATTTGATTTTTTTCCCATAGGAATGCATGGGTTAGGGTTAGGGTTAGGGTTGGAGCTAGGGTTAGGGTTAGGGTTAGGGTTGGAGTTAGGGTTAGTGTTGGAGCTAGGGTTAGGGTTGGGCTTGGAGCTAGGATTTTTCTGAGTGGAATGAACCAACTCCCGAGTCTCTAGGACGTTCCTAAAAAAATTTGATTTTTTTCCCATAGGAATGCATGGGTTAGGGTTGGAGCTAGGGTTAGGGTTGGAGTTAGGGTTAGGGTTGGAGTTAGGGTTATTGTTGGAGCTAGGGTTAGGGTTGGGCTTGGAGCTAGGATTTTTCTGAGTGCAATGAACCAACTCCCGAGTCTCTAGGACGTTCCTAAAAAAAATTGATTTTTTTCCCATAGGAATGCATGGGTTAGGGTTGGGGCTCAGGGTTAGGGGTTAGGGTTAGGGTTTGGAGTTAGGGTTAGTGTTGGAGCTGGGGTTAGGGTTGGGCTTGGAGCTAGGATTTTTCTGAGTGCAATGAACCAACTCCCGAGTCTCTAGGACATTCCTAAAAAAATGTGATTTTTTCCCATAGGAATGCATGGGTTAGCGTTTGGGTTAGGGTTGGAGCTAGGGTTAGGGTTAGGGTTAGGGTTGGAGTTAGGGTTAGTGTTGGAGCTAGGGTTAGGGTTGGGCTTGGAGCTAGGATTTTTCTGAGTGCAATGAACCAACTCCCGAGTCTCTAGGACGTTCCTAAAAAAATTTGATTTTTTCCCATAGGAATGCATGGGTTAGGGTTAGGGTTAGGGTTGGAGCTAGGGTTAGGGTTAGGGTTAGGGTTGGAGTTAGGGTTAGTGTTGGATGCTAGGGTTAGGGTTGGGCTTGGAGCTAGGATTTTTCTGAGTGCAATGAACCAACTCCCGAGTCTCTAGGACGTTCCTAAAAAAATTTGATTTTTTCCCATAGGAATGCATGGGTTAGGGTTAGGGTTAGGGATGGAGCTAGGGTTAGGGTTAGGGTTAGGGTTGGAGTTAGGGTTAGTGTTGGAGCTAGGGTTAGGGTTGGGCTTGGAGCTAGGATTTTTCTGAGTGCAATGAACCAACTCCCGAGTCTCTAGGACGTTCCTAAAAAAAATTGATTTTTTCCCATAGGAATGCATGGGTTAGGGTTGGAGCTAGGGTTAGGGTTAGGGTTCGGGTTGGAGTTAGGGTTAGGTTTGGAGCTAGGGTTAGGGTTGGGCTTGGAGCTAGGATTTTTCTGAGTGCAATGGACCAACTTCCGAGTCTCTAGGACGTTCCTAAAAAAATTTGATTTTTTCCCATAGGAATGCATGGGTTAGGGTTAGGGTAAGGGTTGGAGCTAGGGTTAGGGTTAGGGTTAGGGTTGGAGTTAGGGTTAGTGTTGGAGCTAGGGTTAGGGTTAGGGTTAGGGTTGGAGTTAGGGTTATTGTTGGAGCTAGGGTTAGGGTTGGGCTTGGAGCTAGGATTTTTCTGAGTGCAATGAACCAACTCCCGAGTCTCTAGGACGTTCCTAAAAAATTTTTATTTTTTCCCATAGGAATGCATGGGTTAGGGTTGGAGCTAGGGTTAGGGTTAGGGTTAGGGTTGGAGTTAGGGTTAGTGTTGGAGCTATTGTTAGGGTTGGGCTTGGAGCTAGGATTTTTCTGAGTGCAATGAACCAACTCCCGAGTCTCTAGGACGTTCCTAAAAAATTTGATTTTTTCCCATAGGAATGCATGGGTTAGGGTTAGGGTTAGGGTTGGAGCTAGGGTTAGGGTTAGGGTTAGGGTTGGAGTTAGGGTTAGTGTTGGAGCTAGGGTTAGGGTTGGGCTTGGAGCTAGGATTTCTCTGAGTGCAATGAACCAACTCCCAAGTCTCTAGGACGTTCCTAAAAAAATTTGATTTTTTCCCATAGGAATGCATGGGTTAGGGTTAGGGTTAGGGTTGGAGCTAGGGTTAGGGTTAGGGTTAGGGTTGGAGTTAGGGTTAGTGTTGGAGCTAGGGTTAGGGTTGGGCTTGGAGCTAGGATTTCTCTGAGTGCAATGAACCAACTCCCGAGTCTCTAGGACGTTCCTAAAAAAATTTGATTTTTTCCCATAGGAATGCATGGGTTAGGGTTAGGGTTAGGGTTAGGGTTGGAGTTAGGGTTAGGGTTGGAGCTAGGGTTAGGGTTGGGCTTGGAGCTAGGATTTTTCTGAGTGCAATGAACCAACTCCCGAGTCTCTAGGACGTTCCTAAAAAATTTGATTTTTTCCCATAGGAATGCATGGGTTAGGGTTAGGGTTAGGGTTGGAGCTAGGGTTAGGGTTAGGGTTGGAGTTAGGGTTAGTGTTGGAGCTAGGGTTAGGGTTGGGCTTGGAGCTAGGATTTTTCTGAGTGCAATGAACCAACTCCCGAGTTTCTAGGACGTTCCTAAAAAAATTTGATTTTTTCCCATAGGAATGCATGGGTTAGGGTTAGGGTTAGGGTTGGAGCTAGGGTTAGGGTTAGGGTTAGGGTTAGGGTTGGAGTTAGGGTTAGTGTTGGAGCTAGGGTTAGGGTTGGGCTTGGAGCTAGGATTTTTCTGAGTGCAATGAACCAACTCCCGAGTCTCTAGGACGTTCCTAAAAAAATTTGATTTTTTCCCATAGGAATGCATGGGTTAGGGTTAGGGTTAGGGTTGGAGTTAGGGTTAGGGTTGGAGCTAGGGTTAGGGTTGGGCTTGGAGCTAGGATTTTTCTGAGTGCAATGAACCAACTCCCGAGTCTCTAGGACGTTCCTAAAAAATTTGATTTTTTCCCATAGGAATGCATGGGTTAGGGTTAGGGTTAGGGTTAGGGTTGGAGTTAGGGTTAGGGTTGGAGCTAGGGTTAGGGTTGGGCTTGGAGCTAGGATTTTTCTGAGTGCAATGAACCAACTCCCGAGTCTCTAGGACGTTCCTAAAAAATTTGATTTTTTCCCATAGGAATGCATGGGTTAGGGTTAGGGTTAGGGTTGGAGCTAGGGTTAGGGTTAGGGTTAGGGTTGGAGTTAGGGTTAGTGTTGGAGCTAGGGTTAGGGTTGGGCTTGGAGCTAGGATTTCTCTGAGTGCAATGAACCAACTCCCGAGTCTCTAGGACGTTCCTAAAAAAATTTGATTTTTTCCCATAGGAATGCATGGGTTAGGGTTAGGGTTAGGGTTAGGGTTAGGGTTGGAGTTAGGGTTAGGGTTGGAGCTAGGGTTAGGGTTGGGCTTGGAGCTAGGATTTTTCTGAGTGCAATGAACCAACTCCCGAGTCTCTAGGACGTTCCTAAAAAATTTGATTTTTTTCCCATAGGAATGCATGGGTTAGGGTTAGGGTTAGGGTTGGAGCTAGGGTTAGGGTTAGGGTTGGAGTTAGGGTTAGTGTTGGAGCTAGGGTTAGGGTTGGGCTTGGAGCTAGGATTTTTCTGAGTGCAATGAACCAACTCCCGAGTTTCTAGGACGTTCCTAAAAAAATTTGATTTTTTCCCATAGGAATGCATGGGTTAGGGTTAGGGTTAGGGTTGGAGCTAGGGTTAGGGTTAGGGTTAGGGTTGGAGTTAGGGTTAGTGTTGGAGCTAGGGTTAGGGTTGGGCTTGGAGCTAGGGATTTTTCTGAGTGCAATGAACCAACTCCCGAGTCTCTAGGACGTTCCTAAAAAAATTTGATTTTTTCCCATAGGAATGCATGGGTTAGGGTTAGGGTTAGGGTTAGGGTTAGGGTTGGAGTTAGGGTTAGGGTTGGAGCTAGGGTTAGGGTTGGGCTTGGAGCTAGGATTTTTCTGAGTGCAATGAACCAACTCCCGAGTCTCTAGGACGTTCCTAAAAAATTTGATTTTTTCCCATAGGAATGCATGGGTTAGGGTTAGGGTTAGGGTTAGGGTTGGAGTTAGGGTTAGGGTTGGAGCTAGGGTTAGGGTTGGGCTTGGAGCTAGGATTTTTCTGAGTGCAATGAACCAACTCCCGAGTCTCTAGGACGTTCCTAAAAAATTTGATTTTTTCCCATAGGAATGCATGGGTTAGGGTTAGGGTTAGGGTTGGAGCTAGGGTTAGGGTTAGGGTTAGGGTTGGAGTTAGGGTTAGTGTTGGAGCTAGGGTTAGGGTTGGGCTTGGAGCTAGGATTTTTCTGAGTGCAATGAACCAACTCCCGAGTCTCTAGGACGTTCCTAAAAAAATTTGATTTTTTCCCATAGGAATGCATGGGTTAGGGTTAGGGTTAGGGTTGGAGCTAGGGTTAGGGTTAGGGTTGGGGTTGGAGTTAGGGTTAGTGTTGGAGCTAGGGTGAGGGTTGGGCTTGGAGCTAGGATTTTTCTGAGTGCAATGAACCAACTCCCGAGTCTCTAGGACGTTCCTAAAAAAATTTGATTTTTTCCCATAGGAATGCATGGGTTAGGGTTAGGGATAGGGTTAGGGTTGGAGTTAGGGTTAGGGTTGGAGCTAGGGTTAGGGTTGGGCTTGGAGCTAGGATTTTTCTGAGTGCAATGAACCAACTCCCGAGTCTCTAGGACGTTCCTAAAAAATTTGATTTTTTCCCATAGGAATGCATGGGTTAGGGTTAGGGTTAGGGTTGGAGTTAGGGTTAGGGTTGGAGTTAGGGTTAGGGTTGGAGCTAGGGTTAGGGTTGGGCTTGGAGCTAGGATTTTTCTGAGTGCAATGAACCAACTCCCGAGTCTCTAGGACGTTCCTAAAAAATTTGATTTTTTCCCATAGGAATGCATGGGTTAGGGTTAGGGTTAGGGTTAGGGTTAGGGTTGGAGTTAGGGTTAGGGTTGGAGCTAGGGTTAGGGTTAGGGTTAGGGTTGGAGCTAGGGTTAGGGTTAGGGTTAAGGTTGGAGCTAGGGTTAGGGTTAGGTTTAGGGTTAGGGTTGGAGCTAAGGTTAGGGTTAGGGTTAGAGCTAGGGTTAGGGTTAGGGTTAGGGTTGGGGTTAATAAAACAACTTTAACGATGCAAGTTTTCTAAAACACTCAGTTTTACAATGATATTCCAAGACTCAGAATCAAACTTAAGGGCTGAGAGTAAAAATCTGCAGTTCCTCCAGGTTCCACCAGAGGCTGTGTCCAGAAATGAGTCAGTCCCCATAGAGCCCCATGTTAAAATGTCCAACTTTACAGCAGGGATAAACCTTTGTCACAGCCTCGCACAAAAAATGACGGGAACTTCTGGAAGTTTGATTATCAGACTGCATAAAGAAAACCTTTAGATTACTTTTAGAGTTTGCAGCAGACAGAGTGAATGTGGGGCTGAAACTGAAACACTCTATTTGGTTGTTTCAGATATTTGTAAGAAGCTGGACAATCAGACTGACGCTCCTGAACAGCTGTTTATCAAGGTGAGAACATGGTCCACATCTGCAGCTTGTTTACTACCTGACTGAATTTCACTCAGACTTCAATCTGTTTCTAACCTTTGACTTGTCCCAGTCTACTAACAGCTCCTTCCTTCATCTCTGATTGGTGGATATAAAGAGTTCTGTGTGCACCTGTGCAGGTGAAGGAGGTGGATCAAAGCGGATCCTGGTTTGAAGACGGGATGAAGCTGGAGGCCATCGACCCTCTGAACCTGTCCACTATCTGCGTGGCCACAGTCAGGAAGGTCAGGACAGAAGTTGATCCTGCTCCTCTCCCTGCTCTCCTCTCTCCACCCGTGGCTGCCTGATAGTTTGAATCTGATAGACAGCATGTTAAAGACACAGATAAAAACACAAATATTTAAACAAAACAAATTTAGCTGCAAATAAAAAAAACAGGCCAGAAAAACTAAAAAACACAACTCATCAGCAAATACCCAATACAGAAATATACATCATCTCTGACAAAACAGAAAAATTCAGCTCATCCGGTTATTACAATGAAAAGATGTTCCATTCCGTGCCTCCTACAGACCAGGCCAATAAACCCCGCCCCCTTCTAACCAGCTCTCTCTCTCTGGTCAGGTGCTGGCAGACGGGTACCTGATGATCGGGATTGATGGATCTGAGGCAGCTGACGGCTCCGACTGGTTCTGTTATCACTCCACCTCTCCTTCCATCTTCCCCGCCGGTTTCTGTGAGATCAACAACATTGAGCTGACACCCCCCAGAGGTACAACAAAAAACTGCAGGACCTCTGAATGGACCTAAACCTAATCAATCAAGTTTTATTTGTGTAACATCATGTTCACAACAAATGTTATCTCCAGATGATTTACAAAAAGAGCAACTCATCAATATCAACATCAATCCTGCTCCACTGGTGTGTGTTTTAGTAAATCTACCGACCTCTGATTCTGAATGGTTATTACAAGTGTTATTTCTGACCATACAGTTATTTATTTTTGGTGCAGAGTCAAACCTTCTCTTGTTCTGGTTTCCGTCAGGTTACGTCGCTCTTCCCTTCAAGTGGTTCGAGTACCTGAAGGAGTGTCAGGCTGTGGCGGCTCCTGTTACCCTCTTTAATAAGGTCAGAGATCTTCAACTAATTCAGATAAATTAATGTTTGAATTTTTGACTTTGATGTGTAATAAATGCAGTAAATTAACTGTCTTGGATTTAATCCGTAACAACACAGATTTACTGTCACTAAATGGTAATAACCTCCGTCCAGCAGGAAGTTCCTAACCATGGTTTCCAGCCCGGGATGAAGCTGGAAGCTGTTGACCTCATGGAGCCCAGGCTGGTCTGTGTCGCCACGGTGACCCGCATCGTCCACCGGTTGCTACGCATTCACTTTGACGGCTGGGAGGACGAGTACGATCAGTGGGTGGACTGTGAGTCACCGGACCTTTACCCAGTGGGCTGGTGTCAGCTGACCGGGTACCAGCTGCAGCCGCCCGCTGTCAATGCAGGTCAGATTATAAACACAATATAAAACTACATATACTTCAGTGAAAGTGCAGTTCTTTACCTGTGGTACTGCAGTACGATGACTGATTATACTGTTACATTGGATGATATATGTGTGTGTGTGTGGTTAAGGCTCCAGAGATCTTCAGTCAGCAGCTTCCAAACAGAGGAAGAAGTCCCAGCAGTACAAAGGACAGAAGAAAAGTACGTCTGTGTGTCAGGAATAAACTCAGCTGGCACGCTTCAACATGAATTTTAAATCAGATCATTTCCTGTCAGTCAGAGGTTTTATTTTGATAATGACTTCCTGTCCCTGTCAGAGAGGAAGTTACCCATCGCTAAGCGACCTGTCAGCCTCTCCGGTGCCATGGTAACAGGCATCCCAAGGAGCTTATCAGGGGACGAGAACGAGACTCCGCCTGATTACCCATCACCCCCTACTCCTGCCTCAGCAGCCCAGCCCCCCACCGTGGACCCTGAGAGCAGCCCGGACACCAAGGGGGGGGCAGGTATGAAAAATGTATAAATTATAATAAAATATTTTAAGAACTATTTTAATAAATAAGTTATTCATGTTCAAACCTTCACTTTGGATCTGACTGTGATACTTGAAAGCAGACCCATCACTGAAGGGGGAAGGAGATTTCACATTTTTGAAGAGAGCTTTTTTAACTTTTTTAGAAATTTTATTAAACCGAACACATAGTGTATGTAGGACTGGGCGATATATCGGTATAAGAAATATATCAATATATTTTTAAATGAGATATGGAATTGGACCATATCGCTCATATCGATATACATATATCAGATATCAGCGCTGGTTTCAGGAAATTAAGAATAATCCCGGAAATATCGAGAGCTTTTTGGCTTCAAATCCGTATACAGGTGGTAGGCGGAACCAAGTTGTCCATAGTTTATACAGTCTATGCTTGTGAAGTGTCGTATTTGGCTTTGACTAAACATTTGCGCTCACTTTGTGAAAACAATATCAGGATATATATCGATATTCAGCCTAAATATATTGGGATATGCTTTTTGGTCCATATCGCCCAGCCCCCTAAGTGTATATTAACTTTTTGCACTTATTTTTAATATTACATCTACTCATTCTCATATTTCTGTACCTGATGTGTCTCTAGAGTTTTATTGCTCAGCCTTTAGTTCTTCATGTTGTTTGTTTAAAACATGAGAATAAACTGATAGATGATCATGCAGCTGGAAATATATAGTTTTATATTTTTAACCCCGTCCTGAACCTGAACTCTGATCATTTCTGCAGGTGTTCAGGTGAGAGAGGAGAGCATGGAGGGCTCAGAGTTCACCTCAGAGAGGACTGAAACACACACACAGATCAGCTGAGGGAGGGGTCAACAACCAGGACCAGTAGGACTGAAACACACCCCTCTGTTTATCACTTCGTCCTTCTTTTTATCACTCTATCCATTTGTCCATCTCTATCATCCCTTTCTTTCTCTCCATCTGTATCTTTTATTGGAGATTTAAATCGTCCAATCAGCTCTCAGAGGGATGCTACAGCTAGCTCACCAGCTTCTTCCTTTTCTTCTTCTTCTTCTCTCTTTTTTCTGACCAGCGTAGAGACCATTGCTATGAATCCCTCTGTATGAGGAAATCACTGTCTTTACATTTTAAAGTCACCAAAGCTGAATTTCAGCAGTGCTTTGAATGGGTTTGTTTTATTTTGTAATCTATGTTTTATTTATCGTTCTTTCTTTCCTCTACAACCAAATACATCTCACACCTTTTTTTAAAAATGAAGGAAAAAAACTGATTTGTTGCTAAAAGTGCTGAAAATACTCTTAACTCCTCTGACTGAGCGACGGCAGCAAAAAAGTAAAAAGTTACAGGAAAATTTTCAGAATGAAGAGGAATACAAAAAAAGGGCAGAGACAGTTCCCTCTTTAGTCTCTATAAGAGAAAAGGGAACAAGATAAAAACACAAAAATAAAAACTTTTGTATGTTTTTAAAAAACAGATTTCTGTCAGAGACGAAGGTGAGCTTCAAAAGTTCATGAGTCAAACTCTGAAAACTTCAAAACAGAAAAAACTCTGACGGAAAAACTTTCAGACAACCTTCATGAGAGAGGTCGTCTGTTAATGAAAAAAACAAGAGTGTGTGTGTTAATGTATGTGTGAATGTGTGTGTTAATCCGTGTGTGTGTGTGTGTGTGTGTGTGTGTTTTCAGGATGTTCTCAAGAGTAAAGCAGCATTCAGGAGCCTCAGCAGTCGATCTGTTTCAGTTTTAAAATGTGAATTAAAGTGTTTTTGAGTCGTGTTCAGCAGCTCACCATGTGCGTGTGTGTGTGTGTGTGTGTGTGTGTGTGTGTGTGTGTGTGTGTGTGTGTGTGTGTGTGTGTGTGTTGGCAAACTCAAAGCTGATTCTTTGCTTTAAACCTCACTCTGTTAAACAATTAAAACAGTAAAAAAAAAAGGTGAAAAGTTGAAATTATCTTTGTGAAAAATCATCATTAAATCATTTTATTGATATGAAGAATAAATAACTGTGTGTGTGTGCGTATGTGTGTGTTTGTGTGTGTGTGCGCTCAGCGTATCTGCAATAAATAAATGTTTCAGTGTTACATTCAGAGATTTAAAAAAATGTCTGATTTTAAATATTTTAACACCAAAATACCATTTTTAGCAGCCGGACCAACCTGACTAAAGGTTATAAAATATAAAAAATAAGAAGATATTACCGACGATGAAGAGCAGAAATGTTTAATGTATTTACATCTTTACTCAAAAACAATTAATACCTCAGAATAAAAGCAGAAATATTATCAGATTGACATCAGCAGATTTTAGCTCCAAGAGTTTATTACAGCGTCTTAAAATGTTCATATGAGCTACTAAATATCAGCTCAATCTAAAATGATGTCTCTGTAAACAAGGGTTTAATTCATGACTTTAAAATACTAATTATTACAAACGCTCTAAAGAGTTTATTCATTTAAAGAAGTCAATTTATCAGAGTAAGAAAACAGGAAATTAAAACATTTATAATTGTTATAGATAATTTAATTTATAAAACAAAATGTGAGCCACAGATTCAGACAGAAAAGATTTAAAATAATCAAACTCACAAAAAATATAAAAGAACCAGAACTGAAGCTAAAACTGGAACTAGTCTTAGGTCTGTCTGCAGCTGAATGTGGATAAATGAGAACATGCTCACATGTGAGATAGTTAACTGAATCAGCTGTGTGTGTTTCTGTTCATCTCATAGTTTACTTATCTGTATACAAACACACCCCTGAAAACACATGAATTAAGATTTTTTTTAAAAGTGTTAAAAACAACAGCATAAGCAGTTTATGTAAATAAGGGATAAAAAAAAAACTACCTGCAGCTCCTACAAAATAAAAGCAGGTTGAATTTTTTCATGTTTTACAAATTGAAGTTTGTCTGTTCTTCAGTAAAAGAGGATAGATTAAAAAAACGCACAAATAACCTGCTACAGGGCTCACAGTGTTTGACAAAATCTGTGTGAATGTGTGTGTGCGAATGCGTGTGTGTTTTACAGTGTGTGTGTGTGTGTGTGTGTGTGTGTGTGAGTGTGTGCATGCATCAGTCAGAGCTGTCTGCTCTCTGGTCCAGTTCCTCTCTCTCTTCGTCTCTTTCTCTAGTGAATCTTCAGTGTTCGTCGTCCGTCCGTCCGTCTGGTTGATAATGATGACGTCTCTGTTTCTTGGTGTTTCTGTATCTTGGTGCTCTCTGTATATAAATCACAGTAAATCCAGTTTTTATGAGCTCACTCTGACAGATTATCTCTGACTTTGTATGAAGAGGTTGTATTCTGTGATTTGTAATCCGAACGCTGTGTGTTTTTAACGCCTTTGGGGTACATTGAGCAGTTTTGTTAATTTTTTTTGAGTATTTTTTCTCTGTCAGTGGAGCTTGTTCAAACTACAGCTCAGTGAAAACGCCTCCCTGTCTGTCAGTTTGTGATGTTTGTGAGTCAAGAACAGGAAGGACTGGATGTTTGAACATGAATACATTAATGGGTCAGTATTTTCTCAGATTGTGTTCATAAAAGAGAAAAAAATGAGCGTCAGTTGAGTCGGCAGACCAAGTCCAGCTGAGGTTCCTCTTAAATACCTACTGGTGACTAAAACCTTTGGATTTTTACAATTTTTCTGATGTTAGAGTTTGTTTTATAATAGACTGAGATCTAAGAAAACTCACCGTAAACAGATGAATTAAAACCTAAAGTTTAAATTTCCCCTCAGGGATAAATAAATTTGGAGTGTTTTTACACCTTTTAAAGTTTATCACTAACCACAGCTGATCTACTGCTCTGTACGACTCATTCAGATCCTCTTCTTTAAAGATCAGAAACGTCATGGATCTGGTTTTCTATCGTGTTTGCTGTAAAACGTCACATTTTCAGTCTGTGTATTCAGACCTCCATCAGACTGAGCTGATGGAGACTGAGACTCTGAGCTGCAGACATCACTCAGTTTACAGTGTTTCTTTACTGGATAAAAAAAAAAAAGAGTCATTTTGGATTAACGTAAAATAGGAATTTAATCCAGTCCATGTCAGTCTTCTTGCTGGTGCTGTGAACTGGAGGTTCACTGAGCTCTGCAACTCAGAGATGTTTAAAATAAATCTGAACATTTAAACTGTGTGAGAGAAAGAGATGTTGTTCTGTACTAATGTTAACCTTCATGAAGCTTTTTCTAATATTGTGCAATCTCTGGCAGCATGATTGTGAATAAATTATCACGTGTAGATGACCCATTTTACATTTTTATGCAATAAAAACATTTAGAGAAAAAAGGCAAATGTGTTTTTATTTCTTTGCTGATTTTTTCAATAATTATTTGGCTTAATACAAACTCATTCCATCAAATATTTCCACACAGTGAGAGTAGTATTTGGGAAGTTCATATCAGTATGCACATTTAGTTTGTGTTAGCTTTGGTAAAAAAAAAACATGGAGAATATTTTTGATGTTACTCTAGATTTATTTGGAGTTTTCTTAACTTTGAATTGGAGGTTTAAAGGGTAAGTGGAAAATGGGAGAAAGAGACGGGAAATAAAAGGCGAGGAGGCTAAAATACAAAGAGCTGAAGGAGTGAACGAGACATCAACCAAAGTGAAGAAAACGGGCATGAAAACAGACCAGCTCTGTCAGAGTCACAGCAGTGATAGAGTGAGAGGAGATCACCATCAGGGACATGAATTTCTTAATAATAATAATAATAATAATAATAATAATAATAATAATAATAATAATAATATCTTACATTTATATAGCGCCTTTCAGGATACCTAAGGCGCTTAACAACACACTACAAAAAAAAACTAACTAAATACCAAAAGCCTGAATAAACAAGTGTCACTTCAGAGCAGACTTGAAAGAGTCAAGAGTCTGTGCTTGGCGAATCTCAGAGGGGAGAGAGTTCCAGAGAGGATTCTTCATGGAATTGCAATCAGACTGAGACACTCAGGCAGAATAACTACTGTGTCTGCAGTGCAAAATGATTAATATGGGGATTATTAATTCAAGGAAATGATGAAGAAACGACCATAAATGTTCTTCCTTGAGCTGCGTCACCCCACTGTAGTCCATAATGGACTGGTTGAGGTCTCACTACAAACAAGCGGCTGCTGGAAGAGAGTAGGTGAGTTGTGTTTCATCTCTTTGCTAAAATTAGGCAAAGTTAAAAAGATGTTTGGTGGCTAGTGCTGTGTCTGGGACCCTATATGTACTGTTGATGAAGTTAGGTGCTGTTCTGAGCTTTATTTGTGGCTATAGAGTGGTGCTTTGGTTGAGGTTTGTTTATGGCTCCTCAGACCGCTGTGTATTGTTATCCTGCGGTCGTTACTAGAGTTGGTATGACTGGAGAAGCAAGCGGTCAGCAATATTAATCTCTGGAGGGGATGTCTAACTCAGTGTTATGGTGTGTTTGACCCTAAATTAATTTTACGCTGGAACATCCTTTTAAGATCGCCTGACTAAAGGTAAATCTGACTGTCATCAGCATAATAAGTGAGTTTATCACCACACCTGAATCTGATGTGTTTGGACCTTCACAGACCACCCAGCAGGTCTGAGGGTCCCCCTGCTGCTGTTCAGAGAGACTGCAGGTATCTACGTCATGCTCTTTATGGTTCTAAACATGTTCGCAGGAAAAAAACTTCAACACTGAGACAGTTTGTCGTCAACATGAGACTTTATTCATCTGTGCTGCATGTTTCAGACTGAAGAATGAAGACTGAGTCTGAGGATTGACTGCAGGGAGGACATTAGTAAGGAGGGAGGGACGGGTCATCTTGTTGATGGGGTCCAGGTGGGCAGAGTTTACTGGTTGATGGTGGGAGGGTTTACTCGTACAGCCAGGGCTGGGCGCAGGGGGTGTAGGCGACGAACTCCTCAGCCTTGAACCACAGGTCAACCTCAATCTTGGCGTTCTCCAGGGTGTCGCTGCCGTGGATGATGTTCCTGATGGAGAGAGAGTGATCATTAGGATGTGATCATATACTGTCATCAGACTTTAACCATGTAAATAAAGCTGAAGGTGCGAGTACACCTGAGCTCACCTGCCGATGTTGATGCACAGGTCTCCACGGATGCTGCCAGGCTTGGAGTCAGCGGGGTTGGTCTCACCCAGCATCATCCTGGCCAGCTTCACAATGTTCTGACCCTCCCACACCTGTGGACACAATGACACACCTGTCACCTGTGGACTCACACTGATAGAGGCTATAGCTGATGATCAGATGAAACCTGATGGTCAGATTTAATCTTATAACCTGTTTACATTTGATAATAAGATTGATTTTAGAACACAATTGAATCATTTAATCAGATTTCATTTTAAAGTCAAACAATAGAATACAATTAAACCACATAATCAACATAATCTGATAGCCAGATGAAACCAGGATTGTTCAGGTAAAGGTTTATCACACTGAATAAAACAAAGTTCAGCACAGAGGGGAAATATGGGGAAATATGTTTCACTGTTTAACTTGTGAATCCAATGAAAATACATCTTACAGCAGAGTGAAATCTGACTATGGCTCGTTTAGCTTAGCATAAGTTAGCACAAGTTTCTGTTTGTAATTCCCGCCATAAAGACAATATCATCAGCAAACATGACCTCCACATCAACAGCAATGCTGATATTATATTTATTGTCTCAAAGCTGGTAAACAGAGTCTATTGCCGGAGAGAGACCGATGCTGGGAGTCTGAAGAGTGTATAAAAACCGTTCATCAGAAACACCTAAGAGAGACTCTGATCCGACCAAGTGTCCTTCTAGAGGTCATGACCTCTGGGTGAGAAAACGATACTGACTCTATAAACAGGGAGAGAGAGAGAGACAGAGACAGAGACACGGAGAGACCTTGAACAACAAAGAGGGTGTGAAGAGAGAACATGGACAGCTGGGTGAGAGAAAGAAAGAGAGAGAGAAAAAAACAGAGGGGGGGGTGTTTATGTTGATTAAATGTAGAGCGATAAAAAAAGAAAGAAATCTGTTAGAGTGTCAGAGATGTTCAGGGTGTCCATGTGTTAGTGAGCTGTACAACAGATTTTTCTGTGCGTGTGTGTTAGCGTTACCATGGCGAGGACGGGTCCAGAGGACATGTATTTGCAGAGTCCAGCGTAGAAAGGCATGTCCTTCAGGTCCTGGTAGTGCTTCTTCATGTGGTCCTCAGATGCCTGACAAACAAACACAAATTAACTTTTGGGTTTATTTTGATAATGAGACAAGAACAGTAACTTAACTTTGTTTGTTTGTTTTATATATAACTATGAAATATCTGATGAAAACTCCCGTTCACTACCTTACTTATAAACTGTAAGTAACAAAGTAATACAGTGTTTATTACACACCTTACTCTTGCTGAGTCCAAATCTGAGTAGAATTGATCAAATTTCCATCGTAATTTTATTTGCTGATGACTCTGATGTTTATTTGTGTTTGGTAAAGATCAAAACAGCAGCTCAGTTAGTAAAAGTCAACATCATATTCTGATTTCACATGAATACACAAGCTTTTTTAATGCAGAGGAAGAAATATAAACCTCTATGCTGATGATGCTCTGCTGTTTATCTCTGCCCCAACATATTTCTGTTTGGTCCAGTTCATGTTGTTTCTAATGTCAATTTCTGAGTTCATCCACATTTGTAGAAAGTTACTTTTAAATACTCAGACAGTGTGGAGTTTATTAAAACACACTCGCAGTGTAGGGATCAACAAAGCTAAACCCACGGCGTGGTATGACTGTGATGAGTGTGTGACAGTGAGAGAAGTATGAGTCCTTCAGGGACGATCAACAACTCAGCAGCTGACACCTCCTCGCCAAACACCTCCTCACCAAACACCTCCTCAACCCCCCTGACTCTTATTGGAGGAGTGAGAGAGGATTTTCTGAGTCACACTGATTTTTTTTCTTTACTGAGATGTGTCAGTCAAAAAAATATACTGTACACACATATATGTATAAAATAACTGTATTGAAACCCTGGTCCACCTGTCTTCATGGTTACCTGCATGAATTTGGCGGCAACCAGCCTGAAGCCTCTGGTCTCAAAACGCTTGATGATCTCACCACACAGACCTCTCTGGACGCCATCGGGCTTCACAGCAATGAAGGTACGCTCCATGTCGGCTGAGAGAAGGCTGTGGATACAAAACACCACAAAAGAAGAAGAAGAAAAGGTCCAATTTAAAATAAGGATATAATGACAAAAGGTAAAAAGTGTGTAAAGAACAAATTTAAAAACCTCATGGTCCATTTACAGCAAGAACAAAACATGCAGATATCACTGAGGATCAAAGAGGTCTCAATTTACTACCTTAGTTAATTAGTGTTTAAAGCCACGTGATGGTCTGAAAAATCATCAATAATAGTTACATCTATTTAACAATCTGTGAGAAAATGCCAGAAAGAAGGGACGGACTTTCACTCAGTTTCAAACAGGCATTAAGACTTCAGACCTGTATTATATCTAATGTCCAGCAGGGGGCGACTCCACTGACTGGATTTCTGAGATCACTCTGATCAGTCAAGGATGTCCAAGGATCCCTGGTTATATCAGCAGCATTTGCACTTTTCAGGAGTTCCATGTGATTGTTTTGTGTCTCACAGAGGTCCTGCTCATGTGTCTTATAGCCTGTAGGGATCACAGGTTTGTTTGTTATGTGTTACTCAGTGATTGTGGATGACAGCAGTCAGTATCACCTGCTGATCACCTGTTTAGTGTCTGAGCTTCATTACTCCTCATTACAGAGCTTCAGTCTGCTGGATGTGAAATCAGATCAGTCCTCTGAGTGTCTCTGGCAGCGTTTTCTTCTCTGTCAGCTCGCAGACAGCACTCAGTGAAAGATGACACTGGCTCAGACAAAGCTTCGGCTTTCTAATTTTACTGCCTGTTGGTTTCTGTTCATGTGAAGCTGATACCAGCTGAAAGCAGGTGGCTCTGGCAGGAATTCAGGCTGAGAGAGTGGAAAAAACCCTGACAGCTTCAGAGTGATGTTTCTGAGAGTCTAATTAGGGTTCAGGGTCAAAGATTCAGGTTCTATTCTGCTGACTAATCAAAAATAAACACTGTATGACTCCCTCTAGGCCCGTGAGGCCCTGTGACAGTGGACAGACGGACACTTTTTGTCCAGTAATGTCAGCTTAACAGCTTTGACAGCACTGATCAGATTTCTGCTCAATTAACTTTTAATAATCACTGCTCTCAAAGGATAATGGATGTAAATTCTAACACTGTAGCGCCATCTTTAGGCCAAAATCTACCCTCACCTGATTTTTTTTGATCGGCACAATGGAAACTCAGAGGATTTTAGATATGCAGCTAGTCAGACAGTTATCAGTAAAGACAGCAGGATACCTGACCAGGTACAACTGAGCCACGACTATTGACTCTCCGAGTCAGTGTTAACAATTGCTCCTCTGTCTAATTAACGCATGTGTATTAATGATCTGCTTCAACACGTAAACACTAAAAGCATCCACCCCTTTTTCGGACAATATGTCATCCCTGTCTGCTACTTTGAGTTAATAACTATCACACTATAATCTTTAAATCAGGTGACCTTGAAGTGACCTTGTAGTGACCTTGCTTTCACACTTTCACTCTGAGGGTTTTATGACTTTTTCATAATTTTCTTTGGTGTCCATTTGGTAAACCAAACTTTTAATATAAAGTTATTAGAAAATTCAGTTTGACAAGTATAGATTACACTAAATCACACATTTTTACAATTACAAATAAGAAAAACGTGACGATAACTTAAGTCAACATCAAACTCTGGCAATAAGATGTGAAATTGCAGACAGTTTAGAGAGTTCCTACATGTCCCTGAACTCAACAGCTGACCTTGACCTCTAAATAAGGAGGATAGCGTCCTGTGTGAAATAATTCATGGTATTTCGTTGATTTGCTCAGGACAGTGCAAATCACAAAAACAATTGTTTCAAATGAACGTAATAAATTATGTTAGATATATAAAGTACATACTATAGATGTTGGTCACATATAAATAAATCACCAATTGTCACTCTAACTCAGTCAGCACTGTGCGAGGCCATCTTTCAGCCAATCAGAAGAGGGCTTACTGGGAGGTGGAGTGTCAGCAGAGAGCAGCTGTTTGAAGCACATGGTACTCAGGGACAATTGTATCTAAACCTGTTTGTGTTTCAACTCTAATCAAACCAAAGACAACCAAACAAACCACTCCAAGTTTAGGAGAGTAAATATTTGCTTTAACCACTCCTTTTTGTTATTTTAATTATTAATCACGTCTCTGTATTTTTGTGGTTTGTGGTTGTGGCAATTGAAGTAGATGGATCTAAGTTCTGTTGAAGTTTTAAATCAGAGTCTTAGGTTGAAGTAGACGGATCTAATCTAAAAATCCTTCTGCAGAAGTCTGAGTCCTTCTTGGAGATTTCACTTTTCCACACACACGTTTGCAGTAAAATGATGATTTATGATCCTGTTTTCAAACAGTGATTAAAAAGAACAGACACCTGGTTCCTTTTTACATCTGAGCTCTAACTTTGAGGATTGACTCTGATTTCTCTGTGAGTGAATGTGAACTTGTATTTTGGTCCATGAATGCTCCATTCAGTTTGCAGCTGTCAAGCAATCACAGCAGGACAACCACGTGTTGATGCTGGGGAACAGATGGACACAACTTTCTCAAGTAAAATAAGACTGAATTTACTGTGCTTCCTTTCACTGCATCAATATAACCGAGTCATTTCAGAAATCCTAAGAGATAAAGTCAGAAATGAGTCTGCAGATGCTGCAGACTTACAGTAGAGACAACTGGTGGACAACCACTGATACTGATCGTGACAGTGAAGTAAGTTAGAGCAGCTGAGACAGAGACGGGGAGTTACAAATTTTCACTTAACTTTAACATTAAATCATATCTCTGAGAGGTGAAGAAAAGGTGTTTCTCATGGCAGCCTGTCCCTGAAGTATATAATCACAGGCTGACACTGCTGAGTGTCTCTGAGCTGCTTTTCTGGGTTAGATTTGATTTCAGGTGGTTTTAATATTTTTAAATGGAGAACTCACAATGTTGTGTGTGTGTGTGCGTGCGTGCATGTGTGCGTGCGAGCGTGTGTGTGTGAAATATCTACCTTGGTTTGGGGTTCAGGAGAACTTGTGAAGACGAGCAGCGGGGATGCGATCACCAAGGCCAAAGACTCGAAGAGGGGCTCTATTTAAAGGTTTACCGTGGGGGAGGGAACCAAAAAATGTGTGTGTGTGTGTGTGTGTGTGTGTGTGTGTGTGTGTGTGTGTGTGTGTGTGTGTGTACAGTATGAGTGGCTGCTGGTTGACAGATGTCCACAAACACAGCTTAATGTGTGTAGACTTGTGCTCTTGTCTTTCTGTCATTATGGGACCTGCCAAATTCTTCAAAAACTTCTTTCCAGACACCTTCACTTAGCGTCATATTAGCTTATACTAAGAGTCAATTTAACTTGCAGAATTGAAACTATTCATCTAGAATAACAAAATGGCTTAAAATCAATCTAATCTTTCTTTCATGTGGGGCTTTAAATTTAGTGATAGTGAAAACATGTCTAAACAAAAGTACTGGAAAGGAAGTCCAGGATTGATATTTTCTGAATATAGTTATATATTTTTGTTGGGCGTTAGGTCATTTGTATAAAGTTAGGACACTTTTACATACGAAAAATTTTAAAAGTTGTGGATGACTGGAAAAGTGAGAATATTTACAGAAGACAGGAAATTTATATAACCATTGCATCAATGTGTTTAAAAAATAAGAAGAAAGAAAAATATTTCATAAATAAGAAAGTTTTTGGAACATAAAATTTTGTGCCAAGGGAACTTTTTAAAAAATTAAACACTTGTTTCTAGAACTGAGGATGTTTGTGCGGTTTAGATCCATTAAAACATTGATGTGGACAACAACATCAGTTGGTCATCATAAGAAACAACAACTTTTGTACAGAGTGAGGACATAAGTTCAGAAGTTTTGTGAGCATTAAAAGAAATGTTTTTTTTAGAAATCACAATGTTGGTGCAAAGAGACGTTTGGGATGTCCGGAAAACTAAAGACTATTTTTTAAATGGGGACATTTTTGCAAAGTAAGTACAGTTATCTACAATACTGCACCAGTTCATTCACTTATTCTGGTGAAACCACAAAAACACTGGCATATTTGACCTTTTCTTTACCCATGGTTTGATTTGTACAGTCTTTAACCCTTTAATGTCTGAAACCACAAATTATGGCCAGAAAATTCCAATTTTCTTTTGGATCTGAAATGTTTATTTCACTAACTACTGAAAACCAAAAAAAAATCCTTAAAAATGTCCTTAAAATTTAATACATTAGATACATAAGATGTTTTTGGAAACTGATAAACCACAAGAGGACATTTTTATCATTTATCCGACTGTATTCACATTTTTTTTTTTTTTTTTTTGTAATTTGTTGATCATATTGATTTGATAGAAGTATATAAAAGTATGAATCAAATATGATACAAAAAGCAATAAAACACTTCAGTACTCATGATCCTCAAGGTGCATCTAGAAACTCAAAACCCACTTGTAGAGTCCACAAGGAAAGTACAGATACCACTCTGCAGGTTGTCAAAGCAAATGAATCCACAGTCAGCGTGAAGAGAAACAGAGAGATAAGCTAAAGCTGGCCATGCTATCTTTAGAGCCATAAAGCTCCTCTGCCCGATACATGAGATTCATTTCTATGTCTGTAGTGACACTCGTGTGAGGAACATGTAAGACAGGAGAGTCGGGTACATGGATGATACAGTGTTTCTGGCTTGTGTTTGGTGCGTTGGCTCCGACCGGGTCCTGTCAGCACAGCCAGGTCTGATCCTCAGTCACCTGCTGCTTCACTCAGATACCAGCGTCTAAATTTCCTGCTGTATCAGTCTGTTCATCAGTCCAACAGACAGAGAGACAGCTGAGAGTTTCACACCACCACACCGAGTCAAAAGGTCAAACATTTAGCTACAACAAGCTTTATCTCGTTTAAAAAATGCTCTGAATAAACTTCATTATGCTTGTTCTCCATGAAATGACTCATTAACAGTTTCTGTGTCCATCATCAGCTCAGAGCTCTGCCTAAAAGCTGAAATATTTGTGTGCTAGTGTGTGTTGAGACAAAAAAAGCACAGATCTGATCAGATCGGTGGAGTCAAGAGGGGTAACATCCCGAAATTCTTTAGGTCAGTTTCTCTTCTTCGCCGATGATCACACAGCAATACAGGGGGCCTCACTGAAGGGGTGGGGCTTATGATTTTCATCTATGTCTTAATTTTTGCTGTGAATAACCTGATTTCAGACAGTAAAGGATGAACAGCCTCTCACCTCTGTCACAAACTTACAGATATCAATAAGTTTGGTGTTTTTATGCCAAACTAAGAGGTTTCACATTTTTTTGATGAAGGTTCTGGATTCACAATATAAAGATTTCTTCACGTCGCTCCAAAACAGAAAGATACTTAAATATTTTCATCTTGTCTTTTTAGGGATGATGGAAAGGAGAAAGTGCCGCATGCCTCTCTAAAACAACCAAATGAAGGAGGGTGGGAAGCAAATGACATACTTGAGCAGCAGTGATTTACCTCAAACTCTTTCTTTAAACTCTGATGTTTGTATTTTGATTCAAGTGTGATGGAGCGTCTCTTTATCTGAAACTTTTTCCACCATCCTGCTGTTCAGTCAGCAGGTGTGATGTATTATATAAAGGAGGCTCTCATTGGCACCTGTTACATAAGACCTGAAATTAGACTGAAACACTCGCACACACACGACTGCTGCCATGCAAACTCCCTCCAACTCTCTCCACTATACGTGTCTTTAATCTGAAGCGCCCTCCTTCACCCTTCCCCCAAATTTGACCCTAAATATAAACCTTCTCCTAATCAGGGATGGAAACCGGTCCTCTCTGGGGGGCGCTGGTGTGATCTGAACTCCTGAGGGGGGGGGGGGGGGCAATGGTCCAATCTGAAGTCCTGAGAGGGAGGACAAGGACCCTATCAGCTTTAATTAAAAAACAACTCCCCTCTCATGCACACACTCTAGATTTTTAACATATTACATTGCAAGAGTTTGGACCACAGAAGTGTACACCATCACAGCCGAGTGTTTCTGCAGTTAACGGACCTGATTTACAAGAAGACTGCTCCATATGTGCAGGAATAACACCAACGTAAATAATAATCATAAATATATGGACAATGACTGATGTATACATGCAGGAATGCAATCATATTGTGTCGATGAAGATTGCTGAGTGAGTGCATTGTCTCTTAATCGGAAGTTCAGTGTTTGATCTCAGGTCTAACTGTCCAGATGCTGAAATATCTTTAGGAAACTGACCCCAACTCTCCCCCCAAATCTAATCCTAAAGCTAACACACTGACATCCACACCACCCCCTACTGATTGAGTCCGGCTGTGTGTAAATAAGATAAGTTTACAGTCAACTGCCACATTATTAGGTACACCTCGTGAATAGTACTGTTTTACTGTCAGAACTGCTTTAATTATTCAGGGTGGACTTTCAACAAGGTGTTAGAAACATTCCTCAGAGATTTTTGTCCATTTTATTTTGATAGCATCGCACAGGAGCTGCAGATTTGTCAGCTGTTACACTACATCCCAAAGGTGGCCTATTGGATTGAGATCTGGTCACTGTGTAGGCCAATGGAGTACAGTGGACTCATTGTCAGGATCGAGGAAACTACGTAGACCAGCCTGTCTGCCAAAAGGTGTGGTAGGCAGGATTCCATTAAAGAAGCATCTTTTTTGTGGTGTATATACAAAAAAGCTTTTAACATCAGTCAATAGTTATTGATGAGATTTGGTAATACTATGATATCGCTGTGTTTTGTTATGTCTGTTTAGTAAACATTTTAAATTTTTTGAGCGGCCCGCTCTTTCTGACTGTAAACGAAACCATTCTCCGCCTGGTTGTGAGGCAGACGCTGCTCCCTCATGTCGAGAGGCACACTCCACATCATTGAATATCATTCACAAGACCAAACAAAGTTAGCGTGCTACAATTTTAGACAGTAGAAACCAACCAGAAAGTACGGAAAATTGTCTGAATCCTCCTTTAGCCACAACTGCCGACACAAGCAAGAAAACAAAGTAAATACCCGAGACTGTGGTGGAATAACGGCGCTTAAAACAGAGGTAGACCTGACAAGAGCTAAAAAGCAGGGTCAATGGGGGACGCTTCATGATCTTACGGACTCTGTAACCTTTCTGCTGGTCGGGTGAACCGCTTTAACAAAGTAGGCCAAGTGTTTGTAATAGAAGTTACAAAAGGGACCTGCTGCGTGTCGTAGCACCACTAAACCGTTTACCTCGGGTCCTGGAGTATGTCACTTTATCCTAGTTGTAGAAGTCCGGCAAATATTGTGTTTGCTGGTAGACATTTACAGTAGCACCAATGCTTCTCATTTTTACGTTGACTGGGCTCCATTTGTAATTATCTGAAGTATTTATCTGCATTATATCTGAGTTTAATTGAAACGATACGAGCGAGCAGGAGCATCTGTTTGTGGGCGGGGCTTGCTGAAGCAGAGAGGGAGGGGAGAGGAGGAGCTGAGGTGAAAACTGGTTGGGAGAGGTAGAGTTTACATTCAAGATGTCTACCAAAAACTGACACTTCCTCAGATCCTGCCTACCCCACCTTTTAACACCCTTTCTTCTCCATTCTGATGCTCAGTTTGAATTTAAGCAAGTTGTCTTGACCACGTCTACATGCCTAAATGCATTCAGTATCTGCCATGTGATTGGTTGATTAGTTGTTTGTGTAAACAAGCAACTGAATAGGTGTACATAATACAGTGGCTGCTGAGTGTATACTGAGAGCTGTACACGTTAAAGACTTCAGAGTGGTAGGAAGACCATAGACAGACAAATATAACCACAGTACGAATCTGTTGTGTGTTTTTGTTTCGTGCTCATTAGCTAATGTTAGCATGTTAGCAGCTTCTGCTCACAGAGGGAATGCAACTCTGTCTGTTTGGATTTATTTCTCCATGTTTCTCTCCCTTTAAGCTCCCACAGTAACAATAATTCTGCAGGACCATCTGTCACTCTGTCCAAATGCAGTGGCAGCTTTTCGGCTCTACATCTTCATCAGGCATCAGGTTTTACCCGATGACAGTCCAGTACTGAAAAACTGCCAGTGTTTATTTACTGCCACTTACAGAAGGTATGAAAGAATGCTCGTAAAATTTGATGGATTAATTCCTCTCCTACCCACTGAATGAAATACAACCATGATTCAATAACAGACAGTTGGTTTGATGGTTTGTAAATCATAAAAAGTCTATTTTTAACTAAAAAGCAAAGATGTAAATGTTGTTAGAGGGACAACTGTACAGGTAAAAAGTTGTGTTATCTACCAAGTAATGAGGTAAATTTACAAATGGTTCGTAAAATTTCTACTTTCTAAACTCCAAGTGTTCACGTGTGAAAGCAATCATGTTTGTTGACTGGAGGTGTATCAGACAGTTCGTGTTTCAGGTGAGAGTGAAACAGACTCAGTGAGACCCGGGCTGGTTGTTGTTGTTGTTCAGAGGTTTTATTTCAATGTCTGTAACAGCAGTGTGTGACAGCAGAGGGAGCAACGAGTCCAGAGGAGGCGAAACCAGACCCACATCCATCCAGAGAAAAAACTTCAGCAGAGTTAGAGCCAACATTTCTATAAAAAATTAGTCTGACATCAATCTGATCAGCCGAGGACACTGAAATTAAGCTCATGTCCTAATTTTTAAACTTCTTGTATTTTTGTTTCCTTGTATTTGTGGTTCTTCTACAGTCCAACAGTAACTAAAAGGTATTTTCAAGGACATTAATTTGATATTAATAAAATATTTAAGACATTGATATCATTACCTTAATTTTTTTGATAATATGGGCTTTACCGATCTCAGTCACCTGAAAATATAATCTCTTCCTGAAATTCACTCCACTCTTTTTTCTCTTTTATCAGTTCAGTTTACATTTCTGTGACTCCTCCCCTCCTGGCCCCGCCTCCTCCTTGGCCTCTGCTCCAATCACATCGCCTGTCTGACGTTCACAAAAATAAGGACTCGTATCGATGTAAACAACCAATTCTGTACAAAAAAAAGGAACAACCCAAAGCTTCAGAGAAACGAACAAAAAAAAACAAATAAAGAGATTCAACTGTACAATTCATCAATTCATAAAGTCATCAGTTCATAAACTCATAAAGTCAACAATTTATAAATTCATAAATTTATCATTTAACCAGTTCATCATCATTCCTGTTTGTCTGTCTTCGCTGTACACTTTCTCTAACTGTACAAATAAAAATCATCCAATGAAACATTACACCGTTGTTAGCATCGTTAGTGACATTAACGCCGTTAGCTTGGCGTTAGTGTCAATAGCATCATTAGCCTGGCTCTGTTTCTGCTCGTACTGAAAATAGACTCTCGGTTAGTTTTTACCTATTTACACGGCCAATTTATCTACACTTTTTCATTTCCCTTCAGGCGACTCGGCGCACAGCCTTGACCCCAGAGACCATCGCCGTTGGAAATTATGAACCCCAGCCGCCCTCAGGCAGAACTCGCGTTGGTCAGTATGGTTTAAATGTCCAGTCAGATGAAGTTTGGACCGAGGATGCCAGTTTCTGCTGAGACCTGCTGTGGGATCCATAATGACGCGCCTGACACCCAGGAAGTGGTCTGAACTAGACCACCGCCAAATGCCTCGAATTCAACAAGACCTCAAATGGCGAGGACAGAGTCTGAAAACATTTACAGTCAGATTTCTTTATTGAAGAAGTACAACCAATAAAAACGTGAATAAATATTAATGTTTGTCTGACTTCATGCTCGTCTGGAAATTTAGTTTCACAGAGATGATTTTCAGACTCTGGGTAAGGACTGAGGTCTTACTGAATCAGAGGAGATTTGCAGATGATTTCCCGTCCAGAAACAAGCGATTCAAGTCTTTTTTAGGGTCTGTAAAATTTCTGACCAATATGAACTCCAATCAGAGATTTTCTGCTTTAAAAAAAACAACAACTTCATAATAAAAACACCACCATACAGACTGTTCCTGTAAATATATTATCAATATCATCACATGAAAAACACAAAAAACCTTAAATATTAGGATAACTGTGAGTTAAAGAGAGGCTGAAAATCTCTGCTGATGGACTTTAGTCATGTGGTCATATATGCTGGGCGGGGCTAATACACTGTGATTTTCAAAGTAGGTGTGGTCTGAACACTCTGACATCACAGTTGGGTGTGGCTATAGACATCGGATCAGAAAGGTTCAAACATTTCACTCTGTGTTCGAACTAAAAACTGATGAAAATAATTGAGTTCATGCAAATCATGTTAAATATTACTTGACCTGTTCTGATGTGACTCGGTAAAGACTCGCCCTGCTCTATTGTGACTTGGTGAGGACTCAACCTGATCTAATGTGGTTTGAATAAGACTTGACCTGTTCTGTTACTTGGTAAGGACTTGGACTTGTTGACTTGTTTCTGGGCGGGTCGTTCCCTTCAAGCTGTTTATGGTACAAATGAAAACGCAAACTTATCACAGAAAATGTTTCCAAAAAAATTTTTTTTTTTTTTTTTTTTACATCTGAAAGTCCATTTTTATGAACACTTTCATTTAAAACAGAAAATCAAAAAATACCTTAATGACAATCAACCAATAAACAGGAACAAATTCAAGTTCATGAAAAATATCAGATAAAAATATTACACTCTTTTCATGACATCTCAACACAGTTAAACTTTCCAATATATTACTTTTTCTTTTAAATTAATGGTCAAACTTTTTGATTTTCTAAGTAAAATGATTTTGGCCAAACAAGTTATACTTATAAAGTTGACATTACATCCTAATCTTCAAACTTTTTTCTGTTTTTCTCTTTCTGTTGTTAAAATCTTTCTGAGCAGCTGGAGATGTTTTTAGCTGTAGATTTAATATGGCAATACTATGATGCACTCTAAAACGAAGTGTGTTGAATTTGCCCAATGAAACTCTTTTGTGCACTGTAGAATAAAAAGGTTTTACAATAAATCATTTTGTCTGGAGTTAGATCATTATCGCGGGTTTTAAGTTTTCAGGGAATTTAAAAAGAATAAAATAAAAAAAATGTCCCCCTTCTTATTTAAAAGCTGAAATATGAAACAATGTCAAACAGCAGAAGTCTTCAGTTCAGATCTTCGCTGTAAAAAAAGTAGCTTTGATTTGACCTCAGATAGATTAACTTTACATTAACAGGTATTTGTTACAGTGCAGTCGGCTGTAAATCAAAGTTTAGATGGTGAAACAGCAGAAAAAAAACAACACGACGAAAGAGTTCAGTAAATATGACCCCCTTGCAATCAGCTGTACAAACACAGAATCAGTCAATCAATCAACCAGTCAATTAATCAATCAATCAATTATTTACTCAACCAACCAATCAGTCAATCAGCTGATGCGGACTCCAGCTGAGCCCGACAGAAGAAGAAGAAAAAGCGTAAACTAAACCTCTCTGAGTCTCTGAGCCCTGAGGTTTGGCAAAGTGCTTCGTTGCGGTGATGAGTTGACCAATCAGCTTCACTTCCTGTTATTGCCTCAGACCCTCGAACCCGCCCATCGATAACCGACCAGAAGCCGGGCGGCTCTATGGGCGGGATCTGGTCCTTCCTTAACGCTGATTGGTTGTTGAGATGTGACGCTGAGAAGATTAATGTGTTCCTCTACTGTGATGTCATCCTGTAAACAAAGCGGATTGGCTGCTTTCTGCATATCTGTCCAATCAGCCTCTCTCTATCTTAAATGGGCAGTTTATGGCTGTGTCCGAAATGAATCACTCAATCCCTAACCCCCATATAGTTAATATATAGTTAAGCTATATAATTAACTATGTAGTGAACTCAATTACCGGAGGTTTTGGACACTACATGGCAAGACGCAATGCATGACGGGATGCTCGCCACCTTTGAGTGACTATCGGATGGTCACTACATTTTGCAATGCTTTATGGGAAATTTTGGGTCACTTATATTGGGCACTGGAATTGATCACTGAGGTTTCGGACACCCCTCAAAATGGCGCCAACCCCCATGTAGTCACCTATATAGGGGTTAGGGATCCATTTCAGACACAGCCATTGTTTGTTTTTGTATGTTTGAAACCATTTAAACCAAAAACAGGTTGTTCTGTCAGTTCCAGATTTTATAAAAATGACTTTTTAGTCATTTAAATCGGGTTTAAATATCACCTCCACAAAGAAATCCTCCAATATTCACCTCCATTATTAGTTAAATATTAGTTTAATTAATTATCAGTTAGCCCTCTTCGAATACGCAGGATGTTTTAATGTTTAAGGGTAAGATCATTAGCTCTCTCTAGTGGACAGAGCTGGTATTTAACACCACAGGGACTTAAATTTTCTTCAATTTTTATGAACTTATTTCATAAAATACAAGCTCAAATTAAGATAACAGAGGACATATGAACCGACTAATGTGGAGACACCTAGGGCTGTATGAAAATAAATAAATATCAACACAAACAAACTTTATCGTAAAGATAAGAATCCTGTTTTAGTTTTTTTTTTTTTTGTCAGGGTGAACACGCTATGTGGTAAACTGTGGATTCAAACATACAAAAACAGAGGACTGCTCCTTTAAAGAGAGTTTTCCTGCTGTCCTGTAAAGACAAGGTGAATCTTTAAAATCCCAAAATAAAAAACAGAAAACGTCTTCAGATCAGGATTGATAGAAAAAAAAAAACAGAATCTACAACTCTGATCCAGAAACTCCTTAAACACCTCAGTCATGTGACCGAGTCAGAGAACTCACCGTGACCATGTCTCAGAGTCGTTTGGTCCTCATAGACGTGGTCACATGGTCGGTGGATGCGTTGTCTCTGTGTCAGTCAAAACATGGAGGAATCAGAGTGAAGAGTCCTGATCTGAGTGTGGGAGGTCAGAGGTCAAAGGTCAGCCTGAGAGCACAACACTCTGGAGTAAACCACAACCAAACACACCTGTGAGTGCGGAGACAGGTGAGTCAAGACAGGTGGATCACCTGGTCCACTGAGTCTGAGAACATCCCACAGAACTCAAGAATCACCTGCTCTAACCGCTTCCTGTGGAGGTTTAACGTCATGTGACCTTCTGCCGAGACGGTCCCATGATCTGTTGCTGAGATGGTCACATGACACATTGGCCGTTTTTCTGTAGAGACAGTCTGAGGAAAGATCCTGGAGAACAAAACCTTGATGATAACCTGTCTCCTCATCTTTTAAGACAGATACGTGTATAATCTGTCGGATGAGTATGTTATCTATCAGGTCAATGCATAATCTGTCAGATGTGTGTATAATCTGTCAGGTGACTATGTTACCTATCAGGTAAGCATGTAATCTGTCAGGTGAGTGTTTGTTGACAGGTGAATACTTGCATTAGTAAATGTGTCTTCTCTCCTCTTAAAGCAGCGGGGTGTCCCTGAATAATCACGGTTTCCTGTTACTGAGTGGTCTGACGTGAGGTTGCTCTAAGGTTGAGGCTTAGACGTCCAGGTTTCATCAGGTTTGGGTGAAATCTCACCTGAGGACTGCTTCGTCTTCATCCTGACATGCAGCGGTGAGCAGAGACTGAAGCAGCAGTTTGACAGAAAATGATTTTTCCTCTACAGACACGGACGAAACTGCTCGTTTTCTGTGTTTCCTTTTTCTTGTTCTGCATCTCTGCAATTTCTGGATGATTAATCTTCAGCTTGAATTAAAGATACCGTATGTGGGCAGTGTTGAGCAGAGTGGCCAACAATCAGACTAAACAGAAGAAGAAGAAAACAGTGCCATACTCTTGTGATTTAAGGCTCCGCAGGTTGAATTTGTTTTCTCTGCCCGCTGTCATGTGACCTAGAGATGATATGACTGGTCTGTTTTCCAGTCAGTTGACCCGCTGCAAGTCAGGAAGATTTTCAGTCTGTTTTCAGATTTTCCTCTCCAACAGAAACGTTCTCCAGAATATTTAAATCTTCTAATCCAAGGACCCAAACGACATCTCCATGCCCTGAATTCTCCCTCATTGCTAACATCAGCGTCAACATCATAATCATTGTCATCGTCTTCCTGGGTCTAACACACAACTTCCAACCTGTTGAGGAGTCAGATGTCTCCTTTGTTTCCTTCTTGAAGTTTCATCCATCAGACCATCAAAGGTTCAGACTCAGGTTTCAAATTCAGGTATCTGTTTTCAGGTTTCAGTTTTTAGATCCCATGTTCAGGTTTCAAACGTAGAGCTGCAGCAGGATGAAGACGATCCAACTGAAACTCTTGAGCTGAAAACAAATCCTGCTGAGTTCAGGCTCATCCAAGTGTGTGAGGCTGCTGATGGAGCGAGGAGATGAGGAAACAAGGAGGTTAAGAGACAAGGAAAGGAGGATAGGAGGATAGGAGGAGATGAAGACAGGAGGACAGTATGGGAAACCAAGTATAGTGTGAAGAAGAGGAGGAGTGTTTGAGTTTGTTGAATCTGTCCTGAACCTCCTCCAACCTTTTGTTTCAGTCGCTCTGCAACCAATTACTCAAAGAAAATACGCCAATCTCCTCCCTCCTCCTTCCCTCTCCTCCTCCTCCTCCTCTTCGCCCTCCTGTCTTCCCCTCTACGTGTCTTTGGGCTCCAGCTTGCAGGACATGTCAAACAGCAGGTTCTGGTTGTCGATCACCTGCAGCTGTCGGACATAAGCCTTCGTCTGCAGGTGGGAGGGGGACGTTTCTGTATCCATGGCTACCAGATGACACAAGAATTAGAGACACAAACATTGAGGTCAGAGATGGTCATCAATCAGTCATTAACCAACCAACAGACACAGAGAGAGCAGAGGTGCAGTAACAAAGGCAGAGCAGCAGGGGGAGACAGAGCTGCAGTTTCACATTCTGAGTCTGTGTGTGTGTATGAGAGAGAGAGAGAGAGAGTGTGTGTGTGTGTGTGTGTGTGTGTGTGTGTGTGTGTGTGTGTGTGTGTGTGTGTGTGTGTGTGTGTGTGTGTGTGTGTGTGTGTGTGTGTGTGTGTGTGTTTGTGTTTCTTACCCAGCTGGCTGCTCCTGTACCGTCTGATGACTCTCACCATCTCTGCCACTTTATGCTGCAGGAGGAGGAGGAGGGAGAGGAAGAGGAGGGGGAGAGAAGTGGTGTGAACAGACAAAAGTAAAATGTGTCAGAACTATTTTTAGCAGAGGGGTCAACTGATCAGCAGGGGGTCAGGTGATCAATAATGACATATAAACTGATCTGTGATCAAATACTCACCATCTTCTCAAAGTTGACCAGCTCTCCATGAAACGTCTTACAGCTCTCATGGAGGAAGGTCAGATCTGAGCCAGACGAGAGACAGGAAATTAATCCATTTAATCATCAATAAACCAGATATTTAATAATCAGATTATGTATGAAATAGAGTACTTATTCATTGTTTATTGATTTATCATATAATAAACTAACCAAAATATTTAATTGACATGACATTTGATAAACTGGATAATTGATTCATCAGATTAATTAATCAGATTATTAATATACCATATTGTTATTTAATCAAAATATACATTAATCAGATTATATATAAAATATAGTACTTATTTAATAGTTTATTCGTTTATCATATAAATAATCAACCAAAATGTTTAATAAACTGGATAATTGATTCATCAGATAAATGAATCAGATTATTGATAAACTAGATTGTTATTTTATCAGAATATAAATTCATCAGATTAATAATAAACCAGAATAATATTTTATCAGAATATAAATCCATCAGATTATATATAAAATAGAGTACATATTCCATAGTTTATTATTTTAACAATTATTAAATCAACCTAAATGTTTAATAAACTTGATGATTGATTCATCAGATAAATTAATCAGATTATTAATAAACCAGATTATTAATTTATTAGAGTATAAATTCATCAGATTAATAATAAACCAGATTATTATTTTATCAGATTATTGATGAAAAAGTCATCTAAAATCCTTTTTTTATCCTCTCTGTTTAATGATAATAAAATATTCAACATCAGTTTGATCACAGTCTGTCAACACAGACTACTCTAGTATTTTAGCTCTATGCTCCTGACGCAGAAACTGACCACCACTTCAGTTTCACCGTGTGACCACAGGGGGCCGCAGAGAGACACCTGACTGCCTTTCTCACTTCTTCTTCTCCTCTCCTTATTTTAACCTCTTTTTCTCTGCCATCCAGTCTCTACGGATATGTTACCATGGAGACAGAGCTCAAGGCTGCACACACGCACACACACATAGACACACACCTGCACTCGCACTCTATTCCTCTTTTTCATGTTCAGTTTGAACAGACCTTAAGTAAGATTACTGCGCACTGTGTGTGTGTGTGTGTGTGTGTGTGTGATATATGTGTGTCTAGCACAGGTTGGCATAAGGCTAATTAGCCAGAGGTGATAATTAGCAGAGTGGAGCTAACGTGCTAATATGCCGCAGCAGCTGGGGGTTGGAGTCTGATGTTGTGTTCACACCAAACGTGAATAAAATCCTCTCCTCTATTAATATGCGTGTACCCGGACACACAAATGTTGTGTGTTTACTCGCTTAATTTGCGTGAATGACTCGCACCATTCACATGTTTATAGTGCCCAAACACACATGAAATTGTGAGAGAGGAGAGAAAGAGAGGAGGGGTTCCAGCATGTCAGGTCAGTCTGTTTAATGGAGGTTAATCCTGTTTCTCACTGAATGACTCCCTGCCGGTCTGTTGGTGACATACTTCAGCAGGAAATCTCCATGCTGATTGGCTATCGCAGTGGAACATTTGCTCGAGTTCAGATTTTTCAACTCTTGCAAAGAAGAGCAGAGAAGCACGTCTGACGCATCGCAAATATGTGTCAATCGGGCATATCACCTGCTTCATTCTGGTGAATATTTTTTCTTAATTTGAGCAACTTGCGCATCCTTATTTGTGTCATTTGCATTGCCCGAGCAGAACGTGTATTTAACCCCGTCTCTGCATTTCCTTTACATATAATTCACTTGCGCAAAAGATTTTATTCACATTTGGTATGAACGCAACTTGAGAGAGTAAACTCGGGATGATTAAATGATCCAAAGCTGATGATCAGTGATCAGCTGATCAGTTTTAAAGGGTTTCAGACCCTAATCAAAGGACAGTGAGGAGGAGGAGGGTGAGGACTGTCCTTCAACTTAGATAATAATAAGGAGGTAAAAACAGGCTCAAGTGGGTATATATTAAGATCATGAATCCAAACTGTCTCTTCAGTTAATCTGGTCACTGGTAGCCAGGTGTGTTCTCACCTTTGAGCAGCAGGGGGGTGAAGGGGATCAGCGGGGGTCTCAGACTGGTTATCAGGTCCCTGTAGGACTTGTGGTTCCTGGACGGGTCCTGTAGTAAAGATGAGATTACAAAAGTGTTTCTGTTTTAAAGAGAGCTTAGACTGATCAGCAGAAGCAATAACTCTGAGTGATGTGATAAATAAATCATGAATAATATACAGCAATATTATAACTATATGACAGAGTGATATTATATTACAGAGTATACTGTTACTATATTACAGCGTTATATAATTATTACATGATAGAGTGATGAAATTAAAGCATCACTGTGCAGTTTTCTGTTTTAATGGCAAACTTGCTTTAATCGAATGAGCACAGAGGTACTTCCTCTGGATCATTGAGTTGGTGAGGTTGCTCTTTTGTTCACACAGCTCAGTGATGACAGCTCCTCTGAGTCTGAAGGTTTCGGTTTAAACACATTTCACTCACCGCAGTGCTCTCAAACTGCTGGAACTGCTTCCTGAACTTCCCCGGCAGACCCTGAATTCACACACAAATACACACATTATTTCAACATGAAATATAAGGGAATATGACAAATGTGTGATTCCATCAGTGAAGTAAACTAACGGGTGTGTTTACCTCCCAGGTGAGCCTGAGTCTGCTCACAGCGGGATTATCCAAACCCAGAACCACAGCCAGAAAGGACAGCAGGTCCTGCTGCTGCTTACAACTGGAATACACAAACACACATACACACGCATCAGCTGTTACAATGCAGCCTGTTTGGTAGCTACAGCATCGATTGGTCAATTTGAAGAACTGTGACAGAGTTGATTATTACATTTTGTGAACTGACTCCGTTACTGTCTATCCCGGGTCACCAATACTGAATTTACTGTCTTTAAGCCTGTGAACACTAGGGGCTCTATTTTCGTGCGCGCCGGTGAGGCGGCGGAGGGCGGCGAGCCCCGCGCAGTTGTATTTTCGTCTGGCGGAGCCCAGCGTAAGGCCAATTTGGTATTTTCGTGGCATGAGCCGCACGGAGGCGAGCCGAGATCCGCCAAGCTGGGCATGGTGGTGTGGCAGGGGGAGGTGTCGACAGAATCAGCAGGCGCAGTGACATTTTCGTGCTCGCCACCGGCGTGTAAAGTGCGCTGAAAGCTCGCCGATTCAAACCTGGTCAGCTTTCAGCGCAAGGCGGAACGCAGCTGGTCTAGTAGTATTTTGGTAGACCGGCGGCGTATCGACATATGTCACTGATGCCTCACCGGTAGGTTTCCACAGTGTCAGGCACATTTCAGTGCAATAAATAATCATCATCAACTATTAATCTGAGTCAGCACATACATTTGGATCTATATAGATATATTCTGATCTATATCTGATCTGATGAGCGCGTTTGGCACGCGTTTGGACACACAACCTGACCGAATCAACACAGCTGAAACCGCATCAAATTAAATTAAATATCTAGTAAATAAACACACATGATGAAGTTAACTCGATATGTAATTCGTCTCCCTCCTTTTCTTTCTTCCTCTTCCTCTTATTTCTCGCACAGCTCAACCTGGACAAGTCTCCGTGCCCTCTGTCCGTCTTGCTGCTGCTGCAGCTGAACAGATGATTTGTTTCAGTGCTCAGATGCGTTATCTACTTTAAGCCGACATACGGATATTATAATATTCGGTTTTGTGAGCCAAATTTATTCTATATGCCAACATCTATGAAAGAAAGAGCCAGGCCACGGAGCGTGATGCGTCATTTACGCACAGATGGTTCCGATTTTTATGCCATTTTTGGAGTTTATGTTGTGATCTGTGCGCTCAACCCACCTTTGTCACGTGAGGTTTGAATATGAGCAACTTTATGTGAGTGTCTTTATTTGTGGAAAAGGGTGTTTGTCTTACCACTGGGTCCAACATTACGCGCACTAAATCCATCTGTGCTCATATGAGAGAGTGTGGAGGACACTTGTTGAGGAGCTGCCCTCTGTCGCCATCTTGTGGCATTACTGTCTTAAGACATCTCTTGATCTCTTTGACTACTTCATGAAAATAGTAATACGCCTCGCCTGTGGCGGATTTAAAGGCAAGGAGAGGAGCCTATGTGATTGGTGAAAACAGGTCTCGGCTGTGTTAAACCCACTAACCGCCCTTTCTCCTCCCCGTCTACGACTTATGGTGCTGGGAGGAGCTGAGTTAGGGAGGGGGGATACTTACGCCGGGCTGCGCGGCTCACCAAAATACCAAAATGTGCTTGGGAACGCCTTGTCAGCGCGGTGGATCTGACTGACGCTGCGCTTGCGGCAGGTCTCCGGCGAGGCACCAAAATAGAGCCCTAGGAGTCCAATGAAAGGTGATACACCTCACCTCACAACCTCTGTCATAAACACTGTTGTCTAGGCACCCATCTATATGTTAATAAATTCTACAACAAATGCCTAATACTCCACCTTAATAGCATATGTACAGAAGGTATGATTCAGGCGAATCACAAATCTGTTCACAAGTGCATAAATGTCATATTGTAGATTAATCTTAAGTATTAATTCTATACATTTATTATAAATTCAAATCACTGTGTAGCATAAATGTCTGAACTTTATTTTGAAGGTACATCAGTGTTCTTACTTTGCTGTTTTGCATCAGTACAGTTTAAACTTTAAATATGACCGTGATAAACTCAGTGTACTCGTCAAACTAATGAAGTTTATTTCTTTACAGTTTATTCCTTCATGGGAAAAACCATCAGGATTAAAACTCCATCCATGAACACATCTGTAATTTTAACAAGCAGCTATAGAGGATATAGATAGAAATAATATTTGGGATATAAATATGGATGCTATAGATTTACAGGATATAATATAGAGGGTATACAAATAGAGATATAGAGGCTATAAACATAGAGGATATAGATGTAAATAATATTCATGAAATAGACATGGTAAGTATATGAAGTATATGAGGAAAATGGATATAGAGGATATAGACATGAAGGATGTAGATGAAGGATGCAGATGATATAGATGTAAATGATATGGATACAAAGTATACAGATGCAGAGAATAAGATACATAGGATATAGATATAGAGGATATACTCCAGAGGATGTACTGTAGTTAAAGAGAGTATAGATGTAGAGGATATAGATGCACAGGATAAAGATAGAAGCCAATTTCAACAGCATATGAGTACACCAAGTGTGCCTGAGGACTCACAGAGCAGCGATCTTAATAAACTTGCGGAGCAGCTGGATCCTTTTCGGCAGAGACTGACACTGCAGGATCTCTGTGGCTACCCAGTGCTGCACCTCACTGCAGCGCTGCAGTACCAGCTCCAGATTCAGGGGGCGCCAGCGGGACTGCTCGCCATGGAACACGTAACACACGAATTCCACCTGCAGGAGACACCATCGAAGAAGAGGACGGACAAAGCTGTAAACTCTGAGTCTGCCTACTTAGTATTTTTTAGAACTTAACTGTAAATTCTAATTTTAGGTTTCGAGAATTTCAATCATGAATTTTTTATATTTGACAAAATTAAAACAGGAATAAAATCACCTCATGCACACAACTGAAGAGCTCCCAGTCAAACACCACCAGCTGATTGGCCACTTCCTCCGCTGACATGTCATGAAGTTTGCTGTCACCTGGTGACCAGTGGATCTCCTCAGGTAGAGGGAGCTGAGGGCGCAGGACGTTACATCATGACATTATAAACACAGTTTTTTTTAACAGGTGTCACATCTTCAGCTGAACACAGTAGCTCTGTGAATATGCTTCAGGAGTTTTTACAGAGGTCTCAAACCCTCCGGGCCTCCAGGGGGCAGCGCAGGACTAATTCTTATTCTACTTTTAGTCTTATTCTGAGTAACCATCAGTGCCTCACCAAAGTGTCCAGCTCAGACGGTTCACAGGCGAACAGGTGAGTGTTGACTCCCAGCGTGGTGAACACGGCCTCATCACTGGGACGAAACACTGCCTTCTCTGAAACATACGGATAAGCAGAGTTTGGACCATCTGCATGTCTATAAAGAGCTAATGAAGTCCAGGAGGAAATACCATCTCCATGTCCTCACCTCCAGCCGACGTGACAGCCACCAGGATCAGGTGTCCCGGCAGCACCGGCTGGTCCTCGCTATACTGGAGCTTCTCTCGGACCAGAGCCAGAATCTCTCCGACCCGGCAGGACAGACGGCTCCGGATGGTGACGTAGGAGTGATCTGGAGTGTAGACCCTGCAGAAGACTGGACACAGAGAGAAAGAGAGAGAGAGAGAGAGAGGGTCATGTAGGTCTGAGGAAAAAACAGGATTTAAAACTTTCACTGTTTTATCTTTTATCAAATTTTTATCTGCTGACCAAATTCTGAGCGAGGAGACCAACAAGCTCTAGACTAACAGTTTCAGAACAACCAATAAAGAAAAAAGAAAACAGTCCAAACAAGTCCACTGAGAAAATCAACCAAAACTGAAGGAACTTCAGCTTTCCAAGATCAAGATTTCTAGGATCCACCTTTCCAGGACCAAGGATTTCACTATCCAGCACTTCATGATCTAGCTCCCCAGGATCCAGCCTACCAGGACCCAGCGTTCAATGGTCCAGATTTCCTGGATCAAGAACTCCAAGAGCCAGCATTCAAGGACCAAATTTTTCAGGACACCACCTTCTCAAAACCCAGTGGTCCAGGACTCAGCTTTGCAGGATACTACATTTAAGGATCAGACTTTCCAGGATGCACCACCTAGAACACAGTTTTTCAGGACCTAGCATTCCAGGATTCAGCACTCCATGATCCCTTACCTAGAACCCAGCACTCCAGAACTCAGTTTTTCAGGATCTAGCTTTCATGAACCCAGCTTCTCAGGATAGAAAAAAAAACCTAGAAATTAAAAAACTAGAAAAAAAAAAAAAAAAAACTTCAAGACCCAACATTTTTAGAAAACAGCTTTCCAGAACTTTGCACTTTAGAGCCCTCCTTCACTGTTACCTTTGAATAAAGTAATGTTTTTCAGGTTTAGTTTACATATTTGTCCTTTAAAGGAAGTTGACCAGTCTGTGAGATCATGATCTGGTTTGACCTGGAGTGAATCTCTGAATCAGACTTTTCTAACTCTGTTACACCAGCTGGACAGTGTCCTGAGTTGACTGGCAGCTAGCTTAGAGAGGCTAACAAGCTACAACATGTCAGGGAGGTGGATGTGTTTCTCCCTGATTCTTATGATGCTGCTAACAGACATCCTGCTGCTATTCTGTGCTAAACTGTAAACGGTATCCTGGATCAGTGACACTGTTTAAAAAGATGTTAACACTTGGTGTGTGTCAGTGACGGTGTGTATGTGTTACAGCTGTGTGTGAGTGTGTGTGTCTTTAAGATAATAAATACTCTTCAGTCTGATATTTCTGTCCAAGCACGTGTATAGGTGTGCGCAGGTGTGTATAGGTATGTGCAGGTGTGAGTGTGAGTCTTACTCTCGTCTGAGCCTCTGAAAGCCTCTCTGGGCTGCAAACAGGCGTCGATCCGTCTGAAGTGTCTGAACAGAGGACGGACCTGCTTCTTCCTGCTCTCCTTCTCTTCATCAGAGCTGCACACACACATACACAATACACACATGGTACAAAATACGCACACAATACACACACAAATTCACACACAGGAGCGAAAGAGCTGTTTGATATAAATAGTGCATGATAAAGATGTTTAAGTACGTTTTTGTATATAGGCATGTGTGTGTGTGTGTGTCTTACGGGCAGTGTAAGATCTCAGTCCATCTCTGCAGTTTGAGGACATCCTCCACCAGCTCAGGGTAGCGATTCAACACCTGCACTGCGCACAGGTACAGCTCCTACACACACGCGCACACACACACACACACACACACACACACACACACACACACACACACACACACACACACACACAGAGGGAGAGAGATTTTACTGAATGGAAACATCAACTTGATTAAAGGTGTGTATGAGCTGAGACAGTCCATTTTCCCGTAACCAATGACAACCAGGTATCAAAAACAGGTCCCATCCCACAAAGCTGTTTCTAAGTTGGTATGAATGTGTGTCTGTTTTTGTGCGTAGTGAGTGTGCGATTGTTTCTGTGTATCTTCAGTGTCTGTGTTTGTTACCTTGGGGAAGCTGTTGCTGCGCTCGCCCTCCTCCTGCAGCAGCTCTCTGTAAGTGTCCAGATATCGGAACGCCACGCTCAGAACCGCCTGCTTCCTCTCCACTGCGTCCATCACTCCATCACTCTCCACCTCCGTTCCTTCATCCCTGTCTCCTTCCCCTCCTCCTCCTCTTCCTCTTCCTCCTCCTCTGTCTCTTTTCTCCCCCTCTGTCTCCTTCCTGCCCCCCTCTCCCTCCTTTCCTTCCATCTCGAGAGAGAATCTGAGAAAGTTAAGGTTAAGGACGATCTGGATTTTCTTTGAAACAACTCTGAAGAGTTCCTGAGGAGTTTAAATAATTCTGATAATTTCTTTTTATTTTTTATTATATATTATTATATTTGATTTATAATGATTTATATTGATTTCTGGTAATTTTCAAAAAATGTCTTATGATTGATTTCAATAGATTTTCTTATCATTTTCGATGCAACACAATGATTTCTAATGATCCCTGATGATTTCTAAAGATCCTGATTGTTTGTAATGATTCCTGATCATTTGTAATGATTGTGATCTGTAAATATTCCTGATGATCCCTGATGATCAACAATGATTTCTGATCATTTCACATGATTCTGATGATTCCTGTGTACTCTCCATTTCTACTGATTTCTGATTGTTCCTATTGATTTCAAATGATTCCTGATTTCCTATTTGTTTCCCCTTTCCTTCAGAAACAATCAAACAATTGTTCATATTTTCTCCTGTTTGTTTCTGTCTGTTCCTCTCCATCTCCTCATGCTCAGTGCAGATCTTTGTCTTTTTCTTTCTTATATAACCACAGAGAGCTGAATCTTCAGTCCATCTGATTCGGTTATGACCCAGAGAATTTTCTCAAATGTGGCGTAACGCTGGCTGAGGACATGCTGAAGATGTCACCATCATCTGCACTCTTCGCTATCTTCACTCTTCATCATCTCCATTTTTCATTATCTTTTTTTTGCTCTTCATCTTCACTCTACGTGGTTGTTCTCTGGCAGAAACACTTTAGAGGAAAGGTTTCTCTGTTTTTCTGTCAAAAAAAAAAAAAAAAAGATAAAGACGACTGTTTCTGTCCGTCCATCCCTCCCACTCTGTTTATCCACCCACGTCCCTCTCAGCTCAGTTTCCTTCCTCCCTCCTCTCTCTTTCTCTCTCTCACTGTCTCTTACTCTTGATTTTAGAGTGAGATATTATAAAATGTTGTATCAGTTTTAAATTGGTTAAAAGTTGTTTTACTTAATTTCGGCTGACTTATTTTTTATTGGTTTTAATTCAAAATGACTCATTTTAAAATAATCTATTAGTTTGAAATTGATAAAAAAAAGTTGACTTGCTGATTTTAAATTATTTTAAATTTGGTTTTAAATTGATTTAAAGTTGAACACTTACTAGCATGTAAATCACATTTAAGAAATACTCAAAAACAAAACAGGGTTAACGTTGAACAGCGACAGAAGGCAGGGGGGCGGGGCTAAACGTGAAGATGGTCACTGTTGGACTGCAGCCTAACCTGAAGTTAAACTAGGATGGACTGAGTATCTTTGTTAACCTTGAAGAAAAAGAATTTAAAAGACGGTGGTTTAACACGAGGCTGAGCAACATACTGAAGAAGGCAGAGCGAGAGGACTGACAATCCAGTCAGACTACAGGAGGCATGGCATAACACAAAAGGCCTCACAGGATAGAAAAAAAGACTTCGGAGCCGCACGTGTAGAAGCACAAGGAGTAACTATGAATCTACAATATGACAGACTGTAGTGGGCGGGGCTAAATAAAGCAGAATCTGGTTGGATGTTCAGACCTCCCTAATATAGTTTTCTTTATTTCTGTACAGCTATTACCCCGCCCCTTCTCTCTCTCTTGCTCTCTGTTTGAAGGATACTGCTGCAGCAGGACTTGCTGGAACCTGTCAGCCGTCAGGAAGATGGGGTGTGTCAGCATGAAGTCATCCAGCAGGGTTTCTGCAACGACAGACAGAGATGTGAGATTTACAGAGTGTTCCTAAACACACCACAGACTCTAAAATAAAGCTGGTAGAAAAGAATAAAGATATGTTTCTAATGAGGATCAGGTGATAACTGCAGACAGTGGGCTGCATCATCTTTTGACCAACGCCTCTGAAGTCACAGTTCAGCAGCATCAGATTCATTTATTCAAAAGGCTGCAGTTTCTGTTGTTTTTGGTCCATCCATGCTTTATCTTTACCGCTTGTCCTGTTCAGGGTCGCGGGAGGCTGCACCTCATCGCAACTACAGGGTACACCCTGGACAGGTGACCAGTCTATCACAGGGCTGACATATAGAGACATACAACCATTCATGAACACAGTCACACCTACTGGCAATTAGAGTAACCAATTAACCTGACAAGCATGTTTTTGTGTGGACTGTGGAAGAAAGCCAGAGTACCCAGAGGGAACCTTGGCATGCACAGGAAGAACATACAAACACTGCACAGAGAAGCTCCTGCCTGGCCTGGGGATCAAACCATAAATCTTTTTACTGTGGGTCGACATCACTAACCACTGTGCTGATGTGCAGCCCTGTTTTTGGTCATTAATACAAAAAAATATAAAACTTTGTGCCTTAACTGATCAAAGAGCTTTACATAAAAAAAAAAAAAAAAAAGATGGAAAGTAAGCCTGCAGGTGAGGCTACCACAATAAAAACAGATAAAACACAATTTAACACGATAAAACAAAAATATATAACAAAATAAAAAAATAATATAACACAATAAAGCAAAATAAAACTTATTATATTGAATATAACAAAATGAGAAAGAATAAAACATAAAAAAATACACTGTGGAATATATATATTACACAATTAAACACAGCTTAAAAAAACATAATACAATAAAACAAAATATAACACAATTAAAAAAACTATATTTTACAGAATAACACAATTTAACACAATAATACAATAAAGAATAACAGAATAAAAATAGTATGACAAAATAAAGCAAAAATAAAACACAATTAACTAATATAAAAAATGAAACAGAATACAACAAAAAAAATCTATTGTGAAATACTTTATAACACGATAAACACGACTTCAAGCAACATAATACAATGAAACAAAATATAACACAATTAAAAAACTATATTTTACAGTATAACACAATTTAACACAATAAAACAATAAAGAATAACAAAATAAAAAATAATATGACACAATAAAGCAAAAATAAAAAACAATATAACTAACATAAAAAAATTAAACAGAATAAAAAAACTAAAAAATCTATTGTAAAATACTTTATAACATGATTTAACACGACTTCAAGCAACAGAATACAATGAAACAAAATATAACACAATAAAAAAACAATATTCTACAGTATGACACACAACACAATTTAACCAAATAAAACAAGCGCACATAAAATAACACCATAAAACACATATATAACACAGCTTTACACAATTAAACACAATGACTAAAGAGCTAGCATAGAGCAAAGTAACTTCACGAATAAATCCAAATTATCCAGAGAGGCGTGGCTAAAGACTTTAAAACACATTAGATAGAAAAATAAACTGAGATAGAAAAACACTCTGACCAAACACACACACACACACACACACACACACACACAGATTCACATAGATACAGACACACAGAGACACACAGATTATTATGATCAGTTTGTCTGCAGTCTGATTTCATTCCAGGCTGTATTTCCTGTTTAATTCCTGCAGTTTCTTCACTCTTGGCCTCAGCCTCACAGTGTGTGAACTCAAATATGATCAAGCACACTAACAGCATTATCGTGAGCAGCGAAAAAACGATGGTATTCACAGAGCTGCAGACTGAGCCATGTGAGCAGAGATGGTGTGAATGTGGAGGGGGGACAGAGAGGAAGAGTGTGAACGTGGGAGGAAGAGGAGAGAAACCGGCTGAATCCAAACGGGATGTAAAGAACGCCTACGAGGAGAGAAAGAGCGAGAGAGAGTGAAACCGATAAAACAAAAGATGACTGAGAGAGAAATCTGGTGCAGAAACCCAGAAAAACCACAAAATCAGTCATAGAACAGGATTCAGGACAAATTCAGGAGGAGACGCTGCAGTTTGGTCTCAGTCTGATAAACAATTTTGTATAAGGTGTAAAGAAAATAAAGAAAAGCACACCACAGAATGGGCAGTGAAGAAATGCAAAGAGAGAGAAACAAATGCAAGAGGAGGGTAGTAAGAAATACAACAGAGGAAAGTCATCGATGGGTAAAGAAGAGGAAAGAACATGTTAGAAAAAGACAGCAAAGCAACAAGAATATGCAAAGAAAAGCAGGAGAACAGAGAGAAAAGAAAGACGAGGACAGAAGAAATGAAGGAAAAGCACAGAACCGGACTTTAAAACTCAAGTATTAGATGGTACCCACTCCAAGGAAGGTAAAGAAGAGCCAGTATAGAGAGTAAAAATGTAGAATTTCAACATAGAAATGCAGAGAAGCAGCAGAGCAGGACACTAAAAACAGCTCAGTGCAGCTAAAATACAGCGAAATGTGGAAAAGGGAGTCCAGAGAGAAGAGATATTCAGCACACGAAAAGGAAAGAAAGGCAGTCTGTGATGATACAGATCTGCAGTCAGCAGTAAAAAAACAGGACAGAAGAAAATTCAGTAGATATATTTAAAATGCAGAAAGAGATGATACAGATTTATAATGAAGAAAACAAAAGAGAAGAGTAGAGTAAAAAATACTGTGAGAAAGGACAGAAACGAAGTACGCAGTATAAAGACAGGTGGATTATGAAAAGAAGGACGTAGCAGCAAAGAAAGAGAAAAAGATAGTAACATATAAAATAAAAAATATGGTGCAACAATACGGATCAGTCTAGAGAATGAGAATTTAGTCCTCCACCTGATGTCTGTGAAATAACACCAGCACAAATTCTGTTTCTAAACATTTAATCATGTGATCAGTTATTTCAGGGCCTGCTTGTCTTGTAAGCGCTCCTTTTATTTGGGGTTCAGGTTAAAGTCATTCACACCTGAACTTTTACAGTCTACAGATAGTCCTCACAGTAATTCCTGATTTTCCTGAACTTACACACTCAGACTTCTCCTCACAGCTGAAGAGATTCAAACAGCTTTCATTGAAATACCCAGGTAGGTGAAGGTAAGGGGGCGGAGCTACACAGACCGAGCAGGAGGAGCATTCATAGATATATATATATATAGAAAATGAATTTCCCTCAATGTCAATAACATGGTCAATAACCTTTAGTCTACATTCTTCCATGTTTTGGTAGACAATACGAATAGCCAATGAAAAGGGGAGTTGCTTCAGGTCTGCTTCATGCTGAACCAATCATGTGATGAATTAGAACCAAGTAGCAAATAACTGCGTAGTAGCAGGTTGCAGCTTCACGCAACCATAGCATTTTAACACGTGAAGCCAACAGCACTGTCAGTGAGAAAAAAAGAAAATGAGCGTTACCCGCAGCAGAAATGCGGATGAAGCCTTGACAGATGACGACATCGTCGACAACACTTGCACGAAAACATTGGTGGTGTGGAGGTATTTTGGTTTTTTGAGGTCGGACATGAAGCAGAGTAATGTGCACTGCAAATTATGTCGAGTACATGTTCTCGCAAAGTCGGAGAATACCTCAAATCTTTTTCACCACCTGAAGCAGTGCCAAACTCAGGGTTACAAACCCCGAGCGAAGCAAGGAGCCCATGACCTTACAACAAAACGTCCAAGAGACACAAAGTCCTCACAGATGCAGTAGCTTATTATATTGCAAAAGACATGCTACCAATAAGCACAGTTAAATTATTATTTTTTTTTATTTTATGATAATTATCAATATCGACTGATATGAAAAAAAATAGCATGATAAACTTTATCCCATATCGCCCAGCCCTAGGTCAGGATTAGACTAACCTCAGAGTCAGTGTGCACGGTACAGAGGTTTGTGCTCACACATGCAGCTCGTGAGGGTAAAATCTGAAGATGCTCAGGACTGCAGTCTGAGTGTGACAGAACTCTGAGAGGCTTCAGGGTTTTCACGCCACCTCAGACAGTCACAGCAAGTTCAGCTGCAGAGACCAGAACCTCTGCATCCTCACCTTAGACCGTCACAGCACTGTGGTCCAAATCTTTTCAGTGAAACTACAATATCACTGTAGTTTCATGTTCGCAAGTACTGAGGTACTGATGTATAAGTATTGAAGTATGAGTGGATGTAATCTGTAATCTGGATTGCTGCGTGAATGAGATGGATAATAAAGTAGTTTTATATTTTCTGCAGAGATGCTGGAGGTTTTCTTTTCTCTTATTTCATTCTGAAGCCTCTAATTTAAGCCCCCCTCCCTCTCTCTCTCTCTCCTTTCCTCCCACTCCTCTTCTCTGAATGTCTTGTTGAGAGCTGGTTGCTATGTGAACAGGTGCTAAAGAGCCTCTCATGTATCTGCACACTCTCTCACACACACGTATGACTATAAGATGCACAAATAAAAACACACTCTCCTGCACATCTCCACAAACAGGAAGTTTAAGGAAGCTGCAGGTGGAGAGGTCGCGGCAGATGAAGGAGAGAGAGAGGTTGAGCGAGGGAGAGAAAGAGGTAAAGGAGTGGGCAGCTTGTTCATTTCTTCTCCGTTTGAACAGAAAGATAAAATCCTCCCACACTGAGCAGCTCCGTCATGCTGTCGACTCGTCTGCAGCGGTTCGGGAATCAAACCCACGCCAAAGCACGGACACAAGAAGGCTTCCAGGAGAGCAGAAAGAAATAACACAAAGTCCAGATTATTCCTCTGAGAGCTCACAGTGCACCTGCTGATGTACAACGAGTTCTCAAAAGTAGTTTGGGAGGTAGAGCTCTCAGTAAGTTTCTCAATACTCAGTCTGTCAGATAGTTTGCCGCTAGTTTCAACGCTATGGCCCTGATACAAAGATAAGCTGAAATACAAGAGCAGCTTTACGTTGTTGAACTTTGTTTGTCAGATCTATCTCAATTCTTCTATTTCAATGATGAATCAAAGTCACTGAGTCCCACAAGGACCGACTCTTTCCACCTTCAGAATAATCTGTCCAGGTACAACTGTGATAACACATTCCAGTAAAGTCAGTTATGTTGCATTAGATAGTGATTTGTACCTTTTCAATAAAGGTGTATACAACCTACAAGTGTCAGATTGTTATAGGCTTAAAATGTTAGGGACTCAGACTCTTACAGAGCAAGACAACTGCAGACCGAGACTGCAATAGGCTCAGACTGCAACAGACCACGGCTGTGAGGGACTCAGACTGTTATAGACTCAGACTGTAATAGGCTTAGACTGTTATGGACCCAGACTCTTACAGAGCAAGACTAATGTAGACCAAGACTGTTATAGGCTCAGGCTGTTATAGACTCAAAACTGTCAGATTGTTATAGACCCAGACTGTTGTAGACCCGAACTATTAAAGGCTCAGACTGTTACAGACTCAGACTGTTATAGGCTTAGACTGTTATGGACCCAGAATCTTACAGAGCAAGATTACTACAGACCAAGATTGTAATAGGCTCAGACTGTTATAGACTAAAAACTGTTGGACTGTTGTAGACCCATACTGTTGTAGACTCAAACTGTTATAAGCCCAGACTGTTGTAGACCAAAACTGTTATGGGCCCAGACTGTTATCAACTCAGACTGTTAAAAACTCATATAGTTGTAGGTTCAGACTGTTCAACTCATACTCTTAGACCTAAGTCTAACCGCAGTAGACCTAGAGTGTCATAAACTCAGACTGTTATAGACCCAGACTGTCAGACTGCTGTAGACTTAGACTGTTACAGACTCATGTTTAGCCTGATTATCTTCCCCTTTTGTGGATCAGTTTAATCAGCAGTCAGTCAGTGAGACAGTCAGGACCTCCTTCAGCAGTAATGTTATTTACGTTTCGTTTCATAAGAAACACTGGCTCACCTGAACACCTGCCTGCCCCAACAAGCCTCCCTGTTTGTGTCTGTTCCTGTTCTTAGGGGCTTGTGTGAGAGAGCGAGTGTGTGTGTGTGTGTGTGTGTTTTATCTAAGAAGCTTCAGTCTGTTTGTTCCTCTTTTATTAACCTGTCGGGATGTTATCATCTCTCCTTTTACCTGTGTGGCAGCTGTTCACACACACACACACACACACACACACACACACACACACACACACACACACACACACAGAGTACATGGTAATATTATTGGGTAGGAGATAGGTGTTGACTGTAGCAACTGATGGGTGACTGTTATGTCATGAATCCTCCATGCCAAAGGGACACACTCACGCACACACACTCACACACATTTATTCATAGAAACTCTTTGATTGGTCAGGATACTGTCTCAAAGCATCATGGGAAATTAGAGGCTTTCAGATCTATTTCTCGAAAACTCTCAGCTTGTGTTGGGGGGGAGGAGTCCAGTCACAGGCTATTGCATCCCACGATCCTTTGCATGCCAATTCAAACAGTTGAGCAATTTGCTGTCCAATAATTAGATTTTATTTGAACTCAATAGTGAGATGTTGGGGTCTTAAGGGACTGATACTTCAAAGAGTTATCTTTGAAATTTTGGTGATGGTGATCAAGTTATGGGATGCTAGTTATGTCATTCAGTTAGTCAGCTAGCTAGTCCTTGCCATATCAAACACTGAACAGGCAGGTCAAAATGAGGAGACAATCCCTCCCTAGTCCTTTTGTAAGACTCTCTGGTGGTAGAAAATCTCACCCACAGTGAGATGTAGTTCTTTGCTTGAGTTTAAGGCTTTAAAATGGAGACCCACTTCACAAATTAAGCAAAAACAAGGGTTGCTGCACGGTTCACACAAAAAAAGACAAAAACAAAACAAGAGTCCAAAAGCACTTTCACATGGGCAACTTGACAGATCACTCAAATTTTCTGTGCTGCATGGGATAAAAACCCTTAACAGAAAAGCTTCTGCCAGACTTTGGATGTTTAAGTAGAGGAGTTTTCCTTACACAATGTTTTGTTTGAATTTTGATAAAATTCCAGTTTAAGTCGATGTAGAATCTACTTCATTTTCAGTTAAAACCCACTTAGAGTTCAAAGTCAAGTTAATTTCCAATTGAAATCCAGTTACATTTCAGTTAGAATCAAAGTAAGATCCACTTTAAATCCAGTTAAATTTCTATTTAATTTCGGTCAAATTCTAGTTGAAATTCAGTTAAAAAACAGATAAGCACTTGTTGTGAAGTAGAGAGGATAAGTAACTCTAAGCAGAGATCTAAAATATATGTAAGGTGTTAACTTCTGTCATCTTTGTTTTCAGTGACGTCCTTAATTCTGTCCTCGGCTCTATTTTCAATCAACATATTTTAAAATCTTCTCCTAAGTCTGCTTTTAATTAAGCTGCCTCTTTTGTTTGTTGTAGTTTACTTTGGTAAAAAAAAAAAATCCAAGACTACATTAATAGTTCAGCTGCTCCTGTAAGATCACTCACATATTTTTAGAATCTCTCATCAACTAAAATATTTATTTCTGAGTTATTTTCAGCACAGCAATAAGCAGCGTCAACATCACTCCCTTTACTTTAAAACAATTAAGAAAATATTTTGGCAAAGTTTGTAAGAAGTGTGAGTACTATTGTGTGTAAGTGTATGAGAGAGAAAGAGACGCTGCAGCAGGTAAAACCAGCCAGGTGAGAATCAATCGTCATAAAGCAGAAAAGATGACGAAGAACAGACTGACAGACGATAAAACTTGTGAAACAATGAGGATGATAGGCATGTGTGTGAGTGTGTGTGTGTTATGCAGACACACAGCACTGGGCTGTATAATAAAGGCTGGCTGGATGTGGGTCACTCTGACTGGCTCGGCTCTGCAGTAATTAAATATGAAACTCAGTCATTTTCGGTCTGCAGACAAAAACACACTGAGGAAGGACGCCGACAGTCCACAGTTTAACTTTCTGTCAGATGGAGGCTCCGCCGTAGCACCATTAGTCATCCACGTCTTTGTTCATTGGTTAAGATGCACTGTAGCTAATGTTAACCTTGCTAGCTGTATAAAGAGAGTTCATTTTGAAGCATTTAAAATAAAGGAGACGGAAAAAACTCATAATAACACCACAGAAAGTTTAAACACACTTATAATACCAGGGTGACACTGAGTGCAGTCCAATCCTCCTGCAGTCTAATCCTGTCATTGTTAATCTGAGTGTAAACTTAAAGGTCCGGATGGAGAACAAACTGGAAAGTGTGAAAACAAACAGTCTGAACTTTAGACTCAGATCATCGTAACAGGATCAGGAATTATGAGCAGCTCAGAGCAAACTAAGCCGTTAATGTTCATAACCTTTAAATGTTTAACCTGCTGCTACACAGCCTTACTCTGAACCCTATGGGCCACTGTACTACGCCTTTGAGTTGTCAGGACTAACACCTGTAGATTTGAACAGTTTTTACAAACATCAGACCTTATGTCAAAATTTAATGAGTTATATATTTTTGGTCAAACTTCATATCTGTTATTATTTTTGAATAAAAGAAACCAAAGTATCGTTGTCCATGTAGATTCTCATTCATCCAGGCCATGGTTTCCTTGAAGACTCCAAAATCAGGCAACTGGACTGTGTAGAGTTGAGAAGACGTTTTGCCTCGACTGGGGTCGTTGTTTGTCCCCTTCTCCAGTAAGATACATATATGCTCCTGACACTAGCAATATTTAGAACTGAAGAAGCTTCTTGGATAAGAGGCGAAACGTCTTCTCAACTCTACACAGTCCAGTTGCCTGATTTTGGAGTCTTCAACAAAGTATCGTTAGAGATTTTGTTCTTCTGTGACCTGAAATATTTCAAGTCTGAGATCAATAAAGTCTAAGTTCATTAAAGTCTGAGTTCATTCGAGCCTGAAATCATTTAGGTCTGAGTTCATTAAAGTTTGAGTTCATTAAAGTCTGAGTCTGTAGTTTTAATCCTTGTTTTTCTAATCAGACTTGTTAGACAGTGAGTTTAATCTTCATCAGTCTGTTTTCATTACCGTAAAACCAGCTGAATATAAATGTACTAACAGGAGGTAAGAGAGGAAAGAGATAGAGAGGTTTCTGATTTAATAAATAAAGATATGTTGATTGATTAATCGAGAAAAACTCAAACACAATCAGCAGAAAACATGAAACACATTGAAGCATTTTTTTAAAAATCTAATTGAATAAAGAGAAAAATCGTCATTGTTTCTCTAAAGCACTTCACAGAAAATGAACAGAGACGTTACATAACACATCGAGCTCACAACTCCTCACACGCACACACACTCTACTAATTCACACACTCTCTGATAATACACACAGGGCTGTAATAATGCTTCCTTTGTGAGTGTTTAAAAGACGTGTGTGTTGTTGGATTATTCATGAGAGTGACGAGTGCAGATAAAGTCCTCATTACTTAATAAACACGTGTAAGAGTGTGTGCGTGTTTGTTTGTGTGTGTATGTGTTGTTCCTCTGCAGAGTTTCAGCTTTCCCCTCAAGAATCAGAAAATACTACACATAATGTGATATTTATCATGAGGTCAGCTTGATCAAATGTGATTTGATGTGTAGCAGGATGCAGGGCCGTGCTCTGGCTGTTTGAGGGTCAGGGCTAATATCACAGGGTCACAGAGTCACAACTTTATAGAGTCACAGCAACTCAGAGCAAGTGTCACTGTGTTAAAGGGAGTATTAAACACCATGTAAAAACATACACCATAACATGATACTAATCTGACAGCAGGACTTCTCTTAAGATTAAATAAACAAAGAGCATTTTTTGTAGTTTTCAGTATTTGGACATCTAGAGATAATTTTTTGAGCCTTTAATTTCCTGGAGGATCAACCATAAAGTGGGACAAACATGTTTGTATTTTGAAGTCAAGTTTCAATCAGGCAAATGTGTTCACATGAATTTTATAGTCCAGTTTCAGACAGGCGAACGTGTTTACAGGTCCTGTTTCAGTCAGATTCATGTGTTTGAAAAGTCCAGTTTAGCAGGGTGATTAAACAGTGATAAAGCGGTGATGAAGGAAAGGTGAAGAAGGGATTCAAGAGTGATAAAGGAGTGTAATAACAGGAAAAAGGAAGAAGGTGTGATAATGGTATAATAAGGAGTGATAAAGAAAAGATGTAGGGGAGATGAAGAAATGATAAATGTGTGATTAAGGAGTGATAAAGGGGTGATCAAGGAGTGATAAAGGAGTGATGAAGAAGAGAAAAAAAGAGTGATGAAGATGTGATCAAGGAGTGATGAAAGAGTGATAAAGGTGTGTTTAAAGGGTGATAAAGGAGTGATAAAGGTGTGATCAAGGAGTGATAAAGAAGTGATGAAGAGGAGTTAATAAAGTAATGGAGTGATAAAGGAATTATGAAGGAGTGATAAAGGAGTGATGTAGGTGTAAACAAGGAGTGATTAGGGAGTGATGAAGGAGAGTTAAGAAAGTAATGGAGTGATAAAGGAGTGATGAAGAAGAGAAAAAAGAGTGATGAAGGAGAGTTAAGAAAGTAATGGAGTGATAAAGGGGTGATAAAGGAATTATGAAGGAGTGATAAAGGAGTGATGAAGGTGTTAACAAGGAGTGATTAGGGAGTGATGAAGGAGAGTTAAGAAAGTAATGGAGTGATAAAGGGGTGATAAAGGAATTATGAAGGAGTGATAAAGGAGTGATGAAGGTGTTAACAAGGAGTGATTATGGAGTGATCAAGGAGAGTTACGAAAGTAATGGAGTGATAAAGGGGTGATGAAGGAATTATGAAGGAGTGATTAAGGGGTGATGAAGGGGTTATGAAGGTGGGAGGGAGGGGTGACAAAGGAGCGATAAAGGAGAGTAGTAGTGATCAAGGAGAGGAGTGATAAAGGAAAAAGGAAGGAGTGATTTAGGTGTGAGGAAGGAGTATAAAGGAGGGATGAAGGAGTGATAAGGGAGAGTTGAAGGAGTGATAATGGAGTGATTTAGGAGTGATGAAGGAGTGATGCAGGTGGGAGGAAGGTGTGACAAAGAAGTGATTGAGGAGAGTAGGAGTGATGAAGGAGTGATACGAGAAGGAGTGATTGAGGTGTGAGGAAGGAATGATAAATTGGTGAAAAAAGTACCATGAAGGTGTGATGAAGCAGTAAACTGAGAGCTTTGTATTCTGTCTGCAGAGCTGAACAGCGGCTCCTCAATTGTTTTGAAGACGAGCCAGACGTTCCTTAATATCAAATCTGTCTGAGAGTCTCTGTTGTGAGTCTTTTGTCTCCTTCAGGTTTTTTATTGCTGCAGGATGAAGAAGCTGAAAATAAACTACAAACAGCTCCATCCCTCGCTCCGTCTGACAGAAACCAGCAGAGGATCAAACCTGAGAGCTTTTCAGACAGAGAGGATACGGACTCAGAGCTGCAGAGAAAAAGCAGACCGCCAACTTTTTCTTAAATGCTCTGTAATAGAAGAGAGTCCAGCACTGCTGTTAAGTGTATTGGCCTAACCTGAAGTCAATTCATTTTAAAATAAGCCTCAGAGAAAATTTCCCATCATACAACATATTTGTCTGATCACCTATAACTAAGCATCCCTCCTGGACATAAAGCTTCAGAGATAAGATGGCCTCTCAGTGTTTGTTGTCACCGGGTGAGTCTCTCTGATATTTTCTGTGACGGTGTGTTGGTTCAAGCTGCAGGCTGCTGACCGAGAGAATCACTTGCTGCTCTTAGATTAACATCCATTCAATGTTAATAAAAATAAGAAAACAATAAGAAAACACAACTTACAGGAAAAATTTTAGTAAAGTTATTTTTATTTTCAATTTGGAGATATCGTTGTCCTGACTTCAAATTTTCCTTCAATTAAAAAAGGCTTTAATTACCAAAAATCTGTAAAATATTCATGATGTATAAGAAGTTCAATTTTGACTTTTTATGTTCACTGTGTTTGTTTTTCTGTGGGAAAAGTGTTTTTATTTTTAACTTTTAAAAAGTATGCTGTGTGGAAAAAAACTTCAGAGAGTTTTCAAGGAGGAATACAATTTAGAGACCAAATGACAACAAGCACACGTACACACCCTGAAGCACAGCAATCACTGCACACACACACACAGAGATATGCAGGCAAACATTCCTGTAGGAACACAGAGGTACACGCATGCATGCACACCCAGTTCAGCTGTAATAAGCAGGCTGCGTTTCTGAAAGAGGAACAGCAGCGATTATGTAACCACACACTGACACATACACGTACACACACACATGCTGACACACACTGCAGAAACAGTCTGTGTGATGTGAACTGCGAGCTGAAGGAAAAAAACATCTGAATTGTCACTGGTTTTCAGGTTTCTGCTCTGAGTCTCAGTCCGAGTCGCTCTCACACAGTCAGGGTTTTTAAACTCCTGCGGACGCTGAGGATGAAATGTCAGATTAAATTATTTCCCCTCAGTTCTCCTGCAGCAGCTGCCGAACTGGAGGGTTTGCACGCAACACGTTTTCAGAGCTCACCATGAACACGGCGCTGCAGTGATCAGATATTTTCACTCAGACGATGAACCTGCTGGTGACGGTCTGATCTCATTATGTCTGAAACACTGAGAACATCTACTGCTCCGACAAACAGATATTAAGAAACTGATATCTGTAGGAGCCTAATAATCCATCTTTGCAGCTAGCAATCAATATCTAACTCCGCCTGAAGTCTTCAAGGATTACAAGAACAGTGAATACGAGCCAAGCTAGCGAAGAGGTTAAAACTAGACAACAAAACTAGCTAGCTTAGCTTACATCAGAAGCGTTTGTTTTTCTCTCGCGTCGGAGTTTAACGTTTTACTCTCGGAAAAAAAGTTAAGACAGTATCGTGAAGAGTTAAAGGTGAGGTAGACAGGATCTGAGGAAGTGCTAGTTTGTGGAAGAAATCTTCAATGTAAACACTACCTCTCTCGACCAGTTTTCCCCTCAGCTCCTCCTCTCCCCTCCCTCTCTGCTCCAGCAAGCCCCACCCACAAACAGACGCTCGTGCTCGCTCAAATCATTTCAAATAAGTTCAGATATAATGCAGATAAATACTTCAGATAATTACAAATGGGGCCCAGTCAATGTGAAAGTAAACAGCATTGATGCTACTGTAGATGCCAACAGACGACCAGCAAACACAATGTTTGTAGGACTTCTACAACCAGGATAAAGTGACATAGTCCAGGACACTTCTGTTACAGACACTTTGTTGAAGCGGTTTACTTGTCCAGAAGAAAGGTTACAGGGTCCGTAAGATCCCGACACGTCCCCCAAATGCTGCATTGCTGTTGACCCTGCTTCTTAGCTCTTGTCCGGTCTTTCTCCTTTTTAAGCGCCCGTTATTCTGCCAGAGTCTCCGGTATTTACTTTGTTTTATTGTTTGTGTTGGCAGTCGTGACCCAAGGAGGATTCAGACAATTTTCTGTACTTTCTGGTTGGTTTCTTCTGTCCGGTATTGTAGCACCAGGGAGCAGCGTCTGCCTCACAACCAATCAGGTTGGGGGAGGCGGAGAACGGCTTTGTTTACAGTCAGAAAGAGCGGGCCACTCAGAAGATTTAAAATGTTGACTATACAGACATAACAGAACACAGCGATACTGTTAGATTACCAAACGTCATCAATAACTTATAGCTATTGACTGATATTAAAAGCTTTTCTGTATATATGCCACAGAAAAGATGCTTCTTTAATGGATTCCTGCCTACCCCAACTTTAAGATGGTGTAGTGAAGAATTTAGGTGGTGTAGGAAAGTAGAGACATTATGGATGAATGTGAAGTTGAACAATAAATCCCCAGAAATAAACAAAAACAGGCTCAGGAACAAGCAGACACGCTGCTGCACACGCTCTCTGTTCATAGCCACAGCCCACAGCAACAGCGTAAACAGGAAGTCAAAACACAGGCGCATCCATCCCTGTCTTACCTTTACAGTGGGCGTGTCGTTTTCCTGCAACGCTGTCCAGCACAGAAAGCGTCAGGTTGTCGGGTGTGTCAGGAGGGAGGGGTGTCCCACCCCCTCCTCCACCTCCCACTCCGCTGCTCTCGGTAATCAGACTGGCCTCAGAGCTCTGCTCATCACTGGACAAAGACGGACTGCGGACATCTCCTCCTCCAGACCCAGACCCTGAACCAGACCCAGAACCAGACCCAGAACCAGAGCAGGAACCGTTGGTGCTGGTAGGTACTGAGACCAGGCCAGTCCCTGTGGCTGAGGGCCAGGAGGGAGGGTCCTCGCTGTCAGGGCTGCGGGGGTCAAAGGTCAAACTCAGGTCACATTTCTCCAGCCAATGACTGTTTACTTTGAAACTGAGCAGAAGCTGCACAGCTGATTGGTCAATTTTGGACTATTTTTGGATAAAACATTGAATATAAATATACAAACTGAGACTTCAGGGAGTTCATGTTTTTATACTTTCATGCAAACTTGATTATCTTGAGTACAACCAGCTTCATTTCAATATAACCTGAACATGTGCAGCTCCTTTATTGGCTCCTATGAAAGAAGTGCTTTATGGGAAATGTGGTTTCTACAGTCTTTAGTTTGCAGATTTTTACATGTTAAGGAGGTGAAATCGGAGAGTTTCTGTCTCACCTGACTGAGGGTTTCGGGTAAACTGGTCAGTTTGGACCACAAATGTGGATTAACCACAAAGCAAAGCCAGTGACCGCCCCAAGGTCTTAAACCTGTTACCTGTGACTGTTCAGAGTCGGAGAATGTCTTACGTAACCTCAGAATCCTTCAGAGTGATTTTTCAGAACGACTAAAACAACATTTCAATCCAATAATCCTGCAGATTTAAAGAGCGACTCTGTGATTTGAAATCCAGACCCTTTTAAATGTTTCTTAGGAAGAGAATGACTCACAGGTCTAAGATGTGTCTGCAGGAGTACATTCCTCCTCCTGCAGCAGAAAAACTGTCTGTAACATCAAATCAAATCAAACTTTATTTATAAAGCGCTTTTCCAACAGAAACATCTGCATCATAGTCCTTAAAGTGTGTTGGTAAAAGTTGTACAAACCCTAATTTGAATGAAATTGGGCCATTGTGTAAAACATGAATAAAAACAAAATACGTTTTTAAAATCCTTCTTAATCTTTCCACTTTAAGACAAAATATTATTGTTTAAACTGTTAAGTTTTACATTTTTTGCAAATTTTCACTCATTTTTAATTTGATGCTGCGACATGTTCCTAAAAAGCCAGTACAGGGTCATGTTTACCTCTGTGTCACATCACCTTTCCTTTTAAAGTGTTTGTGAACTGAGGACACTAATTGTTGAAGTTTTGGGGGTGAAATTCTGTCCTATTCTTGTTTAATGTACCACTTCAATTGCTCAACAGTCAAAGGTCTTTATTTTGGTATTTTGTGGTTCATAATTAATCCACCACCACTAATGGGAGACATGTCTGGACAGCAGGCAGGCCGGTCGAGTACCCACGCTCTTTTACTCTAAAGCCACGCAGTTGAAACGTGCTGAATGTGGCGTTGTCTTTTTGGAACAAACAGGAATGTTGCTAAAAAAGACGAGACAGATACCCATGACCATGAGCACTGACACACCCACATACCATCACAGAAGCTGACTTTTCAACTTTAACTTGATAACAATCTGGATGGCCCTTTTTCTCTTTAGCCCAGAGGACATCACGCTCATGATTTCCAAAAAAATCAGAAATGTGGACTTGCCAAACCTCAGCACACTTTACCACCTTGAGTTAATCTATCTCAGATGAGCTCTGTAGTGTTCCTGAGCCAACATGGCGAAATCTTTTACAGAATTATGGGAGTTTTTAATGCAGTGTCACCTGAGGGGTCGAAGGTCACAAGCATTCAATGTTGGATTTAGGCCTTGCAGCTTACGTTCAGAGATTTCTTCTGGTTTCTCTGACTTTATGGACTGTAGATGATGAAATGAAAGCAAACATTGTTCTTACACCGTTGGACTATTTGCTCACGCAGTTGTTCACAAAGTGATGAACCTTGCCCCATCCTTGCTTGTAAAGGACTGAACTTTTTAGGGATGCTTCTTTTATACCCAATCACGACTTTTTTGGAACACACTGCAGCATCATATTCAGAATTTGCGAAAAAAATGTCTTGTGTTTGTAGTTTATGCAATAGAATATAGGTGGAGAACAATTTGCAAATCATTGTATTCTGATTTTATTCACATTTTACACAGTGTCCAACCCTATTGAATTGAACCCTATTGACAAGCTCAGGTTGTTATTCTCAGAGCCTGACTGCGTTTCAGAAAGGATCCCCGTAGAGAGAGCTTCATGTGACAGGGGAAGAGGAGTTTATCAGACAGGAACAGCTGATATGTCACTCTCCAAAATATCTAGTAGATGCTGCAGGTGTTGCAATTCCCCAGAAGGCATGCAGCTATCAGCGACCAGCAGCATCCTTATTCTCTCTCATCTAAACTTAAAGTTATTTTTAAAAGGTTGTAGGGTTAGAACCTCCTCTAAACCACAGAGAGTTTACTCTAAATCTGAGACAGCATCTGAAAGCCAGAGCTCTGATCAGCGGATGGCTTCCTGTCCTCCAGACTCAAACATCTCACTGTGAAGTTGGCCTCATCCCTGCCTCATTGAACTTGAACTGGTGAGAATATTTCAATGAGGTAAACATTATCCACTCTGACAAGTCATTGACTCTCACTCAGCACCTTTTGAATCAACTGGCTAGAATGCTAACTGACACACCTGCAAGTTCACAGGTATGCAGCTACCTGTCATGAAACAGGAGGGGACCAGGAGCAGTGCCAACACTTGAGAGTTTTTGTTTATTTGTGCTGACAGAGACTTTAAAAAGATGATTTCTGTATAAAACTGTTTTTATGTAACAGAACAGTCAAATTAAAGGGATATTGCAGCGTAAAATTAATTTAGAGTCAAACACACTGGAACACTGAGTTAGACACCCCTGCGAGAAATGAATGTTGCCGACCGCTTGCTTCTCTAGTTATACCAACTTTAGTAACGACCGCACGATAGCAATACACAGCGGTCTGAGGAGCCATAAACAAACCTCAACCAAAACGCCACTCTATAGCCACAAATAATGCTCAGAACAGCACCTAACTTCATCAACAGTACATATAGGATCACAGCCATAGCACTAGCCACCAAACATCTTTTTCACTTTGCCTGATTTCTTTAGCAAAGAGACTAAACACAACTCACCTACTCTCTTCCAGCAGCTGGTTGTTCGTAGCGAGACCTCAACCAGTCCATTACAGACTACAGCGGGGTGACACAGCTCAAGGAAGAACATTTATGATCACTTCTTCGTGGAAATGCAATCAGACTGAGGCGCTAAGGCAGAAGAACTACCGTGTTTGCAGTGCAAAATGATTAATATGGTGATTATTACTTCAAGGAAATGATAAAGAAATGATTATAAATGTTCCTTCTTGAGCTGCGTCACCCCGCTGTAGTCCTTAATGGACTGGTTGAGGTCTCACTACAAACAAGCGGCTGCTGGAAGAGAGTAGGTGAGTTGTGTTTAAAAAAAGATCAGGCAAAGTTAAAAAGATGTTTGGTGGCTTGTGCTGTGTCTGCGACCCTATATGTACTGTTGATGAAGTTAGGTGCTGTTCTGAGCATTATTTGTGGCTATAGAGTGGCGTTTTGGTTGAGGTTTGTGTTTGGCTCCTGAGACCGCTGTGTACTGCTATCGTGCGGTCGTTACTAAAGTTGATATAACTAGAGAAGCAAGCGGTTGGCAACATTCATCTCTTGAGGGGGTGTCTAACTTGGTGTAACGGTGTGTTTGACCCTAAATTAACTTTACACCGGAATATCCCTTTAAGGGTCACTTAATCTTCGCAGCAGATTTCTCCAGACATCGGAGTCAAACCAACAGCTTGCCAGCAACTCCTGTGCTCTAAGATGTTACATCACTGATTTTTAGCAATTAAACTCTGATTCAAACTCTGGACTTCATCGTGATGCACAGATGCAATAATCTGGCTTTAAAACGTGAAAGTTAGCTGTTAAATGATCAGGGGACCTTATCTGCCCCGTTGTTCATCATGGGTTGGTCCGGCTGTGCTCAGGTCAGATTCAGGACAACTGCATTTATCAGTAGAGGATTTTAAAGTACATGCATCATTCCCACATGTCTCACCTAAACACCTCCCGGGCCTGGCCACTCTCCGGTGAAGTCTCCCTGAAGAACGGGACGACCCGAGATAGGCTCGCCCTGCGGCGGGACGCCCCCGTCCCCCCGCCGGCCTTGTCCGTCACCCCGCCTACAAAGCCCCCGGCCCGGGTCAGAGCCGTGGTCTGCTTCTTCAGGAACTTCTCCAGCGGTTTCATCCCCGCCGGCATGGTGGGACGCTGGGTTAGGGGGGGACGCACGGGAGTGTGTGTGGAGGGGGAGGTTAAATTAAAGATGGTGGTGCAGGGACTCGGAGCTGGGGGGGAATGGGGGGTCTGGCTCCTACATCATAAGGCCCCTGCAGGTCGGGGAGGGCAGGTGAGAGCAGGTGTGAGGACCCTACGAGAAGCTGCAGGAAGAACAGTGCGATGTTAACCCATCTGAGGAGGCGAGGAGGGAAGGAGACGAGGAGGGAAGGAGGCGAGGGAAGGTGCTGAAGGTGGAGAAGAGTCCTTTTATATCCTCTCTCTGATTTCACCGCATTGAGATCCTCTCAGACCCTCTTTATCCCGAAATATTCTCTCCGGGATTCGACTCCGTGTGCCCGCCGTTCTCGGCCTCTCCTCCCCAGCTGCTGCTCCTCCTCCTCCCGCTCTCCGCCGCGGTATCCCTGCACCGAGCGCTCCGTAAAAAACCCTAAAAATCAGACCCCCAGATGGATCCTGCTGCCCGTCCGCTGCCTCTGCGGATCTCCGGATTGAGGAGCTCCCGGACTCGGACTGTGTGTCGCGTCAGCAGCGACCGATCTCTCCGTGATATCTCCGTGATGATCGATGCGGCCGGATTGTTTTCTCCTCGTAGCACACCTGGAGCACGAGGACCCGCCCGGCTCGGTGCGTTTAGGTGCCGTAGGTTTTCCGAGCAGCTGCACGCGCTAAGGTGCTTCTTCTCCCTTTTTTTTCAGGTCAGATACCGCAGAGTCCGCGCGCCTCACGGTCCTTCTCAGCCACTCAGCGCTAAGCTCTCTCTCTCTCTCTCTCTCTCTCTCTCTCTCTCTCTCTCTCTCTCTCTCTCTCTCTCTCTCTCTCTCTCTTTCTCTCTCTCTCCCTCTCTCTCTCTGTGTCTCTCTACCTTTCTTCCTTTCTCTCTGCTAAATTAGAGGAATGAGAAGTGACTCGTAACATTCACACTCCTCCTCCCCCCCTCTCTCCCTCCCTCACTCCCTTTCTCTCTCTCTTTCCTCCCCCTCTCATCTGCTGCAGTTGCGCGCTCCCGTCACACGTAGAAGACGGGAGCGCGCATGCACATTAACTTGGTGCTGTAAAATTGATGGAAAAGGAAAAATCCCTGACGACAAGCAGCAGAAATATTCATCAGGACATGAAGAGACAGGTCTCATCAATCGGAGCATCAATCCGTCTTTACAGCGGAGGAAAAAATAGATCCTTTATTATTACCATTAATGTCAGATATGGCTTAAATGTGTTCAGTTTAAACCTCCTTTACTCGAGGAAATCAGTGAGAAAAATGTATAAACAGAGTGAATACATGTGTTATTGCAGAGTGAGTGTTGAAAATAAATCATATTAAGGACAAAAATGTCCATTCTGCGACAACTTTGCAGTTTTTGCTTCTTTTCTATCTTTTAATTTTATCCCTTTCACTTGTTTTATTTGACATTTTCCCTCTCATCCACATTTAATGTGAAATAAAATACTTAAAATTTCAAAGATTTTTCACAAATATACAAACAGGATAAAATACGTTGATTTGTTGATGGTCTCCTGCTGATGATCCATTGTAGAATATATTTTAAAAATATATTGACAAACCAGAAGTATGACAATAAAGTTAAAAGGCTTTAAAAGATAAAGTAAAAGTTCAGTCTGAATAAAAACAGAGATTTTTTATCAGTAAATTTCATTCTATCAGACTAACAGCTGATCATGAAGCTATTAGACATTCAGGTTTTCCTGTTTTTGTTTTTGTTTCCTCACACACAGATTCTACTTTGCTGAAGATTCATGTCGTTGTTTATGATTTTAAGCTAGAAAGGTATGCAGGAGCACCACAAGGGGGCAGTATAACAGCTGTAATAACATAAGGGTATGGTAATTAAACACTGTTACAGACTAACTGAACTCAACAACACAAACTCATTAGAAAGAGAGAGCAAGCCCACGTCTGTTCAGGCCACAAAGAGGTAGGGAACAGGTGGAGTCTTAATGAAGGGGGTTTAGGTGAAGTCTGAAAAGAGAGGAACTCAGGTGGAGGGTAAAAGGTGAGGAGTTTGAGTGATGTCTACAAGGTGAGGAGTTGAGGTGGAGTCTTAAAGGTGGAGATTGAGACATTTGTGTAAATAGGGAGCAAAAGCTTAGATGGTGTAGGAGGATGTTTGACAGACAGAGAAATTTGGACAGTGAGGATATTCGTCAGAGGGGACAAACCCCCTTTCAGGGAACAGATGACACTGGAAAATAAGGACATTTAAGAATGTGACTTATTTTAACAATATAAACGTGTGTATTTTAAGTCTACGTCATAAATTAGTCAGAAACTTAGAAAACTCAGATTCTTAACTTGAGAATGAAATCAACAAAAACATGGTGGTGAAGACATTTTTCAAACTTAGACAAAAAGGGACAATCAAGGGTGGGTACAAAGTTTACTGAGATGACATTTTAAATGTTTTCAGTCGTTAATATAATTTGAAAAGTTTCTGTCTTTTATAAAGGGACAGAGACTCTAAAGGTGTGAGGACATTTTTCTTCTTAAGAGACATTTTGGTGGAGCGTTTTCTGTTCAAACTGGACAAAGTGGGAAGGTTTCAAAAAACTAAAGGCACTTAAAAACACTGGGCTCATTTCAATGACCTGTTTAATCTTAGTTATTTATATTTATTACATTTTAAACTTTTACTCAGGTTTTTTATTTGAATTTCATTTTTTTTATATATTTTTTTATATATTTTTTTCATTATAGTTTGTCATTATAGTTTGTGTTTTATTTCTTGCTTATTTTGTTTTTATTTTCATTTATTTTATTTTAGTTTTTTATTTGGTTTAACTTTAATATTCATTTTGTTTTATGAGAGTTGCTTAATTTATTGTTTATATTAATTATTTAATTGAGATTTTACGCTTTAGTCTGATTCTGTTATAGACGGTCCTCATCAGTATGTGAAGAATTTACCTGCAATGTGTCATTGATCTGTTTGTTTGTGTGTGTGTGTGTGTGTGTGTGTGTGTGTGTGTGTGTGTGTGTGTGTGTGTGTGTGTGTGTGTGTGTGTGTGTGTGTGTGTTTACCTGATCATCTTGCAGACTCATAACCACAACAATCAGCTGGACACCAAACTGAAACTCAATACACTCTGTCCTCCCTCTGTCAGAGCAAAGAGGGGGAAGAAGAGGAGGAGGACGACGTAATGAAGTCTCATTCAATTGAAGCTCCTTGGGTTTTAATGATGGGACTTTTGTGCAAACACATTTTTTCCTGTTCCTATTTAATTTTTACAGCTTCATAAAAAAAGTCAAATTTAATTTTTGAGATTTTTCTGTAAGAGTCCAAAAATCAGAAATTTGTCAGAGACCATCCGACCCTGAGGTCACAGAGAGTCACTGAAACTTGAGACCATCAGAGGGGGTTACAAAATACACAACACTGTGACTGTGTGTGTGTGTGAGACACATAAGCAGGCTGACAGAATGAGAGCTCGCCACTGCACACACTCGGTGGCTCAGATGACAGACAGACGTGTGACTCAGTTTGGTGAAACACACACACACCCACCCGTACACACACACATACAGTAATGATGTCAATGTATCAAAAACTGCTGCAGTCTGAATAAAGCGTGTCAGTAAGCGTCACTCTAAAATATTTTTATGTTTGTAGAGTTTTAAAAATATTTTATGAACTTTAATTTTAATCTTTTTTAATTATTTTAATAGATCTGTAGAGCTGTTTTTAATTTCTCTGCAAACACGATGTAGAAACAGCAGAAAATGCCATCTAACATGCCTGACCAGACGGTGGCAATAAGTAATCAATACGTCAAAGATGACAATAAAATGCTATGTAAACACGTGTAAAAATGTCTTCTTTAACAAGCAAACTCTAAAAGCTAAATAGACTCTATAATTGATAAAAACTATTGAAACAAAAACCCTCAAAATGATAGAACCTGTCAAAACTACAACAAATTAGAAAATATGTAAAATAAATGAACTATAAAAAGTGTAGAGGGAGGATTTATTTACCCCACATCAATATGGCACAAGATGAACTAAAGTCAGGTTAAGGGAAGGAGAAATAAAGGAAGGATAAAAAGAGGGATGAAATGAAGGAAAGATGTAGGGAGGGAAGAAAAGACGAAGTAAGAAAGACAAAATGAAACACACATTGAGCGACTGAAGAATAAAATAAGAAAAGACGAAATAGTGAAGGAAGCAGTGGTGAGGAAAGAAAAAAGAAAAAGAAATAGCAGGGATGGAGGAAGAAAAGAAGAGAAAGGATGAGAGGGAAAAAGGAGGTCAAGCACAGAGATGAAAGAGAAACATGTGAGTGGTCGCTGGCTGTTACATCACCAATTAACAAGCCAATCAGAGGGCAGGAGGCTTCAGTTCACTCCACCGTCAAAAAGCAGAGTCATTACATCACTGCCAACATTTAGGCTGCCAATCACAGCTCATCACCATAGTGACCAGACTTGTGACCAATCAGATAAAGCAGGGATGACAAAAAAACTGACCTTCGACCTCAGGGTGGTATTTATTCCTCCTTTCCTCTGCCCTTCTTTCTTTCCTTCCCTTCTATCATTTATTTAGTTCATCTCTTTTTCTCTCATTCTTCCTCCCTCTATTCCTCCTCTCATTGCTTTCCTTCTTCCCTCAATCCTCCCTCATTTCTTTCCTCCTCTCCCTCCTTCCTTTCTCCTTTACTCACTCTTCCTCTCATTCCTTTCTTGTTTCCTCCAACCTTACTCTTTCCTTTTCCCCCTATCCACTATTGTTCCTTTTCTTTATCCCTCCCCTCTTCCTGTATTTCCTCCAGCCTTCCTCTTTTCCTTCTTCCATTCACCCTTTGAATTGTTGCTTTCCTCTGAGATTTTCTTTTAACCTTCCTTATCCCTTTTCTTCTCTCCTCCATCCTTTCACCTCCTCCTTTTTTCTCCACCCTTTGCCCTTAATCCTCCCTTGCTCTTCTTTCCTACCTTTCTATTGTTCCTATTTTCCTTTAACCTTCCTCGTTCCTTTCCATCTTTCCTCGTTCCTTTTCTTATTCTTTTCCTCTTTTCTCTTGTTCCTGTAAATCAAACCTCTCTCCTCTCTGTATGTCTGGGGTTTATAATCATTAGCCGTTGTTTTTGAAAAAATTAAAAATTAATTCCGGGATCTTTATAAATTGGATTTTGTGTCTAATTAAGATTCAGATGCAGTGAATTTAGTATTTTTAATTGTCTGCAGCTCACAGTTTCTTTCAATGACTTGCTGTTTTTATGTCTTTTTTAATTAAGAGCTTTGACATTAGTTTTTATAATGAGCACTTTTGTTTCAGTTCTTTCTTATGAGCCGTTTCCTTTTTATTGCAAGCTGATTTTTTGTGAGTTCTGATATTACAGATTCTTTTTCACAATAAGCTCTGAAATATCCGCCCTATATTATGAGCTAATATTTGTTTTTATAATGAGCACTGATTATGTTTTTATGAGCTTATATTTTTGTTAACTCTGATAGTCGTTTCCCTTTTTATGATGAGCTTTGTTATTTTGTTTCTGGAGGATTTGTTTGCGTTTCAGGTTGTGGTTTTTTCTCTATCACACAGCAGGTCATGAAACCAGGACTGAACACACTCTGTCAGATTTCTGTTTTTATTTGACAACAAACCAGGAACATACTTTGACTTTAATAGAAAATGAACAGCTGGAATAGAGGGAGAAATGGAAAAATACACGGTAACAAGCTCCTCTGGTTCATTCCACCTCTGAAAAACTCGTTTTTTTTTAGAGTTAGTCATTAATTCTTATAAAGTATTGTCCTCAGTGTGCCTTTAAAGGTGTTAACATGTGAAAACAAATAAATCATTTCTCTCCTGCATGAACTAAAAATAAAAAAGTATTAAAATTAAAACAGTGACATTTGAAAAAAAAATAAAAATAAAAGGATGAACAGAAAGAAGCTAAAGTCACACAGCTCTTTCTCCTCTACATTAATATCCACCGTTAACATTCGAGGTCCCTGCCGACGTGTTTTCAATCGAAAGCTCCAATAACTTTATTAGACTCTGTTTACTTTCTATTTTATCTCTTCAAGCTTCTATTTACACATTTAAGTCTCTATATACAGCACCCAGCGGAGAGAAATGACAGCAGAAACACAGGTAACCGTCCCTTAACTATTTCTACAGACAGAAAATTAAATGAGCATAAATCTGAAAACTGTTTGAATACTTCAGTCAGTTATTTGAACCAAAGGATAATCCTCTGTATCATTACAGTTATAGAACGATAAACTCCAACTCTGAGATCTGGACTTCTGTAGACGCCTTTTTTCACTATTTTCTGACACTTATACTCTAAACTAGCATCCGCTTTAGTTTCCTGAACAGAACTGAACTGTCTGTGTGAGAAGGGAAACATACAAACATACAAACGTCTTCTGTAACATGGCGATAACGCGTGGAGGTTTTCAGGAAGCACCAGGTGGGCCAGGTGAGATCTGCATACAAACATCCCTCACTCTGAAGAGAAACTCTGATTTACTCCACTTTTGTTTTTGTTATCTGAAACTTTCAGGGAAATAAAGACACAGCAGCCTCTCGCCTGTCTGAAATAACAGCTGATGTTCAGGTGGAAGAAAGTAACCGGAAAGCAAAAAGTGTGGAGGAGCTCCACACTGAAACGGTTTGGATCTTATAACACCTTGTCTCAGGGTTCAAAACAACAAAAATCATGAACCTGATCCCGACATTACATCCATCAGTTCAGAGTTTTCTCTGCGTCTGTGACGATAAATGCTTCAAAGTGGCGCTAAAGGGTTTTAAACTCGTCAGGGCAGAAGGGTTCAGGTTCAAAGACACGTTGGTGGGATCGAACCTGTGACGAAGAGATGCAGAGCAGCCTGTGCAGGGTCGCCCGCTGCACCCCGAAAACTTCAGAAAGAAAAGACAGAAAGAAAAAGAGTCTGATTCCACCTGCGGTCCGTCCTCTTGTCCCTCCCTGATGTAAGATGGCTGCTGGCAGAGACCGCAGCTCCTCACCGACCCTCCATCCCGCTCCTGAAAACACAGAATCAAACTGAAAATCAGCTCAAAACAGAATCTAACAATGTGAAAGTCTATCTTTTTTGTCTGTATTATTCAATTTGCCTTCAGGGATAAATAAAGTTCTTCTTCATTTAACTGACGACGGAGCAAAGCAAACATATCAAATATTACATAACTAGAAATACTGACAGTTAATGTGGTTGGAACGTTACATTCGGTATTTATGGTGCACCTTTTAAGTTTTTCTTCTATTAAATTTAAGTCGAATTCATTTTGATGTCAAATGTAGTTTTTAAGGGGCAGAAATCTGAGTCAAGTCAAAAATTAAAGAGATTGGCCGTGAAACAGCAGACGGGGCTTTTCCAAAGTCAACAGCTCAAATGTTGCAGAGGAATGTTTCACTGTCTGTACTCTGAAAGATTTCACATCAATTCCCTCTTAACACACTTGTGCAATCAGTGACTGACTGGGACCAATCAGGATTTAACACGTGAGGAAAATCACAGAAATGATCTGAATTCAAATCTCAGACTGAATCACAGCTGCAGTTTGTGTCAATCGCCACCAGGTGTCACAGTGGTGCTGCTTTATCAATCACTCACTCACCTGTAGTTTGGAGATCATATTGAGGCTGAGACGGGGGAGGCGGGGAGGGATGAGGGGCGGGGTCACTCTGAGGCAAAGGGAACCTCTGGAGGGGGGGGCTTGACGGTGACGGGCTGGGATGTGCGGCGTGGGGGTGAAGGTTTGGGCTGAGCCTGCTGCTGCATGGTGTCGTAGTACGTCACACCTCCATACGTCACCTGGGCCTGACCCTGACGGACATTGACACACACACAATGAAACAAATTCACTATAAGAACAAAAACTACAAACATGGCCGACATCAAACTTTGCTGTCTGTGTCATTCAGAGGTTATTCAGACCTGTGTGGGGCTGGCTGGCTTACCTGTGGAGTCGGGTACATGGCGGGATACGGGAAGGTCATGACCCCTGGTGGAGGGTAGAAAGGTGGTGGCAGCAGTTGCTGGGGAGGTTGCCCTGGTGACAGAGAAACAGGAGGGCCTCCGTAGAGGGCGGGGTTAGCAATTGGGCCTCCTGATTGGTGGGGATGTAGAGCTGGGGAGGGAGCGGAGAGGTGAACGTCAAAATCTGATGAACTCAAAACTGTTTGAAAAACACTCAGAGGAGAGAGAGAGAGAAAGACAGAGATGAAGAGAGATTGAAATGAAGAGATGAAGAGACAGAGAGAGAGAAAGACAGAGAAAAAGAGAGAGAGAGAAACTGACCGGGGTGGGGCAGGTGCATCTCTGGCTGGACCAGCATGCCTTGCGGTGGGATTGGGGCAGGGCCTTCCCCGTGAGCGTAGATTGGTCCCTGGTACGACACTGCAGACAGAGCAGAGAAATTCACATGTTTGACACTCAAACTGCAGAGTAAGGAACCTCAGAGGAACTTTTTAGCTTCTTAAACTAACTTAGGATCGTTTCTGAATCTTGCTCTGATTACAACGGGACAAAAAATCAACCTTCTCTGTACTCTGTGTCTTGCTGTCAAGGTAAAAACAGAGCCGATCTGAAACCCAGCAGTCATGTGTAGAAGACATCTTTGTAATGACTGATCTTTACTGTCCTCTGCTGGTGAGATGGAGGTACTTCACAGAGAATAACTAATAAACACATTTTCAAACTTGTGATCTGTCTTTAATAAGGGGTTCATCAGCTGTATGTATAAAAGTCACACTTTATTAATAATAATAATAATAATAATAATATTAGTAATAATAATAATAATAATAACAGAGCTGCAGATTAATCATTGACCAGCTTCTATCTCCGCCCTCTTTCCTTCTGACTTTGGTTTTAGGCTCATCTTCTAATCTTACTGGGTTCATAGTAGTGTCCCTCCATCACTCCCAGGTGCATGGGAGGTGCTGGCTCTGGAACAGCTCGCTGGCGTTGGGAGGAGTAGCGTTTGGCCCGGTTGGAAGCGACACCCATCTCCTCCATGCTGGAGAACTGAGGGGGGCCTCCAGGGAGGTGCATGGGGTTAGGGAGGCCTGCAGACGGAGAGGAGAGTTTGATCACAAACCACAAAGATTTATCAGATTCATCACAGACATAAGAAGAGGAAGTTTGTATGACGGAAGCGCCACGCTGTTTAACGCCAGTGTTGTGAACACATACATGACAGTCTGCAGCCTCTGTCTGTCTGTCATCTCCAGCTACAGTAGAGCTCAAGGCGAACAGAGGCTAGATTGAGGGTCTGAGGATGTGCTAAGTTCTGTGCAGAGCGAACGAGGACTGAGCTGTCGCAGGATTAACTGCAAATTCTGAGACAAAGCGCAGACTCATGCCGAGGTCAGACCACACGTCATAATCACGATTATATCAGCAGACATTAAGTGTTGAAACCCATCGGCCCAGACAGGCTTTATCCCGAGACATCTGTCACAGAGTGCAACAATCAAGGACATGTCTGTGACCCCTCGCCGCCTCCTGACAGGAAGTCTAACATGTTTGTTTGTTCTGACTGTCAGTGCGATTGACCAATGAGAGCACAGCGCGCCCTAGGAGCATAATCCAACCGTCTCAGGTGAAGCAGAGTGATGAATCTGTGAGATTAACTCAGAGGAAAAGTTGGCGGAGCTCTGACAGAAACATCCGAGTGTATGATCAGTCGAGAAAAGGACGACCTCAACAGACTGAAGATGGAGAGAAAAGACTGATCACCTCCAGGGACCTGCTGAGGGACTGAGGTCAGTATTTCAGGGTGTGATCCAGCTCTACCTCCCTTGAATCCCTTGAAGTCAATTGCTCATAATGTGGGAAAATCCTGCACAGATTCAAATGCTCCATATTCAAAATGAACCCATATGCTGCACCGCTAAGACTGAATGATTTAGCCGTTTGTCTCTTCATTTACACAGAGCGCTTTGAGGGTGCGTTTGATTTATTATTCCCAGTCTGCCTGGTTAGTTCAATATTCATTTACTGTATTTTTTTTCTTTTTACCAGAGTAGGACATCCATTTATCATTAAACTTTATACCGAATATTGTTAATAAGGGTGGGAGAAAAAAATAAATTCACACAAGTATTGCAACTTTTTTGTTCTACAATTTTTAAATTGATTTTTTCCCCCAAAAAATCAATTTTTTCCCCCAGAATTTAAGAATAAATGTTAAAAACTGACCTACATGTTGTGTATTTTTGGGGAAATATGGTTCCTGGAATAGTCAGTAGACAATCATAATCATCAACTGTTTCACTGGTCTTAAAAATGCAGACTAAAAATCGACAATATCGTAGAATCGCAATTTAAATCGAATCGGCATCCAAAAAACTGTAGAAGAATCAAATCGAGAGGAAAGCATAACATCCCAGTCCTAGATGTTAACTCACACAATAAGATACAGCAGAAATCCTAAGAACACTCCCAGAAATAGTGAGAGAGCTAAAAAACCAAAACCAGTCATGACAGACAATCAGACAGCAATATTGATGAGATTAGAGAGTGAAAAGGCGGGTCTGAGAAACTCTGACACTTCTCCTCAGAAAAAGAAGAAAAATAAAAACGTTATCTTTCCACCGTGAATCATCTTATTGACACGGATCACCTGAGCTCTCACCTCTCATCTCTGAGCGGATGTAGGAGGTCGGGCTCTGAGTCCAACTCTGTCCGGCCAAACTTAGTCGAGCCACGTCCTGGTCCAGCTCTGCCATAGCTCCTCCTCCTCCTCCTCCTCCTCCGCCTGTCTGACTTGGTCCATCTCCCGCCCAGCTCTTTGCTCCGGCTCCGCTGGGTGAGGAAGCGTTCCCTGCAGCTGCAGACTCTTCCACGGACGGCTGTTTGCTACCCAGATCTGCGGGCCGGGAGCGAGTCCTACGAGCCAGAGCGTACGATTTACGCTCCACCGGCCGCTCAGCAGGAGGAGAAGCCTCGCGATTGGTTGACGTGGGTGCTGACGAATGCAGGGCGGAGTCAGCGTTAGAGGGGGGAGCCGCCAATCCTGACGCAGGTCTGTCGGCAGTCCCTCTTTGTTCCTGATGCTGTCGCCGTGGTGACGCAGACTGGTAACCACCTGACTGAGAGGCCGCAGACACTGCCGTTACAGCACTGAGTTCCTGTTCTCTCGCTCCTCCGTGGCTGACTGTTACTTCCTCAATGACCACAGAGGGACCGCCCCTCCCCCCACCGGCAGCCCGCCCTCCCCTGCTGACCCGCTCGGCTGTGGGGTCTGACAGCGCCTTGGGCCCCTGCCGCTCTCTGGGATGCACCTGTGGAGGGTTAATTTCATTGTTCCTGTACTGCGACTGAGGCAGGGGGTGAGGAGGTCTACTGCGGGAGGGGGGAGGTCTGGAGGAGTTACTCCCCCGCTGGGACAGAGGGAGGGAAGAAGGAGCATTGGAGGGATGGTTGGATGATGGTGGAGCTCCTCCCCGGCTGACGCCTCCTCCCTCTCTGCTCTGCCAGGATCGAACCGCCCGCTCTCCTCCTCCGTCTCGCCATCGCTTGTCTCTGCCGGGGGACAAGTTCTGTCTGTGAGGACAGAGAGACATCAAGATTTAACAGCAACAACATCAACACGAAAGTAGAAAACACATCAAGATTGAACCTTCAGCTTACCTGGGTCTACGCTGCCTGTAAGTCCGGTCTCCATGCCCGCCTCCGTTTCTGATGTCGTAACCGTAGATGGCGATCAGCTCCTCGCGGCTCTTGGGCGCTTGCTCCTCCTCTCTGAACTTGTCGTGTTCCCAGCGACCCTCGTCCTTCCACAACTTTCTGTTGCGACCTTTAGGCCTGAAAGGTTAAAGACAGAGCTGCTGAAAGCTGAACAAGAGATGTCTGTTTTCATCCTCTGAGGAAAGGACTCAAACTTCATCTCAGCAAGAAAGCGTGGTCAACCCTGTTGCTATGGTGCGACTCTTTTTTTCAAAGCTGTGATTGGCTGATCAGCGAAGAGAAAACAAAACTTAAATGACTCTTTGTCAGGCAAAGAACAACGATCGACTGCAGAGAAACAGTCAAAATGAATCTTTTCATGCAGGTCGAGCGGCCTCCTGATCTCAGTGTTATTCTGCACACTTTGATTTTTGACACATACACTAATTAGCAAATCTGCAGGGGGCTTATGGGTAATGAGAACAAAATCACGTAAGACTTTTGATTCAGAGTTAAACAGACTGTTAATCACAGTAAATTTATCAATACTTTTAAGCTTAAACACTTGAAAAACAAGTTCAGACCTCTGACCGACTGAATCAAATATATATATATTAAATATACATCTAAGAAATAAAAATTTAAAGGTTTGTGTGGCGATGTGTACCTCTCCTCCTCCTGAGCGTGTCCTCTCACGTCGTGCTCGAAGAACAGACCCTTCCTCGGGATGTACGCGGGGTTCTTCCGGTCCTCATCGTCATCCAGCTTCTGGCCCGGTTTTCCTCCTGCCTTCGTTTCAGGGTCATCCGTTGACTCCTGAGTGTGTGTGTGACATCAAACAGAAAAGGATGCAATGAGAGGACCGTCTACATGTTGTACGGTGACTGCTTACCCTACAACTCAAGTGTTCTCTGAATGAAGCTTCTGTACAAATGCAGGAATATAACTACATAAACAAAAGAAAAGCTGTTTATATAAGCGGATCTAAATTATTATGATGAACAACATGAGTGTGTGTGTTTCTTCTCATTTCAGGTTCATGAGTCTGTGTGTTTCTGCTGACTCATGAAATGAACTTTTACTGCTTTAAGGCAAACGCTGATCATATGAATGTGTGTTTGTGAAACAGGACCAGGTTTCGTTGGGAAGTCAAACATTTAAAGGCATGCTGCTTTTACTGATCCTTATTCATTTGACGTTGCTGAAAGCGTTCAGGTCAGTCAGGTCGGAAGTCTCACCTGTCCGTCCCCGCTCTGTCTCTCTCCTGCTAGGCTTGCCTTCTCCTCTGTCTTACACTCGTCTTTACTCTGTCCTCCTCCTTCCCCCTCTGCCTCCCCCTCCTCTCCCTGCTGCTGCTCCTCCTCTTGCTCCTCTTTCTTGGTCAGGATGTCGGCTGCAGAGGATTTGGGCTCGCTGGCTGCCGCTGGAGCCTCTTCATCACTGTAACGCTCAGCCTCCTCCTCTTCCTCCACTCCCTGAGGGGACATGGATCGTCATTAGTTATTAGCAAACCATAAAATTCTGTTATATTGTGGTTTACATGATGCTTTCGCTTATTGTCAGAGCTCTCTCTCTCCACCTTTATATGTCTATCCATTTATCTATTTCATATACAGTTAAACCTCTGATAGCTTCCTGCAGCTGGTTGTTACCTCTGAATGGGAGCCGTTTTCCTCTGGATCTGCACTGTCATAGTCCGAGAGAACAGCTGGATGAAAAGAGGAGAAGCAAATAAAAACCTGGAAAGCTTTTATTTTATGATACATTGAATATTGTCGTGTCTAAACTCAATCTCTGGGTGTTAAATTGTACATAATCATTAAGTGACTGCTGTAGATTCAGCTCAGGCTGTGTCTCACCTTCTCCTACTCCATCTTCACTCTCCTGCAAAGACAGAAACACAACGTTCAACATCACCTTCACCTGTTTAGCACAGCTTTCATCAGAATGAGCTCAGATATGATGAAACCCAAACACTCTGATTCAATCCGACTCATTTCCTCTGTGGCTCATCTGCCTATTAGGGGGACATCTGGACGAATATTCAAAAGATTTTTAACTTTCAAAAAACTTTGCGGACTGTCCAGCTTAATGTTACACCTCATGACCAATGACTGTAGAGGCACAACCCTAAAAACATGCAGAGCTTAAAGGGATATTCCGGTGTAAAATTAATTTAGGGTCAAACACACCGTAACAACAAGTTAGACACCCCCTCAAGAGATAAGTGTTGCCGACCACTTGCTTCTCTAGTTATACCAACTTAAGTAACGACTGCATGATAGCAATACACAGCGGTTTGAGGAGCCATAAACAAACCTCAACCAAAACGCCACTCTATAGCCACAAATAATGCTCAGAACAGCACCTAACTTCATCAACAGTACATGTAGAGTCCCAGCCACAGCACTAGCCACCAAACATCTTTTTATCTTGGTCTAATTTCTTTAGCAAAGAGACTAAACACAACTCACCTACTCTCTTCCAGCAGCCGCTTGTTTGTAGCGAGACCTCAGGTAGAGTGACGCAGTGACGCAGCTCAAGGAAGAACATTTGACCATTTCCTCATAGAAATGCAATCAGACCGAGATGCTAAGGCAGAAGGACTACTGCGTCTGCACTGCAAAATGATTAATATGGTGATTATTTCTTAAAGCACATGATAAAATAATGACGATAAATGTTCTTCCTTGAGCTGCGTCACCCTGCAGCAGTCCGTAATGGAGTGGCCCGAGGTCTTGCTACAAATAAATGGCTGCTGGAGGAGTGTAGGTGAGTTGTGTTTAGTCTCTTTGCTAAAGAAATTACGCAAAGTTGAAAAGATGATTGGTGGCTAGTGCTGTGGCTGGGACCCTGTATGTACTGTTGGTGAAGTTAGGTGCTGTTCTGAGCATTATTTGTGGCTATAGAGCGGCGTTTTGGTTGAGGTTTGTGTTTGGCTCCTCAGACCACTAAATTAATTTTACACCGGAATATCCCTTTAAATCAGGAGCAGCTCTGCAGTTCACCTGTATCTTATGATGTTTCACAGTTAACCCACATACATTTAGATCAGGCATGTCCAAACTGTTCCACAAAGTGTCATGTGGCTGCAGGTGTGTCTTCCAACCAAGCAGCAGCTCACCAGACTTGATTCATTTCATCAGCTGATCTCAGTCTTCAGACAGCTGATTGATCAGACTATATGCTCTTGACTGGTTGGAAGAAAAACCTGCAGCCACATGGCTCTTTGTGGAATAGTTAAGACATGCCTGATTTAGATGTTGCACTTCTGTTAACAAAGCCCTAATTCACCTCCAGGTCATGCATAAGCACAGTAAGAGTGTGCTAAACCCAGAGGACTAAATCACCACTGAGCGGATGTCTGAACTGGGCCCGTCCAGCTAATAATCAGGAGTCACCTCATGCACAGCCTCACAGCATTTTAAACAAAGCCACACTCGCTGCCTTCAAAGCAGTCTTACTTACGAAACAACCCGGACCGAGAAACATATTTTTAAGGGTATAAACGTTCCAGAAAACAGCCTGACGCCAGTGACGGTGTTATGGCTAAAGCCGTGTCCCTGTAAATGTGTTCCGACTGGCGCCTTTTCCTCTCTGTTTAACAACACATCAAGTCCCAACTAAATTATCTAATTAAGCTTATAACGCTGAAAACACCTTAACTGTAAACTGCCGTTAGTAAGGTTTATATATTTCCACGCCACTGTGCTACGTTGGCGTCATAAAAAAACCGTCATAGAGGGTTTAATAGCTCGACTGGTGTCCCTGGAGCTAAGGTTCCGTGCAAAGATAGAGTCTGTTATTAGTGTTGATTTGAATCAATAACTCGTTTTAAGCTTCCTGAGTAATATGCGGCCGCAGAAAAGTTTTAAAGGAAGCAGAGTCTGTCACCAATCCAACGGGTGTTCTGTCGAATGAAACTACCCTTCGAAATATGATACGCGACGGCTCTTGGCACGACTGCGCACGTGCAAAGCGACAATTCTCGGCGGTTTTCACTCCGACCGCGAGTTGGGGCTACTAATGACTTACTTGTATTTAATTAAGGCTATCGCGTTTCTATTGAACTCCAACGCGGTACAGGAACATTAAAAGTCACCTCCACACTCAGCCAAAGAAGACCGAGTGAGCGGGGGTTAAATATTGACTGATTCGGCCATGGATTAATTCAGAGAGGACATTGTTCGCTAAGGTAGCACATCTCGTCGGTACACCGGGTCAGAGTTAGCCGTCAGCTAGCTGCTACCAGGGCTCAGCTACTCACACACTCGGACTCCACGTCGCTCTTCGCCTCCACCCGGACCGGTGTCGGCTCCGGCGGGTCGGGGTCTCTCCCCCGGGTCTTTGTACTCGGGGATCCCGACCTCCCGCTGTCAGAACCCGAACCGGACTCGTCGTCGTCCTCGCTGTCCTGGGACGCGCGCCTCCTCCTTCGCCGCCGGTCCGCCATCTTAGATCTGGAATGGTTGGAACCGGAACTAGGCAAGGAATTGTGGGTGTAGTAGTTCTTCTTCAGTGAGTTATTTCAGAGCTATCAAACCAGTTTTTTTTCCATTGATCGCCGCCTGGTGGAGATTACTTTGATGTGTAACGCTCTAACTATCTTCTTCCTTTATTGATCAAGAATAAAAACAGAGTCTGTCCTTGAAAAGAGGTAATTCAAACAAATGAGAGGGCAGGTAGCATCTGGGTCAGCTGGAGTTCAGCAGACAGAAGACCCTGAGTTTAAGTTTGGATGCAAATCCTAAAGGCAAATAAAAGAACATGAAGACAACGTGCTTCAGGATCCCTGGATGTGTGGTTTTAGTTCACAGCCAAGAGTGAACGCCTGGATTCTTCCTATTTGTGTAAGGAGAGCTGGAGTAAACCTTGGGGAGCCCATAGACCAGGGCTCAACCACCAGACAAAATCCCTCCTGTCCAACCCCAGCTGCTGGTGCTTTAATCCCTGTTTTGTAGGATGTGACATTTTGGTCATATTGCACACCTACAATCACTTGTGTCTGCATGGTAGTCTGTTGGCATCTACAGTAGCACCAATGCTATTTACTTTCATGTAGACTGGGCCCCATTTCTAAATATGTATTTAAGTTTTATCTCGATTATATTTGAATTTAATTGGAAGCACCATTTTTCTTTTAAAAAGCCTCCATAGTGGTGTTGTTGACTGATGAAGCAGCTTGGAAAGTTTACAGATAAAATAAATAAGTACAACAGATATTTTAGACGGAGTAATATCTTCATACCACACTCTCCTTCTCTTCATTTCAGGTACCGCAAGCTGTAAAGGCCCCACAAGACTGTACATTTGACCAGGAGGACCTATTTTCCCAATACATTCATGTAACATTTTATCTTATGTGCCATCTTTTTTGCACCATTACCACTGCTGACTCTGTTGTGACAAAAGTTGTTCAAGTCTTTGCCGATGTGATCGGGAATGATAATGATAATTAAATTGTCTGGTAGTAAATTATCAGGGAGTTGGAATGAGCGCAAGTGCCTGTTTGTGGGCAGGGTCAGCAGGAACAGCGATAGAGGGGAGAGGAGGAACTGAGGGGAAAACTGGTGGGGTGGGGTCGTGTTTAGAGTCAAAATTTCTCCCCAGAACTGACACTTCTGAAATCCTGCCTTCCCCACCTTCAAGGACCTCAAACGCTCTATTCAAAAGCGTTGCTACAACTTCTTCACAGCACCTTACAGAACCAAGTCGGATCCACCAGCAGAGGTCCAGCTGGTCTCCTCTCCAGGAAACAAGTCACCGGACGCTACACTCCTGGATGATCTGAGCTAAGTAAGAAGTTTTAGTCAGGGCAGGACTAGTTGAAGTAACACTGACCCTAACACACACATAAACACACACATAAATTAGAGATATCTTCACATGGAGACATAACCTTGCCGGAGGTCCCAAACTGTGCAAATATTTCCTTTAAGGCAATATTTGTTGTTCAGTTGCCTTGAGGGTTTTGAGGATAAAATACTGACATGATGCAAACATATAGAGCTCGTAACTGTGTCCCCAGTCGCTGTGTGACATTTAGTTTTCCTACATTAGGAGGAGTGTGCTCGTTTTTAAGTCTGTGATCCTGATCTTTGTGATAACATCTATTTTCTGTCAAATTCAGAGGAAATATGGAGCAAATCAGCGAATGCCTCTGCCGCTACAGAGACTTCAACTTTGTCATGGGGGAGTATACCTCTGCAGAGCACATCGACTCCCTGCAGAGCTTTGAGATACGAGACAGCGATATCTTCCTGGCCACTTATCCAAAGTCAGGTAAGAGACGGACTCTAAAACACAGAATTACACTGTTTGCTCTTTGCTGAGAGCAGGAGGATCAACTTTTTCACCTTTGTCCCTTCTCAGGCACCATATGGACTCAGCAGATCATCATTTCTATCTGTGAGGTCAATGGAGGTCTGAATGAGTATCCAAACAACATGAGGCAGATGCCGTGGTTGGAGTACCATATAAAAAGTGACGACTTCTCTCTACGCCCGTCTCCTCGACTCTTCTCCACCCACCTCACACCAGCTCTCCTGCCTCCGGGACTAAAGGACAAGAGGGCAAAGGTCAGAGATCCCTGAGAGCTTGTCATGTGTACTGTTACAGATTACTGGGAAAAAGTGGACTGGTCCTTTAAGTTTGGGACAGTAGAGAGATGAGCATGTGTTGGTTTGTTTTTTATACATCAGGTTATTTACGTGATGAGGAACCCCAAAGACAACATCGTCTCCTTTTATCACTTCAGCTCCACCTGCGGTTACATGCCGACCCCGCAGAGCTTTGAGACATTTTTGGAGGATTACCTGGATGGTAAAGGTGAGGCATTATCAGTCTGTAACTCAGGTATCAGTCTTTAAGACAGGTATCACAGACAAATTTTAACCTCTGACACTGGGGGTCAGTTTTAGCATCCTCCTGGTTCGATCACATCAGAGAGTGGCACACAAAGAAAGAGCAGTACAACATCCTCTTCCTCACCTATGAAGACATGATCCTGGTAGGAAAAATCAAAGTTTAATAGAAAACTACATAAACCAAAGATAAACTTGTTGGCTCAAAATGAAATTCAAATACAGAATGAATTCTTCTGCTGTCTGTCTTTTAGGACCTGAAGAGTGCAGTGACTAAGATCTGCACTTTTCTGGGTAAAAACCTGAGTGAGGCAGAAATTGAGCAGGTTGTCGAAAAATCTACATTTAACGTCATGAAGAACGACTTGAAGGCAAACTATGAGTTCCTCCCTGACACTATTGTCCAGAAGGGAGCGTACATGCGCAAAGGTACAAGAATGCACTACAAACACATAAAAACGTTCAGGTGTTTTTTTTCTTTTTCCAATTTTTCTCTCTTTTTTTCTACTCCAGGTAAGATTGGAGACTGGAAAAACACCTTTACAGCCGATCAGAGTGAAAGAGTGGATCAACTGCTTCAGGAGCGACTCGGAGATCTGTCTCTGAACTTCATCTGGGAATAAAAAGATCAGACTTTTTTTTTCTAGTTTCTACTGCTGTAAAGAGTACAGCACTGCATGCGTACTGCATGATGAAAGAGTTCTTACCAACCACTAAAACATGTCATTGGGAAAAATAATCACCACCTGTAACTTGGAAAATTTAAGAGAGAGATAAAATAGAAAATAAATTCCAGCATTTGTTTGGTGCAGTAACGTTGCATCCACAGCAGGGGTCGTGGTGAGTCTCTTAGAGACCCAGTAACCACTGGAAAGTTTAGGTTATGTTGTGGCATATTGAAATTTCCATCTCACTGAGCTGGCTATCAGCCTTTATCTGAAAAACAAAATGCAAAAAGTTAAGTAGAAATTTCACAACTTCTTAACAAAAATGATAATTTTTTAAGTCAAACTTAAAAACTCACTTTTACAGACTTGCTTTTATGTGATCTCGTCTTTTATCTTTTATCTGTCATCTCTTATTTCTTTTACCTCTGTTTTATGTTGGCTTTACTGTCTTTTTAGCTTTTGTTATACTTGTACTCTTTTCTTAATTAACCTTTTAGGCCTTTTATTGTTTTATCTCTTGCTCATTTCTGTTGCTCTATTTTATCATTACTATTATCATCAGTATTACCTGTTATTATTTCATTATCATTGTTGATATTGCCTTTTATATCTACTATCCTGTTTCTGCTTTCGACCCCCCTTTTAATTGCATTTCCTTTTTCTTCACTATTCTATGTTTTTATTTTGGTCCTCATGGTCTCATTTTATGTTGCATGGTTCTTGGATTGTCTGGGTTCCTTATGACATGAAAATGGTCTTCAATTTCTGTTCAAACTTCTGCTTTTAAAAGTGCTATACAAATAAAATTATTAGTAGTAGTAGTCGTAGTATTTTATTATTATCATTACTACTCCTGTTACATCTGGTTTCGTTGTATATTTTAGCCATAGACTGTACATACTATGGACAACTCGGTTCTGCCTTCCGCCAGTGTACGGATTTGAAGCAGAAAAGCTCTCTGTATTACCGTGATTTTCTCCATTTCCTGAAACCAACATTGCGCAGTAGCGTTGTACGCACTTCTCCACTTGCGCAGTAGCATCGTAGCATTCAGCGGGAGAGTCGCCGAGAGTCTCTGTGATGACGCTCGGCTCAAACAGCGTATCCCCGGGTGAGCTACGCAGTCTAAGTACGCCCATAGGCAATCGGTCTTACAGTAACTATATGTGTCTATATAGTATGCCAAATACAAAGAGTAGGCTTACAACAAAAAATGTTTGCCCTCCGTCCTCAAGTCAGTGAATATCGTAAGGCGTGAGGATGGATGAAACATCCCTCAATGAGACACGATTTATCGTCTTTACGGTATTCTGCATGATTTTTAGGGTCGCACCGTAACAGTTATTACGGTAAAAACCCAGCAGGTGACATCATTGTGAGCCAGTCACGCCCATTCAGAAAACAGAGGGGTGAGAGAAAGTATTTACGCTGCTGTGAATCTTACATATTGAGAGCTACCACTGACACGTCCGGACGCTGCGGAGGGAAAACGAAACTTTTTCAACACAGCTTTGCTCAAAGTGGATATTTTTTGTCTTGTTGGAGTACTTTTCTTTGGTTTAAGAATATCCTTCTGCCGAAAAGGTGAGTGATGAACTAAAACACTCAAGGTAAATTGTGTTGACTTCGTGAGCACCGTTGTACTCCCCGTAAATAATTGATCATAACCCGCCAACTTATTGCAGAAGTTGCACAGAGCCAACGAAATTATTATTATTTTTTAACTGAAAGTGCAGAGTTTGCTGTCATTCCTATTGCTTTCTTTTTCTAACTTCGTTGTGTCGTTTGGGTTCACTTTCCATTACGAATTGAGTTTTTCCTGGCGCGTGTGTGTTTCCTGTGGAAGTGGAGGCAAACAAGTAAGCAACAGGGGGGCCAACAATTGGAAGAAAAAGCCCGTGTTTATGTGTGTACTCGACGTGTCATCCAATTACATCTTCACACAAACCTGAGTCCATACTGTGTGTGTGTGTGTGTGTGTGTGTGTGTGTGTGTGTGTGTGTGTGTGTGTGTGTGTGTGTGTGTGTGTGTGTGAATAACAGAGGGAGCTTTCATTCAGGGACTTGAAAAGCTTTGCTGTGAACGCAACCTCATACTCTGAGTTAATGAATTGCTGGAAGATGTGGGCGCCTAAGAGCTGGATGTTGCCAGTATCCATCAGATATTGTGTGTGTGTGTGTGTGTGTGTGTGTGTGTGTGTGTGTGTGTGTGTGTGTGTGTGTATTAATCATACATGAGAGCAGAGGTGGAGCAAAGCCTTTGTTTTTGAGCCCTGGTTCAGATCTGTTGTTGGTTGCAACATAAAAACATTAGCAGATGTGTTAGATTTAGTGTGTGCATGTGTGTTGTGTGTGTGCAGTAACAAAAAAAGTCCCATATTAGTAAAAAAAAAAAAAAAGAGTGGCAGAGTATCACAGACACAGTTTAGGTCAGGATGTGGTTGCCTCTAAAAGGTTACGGGAACCCCCACTCAAACTACACGCAAATCATGTGTGAACAGATTCAGTGGTCTGAAATTCATTAGGCTAATATTGATCTGGGTCATGCAGGGACGCACTGAGGCTATACCATGTCATCTATATAACTGCATGTCATAGCTTGCTCGGAGGTGTTCAAGGGCCGTCGTGACTGAGACTGAAGAGGACCCTTGTACAAACTGAGTGCTCTGTAAGGTTGGTTTGATTTTTCCATTCCAGGCATTCAGTGAGTGTTTTATTGCACACCTATGTGTTCATAAACGAATAGGCTTCAATGACCTTGGTCTCAGTGCAGATTTCTTTATACACAGTTTTTAAAAGTAGACAGGATGGCCTTGGAGTCAGAAGTTACAAGTCAGTTTAAAAGGAGTTAGGCATTTACAGTCAAGGCATTATAAGTCATACTTTACAAAATCCATAAAATAGGACAAAGTACTCAGGAATATAATATATCTTGCTCTGTGGTCACACCTAGTTTAACTCTCCTACACGTCAGCTGGTAAAGCCTTGGGTGTAGAAGTTTGGGAAGAGTGCAGGGTTAACAAATACTAAGTAATCAAAGTCCACCTTCTGGTCCAAATATGGTCACATATCAAATAAAGTAAGACAGCAAATACAGCAGTGCAGTGGAGTCAGTAGTTCACAGACCAACCTCTACTGTCATAGTGACTCCGCCATATTCTAACCCTTTGTGTCAGAATTTAAGATTATGATATTTGGAAGCACAACAGTCTGTTCACAATTAATCAGGTTAAGTGACATAAAATTACACTAAATGGGAAACGGACCCTGTTTATATTGGGCGGTCTCTAGTCTTCTGACATTATAAATAAATAGATATAGCAATCATTTCAACAATTTTCTGTGTCAAACCAATGTGAGGATGCTCATTCACCCTAACCATCATCCTACACGTCTCTTATTCCATTAGTATGTTTGTATTATTACAAACTCAAAGGCGCTATCTGCACCATCTTTTCATGTGTTAGTTCAGTCGTAAAGTCTCGTTGTTTGTTGAGCTTTTATGCCACCTAAATGGCTTGTTACAGATTTTATGACTGAACCTTTTACAACCCCGAGGTTGTGAGATGCAGCTTGTTGTGAAAACCTTAGCCGTTGTGAAATATGATCTGTTGTAATAGTCCCTTGAGGGTTCTGGCTGAGGGCAATAAAGCAAAGATAATGGAGGGCTGGGAGATATTGGAGGAAAAACTATTGAATTGGGAAAGAAGTCTGAGCGTAATTATTGAAGCAGGAAAAACATGACAAAGATGGAGGGAAGAGGAGGAGAGGGAGCAGGGTGTCACCGACATTATCAAAGATTTTAGATCCAAAATTGTTCTCATTTTCACCGTCCATTATGCCAGTTTGAGACAACTGACAACTGGCTCTGTGCTCGCTTGTTGTTCAGTTTGTCGTTGATGTTTTGTGTGTGCAGTATAATTATGGACGTGGCTTGGTTTCGCTGTTGATTGTGTATAAAGGTGCTCATGTAGCTCCACTTGAGTTTCTGAGCTTGTTTGTTTTTCATAGGAGAGAACAAGAACGTTGAGAAAACTCTTCTTGATTCCTGTATGACACACCTGTATTTGTTTTTGTATTATTATGTATGATAATACAGGTGACCTACAGTGGCCGAGAACCGCCACTGTTGCAAATAAAAAAGAATGCAAAAAAAAGAAGCCACAAAGGAAGTTACTGATGGGAGAAAAAAAAAACTGAAGCCCGCTGCAAATAAAAAAAAGAAATGCTGCAAATTAAAAAAGAAAAAACTTACTGTGAAATAAAAGGATGCAAATAAAAACAGCCACAACAGAAGTGAGCTGCCGGGGACCAATAATGAAAGAAGTGAGGGGTCTGCGTACTTATTTCTAGAAGTAAAGCAGCCGAACCGTAAAGCTACCAAACTTGATTCTCCTCTCGTAGGCGGTCTGTCAGAGCGAAGTGGGTTTCCCGTGTTAGCCAAAGCTAAGACTACACCAGCATCCTCCGGTTCAACTTCATATCACATCAGGCACAACATGGCCTAAAAAAATGACACATTGAAAAGCACACCAAGCGATATTAAACAATAACCTTTCCACTCACTTCTTTGCTCGTCTTCTCGCCGTCGTCTTCTGTGGCTAGATCGTAAAACAACGGTGCATCATCATTATTGGTCCTCTGCAGCTCACTTCCGTTGTGGTTTTTTTTATTTGCATCTTTTTATTTTTGCAATAAGTAACTTTTTTTGCATTGCCACATTTTTTGCATCGTTAGCTACTGTTGTGGCTTTTTCTTTTTTAATCTGCACCGTTTCTTTTTTAATTGCAGCAGGCTTCAGTTTCATTTTTTTTTCTTTTTTTCATCGGTAACCTCTGTTGTGACTTCTTTTTATTTGCAGCAGTGGCGGTTCTCGGCCACCGTCGCAACACTTGGTTAATACAGCAGTATATAATAGCTATGATTTAAAGTAATATTTGCTGTTTGGTTGTGGGTCTTCATGTACTTTTATGTGACCAAACTTTAAGGGGGATAGAAAGGTATACTTGGTTAGCGACACATAAACTGTTTGCATGTGTATTTAGGGATCCACTTAGGGTCATGATAATCTGGGGCTGACCCTAACACGCACACTTGAGCTTTAGCAACACCAGAGCAGCGACACAGGCTAGTCACCTCCACGCTACACCCCATTGCTGCAGTAAATGATGGTAAAGCAGCCCCAGTCAAGTCTTGAATGTGTATACTTTCAAGAAGCTGAACTTTACTCATGATGCATGTTTTGATTCATCCCAGGGAATACTCTATAATTTGAGGTAGTGTTTTTATAATTTGATGGAGATAAAGAGTTAATGTGAGTGCAGAGTGTGAAACTACACCACACTGAAAATTTGATGGCAGTTTTGAGAGACAATATGCAAATCATGCAGGAGAACAAACCATTGAACAAACAATTGGCACTGAATCAGTGCATGTGTGAGGACACATTTTGTGTGTTGTTGTTACTGTCAGCCTGCCTAAAGGGCAAATTCCACCCACTCTGAAATATGACTGGAATGGCTTTCTGGAGGCATCCCTGTCCTTATCTCCATCGCACTCAAGGTTATACTTGGAGGGGTGTATGTGTATAATAAGACACTGCTAAACCAGGCGGTACATTGTTGAACCACAACTGTGAGGTGATAACCTCTACTGTTGGATTACCGCTGGGTATGTTTGTTTTGGAGAGGAGAGCGGGGTGAATAATCTTGCTCCAAGGTAAGACCTTGTAAGAAACAAGTAGTGAAACATGGTTTTCTGCTCAACACTTGGCTGAAAGGTACCACATAAGCCACTTCAACATGTGGCTGACGTGGTTCTTCCTTACAGTGTTCACAAAAACCTTCTTTTGGAGGGTGTAGCCATTCACTGCTACTTCACATTCTTTTTTGGACAGCACTCAGTTTTATAAATCCTCTTCTATCTTTTTGAATGGAATCAGAGAAGCATGACTTTTTAACATGACCTGATTGAACCAGTGTTGAACTGGTTTTACACACTGGTTTGGTTTCATTTGTTTGGATAGCACCAGAGCTCTGCAGGTTACTCTGTGCTGCTGTGCTTAATACCTTGGGAATCTGCCGCATCTGAAACATGTAAAAACTCACCTGTGGCTTGGAGATTTCTCACCCTGAAGAGTCATATTTCTCTGTTAGAAGGAGTTGTTGTTCTGATAAGAGTGTAAACAGATCTACATGTTGTGAAGTTGAACCAAGTGGGGTAATTGTACTGCACGAGACAAGGCAGAACACACAGGATCAGGTTTCATTGGCAGGCTCAGGGTTATAGGCATTGTGCAGGCATAGCCGCATTTGTTTGCTTCCTGCTTTCCTGTCTGCAGCATGCTGCTTGTACAGGAGGGGCCTTTAGTGTAGTTTTAAAATTCAGTTATAATTTCTTTTAAGACGGTGTTAAGCTCATACCCACATTACTTGCAGTTGTTTTGATGAATCTCAGTTGTTGATTACGAGTTTTATGGATTTTTTTGTTTGAACTGTTTACCTGCGTCTCATGTGGGCTGAGACGAAGAGCCTGCTGTGGCATTTTTTGCCCACAGCAGCCCAAAACTTTTGATCAAATGTAGCACTGAAGCCTTACTTTCTTTAAGAATTGATCCAAATTTGATGATCACACCGTTAAAAACAATGCTTTTACTTATATTGATATTGAGGAAAATTAATTTTTGATATTTATTGTTATTGTTTTTTCGCTTAGGCCTACAGTAAAGCATTAATTTTACTATAGTACAGTTACAAATATGACTTGTCAATACAGACTTATCTGTGAAATGGGACTTAAACTCGTGATTTTATATTCATATTCTATTATGATTTGGTCCTGCAGGTAGTTCAGTGTCTCTTATACCATGTAGAGTATATTTTTAACAATGTGCATTGTAAAGTCACTGTTGTTTGAGTCCTTGGTATCCCCTTGCAAATCATTGTTCAGTACATTTCTGGATGTACTCTTCTTTTCCTTTTTTTCTAAAGGATTATTTTTGGTTTAATCAAGAGGACAGGACAGTGGAAAAAGTCAGAAGCAGGGAGGAGACAGAGAGGGGCATTTTTATGCTCGGACCAAAGGCTGCTGATGTTTTGAAGCTTCAGACTTTGCACAAGTATTTATGCTTAACTAGCGCCCCTGATATGTCCTTCTTGGTTAATTTCTCACATTATAACTGTGACAGGTCATCGTACCCCGGACTGATCATGGACTTGGCAAACCCTCACTAGCTGCTGCAGCTGAATGTAAACAAGAGGGGAGTTCTGGACTTTGTGAAATGTAGTGAATGAGGCCAGATTGACTCATCTTCCACATTTGTGTCAGTTAATCTCTTTCTGTTGAAACTCTTTTGTATTTCACTGTTGAATTACAATTTGTTTGTCTGCCCTGTTAAAGCCCAACAGGGAACATTAGTGTCTTCTCTCTTTTTCACGAACACTTAAGAGCAGAAGAGAGGAGCCATTGTCATCTTGAAGATGTCAGCGGGATGCAGCGCCTGATGGGACGCTCTGTTGTTGATGCTGCTGTAACAAGCACACCATTGAGTAACAGTAGAAGGGACCGCATCTCCTTTTTCCACTTTGTTATCTTCTCCCTATCTCTTCTCTTTCTGTGTTTGAACTTCCTTACCCTCATCTGTAATTTAGACTGAGAGAAAGACAGCTGAAAACAACACGAATGCCGGGATTTTCTGTTGCTTTTTTAATATCCCAATTCAAGTCATGAGGTTTTGAGGCTTTAATTTTAGTGACCTATTGCTCAAACGCTGGGAGAAACTTTGTAAAAAACACCTGGTGACACAGCTTGCATTTGACCTGGCATTATCAGCGTCTGTGTTTCCAAATAAAAAGTGCAAAAACAGAATAAGAAGGAAAACCACATACAGAGTAAACAGTGAAATGGTCATGTCAAACTCAGTGTGAGTGCTCTTCAAAATAAAATGTACATGTAGTTTATTAGATTTATTTCAGGTGCCGCAACAACTCGCTGAAATTATAACTGTTGATCATTTCAGTGATTCGCTGAAAAGACCCGCCTCACTCAGCTCAAGTTTTTCCTCTTTGGATGAAGTGTTGCTACAGTACTTCCTTTTCCTGCAGTGGTAGGAAGTGGTGGTCATACAGTTTGGGTGTGACACTCTGAGGGGGGGGATGAGGAAAAGAAAGGAAGGAGAAAGCGAGCCAGGTGTTTATCTTCGGGTACAGAAAGGACAACAGCACTCAGAGCTTCTTTACCCTCTCATTGTCTGTGGCTGGAATCCAGTATGAAATGACTCTTGTGTTAATAGTAGTGGAGCTTTTCCGATACTGTCAACAAGAGGAGGTGTATTCCAACACAAGATTGATAATACTCCAATGTACATACTTGAAAAAAGAACTACTCAATCAGCAGCAAAGAGACACCGATGAAACACAGAGCTTTTTTTATTCCTCAGAGGTTTAAATTGAGTTTTCATTTCCATAAAATCAAAGGTTAATTGCTTTTATTGTTTATTCATTTAAAAAATGGTCTATTTATCCATTTTGAAATGATAAATACAAATTATACATGTGCACAATGTCCAATCAGTGTAAATGGGTTGCCCAGTTATTCTGCGATCTGGTCCTTCTGATCTTCAGCCATCTCCAGTTAATGTGACGGTATTTGCATTGCGCATATGATCAGTCTCATTGCGCCAACCTAAGCATATACTCCTTGGATCCGGTCTGTGTCTGTGCACACTTCCAAAATAGTCCTCTGCTGGCTTTTGCCTGCTGATATCAATCTGATTAGCTCTCATGTGACAGCGGCAGAACCCTGCAGTGGCTCCTCTATGGTGTACTCTATGTAAGGAAAGAAAGGGACAAAGATAAATAATGCAGTAATTTTGGACCTTTTGCAGTTAAAGGATTAACAGCGGTTCAACCTGAAGGAAAACATACAGAGGCTGAAAGGAAAACTGTAAAATGAAGAAGAAAAAACAACCAGCGATTCACCCAGCTAGCTAGTATTTATTTTCTGTTCAAGGAGTTGGTGTCACAGTGGAGATTAAGGCAGTACCTCAAGAATTTGTCAAGCAGTACAAGTTTCAATATAAACATATTTCAAAATTAATAGATGTAAACTTTAGCATCAGAACTTGTTCAAGTCCACCTCTTCTGCTGCAGCCAAGCCCAATAAAGGGTTAATCCAAACACATTATGGCTGTTATATCCATTAAGATCTATGGGTTTTCTTTGAATCCACAAGGTTGTATATGCTCTTGCTCAAGTAGTCTGTGATCCATCTAAGATCAGGTGTTGAATCCTTCCTCTTTCCCCAGGTAAGCAACAGCAAGAACAGGATCTTTCTGGTCCAAAATGGCTCCTTTTAGAGCTGAGTTCTTTATGTCTGATCCACACCACCCTCCTTTGTGTAGATGTTTGTTCATACCACCAACAGAGAGCTGGTAGAAACCGATATAAGTTTTCTGGAACAGTGCATTAATTCATTATTTAAACATGTCCAGAGGAGGCGACTGCAGGTGTTAATACAGACTCAGTGTTCAGATTTCATAAACGTGTCGGCGACTAAAATTCAGGAGATGTTGCATTGACGCACATGAGGGATGAGTCATCAAATTGGACCACGACCATTTCTTGCTGTCACACTTTATCATATTCAGCCTTGCATGCATGTAAAGTACCACCCTCACATCCACACATCAACACGCCCACACGATGTACATGCATAGGGAGCTTGGTGAAAAGTGGCTGACCTTAGGTTAATGCTTTCCGCCGTCAGTGCTCCTCACTGGCTGAATAATGTGTCTGAAGCAGCCTCTCTCTTTCTTTGTGTCAGTGCATTCAAGTCTCTCATAACCTGCCTGGAGCCGGTAACAACCCCCCTCCTCTTAATGTTGTTCCCCTGCTGAAAAACAGACGTCGCAATGACTTGGCCAGAGAAAGCTCAGAGGCAAGAATCAATACAGCAGCAGAGGAGACATGGTAGAAAATGTAGACATGCAATCTGCGTTCAAAGAGCATACAAGTCTTCACAATTCGAAAGGCCCTAAAAAACTAAACCAGAAAAGTTAAAATAAGGCCTTGACAGTACTGAATTTGATCTACAAAAGCCTTTGAGCTCTGTCTCGTCATTCGTCCTTGTGAGATTAAAAAGATAGTCTCATCGGAAAAGCCTGTCATCGCTGAATGTATTTTGCCTTTGTGTGACATAAAAGAAACCTCTTACGAAAGGTACTGTCATCATTGTTCGAGTGTTTATTAATAAGCTTGTCCAGTCTGGGGAGTAAGTTTTCGAGACAAAAGCTCGCTGTCTCATGCTGCCTATGATGCTCACGACAGCAGCTCTAAAAGCTTCACCTTAAAAGCTTCAATTAATGAAAAGACATTTGGCTTTTGTCACGTCTGTTTCTGTTCTCTGTGTGGTTAAGAATGCCCTAAGCTGAGCTGGTAATATATGTGATTGCAGGAAGCCTTGCTCTAATTTTCCAGTCTAATTAGGTTTGTGTTCACTGTTCTGTTCCTTCCCTGTGTTACCCTTGGGTCATTTTGCCCTGGTTGACACCTTTTTGTATTTTATTTTTTTATATTTTCCTTTTTTTTATGATGAAAAACGAGCAGAGGCTGGAGGAAAAGAGAGGTCAGGATGATAGTGCGAAAAGACGCTGTATATCAAGTCAACATGCTGTGTCCTAGCTTTTTTTTTTTTTCACTGTTTCTGTGTATTTATCTCCTCATTTGTACAAGAGTAGTCTAGCTAGCAGTACAAATGAGAATTTTCCTGACTGTCTCCTGCTTGGTTCACAATCTGGTTTACCCTGACAGACGCAGAGGAGGGTGTTACACTAGGTTTTAACAAGTGTTCACATTCGTAGTGGATTTGTCAAAGCATTCAGAGACAGAAGCTGGTTGCTCTTGGCTTTGTTGTCGACAGGTGTCTCATGTGGTACCTGAGTTAAACCTAAGGCTAATTTTTCTCTCTTTTTTGTTTTGTTATTTCTCTGCAATTTTATCACATCGATGACTGTAACTGGCAGCCCGGAAACTTAAACCATTGCAGGTTCCTTAAAGATTCAAACTCGAATAATGGAGTTAAAGGGATATTTCGGCGTAAAATTAATTTAGGGTCAAACACACCGTAACACCAAGTTAGACACCCCCTTGAGAGATGAATGTTGCAGATCGCTTGCTTCTCTAGTTATACCAACTTTAGTAAAGACCGCACGATAGCAATACACAGCGGTCTGAGGAGCCATAAACAAACCTCAACCAAAACACCACTCTAGAGCCACAAATAATGTTCAGAACAGCACCTAACTTTATCAACAGTACATATAAGGTCCTAGCCACAGCACTAGCCACCAAACCAGTCTATCATTGACTGCTGCGGGGTGACGCAGCTCAAGGAAGAACATTAATGATCATTTCTTTATGAAAATGCAATCAGACCGAGACGCTAAGGCAGAAGAACTACCGCGTCTGCAGTGAAAATGATTAATATGATTATTACTTCAAGGAAATGATTAAAAATTTATCATAAATGTTCTTCCTTGAGCTGCGTCACCCCCGTTGTAGTCCGTAATGGACTGGCCCTAGGTGAGTTGTGTTTAGTCTCTTTGCTAAAGAAATTAGGCAAAGTTAAAAAGATGTTTGGTGGCTAGCTCTATGGCTAGGACCCTTTATGTACTGTTGATGAAGTTAGGTGCTGTTCTGAACATTATTTGTGGCTATAGAGTGGTGTATTTGACCCTATATTAATTTTACGCTGGAATATCCCTTTAATATCGATACATGCAAAGTTTTGATTTTAAATGACATGAGAATATCCTCCTCACCAGAAGCAGGGGTTGCATTTAAATAGCACCGTAAATCTCTGAACGAAAAATGAAGAAACAGACTAAAGTATCTGCGCTGTGTACATTCCCCCACACTTTGTTGGAAGCAGATCGCAGAAATCATCTTCTTGTCTGTTCTGGTTATTTATATTAGATGTTATCTATAGATGTTATCGTCTCGGCCTCCAGTCTAACCCCTCTGACTGCGTTTATCTCTCTATGAGATTTATTTCAGGAGACAGTCATCTTTGTACTTGGTATCATGAAGTTGGCTGGTCTTTTTTAGCAGTTAGATGTGACAGACATTGGCTGCTATTTACTTATAAAGTACTTTCTGGGAATATGCCAGAAAGCTCAATCAAACAGTTTCAAGTTTAATTCTTCTCCTGCACAGATTTAAACCTAATTTTTTCATTTTCACATATTTTATTTGTTGTGAACGTGTAACTCAGTTTTTGATCCACTAGTTTTGCACTTTGTTTTATTTAAATATTTAGCACTGTTATCCATGTATTTGTGTGTTTGTTTGGGCACAGTACAGAGAAATAAACCTGCATCGGTCATTTTCACATATTTTATTTGTTAAGAGGAATTTTTTCCCCCCTAAGTAAAGCTAAGCTAGCCAGCTTTATTCTAGACATGTGGGATTGAAATAACATAAGGAAAGTATGGGTCAATGATTGGACTGGAGCCAAGTCATAACTCTGTTATGTAGATAAACAGCCCAAGCAGTTTATTTTTGTCTCTGCTCACTAAACCAGTTCTACTTGTTTTGGTTAAAAGTTGTAAATGCTAAGAACAAAGTAAATCCTGTACCACCCTGTCAGGGATGTCAGGGAGGGACTGTCTCTGTGTAAATTAAAGTCTTTCTTAGATGAATGGATTCAATCTGTAGAAATACCAGACTGTTACGCTACGATTAAATGAACTTTGCATATACAGGATCATGACAAGTATTATGTTCATATGCAAAAACGGTGGTAGCACAATACTCTCATCTCGTGTGTGTGTTGGGTTAATGTATGTTCCTGTATGTGTGTGTGTGTGTTTGTCCATTCACCCAACCCTATGGCCTGGTATTTGCTGTATCAGCAGGGTCTCTGGGTTGCGAGGTGTTTTGAGAGGACTGGAGGGCTATCATGGAAAGTTCCACGGCACACAGTTAAGTTTTGTGTGAGTGAGGATGTGTTAGTGAGAGAGTAAAAAAGAGCATGACGGGCAGAATAACAGTGATGGGACCTCTTCATGGGCTCCAGATGAGATATTTCGTTCATGTCAGACTCATATTTAGATGAACATTCAACTTTTTAAAAAAACTGATATGATAAATATAAATCGATATAACATGATTCTTCATATTCTAGGTTGTATTTTTTGAAAATAAACAACATGAATATATACTGTGTGCTGATTTTGTCGTCAGGTAGCAGTCAACAGTGAGACTCCACAGGCTAAATCTGTTCTCAGCTTATCGCGTTTACCTCCCTCTGGCAGGATCTCCTGTTTATCTCCCACTTTTCCGTTTCATTCTTCCTCCTCCTCCTCCTCCTCCTCTTTTCTCTCCTTGCTTGTTAACGATCTGTATTTCCCATTCAGTTTTCATCTATTTATGATTTTAACCACATGAAATTGTAAGTCAAATTACATCCCTTCTTAAAATGTGTGTATACCGTATATATGTTTGGATGGATTGTCAGCCATTACCCTGCCTTCCTTCAGCAGGAAGCATGCGGTCCAGAGAGGCTGAGATTATATTAACCTCATGTCTATTAAGTTAAGATGGATCAGACACTCTGCTCACTTTGCTCTGTGCTGGGAGACAAATTTAGGTCCAGATTTGAGTTCCTGTATTAATGCTGTAAAACACTCTTGAATGAATAAAAACACTGAGAGCTAGCACTCATGAATTATTCTCATCAGCGGTCAATATGCATTATACTGCACTTTATATCATCATTCATGCTTCATCCTGTTTATTTCTCTTGTTTATTGCCTTTAATCATCCTTATCCAGTATAAAAACCAGATTCCCTGGAGTAACACCCTCCATCAATCCATCATAACAACACCAAAGTCTTGATCTGCCTTTTCTCCCTTTAATCAAAGTCGACTGTTTTTTTTTTTGCTGCTTTTGATCCATAATTCAGTCGACACAGAGCAAAACAAGAGCGGGATATTGATGTTACTGAGGTCGGCTGCTTGACTCATTTTCTCGTCTGCACTTGCAGAGGATTTCACAATACTCTTATCACAACACTGGCATGTTGGTACTGCAAATATATGCAGGTATTAAGATTTGAATACAACTACTGTCTAACATTTGTGGTAAAGTCAAATTTAAAATGATTATATGTATTTTATTCATATTTAATTGACATTGAGTTTAATTAGCAGACACTTGTAGCTGTGTTATACAATCAGTGTTATCCATCTATATCAATACATCATTGATTTATCTTGATATATGAGCGTTCGATAATAAAAGTATACTGTTTGATAAATTTTAGTCTTACAGGTGTCTTGAGGATAAACTCCGGTGACTTTGGTGATTGGAATAATGTGAAAATAAGCGTACTGTAACAGCACTTTTCTTGTCACATCTTTATTTGATTAGTTTTTGTTGCAGAAATATTTACTACTGCTGCAAATTTATTTGGGTGGCACATTTATCACCATCAGTGCTCGTAATTTTCATGACTAATGGTATTTTTTAGTACTTATTTTTTTAACCTGGGCATTGAGATTTCTGCACTCTCATCTTAAACCAACAGCGAATAATGAAGAGAAACACCCCCGCCATTTTTCCTCCACAGCTCCCCCTGAATAACACAGCAGGGATGACAATGATGAAGTAATAACAATGAAAAATGAAATGATATTTACAACTGTAGAATAAAAAAAAGAAGCGGTCTTTCCTGCTCCACTGTAATTGGTTGAATCCGCCTGTGATGTAATGACTGATGATGTAAGTCCTGGGCTGAGGTGAAAGAGGGGACTGTTTTCTTCCCTCTCTTTTTCTCGATCAGGTCAATGCGTTTTCGTTCTGTCCTCGAACTAGCGTTGCCATGGTTACAGGTTCTGGGACTGTCACCAACAGGTCACTCACTCAATAAAGGTTAATTTGGGGGCTTTGTGTGCGTGCGTGTGTGTTTGGGTGTGCGTGCTTCTGCATTGATATGAAGCCAATTTGGGTTTATTAATTTGGAATCCCGTTTTTTATTTTAATATATAAACCTTTTGACCCTAGTTTAGCTCCATACATTGGGAAAACTGTTTTTTATTTTTTATTATTTGTTTTTTTTGGGAGTATGTTTGTGCGTCACTTCTACAAAAATGAAACTTCTCTTCCTGTCTGTCTCTCCCCAGGTGTTTAACATCCTCTGCTGTTCTCCCCCTTCAGTGATCCTCCCCCTCTTTTCTCCCTACCCGCTGACTCCACCCCTTTCACAATGTCCTCTCAGCCCACATCCATCCAAGAGCCCCGCCCGGTGACTCCACCGCCGAACTCTGCAGGGTCCCCACGTTCTTCAGGTAAAGGCAGGTTTTTGAACAACTCTACTCCAAGTTAAAGTGACTTGTATCTAAATTATCATCGGTCTTCAAAAAGAGACATAATCAAAGTTTTAAGATTATTTTTCAGTGTCAGTCTATCTTTTGGTGAAGTGTTTACATGGAGACAGTATTAAAGTTTGACTGAGTGAGAGCAATTCAAACATTCACTGCCTTGGTTTAATCAAAATCAAAATTTGCTGCACTGTGCTGACCGCCCCCTTTGACAAAAAGTCACTGTTTTTAGCTCACATGAGGACCAACATGTCAAGGTTGTCCTGGACCAAAAATGATACAAGTATATTCAGTCATCTTGGAGTCACAAATTTTAGATTTGAGCATGACATTTCCTTATGCCACATGCTATAATGCCATGTGACCGTGTTCAGGCTTGGACCCTTTATATGTGCAGTGCATTAGGCATGGCTGAGATGGATGGTTTTCTTATCTCATGGCTAACACTCGTCTTTGAGGGGTTGCCATGCCCTTTGACTGGACTGAGAGCTTTGAGTCACATTTTTATCTTCTATCTGTTCATAACATACTGTGCAAATTTGGAGTTGATTGGACAAAAGCCCTCCTACTCCCTGAAAGCCATTAAAAACAGGTAAAATTTCAACTTCTGGCTGGCAATTGCTGAATTCCTGTCAGGTTTGGAGTATGGGTGCAAGAGACTTTTTTGTAAGTGTTGGTATGATGCATATACCCCGCCAATTTCATCTATTTTCAATGGAAAAAACATAGACTGTATATAGAATTTTCACTTGTGTTTAACATCTAAATTTATTGAAGTGTCAGTAAAAATGTCCAGTTAATTTTTTCACATGTCTGATACAGGACTGAAAGATGATGATAATTTCACAAAATAAGAGTAACCTGAATTATCTAAGGATCCAGCCTCCTCCTTCAACTTGTTAACCTCAAGCTCAACTGTCTTCACACAAGTTTAGTTCTTTCTTTGACGTAGCAAAGACAAATTGTGAGTGGGATATCGCTGCGGCTAAAACTCACTGTGCTTCCACCCTGTTTTTGTCCCATCAGAGTCTCTGCGGCCTCCGGCCTCCAGACACAGAGACCGCTCCCCCTCCCCCATGAGAGGCTACCTCATCCCCAGCCCTCTGCCCACACGCAGAAACAGAACCTGCTCGGCGTAAGGACACACACACAATCACTCTGCAGAGAGTCAGTCAGGTTGATACCCTCAGTAAGCAAATAAAGCAAGAGCAGTGTAAGCAATGGTCGCAGCTTTGTTAAGAGTAAAGAAAGTATACCATGTTGAGTTCCTCTGCCACTTTTTGACTTTTGAGAAATCACTCTTGTGTAGTGTTGCCTATTAAAAAGCAGAAAGCCATGTCTTCAATTACATGTGAAGTGAACAAGTAAATGGAGTCCCTTCCTTTTACACATTGGTGGTGTCTTAACCCAAATGAAACCAATCAGGAAATTAAAAACTATAAATATTTAATTAGCAACATAACAGAGCAAGGACTACTTATTGTTTTTATTAACAAAGCAAGTTTCCTGCTAAGGATTTTTTTAAGGTATCCGTTTGACTCTCCAAATTTTACTTTCATTTTTATTCAATTAATTTCCATCCTGAAAATCCCAAATTCTGATTGGCCATTTTCACTCCTATTTATTCAAATATTTTGCTTTTTATGGGGGTATTTTTACTGTCATTGGACAGGATAGAACAGACACAGTGGAGCAGGGACAGTAGGGAGGAGAGAGTAACAGAAGAGATGCAGCAAAAAACTTTTAAAGTTAACTCGTGTATTGAAATCTACTTTCCTGCTCTGTGTTCAAAACTGCAGACAGTAACAGTAAGTTTATGTTTAGTGGTTGTTATGTATGTCATATGTTGAATGGTATTGCCCCCAAGTGACTAATATAAAAGTCATAATTTTGAGTTTGAGGTGTTTTTCTTGTTTTAAATAAAAAATGAAAACTTCTGTTTCCTGTTGTATGACTGCAGACGTTAACAGGATCATCATTTCACTCTGTTTGCTAGAATTAGAGGGTCAGTGAAACTTTCTCCAAACTTGTACTAAACTCTCATCCCTCTTTGTGCGTCTCACTCTCTGCAGGACTGCTCGTGCGTCTGAGGGTCCGGTGTTTCAAGGTGTGTGTAAATGTTTTTCCCGCTCTAAAGGCCATGGCTTCATCACGCCATCCGATGGGGGCAACGACATCTTTGTTCATATCTCAGAGTAAGTGTGTGTGTGTGACAAGTGTGCTATTGACAAGTTGACATGGGTAAACATCCGGGGAATGAGGCTACAGTGAGAGTGAAACGTGAGAATGAGTGTAGAGTCTGTTTTACCTCATTGTCTCTGTGAGAGGACTGGTTTTGATTTAATCTTTGACATCAAACTGTGTCCGTGTCAGTGTGTTTGTGTGTGTGGGAAGAGAAAGGGAAACACACATGCTGGAATGGCAAGAGCTGCGGGTGTGTGTAGGAGGACAACAGAATATCTGATGACCTTAAACACGGTCCCTTTGTTATCACCCACAGGCGTCAGCAGTGTTTACACACATGCTAAACACCACTTTAAAAACATCTACAAACACATTAACGCAATATCATAAGGTCAAAGGCAGTAAGAAAATGCAATCCTGTTTGCTGCATATCTTTAAAAGATGGGATATAAAACATCCTCTTGCCCTGTTTAAGCATCAAGTACCATACTTAAAGGGATATTCCGGCGTAAAATTAATTTAGGGTCAAACACACCGCAACAACGAGTTAGACATCCCCTCGAGAAATGAATGTTGCAGACCGCTCGCTTCTCTAGTTATACCAACTTTAGTTACAACCTCACGATAGCAATACACAACGGTCTGAGGAGCCATAAACAAACCTCAACCAAAACGCCACTCTATAGCCACAAATAATGCTCAGAACAGCACCTAACTTCATCAACAGTACATATAGGGTCCCAGCCACAGCACTAGCCACCAAACATCTTTTTAGCTTTGCCTAATTTCTTTAGCAAAGAGACTAAACACAACTCACCTACTCTCTTCCAGCAGCCACTTGTTTGTGGCGAGACCTCAGGCCAGTCCATTACGGATTGCAGCGGGGTGACACAGTTTAGAGAAGAACATTTATGATCATTTATTCATGGAAATACAATCAGACTAAGAACGCTTAGGCAGAAGAACTACCGCGTCTGCAGTCCAAAATGATAAATATGGTGATTATTACTTCAAGGAAATGATGAAGAAATGATCATAAATGTTCTTCCTTGAGCTGCGTCACCCCGCTGTCCGTAATGGACTGGCCTAAGGTCTTGCTACAAACAAGCGGCTGCTGGAAGAGAGTAGGTGAGTTGTGTTTAGTCTCTTTGCTAAAGAAATTAGGCAAAGCTAAAAAGATGTTTGGTGGCTAGTACTGTGGCTGGGACCTTATATGTCCTGTTGATGAAGTTAGGTGCTGTTCTGAGCATTATTTGTGGCTATAGAGTGGCGTTTTGGTTGAGGTTTGTTTATAGCTCCTCAGACCGCTGTGTATTGCTATCGTACGGTCGTAACTAAAGTTGGTATAACTAGAGAAGCAAGTGGTCGGCAACATTCATCTCTTGGAGTTGTCTAACTCGTTGTTACGGTGTGTTTGACCCTAAATTGATTTTAGCCGGAATATCCCTTTAAGCAACAAGAACCATACTTAAACTTGTCACTAGTGTTTTTTATTTTTCATCTTTACTTAAAGGGAGTGTGAGGAGTTTTTAACTGGTTGAGAAAAGACTGAAACTGATGTGTATATTTCTCATCTTATCATCCCTCCAGCATCGAGGATGAGTATGTTCCAGTTGAAGGCGACGAGGTGAGCTACAAAGTCTGCTCCATCCCTCCCAAACATGAGAAGATCCAGGCCGTGGAGGTGAAAATAACCTGCCTCAGCCCAGGAATTAAGCATGAGACCTGGTCGGGACATGTCATCAGCAGTTGAACTCCGATCCTGGAAGGGAGTGGGTGGGAAGGGATCTACAGAGGAAATCGAAGGAGCTAGAGTGGGCTAGAGAGAGAGAGTACTGGATCAATGTTCTAGCGATTTAACACTGGGGTAAAAGTAGAGATTCAAGTCAGAGAGAAATCTGAATGAAATCTCATAGTTTACTTATATTGGTAGGCCTCCTGACCTACTTGAAAAATGTTACTCCATTCAGATGGGTTGACCAGTAGATAGATTTATGATGACAGTGGATGATGTGTAACACACAGTTCTAACTCTAGATTCATTGCTTAGATTTGTAGACCCTGCGTTCAAATTTGATGGTGTATTGTTTAAATTTGTACACCGCATAGTGGTTTTCAGCAGCAGACATTTGTTTCCAGGGTAAATTAGATTGGAAGGATTTGTATTGCATGTGTGATTCAACTATACAGCACAAGAAAATAACAGATATAACATGGTGACTGTGCAAGCAGTGCTGTAACATCCCACCATGCAGTCGTTTTCCAGCTATACATCGTGTGCCTATTTCTACCCAGAGAACTGACAGCTCTGTTTGTGCCTATACTTATACCAGCCTCTCATCTGTGTTTGATCATGCATGGGTGCCTATTTCAGTGAATAAAGCTTTTTCAGCTGTACAAGTTTATTCTGCTTTATCGTTTCAATCTTTTGGATCAATCTTTAAAAGTCTTCGATTACAGTTAGTTTGAAACTTGATATGCATAATTTTAAAATAGTTTTACAACATTGAGGGTTTCATTGAACTTAGAGGTGTATTGTAAGAAAGAATAGAAATTAAATTTGCCACTGTGAGTGCGTTTCTTACGTACTGGCTGCAGTGACTCAAATCATAACATAAGGGCTATAATCATGCCTACCCACAGAGCACTAAATTAGCCTGCAGGTGGCCTTCAAAGATGACGTGTCAGTCATCATGCACACCTTGGCACGACAATGAATGACATTTTCTATAAATATGCGTTTACAACAAAATCTGGCTGACTTCAGAAATAGATGTACCATCCTTCTTTATCCTTCTTTTTAATGCTTTGGCTTTTACCACACACCCTTAAGTAGCTATATTTTATAGTTCTAGCTGTTCGCAGTTTCTTTTGATCAAAAAAGTGAAATCTATCATGCCGATTACTTTGTGTAGAGGCTTTTACAGGTATGGCAACTGATTAAAAATGATCACAAATTTCGTCCTTTGTTGATAATATTTTTGCCGAGTAAAATTTTGACCACCTGAAAGAGATATGTAAAACTTTCCCAGGGATTCAGTATCCAAGTTTGATTTAAGGTTTTGTGATGGCCACCAATCATAAGGATCTATCTGCTGCCCTCCTCTGGCAAAATTTGTCCATTACAATTTGGCATCACTCAGTTCAGACTTGACAAATGAATGACTTAGGATACTGAGCACTGGATTAAAGTGAAGCCTAAATACAGTACGATACAAGTTCTTTATTTACACCCAAAGAGAGAAATTTGTTTGTCTGAAATCTCATCTTATCTACTATTTATAGAAGAATCAAGAAATCTCATGGCTGGACAACACACCCTCTCCTTGACAGTAATGAGTTACACCATCTCTGGTTAACAAATAAGGCAAAGGATGGGATTATGGGATCACATAGGAAAGAACGGTGAAAGAACGGTGGCAGAAAGATCAGATCAATCAGCCTTCAGTGCATTCCCTCTTGACCTATTGACATACAATTGTGCCCATTAAATGGCTTTAGCTGAAACTAATCAAAGCTATTTACTTCCATTTTTGATGAAAATTTGTCAATCAAATGATCTTTTACCATGAGAAATTTAATACTTAAACATCATTCTCAAATTAGCCTATCTACTTTCACATCGTTCTATTTGTAGGATTATTTTTTGCAGGTGTTTTTTGTTCTTGTTTTTGTTCTTGTTTGGTTTGAGCCAAGGATGTGAATAGCCTACTCCTTTGACTTCAGATGTATCTCACTAGTACCTCACCTTTTCGGTAACTAAAAGGGATTTTTTTTAGGTTCCATTGTGTCTATTTCTCACATGACATTTCATTTCATTTATTTTAATTTTTTTCGAACATGTGCGTGCAACACAAGGAAGTAAACTGAAAGCAAACAAATAAAACCAGTGAGAATATTCAAAACAACAATAACAATCACCAAAGCAAAAAAGTAAAAATAAAAATACTACTAAGTCCATAGTTTATAGCTGCTTATGCCCAGCAGGTGTCACTGAATCTCCATCCTGTTTATGAAAACTTCTAATAGCTTACACTTCTTAATGCACTTCTACTTCAAGTTTATTAGTGTCTTCTGGTCACAAAAACAGGTTGCCTGTCACTTGAAGCAGTGATTTATGGCGTGTGTGTTGTGGTGTTGTGTGGTGAGGGCTTGTTATTGTAGGCCTATTGTAGGCCTGTTGCGTGTAGACTTATTTCTCTTTTAATAACTTAAATTGATTATTTATAAGGTGAGATATCAGGGTATTTTTACTCGCCCCTATATGGCAGAAGAGCTTTGATATAGTTGTGGTGGAGGAGGAGAATGGGGTGAGTATAAGGAAGAGAACATAAAGAAGGAGGGATGAAAATGAAATTTATGAGAGTGGGAATGTGAGGAAAAGAAAGGACGAGGGAAGGACGAAGATGCAGGGGAGTCGGGGTGCAGAGGATAGGGGAAGAGGGATGGAGGCAAACGGATAGGGGGGAGGAGGAGGAGGAGAGAGGGAGGAGCAGAGGGGAGGCAGGCTCTCAGTCTGTTCGCTCGCAGGAGGAATCAGCAACAGCAGGACAATGGGCTGTCTTCTGTACGGATCTTAACAGGCACCAAGCTGCCTTCAGCACACTGGAACATAAGGTACTGTTATCGGCGGACAGACGCTCGGGTGGGATCGGAGTTTACGTTGGTTAACCTGCTTTACAAATCTAATGTTTGTCCGTGAAGGAGAGGCTGCAGGAAGGAAGCGACGCAGCAGCAGCGCAGCAGACAGACACCCAGCAGGGCCTGCTGTCCGTCTGCATCAGGGTCTAAAACCGGTCGGTGACACGTTATGTCACAGACACAACAACAAGTGTTCATTAAATATGTCTGTATGTTCGTGGTTTTCTCTCAGCGTGATAACTCTCAGTTAAAAAAAAAAAACTACCCGGAATACCCTGCCGCGTTTTCTCTTCCTCAGAGAGAACGTCACATTGAAGTCCATTTAAAATCCTGCTGTTTTTGTATTTCGTGCCTACATGATCAAGAAAACACCTTTAAAGACGTGGGAAAAGATACCTCCGTGTGTACCTTACAGTTAGGTTCAATTCGTCGTACTACTGCTTCGGAAAACCATGTTTGCTAAGTCAAAAATCCGGTTTTAAACAATGTTGGTGTTGTTCACGTCACTTTTCGCTAAAGTGTAATTAACGGAAGCAGCACGCGGCGACTACAGCTCCAGCACATATAAATGAACCTTTAGCACATAGTTGACTCGTCTCTAAGCTTTACATGTAAGCCGAATATACACGTGACTCGTCGTGATTCGCATTTTATGTTGTATCAAACTTGGTAACGATGCAGGCCACCACAGAAGTAACGCAACAGCAAAAACTGTGTTTTTTGTGAGGGCATTTGTAGAGTGCAGCAGCATATGCTTGTCTTCGCCAACAAAGCCTCTTTCTAGCCAGCAGCAGCAGCAGGAGCATGCAGTGTGAGCCAGAGTGAACCATTGCACTAGGCCAGAGCCGGGAGTCTCCTCTACAGATGCAGGGATTGTAGAGTGAATAGATGGTGTCATTGTAGTTGCCATAATGTGCCTTCTGTTGTACATAGTGTGCGTGACGCACATTGGCAAGCAGGGATGCAGAGATGCTGTGCAGGCAAGAAGACAGGGACTTATTACTCATGACTGAATGGACATTATATTATTATGACAGCGTTGAGATGCATCTGCATCAGCGACTGCACTGACTTATCCAATATGCTAAAACACAAACAAAAACAGATATGACAGCTTGCACTGGGTTTCAGTCCTCTGTCTTTTCCAATAGAGAGAAACAAACCACACAAAATCCCTCACCCATGTCATTTAGAAAAACACAGGCTAGGCAGTTGTTTGTATGGTGAACCTTGTATTAGTGAAGGGAGGGGCTACCCAGGGGCCTCCCATCAATAGATTATAAGTCAATATTCATTTACCTCAATATGCCGAGGATTATTGGTGAAGGCGGGCAGTGGTTATGCTGTCATGTTTTAATTTTAGACCGTATTGACCTGACTAACATTGAGTGAGTGTGTAACATTCGTGGGTGAAGGAAAGCGGCTCTTGGTAAACAACACATTGGAATCTGGTTTCAGAATAGACAAGCCAGTATATGCACAGAAGTGATTAAAGAAACATGCAGTGATAGAGGCGATTCAGAGGAAATCAGTGACAGGAATGTGTACAACTGGAAACAGCACACAAGCCATCCTTTTCTTTTCGAATGAACCAGATATTTTTCCCTTTTTTTATTTTTTTGGCCAAGTGAAAGGAATTTCTCTTCTAACAATAGCACGAGCATGCTTCAAAATGTTCCCATCCTCTAACAAGACAACAAAAGGAATTAAAACTCTGTTGAATTCCAGGAAGCAACCACAAACCCCAAGGGATCCGGGGTACCAGGAGTCAGACTGATTTGTTCTTGGAACGATAGATTGTAAAATTGTTGACTGATGTCTACACTTTCAACTTTCCTTATTTTTTTCTTTTGAGAAAGCAAAATCAGGGAATACTCTTATCTGTCAGGCTGAGTTTGCCTGAGTGAGACTGCTGTCAGATTTGGTTTGTCTGTGTGTTGCTGTATCAGGATTGTCTGGTGTTTGTTAATGATTAGACCAGGAGCCAGCAGATTCCTCTTAAAAATAAAAGGAAAAAGGAGATTTATCACTCATGTGTGTGCAGTTTTCCAGAGGCGTCTGTAAAGGTTATTTGCTTTCAAGTGGATTTACTTACTTAAGTTCACATGATGAGTGTGTTTGAATCCTCAGCGTCACAAGACAGAATGTGGTTGCAGTTTGTGAGTGTGTGTTGTTCCTATCATGCTTAGTACTAAAAAAAAAACACAGGGTCTCTCCTACAGTCCCCATTTCCTGAACACTGTTTACAGCTGCATGTACTATACTGTTTTAGTTTGTCGTATGAACGATTACAATGCAAAGAAAGCTCAATCCTCCAACAATACAATGTTCCACCAACACCCAGCTTGTTTATGTTGCCATGGAAAAGGATGTGAACAACCACGCAGACAGCAACATGATCAGGCGTGTTTTATCTGCTGTGGATAGGATGCATGTTGCAGCATATTCTTGCTCAATGTTTGAACCAGTGGCTCCATTGACAGATGAATGGATTTTTTTGTGGTTACAATAGACAGGCAGTCTAAAAGGGACTTTTTTTTAATGAGCTTTTGGCAATGTCATGACTTTTTCACTCGAGCCACAAGGTGAATGTCTTAAAGCTATTGAAAATGCTTGTACTAAATGGAGTAGTAATAGTTATGTTAGCCTCAAGGATGAAATGTGGTGTTTTGTAACTTTTAGCGTCATCACCTAAAGTAGTCAATGGGCCCAGACCCAGAATTTCACAGTTCAGTACCATCTGGGCTGGCAAAGATTGATTGGTATTTTTAGCTTGCTATATGTCTCTAGTTTATGTCCTGGTGTGATAACCAGTTCAGACTGGTCGCGGAAGGCAGTTCTCACCATTTAAATACTAACACCCTTCATACGCTGAGCACTGTTACGGAGATGCTGATATATGATATATGAAAAAAAAACATTATGCTGCTCATCTGGAATGGTTATCACATTTTTTTTCATTCATTGTGATGAGACAAATAAATTGCCACCATTGAACCTTTGCCACCTTGGATGGTACCAACAATTGGTTGGGCCTATGGACTAAAGGAAGTGTGAATTATCCATCTCTTTATGAACTCGTAAAATCCTGTTGGCCTTAGATGCCACAGATTTTGCAAATTAGAAAGTACAAGCAATATGCAATGCTAAGTTAAGTCAGTGGTATGATAAACATTACACAGTAAAACTTATGTAGCATCATACTGTGCATCTTCTTTGCTAAATCAAATCTTCACAGAGCTTTGTCTTCATTTTTTCTGCATTTTAAAAACGGAATTTTAAGTCACTTAATAGCTCGTAAATTGGAAAATTCAACTTCTGCATTCAAAGTTGAATTTTCCGAATTCTGTCAAATCAGAATTCTGAATTGATTTGACCCAGACACGAAATGATAGGGCCCATTATGTCTGATTAGTATTGCGGGGGTTGATCCGAAGAAGTGCATGTTGTATCATTGTGACAGTGTATGTCCAACATCAGTGTATGTGAACATTCACACCTTAGCTGTGATGTTTCACACAAATCCCCCGGTCTGACTCTGAATGTAAAAAGAGATGTATTTCTGGATCAGTCCATTTTTAGTTAAGTAATCAACAGAGTTACAAAATGCGTTTATTTATATCTTGACCTTTAAAGTAGTTAACAGATTACTCTTTGTTTCTATGTTTCACAGTCCCAAAATGAAAGTGGTCACAGTAACTATGATCATTGAACTATTTTGTTGTCAAAAACTTTTTTGGGCGGGATGTCTCATCAACCTGATTGATCTGGGTTTAGGAACATAACCTTGAGGACCTGTCTGTGATTCACAGCTGTTGTGTCATTGGAGGTTCAGATTTAGGAATCAAGCAGATGAAACATCAGCAGCACAGATCTGGCGGCACAAAGTGCAAACGCAATCAGCCAGTTAATTAGACCGTAATCATGAGCAAACGGTTTACTGTCTGGGGACCGTGAAAATGCTCTGTATTCACGCACTGGCTTTGTCACAAAGTAAGTTTGGCATTTAGAGTAGCAGCATAAAGACACACATGACACATGAGGTCACAGTGCGTCCTCATTTTAATTGGATTGTATTGATGTTTCCTGGAGCTCCATGTCGGGATGAAGAAATACTCTGAAAAGCAGATGCACTTTTTTACATTGTGCTATACACTTTAAATCTTCTATGAGATTTAAGTGAACTTTTTTGTTCTAGTTTTTGATCAAATCAAAGTAACAGGCGTTCACATATGAGAAGAATTCTTCAGGATCAAGGTCGCTGAAATGAGGTTTAATTCTGTTGGTGGTGCAGGCACCTTACATACAGCAGCTTCAATTCACTCCAGTACATCTCCCCAATACTTACCTCTGTGTCACCTTTACCCCAAATCTTTCCATCTTTCCTTTGCTGTCGCTGAAGGAAAAATATGATAGTCTCAAAAAATAACATCTTCAGAAAAGTACAAAAACAGCTTGCATATCAACACAAAAGATGACAAAATGTAAACATCCGAAGACTAAAAGTCTAGCAACACTAAATCCTAGAGTTTCATGTTTCAGCTACATAGGTCCCTTATTAATACTGACGCAAACTCTGTTGAAACATCGAGTTTCAAGCTAAATCCAAGATTATTTTCTTAAAGTTGGGAAACTTTCTCCAAAGACTCAAAAGTCAGTATGCCTATGGTGTAAGCTGAACAGTAATCCTTGATACAAATTTACTGACCTGTATTAGAAACTTTCTTGAGTGGTCCTGTTATGTCGGAGAGCCTCTCGGCACCTTTAACCATGTCGGTCTTAGACATAATCAGTTCTAATACCAACCTGTGTTGTCTTTGGTACCTCGTCTTTCACTTCCAGTACTTGTGACGACTTTTGAGGGTCGACTCCTGTAAAAAAAACAAACAAGAAAAACAGTCTTTGTGTTTATTTAACAAGTAATAGAATTATTTTTAAAGAAACACCATAAAACGATAGCGACAGGAACCCCCTAATCCAACCCTTAACACTTTCATGTAGGTGCGTTTCTAAATTTTACATACGGTGAAACAAACTGAAATCGCAGGGTGATCCATACTCTCTGCAAAAGAAAACCCTACCAACAAGAAATGGACTTTTTGTGAGTACTTGTTCCACTCCCACTAGTTGGCGTTTTTAGTGGAAAAGGATCCAGGCAAAAAGACCGCTTTTAATTTGGCAGGACCAAACCCCTGTGAATATTCCCTCAAAACCAGATTGCAGGATGACACTAGGACTCTTGTACAGACACGCTCAGGCAATAAATTAGACGTAGATGGAATGGAATTAGATGGAACGTAACGATGGTTATACAAAGTTGGTTAAGCTGTATGTCAGCTGTGCCCTTGACAGACAGTCGTCTCTGTTTTTCACACTACACCTGAGTAGAGGGCTGAGAACCAGAGGAAGCACAATTGATTCCGACTGAGATTTGCTGTCTGTCACTTCAGGTTTATTTTAAAGAATGTGGGATTTTTCCACATCATATCTGTAAGACTTGTGGAAGTTGAATCATTCTGTGGTATTCTGTTCATACCGTGTAATGGCTTCATGTGACAATGCGTTACACAAGACATAACTGCGAGAAACATCCAACATTACCCGAATCCACTATATCGAAAAGTTTCAGAGAAGTAGACGTCTGTGTCACTATTATGTGTCATTATTGAAACAATATTGTTGGAATTTAATCATTCTTTCGCCTTTGTGTGTGATTTAGGAAGTGAATGTCCAACAGCTCCAGGATGCTGCTGTCCCTGCTCTCCTGCTGTCCACGAGGGAGTATTTGATTTGTCAAACATGATGAAGACTGAGCCCCAGACGGCCACAGGTGGCAACGGAGCCTCCGGTGGGACAAGTGGTGGAGGCTCCAACCTGCGGAGTCCCTCACCCCACCGCAATGCTTACGAGGCAGGGCTGGCGGCGCTGAAGAAGGCCACCGACCACCTCAATAATGCTCCTAATGGAGGCTCTGGCCCGACCTCTAAACCCGCACTTTTGCCCCGCCCAACTGGGAGGGGACGAAAATATGGATCGAATGTTTACCGTATCAAGAACATGTTCATGCAGATGCAGTCCCCCGGTGATGAGGAGGACGGAGCCAAAGAGATAGGTAATTCCCACAGTTAGCATATCTTTAGTCATGCTTATTTTAGGGGGATTACAGACGATTTAGTAGAATATCTCTGAGAACATCTTCTCAATGAAATCTGCTGTCATTGGCAGGAAAAGACCAAGAGCTAAAGCTGTCCCTGCCGAGGGCGTCCAGCCTCAACGAGAATGTGGATCACAGTGCCCTGCTCAAACTTGGAGCCACGGTCTCAGAGAGAGTCAACCGTTTTGACCCTAAAGCAGGAGGGGATATCGGAGGCTCCTCTGGTGGGTTTTCTAAGCTCCAGGAGACCAGGAGGATCTTTGAACAGAGGACTTTACAGGTAAGAATGGTCTTTGTTTTACTTTTATTGTGGCTCAAGAGGATTTCACTGAGTGTCGCCTCCCACAGGAGAAGCAAGCAGCCACCAACCGGATCTTGCTGAAAAAGGAGCGGGCATCAGGCTTTCAGGACAGCCGTCTTGATGTCGTGGCTCGCTTCAACGGCTCCACGGAGGCTTTGGACCGACTGGACGACCCCCCTGTTCCGACACCTCCCCCTACTGCTGTTCCCTCTGCTGGAGCTTTGGCCAGCCCCGGAGATGCTGTCAGTCCAACTGTGAGCCAGCTCAGTGCTGTGTTTGAAAAGGGCCCGCAGCAAAACAATGTCTACCTCCAGAAACGTCGGTCAGGCCCTGCTCTAGCACCAAAGCCCAGACCTCCAGCTAGAGCAGAAACCGTTGCAAAAAAGGTGAGAAGATTTACTTTCAGCATGAATTCACAAACTGCTCTTGGAGGACAGGAAGCTGGCTGAAGGAAAGTACATAAAACATAGTTGGTACACCCTGACCTGAAACTGAAACCAGTGTAGAAGCGCTGTATGCCGTTTTTTTTTTTTTTTTCTAGGGTCCAAAAGTAGGTGTCATCTCAGATTTTATATCGGTCTGGTAGTTCATGCTGTTGTTAATGTTTTTACTGCTGAGTTGAGGGCCTTAGTCACTGTTTTTCAGTGTCCTTTAACAGAGCATGATGTTTTTTTTAGTTTTCATTTACAGTAAAATATATAATAAAGAAGCTTGTCCAGCCTCCTCTTTAGTTCTCTAAAAACTTGCTTTATTGACGGAGTTGACTGTCAGTGTTTTCATATACTCAACAACTTACTATCTCACTCACGTCAACCAATAACTGTCAATCACTTGTGAGCGTCTGTGACCTGTCAAGAAAAATAACCCAAAATCTCTTAAGATATTATCATCTGTTATTTTCTTTCTTTTTTTTTTAAACTCAATTTTTATTAATTTTTTAACCACAACAACACGGTGTATACATCTCAATACAATACATTTCTTTTCCTTTTTCCAGCTGTATGTGTATTTTTCAAACATCCACAGATAATGAAGGATTAAATCAAAGAGAATAATAATAGTAATCAACGCGAATAAACAACGTCCACTCCAAAATACAGATTTAGAGGCACAAATTCTAGTCAGAGGCAGGATGACAGTATTTTAATATGGATAGAAACACAAAATAAACTGTCATCGCATCAATAAAGGTACCACAAGTTCCCATCCGTCATAAAGGAGGTCTTAGTGAAAATGTGATCTGCTCCATTTGATAAACATCACATACTTTTTGAATCCAGATATTGTATGAGGGAGTTTCTGGTTTGAACCATCTGATGGTTACAGACTTCAAGGCTGCAGTCAATAATATGTTTAAGATGTATTTTTCTGACCTCCTATCCAAACTTTTAGGTATTACTCCCAGTATTGCAACCTTGAAGTCTTGCTGAATATACATTTTGAATTATTTTCTTTCTTTCTTTAAAGGGAAAGGTGTTGCCCCCTGGCAAGGAGGACCTGGAGGAGGAGGCAGCAGGAGTAGCGGACGTCCAGGCAGCAGAGCTTCCAGAAACAGCAGATTCAGAAGGAGAGGCGACCTGTGAGGAGAAGGAGAGGTTAGGACAGTCAGGAGAGCAGCTCTCCAACTCTTCCTACTCCTCGCCATCCTCGGTGGCTAATACTTCCTCGTCCACGTCTTCGGAGCTCAAAGCAGAGTCGGAGGCCCAGCTAACAGTGACTGAAGCCAGGGGCTCGAGTACATTAGCCGCCTCTGAGCGGGGGCCACAGGCTGACGAGCAGGACGGCTCAGTCGCAGGGTCTGAGGCTGGATCCAGGCTGGTGCAGGCAGAGGTTCATGCCTCACTAGAAAATGGAGAAAAAGAGCCTCCAGGCTCCTCCACCTCCTCAGAGGAGAAAGAAATGGACTCTGAGAGGAGAGGTGAGGAAGAGGAGGAGGAGGAGAATGACGACGATGGCTCAAGAAAGGATGATTATTCGGAGGGGGATCTGGTAGATATCAGTGCCTACAGTGGGCTCGGAGAGGACGACTCTGGGGGCAGCCAGCTAGACGACGAGGAAGATGAGGACGATGATGATGAGGCGTATCAACCAGAGACCAGCTGCTCTGAGATGCAGGGCCTGCCTGAGGAAGAGGAGCCCCCACCTCCCAATAGAAAGATCCAATTCAGCACTGCACCGATCAAGGTGAGTGATATTTATCTGATCATTATTAAACCTCTAAATACTCCAGGAAGCCTCTTCTTATTTCAGCTGTCAGAGATTTGTCGGAGTGTTGTGTCATTTTGTGACCAAAGGTGCATCGTTGATTCGTGTTTGTTTTGTGTTTTTGATGGGTCCAACAGTAAAATACTGTTCTAGTCTAAAAGGGATCATATCACCTTATTATAGTGGTTTGAATGTTCGCGTGTCATGGAGATGTTCTCGCCACGTTCAGCTCACTGTTTTAGTTTCTGGCAAACAGCTTTGTCTGTTTTTCAGCCTCTGTTTGCTTCTTCTGCTTTTAGTGAGAAAGTTGTGATTCATCCTGTTCACTCGCTGCTCTCACCGAAATCAGCAAATAGCTTCTAGACGTGTGTCTGTTTAAGCAGCGGAGGGTTTCCTCAGGGAGTGATGAAAACAATTAAAAGTCGAAATCTGAGCGGCTTGTCTCGGTAAAGAGAGGGAGAAAAAACTAAGAGTATGGAAATGATTCAGAAGACTAACATACTTCCTCCTTGTTGAACAGCGCACGCACGCACACACACACGCGCGGGTTGCTAGGGGGATTTTCTCTGTCTCTTTCACCACAGCATTTCCTGCTGACTCGAGCTCACACAGTGTGTTTGTGTGTGTTTGAACAGAGATCTCAATTTAACAGAAGCTCTTTTCTACACTGGAGTGCTCAGGGTTCTAGCCCGCCCCCACCCCCATCACTGCAGCAGTCAGCTGGTCGAGCTCTGTGAATTGTGAAACATGTCTCAACGTGCCACGATGAGGCTTCAACATGACACACTTCCTCAGTGAGACTCAAGACACCAGTCTGAAATAATCCTGCACGTAGATCGATTGATAGATATATAGATAAATAGATCTGAACAGACTTCAGGTTGTCAAAGATTTAGATGTTTAACTGATGCAGGACGGAGGCTTTTTCGGGACATAGGCTTTTCAAAGAAAATTACATTCATGCTGAGTCTTGTCCTCCTCATGCAGGCACAAGAGGATTATGAAGAGGAACATGTTTTATTTTAGGGCAGGCGTTAGGTCAAAAGAGGATTCTTTACATTTTCCTTGGATCTTAAAACATTTAACCACTGACCTCTTTGGCCACAGTGCAGCTAAAAGTAGAGCTTGCGGCCTGAAAAAGCCTTGTTTACTACTAAGTGCTACTGTGAGCTGTCCACTGAATCATGTCAAATGAGCACCTGCTACTGTAGGCCAAAAACCTGTTCTCGGAGACAGATATTTTTACGGTTGTTAGAAAAAATCCCAAAAGATGTAACGAACAAAATCTTGTGTTTTCTGAGGCACATTACAGCACATGGAATATTACATTTTGCCAACTTTACAGCCTGATGAAGCACTCTTATGTAGATAAAACACCTACGAAAAACAACAATATGCAATCTGAGGCTGTCAGTGGTGAAATAGAGCACTTGAAGTGGATGCAACTTGATAATGCGCCAATGCAAGGTCAAACTACATTTTGGTGTGTTTCTGCTCTTTTTCAATGTTGGACCGATGTCACAAATTGCTCTCCCTATCAGTCAAGCACAAACATGGGAAAACTACTCAGGAGGTAGGGCGGTCGTCCAATAACCGGGAGGTTGGTGTTTCGGTCCCCCCCCATCCCGAGTCTGTCTGTTGTCCTTGGGGAAGACACTTAACCCACCTTGCTCCCAGTGTGTGTCCTCCACTGGTGTATGAATGTGAGTGTTGTGTGGTGGTGGTTGGAGAGGCCGTAGGCGCAAACTGGTAGCCACTTTTCCATCAGTATGCGCCAGGGCAGCTGTGACTACTAAGGTAGTTTACCACCACCAAGGTGTGACTGTGTGAGCGAACCAATGATATATCTAATTTAAAGCGCTGTTAGGGTCTCTGATAAAGTGCTGATGCTGAAATCTGATGCATTATTATTGAATCAGGGACCAGGTTGAAAAACACTAAAGTTACCCTTTAAATTAGTTAACACTTTGAAATCTCAAAGAAAGATGTGAAGTATGACTGAAGGCAATGATGACATCAAAAAATCAGAATGATGAAATATGGAGAGTTTCCGTCTAACGGTGACATAACGTTTCATTTGCATGTGCTCTCATATAAAAAAAGACAGCAACAGTGTTTCATCTCGAAGTTATAGAAGCTTCAACCACGAAGTATACCACACTTCGACATCTCATATGCGCTCACAAGCAGTCTCATCTTCACACACTCACAAACCTGTAAATATTATAGAGGTCCCCTGAGATCATAGGGTACTTCACAGTCAAGAAACTCAACCTCCACCCCACCTCACTCCACTCCACACCCTATCCTGTCCTGCTACTTGCTTAGCTCAACTGCACATCACTTTACAAAGACTATCAACAGCAATGCTGCATCTTTAGACTCTGCTTAAAAGTAGCACTCACACACAATGGAGCGACACAGTAGCGTGATAAAAAAGTGGTGAATGATTAATCAGGGGTCGTAGAAAACCTATAGAAGTAGGAGGGTTTTCCCACAACCCCCCTTTACAGACACGTGATTTTTAAGTGAGATGTTGTCTACACAGCTTCCTCTGTACCTGGGCAAAAAAAGGAGTTGGAATGTGGCAGGGTGTGTTTGTTTTCCTCTGAGTGCACACACGTTCACTCACACACACACACAAACACACACACACATAAAGATGGAGCTGATTGATGAAGTTACTGTTTGAGATGCATTGATTGTGTGAGATAAAGTTCGCAGTAAAAACAGAGTGGAAAGGCACACGCTTCATTACGATCTCCGATAGTTTATCTCAAAGGAGCAGCCAAAACTTTCAGGATGAGTTAGTGCGTCAGTGAAGCGATTACATGATCCACTGAGCTAATTTCAGCATTGTTTACATCTCTAAATTACCAAATAATTGTAAAGCACTGCTTAGGTTTTTTTTGTTTAAACTGTATTTATTGTCTTTACAAAATCTAGAGGAGGCATTCGCGAGTTTTCGTATAAACACTCAGTGAACCAGAAGCAGGTGAGTTTTTTTCATCGTAGCTTGAAAGCTCATATCAGGATAAAACATCAATTTAGCTCCTGGCATTATTGTTTTTTAATCTGTGATATTATTATGAACAAGTACTCTTTCTCATCCAGACTCAGCGCCAGTAAACTATATTTAGCTTCCCTCTTTATAGTGGGATATTTTGAGTGACATCTTCACCTTTTGCCTCTCTGCCCAGTCTTGATCCAGTTACCTGACTGGCACACAGAGAATCACGGCTCTACTTAGCCAATTTGGATTAGTGGATGGTTATCAGAGTCCCAACCTGTTTCTTTTTTTAACATCGGGGTGTCTACTTCGTGTCGCCTTAAGGGCTCAATTGTTTATGAAGCGATTGTTGAACGTTATATGTTATTTGGTTGATTTAATAGTACATAGCTTAACCCGGAGAATGAAAATAATCAGATTGCACGGCGTATGATACGACAAATTTAGTCATTGGGATAGTACAGGACTGGTGATTTCCCCAAAACATCCTTCCTGACAACACTTCTGACTCTTCCGCCCCCACACAGACGATTGATGTGATGAAGATGACCTTGACGTGAAATGATTCAAATCTTTTTATCAAAGTAGGTCAGAGTAAAAAACAGTCTTGTGGTTGAGCTCCACCTGACCTCCTGCTCCTGCAGGACTTTTCTGTGGCTTGGCTATGATCCAATTTGGTAGTAGGCAGCTTGTAATTGGTCAGAGTATACCGAGGCTGTTATTTAAGATGCAGAGTTTGTTCTATCGCATCCATTTACCAGAATCAAGCCAACAAACTAAATGGCTTTTAGTGTGTTTTTGGTTTCTGTGGTTGATATTGCCACAAAAGAAAAAAAAATCATCGTTAGTAGTAGTGTTTGAAGTTATTTATGTCGTTCAGCGTCAGACACCAGAAAAAGTCTTGGTTTCTTTTGTTCAGGGTTGTCAGAGTAGTTCAGCCAAGACCACGCAAGGCCTCGACTGACAACCTTTGAGATCTATTTGCAGACCTACTTCGTTTGAAAAACCAGTTTAGCATCTTGGCACAAACTGGACTTAGGTGTGTTTTTGTTTGGTTGTAAAATCTGAGCAATTACAAAAATCTTGGGTCCACATAACATCGTGTTTAGATGGAAGTTAGTCTGTCCAGGTCCATCTTCACAACAAGTCTTCATGATGGGTCTATGTCTCTGTGCTGTTGTGTCAGTTGAGTTGATTTATGTTACAGTTGGTTAGTTGAATGATTTTTCACCCGTTGGCTGTTGTTTATCATTCAATGTTGACCTTTATTCTAGTTTCTAAAGCACACGCAGTTCTTTCATTTTTAAGATACTCATGTGTTCGTGATGTGTTACAGGGATTTCTCCAAAGCCTCCTGAATGCATTCTACTTTAAAGTAACTCAACAGGAAGGAAATGTGACTACAGGAAGTGGTTTAACAATCACACCCTCTTACCCGTTGTGTGTGTGTGTGTGTGTGTGTGTGTGTGTGTGTGTGTGTGTGTGTGTGTGTGTGTGTGTGTGTGTGAGTGTGTGTGTGTGTGTGTGTGTGTGTGTGTGTGTGTGAGAGTGTGTGTGTGTCTTTAAGTGTTTGTGTTTGCATCACTCCATATCCAAGGGGAATCTAAATGGTGCAGTTACACCTACACATATACAGTACCGTAGGCATCTGGCCTATGAGTCTCCATATGTATCTCTATGTATCGCTGTAACAATTCGCAGAAACAGACATGGACATACATGCACACACTCACATAAATTAGCATATCTGCCAGACTGGGACAGTGTGGAGAATGAGTGAGTGCCAGTGCCAAATTCATACTGGGCAAGCCTGTGGTTGCCATGGAAACAAAGCCACGTGATCCCAGAGATGGTCACCGGGGAGACAGATGCTGCTGACCTTTCAGAGAAGGGGGAGGGGTGTGATAGAGAGTGGAAGAAGGAGTGTAAAACATATGGAGAGAGATAGAGAGAGGGAAGGAGAGCATATAGACGCGTGTTTTTATCAACTGTGCAGATTGATGATATCGATGACTGTTCCGTGTATTCTCCAATTCTTCCAAGTGTAGAGGGATATGAGTCAGCGCCGGTTCAGACTGGCTTTTGGAGAATTTAATATTTCAATTCCACTCGCTGAATAAAGTGGTTACTGCACTCAGATGGAGGATCTCTTCCTCTGAATGTCCATGCGCACAAATGTGTTGCCTCAATAACAATGTAGGCACGAGAGTAATTACAGAGCAGCTTAATTACAGATAACTCTGACAGGGTTACAAGGACATATATGCTGATGGTGTACAGCGAAGAACTGATCATGTACAAAGAGTATCAATAAAGGGAGTGCATGAAGAAAACTTGTAACCTCATTGCTGCAGAATAGAATAAAAGTATTAAAGTAGTTTTATTATGTTATTTACTCCCCACCAACCAGCTATAACATTGTTACATGATTATTTTACAGTTATCTTGAATACAGTTATATATAAAGTAGAATAACTGGCCTTTTAAAGAACCACATGCAGCCGGAGGAGTAAAGCCCCCTGACCCTAGACTGTCACCCTCCATGCAGGTCTTCACCACCTACTCGAACGAAGACTACGACCGGCGCAACGATGACATTGACCCCATGGCTGCATCAGCTGAGTACGAGCTGGAGAAAAGAGTAGAGAAACTTGACCTATTTCCTGTCGAGCTGGAGAAAGGTAAACTCCCTCACTCACACACACACACACACACACACACACACACACACACATGGAAAGTCACTCAGTCAAGCTCCTTATGTAACTACACACGCGCACATGCACACAATAACTGATGAGATGCTGTTAGTGGATGTTCACTGTCTGCTGGCAGCACCATTATCCCCTTACAGGATTAAACTTAGTACGGATTAGCCTTATTAGCAGCTAGTAATTGTGGAGGTAATGGAACCATCCGTTATAGTCGCTCTCATGGCTGGTCAACAGTTAAAACACTAATACACAAGCAGGTAATAATAAAAGTTTTCACCTCAAATGTTTAGACAACTGAATAAATAACAAAGTTTCAGTATGAACACCTCTGTGGAAAATCTATTACATTTTTAATCCTAATTTAAATTACGCCTCTGTGTCTCAGACAGTGATGGTCTGGGCATCAGTATCATAGGTATGGGTGCAGGAGCCGATATGGGTCTGGAGAAACTGGGGATCTTTGTGAAGACAGTCACGGAGGGCGGAGCTGCGCAGAGAGACGGCAGGTACGTGTGTCTCAGATGTGCTTTTTTATTGTGGTGCTCATGCTCTGTTATCTATTTCCTGTCAAAAAAAAACCTCCTGATAAGACGCGTCAGTGAGGCGCTCGGTACTCCCTGGCTGTGTTAGTGACTGCCAGCCACTAGCATACTAACCTTAGCATTAGTTCTGACGAATCTTCAGTGGATTTCTCAATAAGTTGGGGTCAAACTGAGTGAAGTGTTTTTTTTTTTTAGTCATGATTATAACAGATACTGTATGAGGATTCATACAAATTTCAGCCATTTCAGCCATACACAAAAACTTTGTGCAGAAGTAAACAAACCTCCATTCCTGCAGTGGCACCTCAGTAACCCCTGCATTGCACAATAATGTTTTTTTAGTTCTTTTTCAGAGCAGGTCTTGAAGAACCAGTTCTCTGTATGATAATGGCTCGATAAGTTCATCATAAATGTCGTCTACTCCACCATCAAAACCAGACTACAGGGAAAAATAGGAGCTCAAATGACCAGCCCCTATTCCAAGATATTCATTTTACTTCCTATTAAAAATCTCCATTATCATTAAATCCCGATGTTTTGAGCAGCCTGCCGACAAAAGCCCAACTAAATCAGGGAATTATGGAAATTGGGGATTTAAATTATAAGCTAGTAAGTAATTCCTGCTAAGTTTGATTGAATCCCACACTAGATTGCGCTGGCAGAATCAGTTTCTACTACTGTTATTATTTATTTCCCCTAAATCATGCCCAACAACAGATATCAGATGATAGACAGAATGAACCAATTATCTCTAGATTAACTGTTTTTGTTGAATGGCATTAGTTTATGTCACACACCACCAAGCTGCCTTATCAGTCTAGAAATGGGGCAAAGCTGTTTGGTGAAAATGGGAGAAAATTAAAATGAAATAAAACAAGGAGGAGATCAAATATACTCTGTACTTTTTTCCACATGTGGTTTATTATGTTTGTGTCGATGTGTGCAGGATCCAGGTCAATGATCTGATAGTGGAGGTTGATGGGACCAGCCTGGTGGGTGTCACACAGAGCCTCGCTGCCTCCGTCCTCCGCAACACCTCTGGCACTGTCAGGTCTGACATAAACACACAAGCACAGACATGTACACGGGTCCTACAGACACATTTAAGCCTATTCTGATCATGTTGTGTTGACCTGCTGATTCAGGGTTTGAACCTTTCTCTGCAGAATCTCAAATAAACATAATATTTATCACGTTTTTGTTTGGTAACTTGCTAAAATGCTGAGTTTTATTTATCATATGTTTCAGGTTTGCAGTTGTTGTTTCCAGTTAAACAAATGTGACTGTTGGATCTTGTTTCCCAGGTTTGTGATTGGTCGGGAGAAGCCAGGGGAGCAGAGTGAAGTGGCTCAGCTGATCCAGCAGACTCTGGAACAAGAGAGATGGCAGCGAGAGATGATGGAGCAGCGATACAAACAGTACATGGATGAAGACGAAGAGGTATGTGTCCAGGATGAACTTTTTCCTGACGCTACAGCAGCCTTTTTTGTGGAGCTAGCTTGTGTCCCATGACCCCAGATGATAATTGAATCTCTTAAACTACCTCTACAGCAACAAGATACGGGTGACAAATGAAGATAGGAGTGTTACGCTGCGGTGTGTGTGCGCAAGTGTTTGTGCATGTTAGTGACAAAATGTCGGTCTGTGTGCCACCATGTGGCCTGTGGTTTTAACTCAGAGCAGCTCCTCCACCTTGTGGTCAGAGATGGTAACAGAATATTTGAAATCCATGTGTCACAAAAGTTAATTAGAATTTAAATCATTATATGTTTCTTTAATTATTTAAGTTGCACACCCAGTCTATTAGTCATCAACAGGCTGAAGCTAATTTCCTCTTTTAATTTCAATGTGGCTCATTAGGCTGCAAATGAGATTGTTGAGTGAGATTAAACTGATGACCAAAGTTATTATTTTTTTACTATCAGAACATGTGGTCAGAAGTGAACGAGAAGCCACAATGCTTTTACATTACTGTAGTGTGAAGGAGGAGACAAATGATTGTCAGACTGTTTGGTTCTTTTAGTTAAAAGCATTTATATACTGTTGCTGCATTCTTGTTTTCTCTTGCTTTGTAATTTGTCAATCCTGCAGTTTGGTCCCTACGAGTTAGAGTCAGATCTGGGGTTCTTTTTTAGTGTTCAAAGGAAAAGTGATGTGACACAAAGGGAAACATGACCCTGTCCCAACTTTTTAGTAAGATGTTGCGGACATCAAACTCAAAATGAGTGAAAGCTTGCAAAAAATAAACCATATATATCATATAATATTATATATGGTTATATTATATATGTATAACAAACCATATTTATACTTTGTACACATGGAAATTTGACTCATGTACATATCTTTTATCTGTTTTCTCAACTTAACTCTAAGTTGCTTTATACTTTAATTTCTCTTTGTATGACTGTATGCTGCTGTAAATTTGGAACCTCCCCCTGTAGGACTATAAAAGGAACATCTTATCTTATAATATCTTAAAACAATGAAGTTTATCAATTTGGACATTAAATGTCTTATCTCTGAAGTATATTCAGTTGTATATTGGTAGAAAAGGATTTTTAAATCACTATATTCTGTTTTTATTCACGTTTTAAACAACGTCCCAAACCATCAGCAACAAGACTGACTCTGTTTTTATCATAATATCTGATACCTGAAACTGCTGTGAGGGAGTAAGTAGGTGGAAGACCAGAAGATTGACAGCGCACCAAAAAAAAAAACAGCTTTTCCTATCATTTCCAACAGCAAAAAAATCAATTAATCAGATTTTGAGTTTTAAAAGAATACAGGATTGGATTTGTTTTTTCAAAAAATACCATCTTGGTTTATTCAAGTCAAATCAATCCTCTCATCTAACTCCTGAGTAACAAGGCATGGTAAACCTGTGCACACATATGAACAAATCAAACTTTTTTGATTTATCACAGACAGGTGAATATGCAACAGACGAGGATGAGGAGATGAGTCCAGTGTTCCCAAACTCCATCGAGGTGTTCGACCTGGCTGAGAACCAGGAAATGTTGTCTCCTGTGGAGCTGGACCCAGAGAAGCTAGCCCACAAATTCAAGGAGGTAAATAATCACTTCCCTCTTAAACTTTCCACCTGTTTTTATTCTGTCTGGTTTGATCTGTTGGATAGGGTTTGTTTAAAATCTTGTTTTCTGTTTGTGATCAGCTCCAGATCAAACATGCAGTAACCCAGGCGGAGATCCAGCTGCTGAAACGGAAGGTGAGGCCTCAGAAATGATATACTGCAACATCCAATATGCACTCGCAGTTCTTTTTCTGCCTAAACGATGACTTAACTCTGCCTCCTCCTCCCACATAACAATTCCTCCTTCCACACTCCCACCCCTCACCTCAAGCTGGCTCATGCAGAGCAGGACAGGTTGCGTTGGCGAATGGAGCGTGCTCAGTTAGAGCAGAATATCCGAGACAGTAAAGAGAGGATGGAGAAATTGGAGGGCTACTGGATGGAAGCTCAGTCCCTCTGCAAGGTGATATAAAAATAAAGATTTCAGATTAAAAACAAGGACAGATTCTTGTCATTTCATTTAACAGTTTACAGGATCTACCCCACAAGCTATTTGTTTTCATCCTGACTGTGTGTGTGTTCTTTCAGGCAGTGGATGAACACCTGAAGGAAACCCAGGCCCAGTACCAAACCCTAGAGAGGAAATACAGCAAGGCCAAGAGACTAATTAAAGACTACCAGCAGAAGTAAGAAAGGAGGCGCACATAAAAAGGGATCAAGTGGGAGTAAATGACACCAAACGGCTAAATCATGTGTGTTTTTGTAGGGAGATTGAGTATCTGAAGAAAGAGACAGCTCAGCGCCGAGCACAGGAAGAAAGTGAGGCGACACACAAAGAGGAGGCAGACAACCTGCAGGAAAAGGTTGGTGAAACTCTCAGTTTAACTCTGAATTGTTCCCTAAAACAAAACCCCCAGTTTGGATTTTTAATTAGTTCCCCACCCTCAACAGCCTTATTTGCCCCTTGGGCTGTATAACCTGATTTACTGCCACAGTCATGATAGGTTATTTCTTTTGATTGATGCAGTCGATTTTTGTGCCAGCGCTTTCCTCAGAAACAATATTTCAACCTTAAAGAGATATTCCGGCGTAAAATGAAGTTAGGGTTAAACACACCGTAACGCCAAGTTAGACTCCCCATCGAGAGATGAATGTTGCCGACCGCTTGCTTCTCTAGTTATACCAACTTCAGCAACACAGAGAGCCAGGTGCTCAACCAAAAAGCCACTCGTAGCCACAAATAATGCTCAGAACAGCACCTAACTTCATCAACAGTACATATAGGGTCTCAACCATAGCATCAGCCACCAAACATCTTTTTAGCTTTGCCTAATTTCTTTAGTAAAGAGACTAAACACAACTCACCTACTCTCTTCCAGCAGCTGCTGTGGCTACGAGTGGCATTTTGGTTGAGCGCGTGGCTCCTGGGACTGTTGTGTATTGCTATCGTGCGGTGGTTACCAAAGTTGGTATAACTAGAGAAGCAAGCGGTCGGCAACATTCATCTCTTGAGGGGGTGTCTAATTCGGTGTTATGCTGTGTTTGACCCTAAATTAATTTTATGCCGGAATATCCCTTTAATGCACAGAAACGTTTTTTAAAAAATAACTATTTTAACGTTGTTTTATTTCTTTTGAAACTATGTTATAGTTGAAATGTATTCAGTCACTCTCCGCCGTGTTTTTGTCCACAGATTACAGACTTGGAGACCAAAGTGGATGCCCTGAAGACCTCTAAACCCTCCTAGACTGCTGCTTATTCCTACCTCCTGTCTGTGACTGGAAAGGAGGAGCTTTGCCTTCAATGTGACCTGGGCTGTATTTTATTCCAATCAACCATTTTGCTGCACAGACAAGTAGCGGAAAAGTTTGAGCAAGGAAGAAAAAGGGGACAAAGAGGATGACATATACATCAAGATCAGAAGTAACCTCTCATCTGGCTTCTGCCAGCAGCTTACAGCTCTGTCATTCAATAACCAATCCCAGAATGCTCCTCCTGTAAAACCCAGAATCCTCGTTTTGTGTCTTCCTGGCAACTGGCTTGGCAATCAACATGGAAACTACATTCAACAACCTGTGCTTTATTTGTTAATAATTTCTTTTGGCTTCTCCTCTCTTTAATAACAGTGTGATACCAGGATTCTATTACTGATTGAAAAAGCGCTTTTTTAATAACAGGCTTGTCACGAAGTGCTTTATAGAGTAACGAAGGGGTCTACCTGCAGAATAAGTCGGAACAAAGGAGAAAGGACAAAGGTCATGTGCTTGACACTGTACTACGCTTGAACCAAGTGATTGCTGAACCATTCCTTATTTTTGATCGGGACTGGACTTGATTCACGCGTGTGTGCGTTCTGCCACACAGCATTGAGTATCAGAATCAAAAACTGATAGGAGAATGGCCACCTCATTTTTTTTAAACTCAAAACTCAACTCAAAGTTCTGAGGTTGAGCCCAACAAGAATCAACTTTGAAAAGGAAATAGCCACCACCTTATGATAGTTAAGTAATAAAAACTATGGAGCAAGATGGACAACCAATTTCTGACCCGCGGCACAGACTGAAAACCGGAAAGCTCACCCCAGCCTTTGGTTTGTTTTTTTTCTCCAGCCTAACAGCCTAACTCTGTTTGTGATTGAGGGAATCCTGCAGAAGTGTGTATTTCAGGTCTGAACTGTAGTGGCATATTGTTTGTATATATTCTATACATGTATTTAAATGTGTTAATATGGCTTAAACCATTAAGTGGGACAGATATCAGAGAGTGAAACAGTTCAGTGAGTGAAGGTGATGTCCTGCTGTTGAGGGGTGAAATGGTTTAGTCGCCCAGATTCATCTCTTTTCTAGTATTATCAAAGGCAAACAGGGTGTGAATAGTCCAGTATGTGCTTACAGCGTCAAATTGTTTGTACAGTAGTTGTTGGTGTTTTAAGTGTGTGTGTGTGGGTTTACATGCACTCAGGATAGTTATATACTATATTTTTGAGTTTATGTGGGGCGCTCAGCAATCTACCCATAACCTGGGTCACAAAAAAAAAACAGAACTGAGTTTGGATACACTGGTTCCTGAGGCTTTTCATGTTCAGCTTCCACTTGCACTTACCGCACAGTTTTATGACCTCAGGTTACATCACCACATTATTCGATCCCTGTGTTCACAAGAAGCTGATATGTAAAGAGGCGCACTTTTTAACCCAAGTTGTTCAAATATTTCGGAGGCATAACTCAAATAGAAACTCCTTTAGGTGAAGCAACAGTTGGAACCAAAGTGCCAAATTTTCTTACAGATTACTGAATATCTACGGAAGTCGTTGACACCCCTTTCTGTACAAACTTTGCTTAATTGTTGTTTAAAACGATTTTTAACAGTCAAAAATTGAAGTACTTGTTTTCCCAGTTTTTTCCCCATTGGCTAAAACAAATTTTCCAACTATTTGCTTCCTACTAACTTAAACTAAACTTTTACTAATGAAGATAATTTAACTAATATTTTCATTTGAAATTTCAATCATGTACCCAGAAAAGGAAAACAACTCCCAACCAGGTCTTAATTCTGTCATTTAAAGTGACACGCAATAAAAGTTGTTAGATTTTACTTTGAAATTTTCCTCTTTACATTTACATGTTTCGCTTTTTTTCCCATTTGTGATACAGGTTTCACTTATTATTGTACGACATAAAGAAACTCTGAAGTCGCCAGTACTCGGTCAGCAGGTAGTGAGTATTTTTCGGACGGTCTTTCAGAGAGCAACTTAACTTTTTGAGAGAGCTGCGATTCGTTAAATCAGGATTTGACCAGCCTTGGGTTCCTTAAAAGAGACTTAAATGTGATAATTTACTATCATCGTTATTCAGTAGAAGTCGAACTTTTAAATAACATACTAAATAAGAATGCCAATGCCTTTCTTCCTCTCCCCTCCCTCAGGCTAAATCAAGCTTCGGCTAACATCATTAGCTTATCATGAAGGCTAGCTGATTTGCGCCTCTCTCGCATGCATATTTAGCTCACTGACTTTCTAAAAGCGCTCATAATATTTGTTACAAAGGAATGGACGAGCTAGATGCTGCAAGTTATAATCTCATTGAGATATTTTGATCAGTATTTGTCTTTCTTTCTCAGCCAATGAAGCATCATAAAGCTAGCATAGCAGGACAGTTCTGCCTCTGAGAAATGTTTGTGAAACTTGACCTGCATATAAATATCAGCGACAGTATTGTTCAGGAAATTTTGTGCATGTAAACACACTCCACATCTCTCACTTTAAGAGAAAGTAGAAGGTCCAAGTGCCAGTATTGTGACTTTAGAGAAAGGACTGGAGTTTATGAGAAGTGTGTGTGTGTGTGTGCAAAAGACCAAATTTTGGATCTAGTCCAGAGTCTTAAGCGGTCGTGAAGCTCAGTTAACTTACAGGAACTGGAGATGAATCATGTTTAGCCACATTGAAATTGTTTTGTAAAATGTATTGAAACCGATTTTTCTTCTTGATCAAATCTAAAAAAGTTCCAAGCAACTTTGAGATCTTTGGAAACTCCTCAAAAGTGCTTGAGCTTGAAACACTTTAAGAAATCATTTTGCTTGTAAACCACCAAGTGCTCTTTGAGTCAAATCTTGAAATGATTAAATCTTCTTGAGATGGGAGTGAAAGTCACATATTGATGATGATGATGTGAGATATTCATGTACTCGGCTGATACACATTTGTTGTCTTTTAAAGGGAATGGACAAATGGAGATAATTATTTGATGTATTTAAATTGTAAAGCTCATAATTCCACGAGGGAACGCTTAGTTAGACGGCAGCAACTAAAAAGCAATGTTCACAAAAGGCAAATGTACTTTGCTGTGTAAACAATCATCATGGCGATTATTGTGAGTTCATGTTTGTGTTGAGAATGCAGCTTGCTGGCAAGCTCTAAGAAGGTTGAATTCATTGAAAACACTCAATCTGAACACCCGCCCTCCATCAAAACTAGTATAGAGCGCCACTTCATAGAATCAAATGGAACCAAAAGCAAAGGAGTCTTCTGTCATCGCCTGTGCTGAACTGTGCTTTATACTCAAGCCAAATTCAGCGTCTCGGCCAAACTGGGTCAATTTTGTTTTTTCCTGCTAAAAGCTTTTCCGATCTCTGTCCCTTTCTTCTTTTAGCCAATAATATATTAGCTAAATACTTGAGTTTGGCAGCTTCAGTAGTAATTTGCATTTAGCATGCTAACAAGCTTGTAAGTAAGTTAGTTTACATATTATACTATGGAATATACCTGCAAACATGTTAGCATTGACACTTGACCCTTTGTAGCTTTTACATTAACTTTTAATTCCATTTGCAAAGTGTCTTTACCGTGCCGCAAGTCTTAGTGTCAATAATATCTTGTTTAAAATCTTGTTTCATTCCTCAAAACAATTTAAAAATATGTGAATAAAGCAGTGATGCTGGATTAGAATCTCTTATTTTTGCATAGAAGCATGTGACAAGACCATAGTGTGACAGAGCAGCTCCGGAAGTTACAATTCGACAAACGCCTAAGGGTTTAGTGTTCACAGAGCGACGACACGCCTGTAAAATAAGGTGTTTAATCTCAGAGCCTGGTGCGTGTGGACCAATCTGCCTCAGTATACAAGTCCCCTTTGTTTGAGCTGAGGCATATGAAGTTAAACTGAGCTCATACCTGCAGGTAGTAACCAGAATTAGAAACATTGTCAGTGACTCATGGGAGGAATCCAGCACAGTGCACTTAAGGCCACCTGCTTCTAGGACTGTAGCCTCTGTACACAAAGCACGTGACTGAACCGAAGGATCGGATCTGATGAAATAATCATGTTTGGACTGGAAGAGAAAGTTCTCATTAAAAGCTGAATTTTAGACCCCACATTTTTTTTATTTTAAATTTAAAATGAAGTCCTTTTGGGACAGGAACAAGGGTCTGGACATAGTGAGCATTTTTAGGGAATGAACATGAGCCATAAGCAGCTCACTTCTGTATTTAATTGCTTTACTTAAAAGCTGTAAAATCGCTGTTTTATCACCAAATCAAGTCCAGGTCACTTTGGGTTTCAAGTCTTTACACAGTAAGTGATCACTTTGCCTTGTTTGTATTAGTTAACTTGCTGCTTCTGCCTTCACAAAGGCTTCAGATGTGTTGTGTTGTAGCTGACTGTCATTGTGGATGTCTGCCTGTCACTCATGCCTGCATCGGAAAAACAGAACGAGTGTTTGCCAGTGAATGCAGCACAGACAGACTGCCATGTCATCCGACTGATTGTAGCACCGGTGTTTAACTTGTGTTAGTTAGATTGTCCACAGATCGATGCCTTTCTTCATCATACTTTTTAAAGTTTTTTCTTCTTCGTATTTGAAATTAGCTCTTCCCTGCTTCACGTTAATGGAGCACTCCTTCAAAAGTGGTTTCCCACTCAGCAGCAGCTTTGGTGGGGCAGGTGGGAGGGTTTAGTGCCTTGGCGAGGTGTTAGGCAGGATGAGGATGGAGGGAACCTTCCCCTGTGTGTGGCACGGGTTTCAAATCAACCTTGCAGTCGAAGCTTGCAGCCAGCATGTTTATCAGACCACATAGAGTATGTTTCTAGATCGAATGTAAACCTAAGTGGTCACCTTTTGGCATCTTTCTGATACTTCATCACTTGTTTAGGAATCAAAGGCTGGTGCAGATCCCAGTAGTGTGTTCAGAGATGATCTTGGCTTTTCAAATGTTTTGTACTGATGTGCTTGAAGGTTAAAATTGCATTGACCGGATTTTAATGAAACTGGAAGTGTAAAAATAATTGTAAAACTGGCAAACTCTGTCCTGTAACCACCTAGTCTTAAAACACTTCACAGCTGATAGAACTAGTGCAACATCGATCTTTTGTGTTTTTAATGTGTATACTTGTTCTCACAAATGTCCTGCAAAGAAGATTTTGCAAAACTAGAAACAATTTGGAAATGGTTGACAAAAGTTGGCTTTCAGTTTAATTTTCTTTGATTGTTTCATAAAGTTTCTTTGAATTACTGGTCTGTGTTTATCTTCAATCACTTTTTAATAAAATCCACCCTCGGCTTGGTCTCCTCAAATGCATAAATAGCTAAAACAGAGGTGTTGTGTGTCATTTTAGATGAACGACCGGGGATAGAGCAGTGCCAAACAGTGACAGTGGAGCACGACAATCTGACATTGTATAAGCTGGCCTTTGAGTGCATCTTGGTTCTGAAATCGATTACTTTCTCTGCCTGGTCCCGTTCTTAAGTTGATGCCATCATGTTTGTCTGAACAAATTCTCATCTGTCAGCGTTAATAAATAAACATGAAATATGTCGAAACAAAGCAAATAAACAGATGTGTCATTTATCTGTGTGAATTACTGTATTGTACTACTTAAAGCTCCTGTAAGGAACTTTCAGTCTTGCTCATCTTGGTATTAATATGCTCAAGTCTCATCTTTTAGGGACAAAAAAAAATCTCATTCTGCTGATCCTTGTCTGCCTCCTTGCTGGGTGAAGCCACCGTAAGAACAGCACCCTCTGGTGACGGGCTGCAGTATAAGTCATAAATCCCGCTTCCTCCAGCAAAGCTTATGGAGCTGTGGACAAACTTTAGAAATTAATTACACAGAATATAAATTTTTCTCCCCCCTGCTTGTGATGTTGACATGTAGTTATTGTAAGACTGGTTTGTGCTCAAGTCCTCTTTTTTCTGTGAAGCTCCGTTTTTAAAAGTTATTAGGGGGTTCATGTTTTCTATGATTTACACTTGATACGGCCTATTGGCGTATGAAGACTCACAACAACTCTTGGCGACTCTCCTGCCAAATGTGTACAATGCGACTGCGCAATGTTGGTTTCAGGAAATGCAGAAAAATCCTGGAATTACCGAGAGCATTTTGGCCTCAAATCCGTATACAGGAGGGAGGCGGGACCAAGTTGTCTATAGTATATACAGTCTATGGTCTTGCTGCTGATGGTCTGGTTTGCTTCTGGATATTATAAAAAGACATTAATATGAATGTCAGTCTGTTTCATCAATACAAAAAAAATCTTCACAGGAGCTTTAAATTTGATTGATTATACAATAACCATCCAATGAAACAAAGTATCTGCTGTCTTTCAGAGCGAAGCCTGGAAAATCCCTTTCTCTTTCTCTCTCTTAGTCTTGAGCTTACTTTTGGCACTAAATTTCTTCCATCTTTCAGAATAAAGCAGCTTATTGTCCTCAAGTGGACGCCTATATAAAGTGTAAACCAGTAGAAGTAAACTTTACTTATCAGACAGACTGATGGAATATTTTGTCGTAATATCTGAAGGTAGTACCAGACAACTGGTGAAATTTTAATTATATTTATATTGACACAGATTATGAGCAGAGCTGTCAAAGGAGTCGTTGGGAGTATTTTCAAAGTAGGAAACAGGAAGATGCTGCAGTAGCTCCATTACAGCACACCAAAAGGACTTGTGCAGCTCAGAATTCAAAGATATAAGCAGTCCTTTTCAGACCTTTATTGTATCATGATAGAGGGTTTACTACAAAGGCAATACTGACGACATTTATCTGCGAGAACAGCTCCACTTTCAATACTAGAGTTATGAAGGAGTTCAAGTAAAACAAACCTTATGATTAATACTAGCAGTATTTACTGTTATATCTTCACAAATGTAACTTAAATCAGTATTTTTATGCAATAAAGGTCTGGCCCGCCCCCTGGTGGTCACTACATAAATCTCAGCAGTTATGAAACACTTTTTACATTTTGTTTGAAAAATATATGAAGACTTTTTCCCCCTTTGAATAAGAAGATGCCAAAATCTCACAGACTATAAAACTGGATTAATTAGCTATAATTTCATTTATAGATAGACTAATAATTTAATAATTTATAGACACAAAAGTGAGATCATTTAGCAGCCGTCAAACCACAGATAAAGGACATATACTGGGAAACGAGACAAAACATATTATATGGCTATGAGTTGTAATGGAATGTAATGTATTGTAAAGCATGTTGTTGATTTGGTGTCTTATAAACCCATGAGGGTTGGGCACTTTATGTGCAGGACACGGAAATAAACTATCTATCTATCGATCTATTGGCCATAAAGTTGATCAGTATAATTTTGAAAAAAGATGATGAGAAAGTCATATTTTGAGTTACGGTGGACATCAACAGTCACATTATAGCTTATTATTATGATTCGCATGCTTGTCAGAGGTGAAAACATGAAGCTGTAAAACACGAGGGCACACAGCTGTCTTTTGTAGGTCATTTTTATTCAAGTGCTGAAAATAAATACAAAAAATTTTTGGAACACATCTATTAAAGTGACAAAGACCTGCTTCAGTCAAGATTTGCTCAACAGAAAAAGTTTCATTTACTTTTCCATCTTTAGCTGCAGTTTGGAAGTCGATTTTAGGAAACTCAGGTAGAATGTGTTATCATCGATCTCTCTCATAATGACCCGTTGAATGAATAAGGATTTCTTTTTTTCTAATTTCTACCTGATTTAAAAAAAAAAAAAACTTTCCCCTCCAACCAGAGAGTTGAATTTGGATGAAATGTTAAGCTGACTTCTTTCAGACTACTTTCTTCACTCGGAGCAGAACTTAAGTCAGGCACGACCAAAGATCACCTGTGGGCAGGCATTGAACAATGGCACACTGATAAACTGATGACTCGTTTGTACATGTTTCATTTGACTACAGCCATCCAATTAACCAGTCTGAGTATGAATCTCCGGTTCATCTTCAGTGTAACTACATTTGACACCAGATTAGCATATATGCTACAAACACACAGACACATGGCTACCTTTAGGTCTCAACTGACTCTTCAAGTAGCACAGTTGGACACCAAAACAAAAGAAAGCGAGTTAAACATGGACTCTAGAAATCTACATGAAATAATTAGCTGTGAATCTGCGTACTACACGTCTAAGCAGTCGGTGTATTGGAACAGGAGTGTATTGAAGGCCTGTGTGTTGGAGATGTCCTGTAGAAGGCACTGGCGCTCTTCCTGATACTGAGGAAACTGATCACGCTAACACAGCAGCCGCTTTTCTGATGGTGAACTCAAATTCTCCTTTGTAACACTACAAGATAAAGAGAGGAACCAGCCTGTTAGCTTTCATTTAGAGTGCTGGTTTTATGCTCTGGTCTGATACTTACACCGTGTTTCACTTCATTTTAATTTGAGAAGCACTAAAATTCTAACAAATCGTTAGACTCCTCATATTTTTATGTTCTATTTAAACATAACAGCATTTGAGCTTCACACCCTGCAGCTGTGTCGGAGAAAAACTGCTGCTGTGTTAATGTGAGGAAAGAGATTGTACTTTGAAAAAACATTCAATGCACGCTCTAATGATACAGTTTAATATCGACGATGATTGCTGAGGAAACATAAGCAGGACACGTGTTTAGACAGGATTTTGAGACGCAACGAAAAGTAAGAGAGGAAAGAAAGGAGTGCAGTTCTGTCTGACAGCAGGAGAAGACAGCCAATGGCGAGAGTCCGTTAATGTCTACTCAGGTATGTGTGTTTAATCACAGCTATGTAACAAAACTAAGAGGAGGTATATGCGAAGTTATGCATGAGCATGTTTGTGTAGTCAGTCATCATCTATGTTAAGCCGCATTTAAAGAAAAAGGGTTAGCATTCGATATTTCAACGAAAGGACTTGTGTAACATTTGGAGTTGAACATTCACCCTTCTGCGCGTCTGAAGTTTTCGATTCGAAAAAGGCAAATGTCACGTGAGATTCGTGTCGTGTTCCAGTGTCGCTAGTTTGTCAGTCGTCCACTCCTATGTTGCGAAACAGGTAGGACATGGACTCTCCATTGTGGATGCGGCGGATGGCCTCTGAGAGAATCATGCTTATGTCCACTGTTTTTATCTTGGGACACTGGAGTTTCTGGAGCTCATGGGGTATTGTGTTGGTCACCACCACCTGATGAAAAAACATGATGTGAAGAACTACCAGCAGATTAGTAATGGAATATTCCGACATAAAATTAATTTAGCCACCAGCCACCAAACATCTTTTTTACTTTGCCTGATTTCTTTAGCAAAGAGACTAAACACACCTCACCTACTCTCTTCCAGCAGCCGCTTGTTTGTAGCAAGGCCTTGGGCCAGTCCATTATGGACTGCAGCGGGGTGACGCAGCTCAAGGAAGAACATTTATGATCATTTTTTTTATAATTTCCTTAAATTAATAATCACCATATTGATCATTTTGCACTGCAGACACAGTAGTTCTTCTGCCTTAGCGTCTTGGTCTGATTGCATTTCCATGAAGAAATGATCATAAATGTTCTTCCTTGAGCTGCATCACCCCGCTGCAGTGAATGATGGACTTGTCGAGGTCTCGCCACAAACAAGCGGCTGCTGGAAGAGAGTAGTTGAGTTGTGTTTAGTCTGGGACCCTATATGTTTAGGCTGGGACCCTATATGTACTGTTGATGAACTTAGGTGCTGTTGTGAGCATTATTTGTGGCTATAGAGTGGCTCTTGAGACCGCTGTGTGTTGCTATCGTGCGGTCGTTACTAAAGTTGGTATAACTAGAGAAGTAAGCAGTCGGCAACATTCATCTCTCAAGAGGGACTCTAACTCGGTGTTACAGTGTGTTTGACCCTAAATTAATCTTACACTGGAATATCCCTTTAAGAGTTGAAGCAAAGGTCTCACAGAGGATCTTCTCACCTCATCTATTGCCGATTCCTCGATGAACCGAGGAGCCTCAGAGGAGAGGATGCCGTGTGTTGCCATGACAAAGATCTTGTAGGCTCCTCTTTCCTTCAGTGTTTCTGCTGCCGCCACAAAACTGTCCACATCATCAATGATGTCATCCTGCAAGACGAACAAACCCGTCTTAAACAAGCAGAGCTGAAAATGTGAAACAGCTTCCCCAAATTGAAGCCAGTGCTGTAACGCCTCAAGAGATAATCTAATGTGTTCCCTCTTTGATTTTTAAGCAGGATAAACCACGTGTTAAAAGCCATGTTATGTACTGTTTGCTCTTACCACAATAATGGCGATACGTCCTCCTACATCTCCCACCACAGTAATAGGAGGCTTCTCTTTGGGGATCAATACTGGAAACAAAAAAGACACACAGAGAGGTAAAAGCATTTTCTACTTACTGTATATTTCACACATCTCTTCAACTCTTAAATCGCGACTGTTCGGATCAGAAAAATGGCTTGAAAGACAACAAGGTGACTTTAACTAGAGGTGAAATCCTGCTGCGCTTCAGCATTATAAAACATTACAGATTGTTGTTTTGAGTTGTTCCAGATGCACATAGTTTGCTTTTCATGTGTTGGAATATATTAACAGCTACATCTTTCTGCTATTTCTTTGTTTAGCCCCCTGCTAGTACCTCTGACACCAGCAGAGGGGACCTGCATGTCTCGAATACAGGCTGCTTTACTTTAAAAAAAAAAAGGCTCACACTGCAGGTTTACAGGCATACAGAGACTGTTTTATGCATGGCTGTTAGTTCAGTGTGATCTTATACTGGTCTGCATTTATAGTCATCATTGTAGGCATTGTAGAAAATTAGACAACTTAGACAAATAATAGAAAATACAAATCTTTTTCAAAAAAGTTAGATGACCAAAACTCGAGTAAATTTTTTTCTCCCTCATTTAAGTTTATTTATTTATCTATTTTTTGATTGGAAAATGATTGGAGTTTGTAAAGTGTCCTCTGCACATGAGCTGTGTGCTCTATCAACTGAACTAAATGAGCACCATTAATCTGCCCGACTTCTTATCTTTGCATGACCTTCATTGCAACAGCTGCACATGCATTGCCCTTGTTGTCTGTTAGTTGATCATTATCCGAGCCTAGATTTTAATTACATGGTATCTCCATGCTGGGATGAATGGCTCCGGTGGTCTTGACAGTTGGTGGGGAGTGACGTCCGTCTACCTGGTCGGACTCTGCATCCTGAGCTTCGCCGTGGATCACTGCGATACCAAGACGCAGCCGCTCAGCGAATGACTGAGCCCTGCAGGGGCAAAGGGAGGAATTTATACCCTATAACATACTGTAGTCAATCTCATAAACACTTTTACACAGGTTTTACAACAGGTTATAAAAAGAAATATTAAATTGTACTTTTTGTCACGGTTTGAAATACCAGAAAGTTCTATTCTTGCTCCCCCTAGTGGAAGAATTCTAAGTACAATGAGGTAGAGAGCATTGTGTTTGTACAGAAAGGTAGTGTCTGATCTATGAAGGTGAAAGGGAGAGCGTCACAGCTTTATGCTTCACAAACTTTGCGGTACAAAGAGGAACAGCTCTGAATTCAGCTGAAAGGGGGGAGCTTACCTTTTGGCAGAGGCTGGAGATTTGGCAACAATCACAGCGTTTCTATAATCAGGGATCTGGAGGAAATTTGAGATGGATTAATCAATGAACTGATTGACAGATCTGCAATCAATAACAATTTGCTTAATTCTTCCTTTAAAAGTTGAATTGCAGCATTGATAGTGAAATGGCATTGCTCAGCCCTTGTTCTCTATCATGTGGGAAACAGGATTGATCGTAACTAGATTATGTTTTTCTCAAATCAATTAAGTGTATTTGTCACAGGGATGATTTGATATGTTGTAAGGAAAATAGACAAGGGTTTTATATCTTCACCATGAGACTGTTCAGTTTTTACCTCTTCCTGGATGTACTGCAGCAGAAAAGGTGACGCCCTCAGATTGTCTACTGGGATATTAAAGAAGCCTTGGATCTCTTTCTGATGAAGGTCCATGGTGATCAGATGGGTGAGACCTGCACAAACATGTTCATTTGGACTGCAGGATTAACACAATTGAAATACTCTAATTTGCCTAAATCTGATCTGTGCATGAAGATGAACATTTGAAATTAACCTCCTGAAAGAATTGTGTTGCCTCAGGTATTGCAGGTATGTTGAATATTCAAGTAATGCAGCAAACTAAAGAAGTGTATTTTATTTCTAGTTCAGTGCCACAGCACACTCCTATATTAGCAGATATACATTTTATCACTACAGGCAGGAATACTAATGTATGTCCTGGTGGACTTAACTCTATTGCAGAGTTCAAAGGGTAATAATTCATATATTTAATACATGCATGGGTTAAGAAACACTGTACGAATGCAGAGAGACCTTGTGTTTTCGTCAACTCTTAAAGGGATACTTCAGCGTAACCTAACCGTATTCCTAACCGTAACACCAAGTTAGACACCCCGTCCAGAGATGAATGTTGCCAACCACTTTCTTCTCTAGTTATACCAACTTTAGTAACGACCACAGGTGCTGTTCTGAGCATTATTTGTGGCTATAGAGTGGCGTTTTAGTTGAGGTTTGTTTATGGCTCCTCAGACAGCTGTGTATTGCTATCGTGCGGTCGTTACTAAAGTTGGTAAAACTAGAGAAGCAAGCGGTCGGCAACATTCATCCCTCAAGGGGGTGTCTAACTCGTTACCGTGTGTTTGATCCTAAATTAATTATATGCCGGAATATCCCTTTAAGGGCAGCTCCACAATATCCCCTCCCCCTACTTTATACAGTAAAGCGACAGTCTCCCACTCACCTGCTTTACACATCATTGAGGCAATAAGCTTGGAGACGATGGAGCCCCTCTTCCTCATCTTGCACTGCTTGCTGTAGGGAAAGTATGGGAGGACGCCTGTGATGCTCCTGGCACAGGACGTCCTGCATGCATACACCATGATCAGCATCTCCATTATGGTGGTGTTTACATCTCTGCTCCAGCCAGATGATGGAGGGAACAGACCGAGAAAAGGAAAAGACCAAAAACCAAAAGCTATGAGTGAGACGTTTCAGAGGAAATTGCTCAAAATTTGAATTGTGTTCATGCTCTTTCCATACTTGGACACTGTCTGGATGACAAAGACATCTTTGCCTCGCACTGACTCTTGGATCTGCACCCGCGTTTCTATGGAAACAACAAGATGTGAGAAGTGGAGAGCGGCAAGGAAAGCCTGCACACTTGCATGCAAATTCGCATACACATACATGCACACACACAAACACACTTTATAACAGAGCCTTGGAGGCCTGTCAGCTTCATTAGGGAGCAATCCAAGCTCTTTGTGCTTCTCACACAAACGGCATCCCCCCTCCTCCCCTCCCCCCTGACTGTGTGAACTGTAGATACCAGCATTCCAAACATGAGCCGCCCTCACGAAAGAGATTAGACAACAAATAGTTTCCAACGAAGAGTCAAAGACAAACAAAATCAGAGCTGCATCAAATGTGTTTCGGAAGAAAGAGTCTTAATGTCAGTGACAGGCTCGGATCTGAGCAGTTTTTTAGAGTCATGGTCGTGGGGTTTTCATTTCTTAATGCCTTGTTCTGCTACACATATTAACAAAATTCAGGCTAATTAAAGGAAGGATTCTTGCTCAACAGTCCAGGGTCCCTGTTGTCATATTTTGTGCTTCATAATGGTCCACACATTTTCAGTGGGAAACAGGTCTGGACTGCAGGAAAGAAGCCGCGCTGTTGTCAAATGTGCTTCATGTGGCTCGGTGTTGTCTGGCTGAAATAAACTGTGGTGTCCTTGAAAGGAGGAGGGAGTTTAAACCTTCATAAGGTAGGCAGGAGCTGATCTGGTTGCAGTTTTGGAGGCAAGACATAGGCTTTTATGTTTGATGCAGGCAGTGAAGAGAGATGAACAGCAGATTCACATGCTGCTGCATTTAGGATCATGTGCAGAAGTTTAACTCTGCATAAGGGAGGCATGCCAGTTAGGAGTTGCAGTAGTCAATGCGTGAGAATGCAGGAGCCTGTACTAGGAGCTGTGTTGCCTGCTCTGTCAGGTAGGGTCTGATTCTCCTGATGTTATAGAGGGTGAATCGGCAGGAATCATGACACCTAGATTCAGAGCAGACAAGTTAAGATCTCTCTTTGGACTCTCTTTGGTAGGACACCAACCACTAGAGGGCAGATCCAGAGATACCAACTTCAACAAGAGTGGAGAGAGGGATTTGGTGGTTTACTGTGTCATACACAGCAGACAGATCCAGCAGTAATAAAAGTAAAGACTGATCAGCAGCTCTAGCCAAACACAGTGATTCAGTTACCATCAGAGGAGCAGATTCAGTGGAGGGGCCCTGCCTGAAGTCAGGTGTAGGGTGACCATATTCTGAATCCCAAAAAGAGGACGATGTCGCGCGTAGTAAATTTGGAGGGTTTTTGGTTCAGGTCAACACGCTACACAAACTAAAAACTTCCATACAAAACCCCGGACATTTGAAGGATTTTAAACCCTCCCCCCGGACAAGGCCGGACAACCCCCCAAAAAGAGGACATGTTGGAGTAAGAGAGGATGTACGGTCACCCTGCACTGATGCAAAGTATGTGGACATGTACAACATTAAATCAGTAAATTTGAACTCCATGATTAAAGAGGTCATAGTCTCATAGCTGCAGGTTGTATTATAGTTTGCTACTACAACCTGCACATAGTTCACCAAGTGAAAACTATTTTAGTGTCAAAACCAGAGAGCAAAAACTGAAAACATGAATCCCTTTGTTATCTCCTACCACTCCACAAACACTAGTGTTGAAGCCGAACAGCTGTGTGGGGCCTTCGGATAATTTAATTAGATGATTGGAAGATGTGTCACCGGCCTTCGCAGTGCGCATGTCATTCTGGGTCACTTTATATTACAGTGATTTATTAATTGTGGTGTAGATGTGCTGCAGTATTTGGTGACCTTTTAAAGCCTCGGTCGCACATGCGCCGCAATCCTGACTGAGCCGAGCTGTGCATGGGAATCTGATATTAACAGACTTCACCCTGTCAGTGTATTCATACAACCTTATGTTCACTGGAATAAACAATCTCTTTAATAACATTTTAAAAGCATCACCTTACCTCTGTTAGCTTCCTGGTACACCTGCACCTTCCCAAGCTCCACCCCTAACCGCCTGGAAGACAAAGGAAGTAGAGAGTGAGGGAGGTGGAGAATAACAGAGCGACACAGGAAGGGAAACAGAATTGAGAGCCCCAGAAGACAAGAGGCGCTTCATTCTTATCACTGAAAAAGCTGTAGTTGCTATAAATTCTACAGAAAAAAAACACAGGATCCTTTATTTCTGAATATCATGAGAGAAAATGTCTTTTTTTTTTTTCCAAGCCTGCTCTGCTCATTCTGCAGTCAGCACATTTTCCTGTTAACTGTTAACATGATGTGCGTCTATCCCCTCCATTCTCTGACTCTCTCATACACACAGCTGGAATGTAGTGAATGATAAGCCTGTCTGAATGCTCTATTTGTTTTATAAACATGCACAGACTCCAATGTCATCCTGAAGGCCAAGGGTGCCTTATGTGCATTTTGAGCATGCTTTGTTTCCACATAACAGTATGAATATTGGTGCTGCTACAAACTATCATGCACACTAGAATTGTTGTATTGTAAAAGGAGATGACAGAGGGGTAAGTGAACTTTAATATTAAGCTTCTTCTGGTTGTTTTTGACCTGTACTCACTCTGCAATCCTCTTGCCCAGCTCTCTGCTGGAGGGGTGCGAGTTTGCGGTGAAGATGACCAGGCCGCCCTTTGTGTGGTTCATGTCTCTTGGGTCTTGGCTGCTTATCTCCCCGCACTCAGGCAGCGGATCCCTGGGCACCCACGCTGCGCTGAGACCTTCCTGTAGTCAAGAGGGAAGAGGGACGATCACTTCCTCTGAAATGAGTCACTCCTCATGACATGAGCGAATGAGGAACTATCTTTTTTTTCTATAAAGTCACTTGATCTTGTCTAGATTAAAGTAACACTATAGTCTCTGCCCTTTCTGGCTAAGTTGACAGTACAAGCAAAAACACACAACAACACAATCTCTACCAAGGGCTGGGTGATAAAACAATGATATATATCAAAAACAATGATATATATCAAAAATTGATTTCCCTCAATATCTATATGAAACACGGTCAATATGCTTTTCGATAGTCGGCATTTTGCCATGTTTTTCATGCCAATGAAAAGGGGAGTTGCTCCAGGTGCACTTCATGCTGAACCAATCGTGCTGAGTTAGAACAAAGTAGCAAACAACTGTGTAGTAGCAGGCTGCAGCTACATGCAACCATAGGACTTAAACACGTGAAGCCGACAGCACTGTTGGTGAGAAAAAAAAAGAAAATGAGTGCTACCCCCGACAGAAATGCAGATGAAGGCTCAACAGATCATGACACTGTTGACAACACAGGTCTGACATGAAGCGAGTAATGTGCACTACAAATTATGTCAAGTACATGTTCTTGCAAAGTCAGGGAATACCTCAAATCTTTTTCACCACCTGAAGCAGTGCCACGCAGCAGAGCACATGCAATGCAAAAGTTTATAAACCCTGAGTGGAGCAAGGAGCCCATGGCACCTGTGCAGCCGAAACAACCGACCATTCTGCTTTCTCTAGCGCAACGCCTTACAACAAAACATCGAAGAGACACAAAGACCTCACAGATGCAGTAGCTTATTGTATTGCAAAAGACATGCTACCAATAAGCACAGGTAAATTTCATTTTTTATATCGTGATATATATCTATATCGACTGATATGAAAAAAATATATCACGATAAACTTTTTCCCATATCGCCCAACCCTATCTCCACCTGAAGGCTGAACCAGGATTAAAGATCCTTGTACTTTAAAATATGCGAGTTTATTTTTTGTGTGTTTTCTGCAAACAGCCTGGAGGAGCTCCAACTTACTCTTGAGAGACAGCACTCTCTTATAACTCACAGCTACAGTTTTAGTAAGTAAACTTAATTTGTGTAGCACTTTTCATAGACAAAAGAGTCACAAAGTGCTTCACATAGACAAAAATAAAAATGTACATACAAATCAAAAGGCCAAGGCAACAACATTGAACAGTCATAGCAGCCCAGAAACAATTAAACAAAAATAAATAAGTTTTGAGTTGGCTTTTAAAAGGAGTCAACAGAGTCAATTAAGCACATTGAGAGAGGAAGATCATCCCAAAGCCTGGGAGCAATGACCTGGAAGGATCAGTCTCCTCTGGTCTGGTCGAAAACAAGTGCGCGGAACCATCAGCAGATTCTGATCCACGGACCTCAGAGCCCGAGTGGTGGTGTAAGACTGGATCAGATCACAAATGTAAGATGGAGCCTGACCATGCAAGGCTCTAAATGTTAGGACCAGAATTTTAAAACTGAGGCAGCCAACTTAGAGCTCTAAGAATAGGGGATATGTGAGTCCTCCTATTAGCGCGGGTTCGAATTCTCGCTGCAGAGTTTTGCACCAGCTGAAGACGAGACAGCTCCTTTTTGTTCAGACATGAAAACAAACTATTACAGTCGTCTAAACGTAACGACACAAAGGCATGAATGATGAGCTCCAAGTCATTTTGCGACACCATTTTCCTAAGCTTAGAGATTTTCCTCAGTTGAAAGAAGCAGTTTTTTTCTCTTCATTTTCTCACTTTTCTCTTATCTTTGACTAAACTTTGCATCCTTTCAGATAAACACATTTCCTTTTTTTGAGGAAGCTATTCAAATACAGCTCACTTCTCTCACATATTATCACTGCCACATGGGTAAACTTGCACTGTAATTTCATGTTTCATATACACTGTCTACTTTTGTATTTTTCTGGACTATTATCTATCATGTGTAAGCTTCTGCTCTGCATTATGAGGCTGTACAGATGTGTTGTGTCTATTTGCATTTGCAGTCCTTTACATGTATGCATACAAGAGAGGCTAAAGCTTTAGTGCATGTGCTTGAAGATGTATGTGGAACAATAACACAAAGCAAACACAAAGGTTTGTGTAACAAACACAAAGACAGGGCTGCAACCAGATGCTTTACATATGAAACCATGTGCAACAAGAATATGCTCGCCTTGAAATGATGAGATTTGTAATTTCTCTATTAAATAAGTGTATTATTGTTGGATATTTCTCGCAGCTGCAGAATTGTGTGCAATTTCTCGAGTCATGCGTGTAGCAGGAGGTAGATATCGTGTAAAGCAACTATCAACACAGTCACGACATTAGCCTCCTCCTGTGCTAAGCTAGCTAGACAACACAGGATTTTGCCACTCACCATGCTGTATCTCTATCGTGTATCAATGTGTACACAAGTCAATAACTCGTGGTCTAAAGTTGAGGTCTTCTCAGTCTCTTGTAAAGCAGCAGCATACCAAGCCACACGGTTTTTATATTCAATATTAAATATAAGGATGCAACAATATGGGACTGTGTAAGCTAACGTTAACAAACAAGTATTAACGCGATAGCTCGCAAGAAATAATCCTGCTAGGCAAAGCTTTGACTGCGTGAATTGATTTTTTTCTCAATTAGAAAGCGATTTTCTCACACATTGAGAAGAAAATAAGTCACCAGACATTCAAGAAGTAACAACGCACGACAACACTCCTTACCAGCTTGTGTGTTGTATCCGGTTACAATCTGTAACCAACAGTATTTGAATGTACAATCCTCCTCCAGCCCTTTTCAACCTGTTCCCCTCACTCCGACTGCCTGCGAGGTACAGTTTTGATTGACGTGCAGACTCAGCCAATCAAATGACAGGGACTCGACAAGGGGCGTTGACAAGATGCATTCAAGTGCTCACAATAAACCTTGGCAATAATAGAGTTTTTCTGAAAATAATAAACCATGAAAATCAAAAATAGTATTAACGTGCTTCTTTGTTGACGTTTATTAAAAACGGAGGGAAACACATAAATTTGCATTTCACGTAGACGTTCAATCCAGTTTGTGTCAACACCAGAGTCTGGACTAACACGATAATCGTTTGTTTCCCATTTTTCATAAACACAACTACGGTGGCCGAGAACCACCACTGCTGCAAATAAAAAAGAATGCAAATAAAAGAAGTCACAACGGGAGTTACTGATGCAAAAATAAGAAACCGAAGTTTCTTCGCAAATAAAAAAAGGAAAAATGCAGATAAAAAACAAACAACAACAACAAAAAAGCCACAACAGAAGTTAACAACGCAAAAAAGTGATGATGGAAAAAAAAGTTATTTCCTGCGAAAATAAAAGCACACGAAGCGAAATTAAACAATAACCTTTCCACTTTCCGTTGTGTCTTCTTTTTTTTTTTGCATTATTTTTATTTGCAGCAGCGGCGTTCTTTTTTTTTTTTTTTTTGCATTCTTTATTATTTCCAGCATCGGCAGCTTTTAGCCATCATACACAACCCTTTGCTTTGTTAAAGCGAAAGATATGCAATAAAAGCACTGAAGAGCACCACTGTCCAACAGAAATAAGCCCACCTTCGGAAGTTTTTTTTGTCCTTTCTTCTGTCTCCTCGAAGGAATAGAAGTGTAACGTTTTACATTGTTTTTTTGATTTCGAGTATTCATTAAACTACAATAAGATATCCCCATCATGAATTTTGTGTTACAGTCATTTCATATTTGTTGAATTAAAAAGATAAGGTTATTAATGTTTAGTCTCACAATTACCAATGACTTTTAAAACGAAGCAGTTCTGTGAAGTGTGTTCTGTGTGACAGGCCACTTGGGGGCAGTGTGTTTTTCTAAATGCTACATAGGGCCTATGACGTCCCCTTGTCAGTCACTTTAAATAAGGTGGGTAGGAATTTCTTATATGTACTGTATATTATTAAACTACACCTCATTAGAACGAGCTAATGCAGACAAAGTTGTTAATAAGCCTCAAACAAAGAAAGTAATGAAGGAAAATCTAAGTTTATTGTTGAATGGGTACACTAAAAAATCAATATTGTGGCTAATGTGTTTTTTTTTCTCTTGATAGTTACAAATATTGCCTATGTGACATGGATCTGACAAGTTTCCAGAGTGGGACAGGTGCTCTCCTCGCTTTGAGGTGTACTGAGCCGTGGCTCAAGCTGAGTGTCTGACAATAACAAAGGAAACTCACACAGACAGAGGAGAAAGGAGGGTTGTTTTTTGCAGGACAATTATACAATCATTAAGAAATGATCCATGCAGTGTGAGAAGTTAGCAGAGCGTTAGGGCGGTGAGCAACTTCTGCATTAACAGAGACAGATTAAAAATAAGCTTGCACAACCATATGGGCTACTCTTCAGTGTTCTTACATAACTAACTGGATATGTGGAGGAGGCAGAGAGCAGCATCCAGGCACTGCGCACTGCCCACACACACACACACACACACACACACACACACACACACACACACACACACACACACATTACAATATTCCATTATAGAGAGGAGAGTTGAAAAACTGGAGGAGGTTGGACATAGAAAGAAAACAGGTTGCTGCAGTCAGAAGTCAGGGTCATATTCACTGATAATGCCGAGCTCTTCTTCTCTTTAACTGTGTTGAAGACCAAAGCATATGTGCAGCCATTGGATGAGCTGTAAGGATGCTGCCAAAGTTGAATAGGTCTAGGGAAAGCTGGGTTTCCGAAAACAAAAGCTGTGCAAAAATCGAATCTTATTGTACCCTGGTATGTTAGCAAATTTGAACTGACAAGAAACACACATAATACTTGTCTCATGTTTACTTGATGAAAAAAAAAGCTTCAGCCTGCAAGCTGTTAGCCTGACATGAAGACAGCAAACAGGGGAGGCAGTTATATGTTCTGTACAAAGGAGAGAAAAAAATGTACGGCACGCTCACTTCGCTAGCCAAAAAATTATGAGAATTGCAGTATTATAGAAATTATAATAGAATGGATGGAGTGAAATATACGTCACAGTATTAAACCTTTTGAAAATGAACTAATGCAAACTAAATGGAATTATATGATCCCTGGTATAAACACTTGAGTCCATCTATAAACAAGCCCTAAAAATCTTCAATTAGAAGTCACAAAAATATCACCTCTGTCAAATACTCCTAAAGAATAATGAGATAAACCTCGATAATCTCATTTTACATTAATCTGTATGGTTGTTTCTTTATAACAAATCACAATATCACCCCTCCACCGTTAAGGGTTTTCCTCAACTCTGATCTGAGCAGATGAGCAGGGCCACAAGGTCAACCTCTAGGGGGAAGTGCTGCACTCCAAAATGAAGAATAGCATTTGCACAGTCTGCCTTTTCTTTTGGCAAATGATATCTCTGAGAGTGATGGAGTGAATGAGTAATTAGATGAGTTAATGCTGAACTTTCCTCCCATCCGAAATATTTCCTCATTTGGGACCATATTTTTGCAGAATGAGAGACTACTGGGTTTCTAACTTTTATATTAGGAATAGGTACAAATGCATAAATCATTACTTGTAGTGATGAAGGGAAATGACTTAGATTTTCCATCCTTAACTAATCAGCTCCCCCCAGATGACCCCAGAATAACAGTGATGATCAGATATTATAGGACCAGTAGTCGAATTTAAAGCAGGGCTATCCCACCCCGTACTGATTTTGGTCTTTGCAAGAAAACCCCCAGACCTGGGTCATCAGAGCTGGGTGTTGAAGCCATTTTGACCCCTGTTTTTTAACTTGTACAAATTTTTCCATCGAGTAAGCGCCAGCAGCCATCAGAATTTGGATTTATCTCATACAAACAGAGAAAATTTGACTTTTGTCCATGCCAGCTGAAAAAATTTAGTGGTGACAAAACTGTTTGCTCTGTTTAAAGCTTGTCTGGAGTGAAATCTAAATTTGGGATGAAATGCCACAGATTTTGGAGGCTGAATTTCCCAGAGGAAACATCCCGGTGGCTTGGTGATCCCACAGCTGGATAATATAAAATGTCAACTAACATCTACAAATGAATTTGCTGTTTTCAGTGATTTCAGGGGAATAAATGTCTAACCCCTTCACCCATGTGCTTCTAACCTTCACAGACTCCATTTATTGATGCCCATCTCCTAAATATTTGGTCACATGATCAATTTCTTTTACTATTTCCAAGGAACAGGGGTGGCTCAACTTACCCCACTCTCCCCTATGCATGATGTAAATACAAGCAAGTGCAGTCAACTAAATGTAGGCCTGCAAGAAGAGGGATGGACACTCTGTTTATTCACTTTGTCTAGCCTACTGTCTTGGCAGCTGAATAAATTTCTGCAGCCCCATACGAGAGAGCGACTGCCATAGAAACAGAGAGAGAGAGAGAGAGAGAGAGAGAGAGAGAGAGAGAGAGAGAGAGAGAGAGAGAGAGAGAGAGAGATCCTGGTCCGCCCCCAAGTTGCAGCATGAGCCATTCGGTACGGGCTAGGCCAGCTGTAGAGAACGCGGGCGCGTGTACGTGCCCCCCCTCAGTACCCCTGCCCCCACGCGGAGAAAACCATTACCAAATACAGGGCACGAGCGCACGCGGAGCTATGGCTGCAGCAGCGGCAGCAGCAGCAGCAGCACTAGCCTGGACTGTGTTTACGACGCAGAGCACGAGAGCGGCACAACCTCGGGAAACAGAGACACCGCGCGCACCCGCTTCTTAAATGCACAATCATTTAACGTCTGAGCCCGCGAGGCTTGTCGTTACATCAGACCGTTTGACGTCTACTTCCCTCCCCGAGAATCGGCGCTGTCTTTCGTCCGTCGTTGCGGAGCGTTACTGCAAAGCGACCAGCCTCCAGATGAGGAGCGCGAGAGAACCGTTGAAAGGAGACCCCTACATTTCTACGCCGAAAATCTCCCGCACGCGACGCCAGTGCTTTACAAGGATCTAGAAGGACTCAAGAAAACGCGTTAGGTCCCGGTCCACGAGCGCTACACACAACTGGGGGAAACACGGGAGCATCCTCCATCCCACCCCGTCTACCCCTCCCTCCCTCCCTCTCTCTCACCCTTCTCCTTTTCTGACTCCGTCACCCCATCACATGCCAGAGCTGTAGGGGGGTCTTATCTTTTCAGGGACCAGGGGGGGAGGAGGAGGGAGGCTGTTCGTGTGGCCGCGGTGGACGCACCCTCCGCGGTGAGGCTGGGCTGAAGCGCCGCTGCTGTGTTGGAGGATGCTGCGGGAGTAGAGAGGCTCTGAGCGGAAGATGGGGAAGGACCAGGAACTGCTGCAGGCGGTAAAGACCGAGGACCTGCTCACCGTGCAGAAGCTGCTGCAAAGGCCCCGACCAGGGAAAGCAAGTAAGACACTGTCCTTCTGCTCCATCATTTTCTACCGCTTTAACAGCCCATAACACCTTTACTGCAACCCATCCCTCAATGGTGGTGTGGGGGTATCTGTCACATACCGTTACTGGCTACCAGGCCCAACTGAGGATGATGTAAATGTGTGTGTGTGCGTGTGTACGCGCGTGTGTGATTGAGAGGGCGGGATGGAGAGAGAAAGAGAGAGAGAGGAGGGATTGCATGCATCAGGGTGTATCAGGGGAGATTAGTGGTGTGATTGAAGACTGACAGCCCATCTTTGAGACCCCTGTCTAAGTGCACTGCAGCAGGGGGGAGAGACAGTGGGAGGAAGGAAGGAGGGGAGAAAGAGAAGTGTGGTTCTGGATGAGACCCTGTCTCACACACAAGAGCTGATGCCGATGGCCTTTTGATTTCTAAGGTCTAACATCACCTCAAATGGCAAAGGAGAGTTGCATACTCAGGGATTCAAGTACATGGATGGTTAAAAGTGAGTGACACTATTCTGTGTACTGCTTCCTCTGCTCTGTATGACTCAATGCTTTTCTACTTGTTTAATTTCAGCAAGCAATATAGCACTACAGTATCTAACAATGTTTTGCTTCCACAGCCCACTCTTATGTGTGGGCAATTCAGAGAGAAGCCAGCAAGGGCTGCAGATAGATCATTCTGTAGAGGCTGTAAGCTGCCACAGTGATACTTCTGCTGACAAATAACTTGCTAATATAGTTATCAGCAGACAAGGACAGATGCTGCAGGAGCGCAACTGCATGCATTGCATTTTTTGCAGATGCGATATAAATCATATTAATGCTCAGACGCAGAATGTAATTGATGTTTAATGTGTATTCAAAACAACGCCGTTTACTATGATGTGGTTTGAGTCAGGCAGGTTGGCAGTATCTGACCCATTGCCCTCTATGCAGCAGGTGGGCTTCGTCTGAATAACAGGGGGTGGTGTTAATGAAAAAATATGATTCCCTAATTAAACCTCTCATGGGTGTGATGATTGTATGGGAATTATTGATCAAAGTCACAGCGCAGTCGTTGTAAAAATGGGCTGAAATCACTTGGACTAAAAATATCAAGCCCACCCATGCAGGTGTTTCCAGTTAATCAGGCTAATTAAACCTCCACCACACCTGCATCAGGCCTTTAATTAAACTTTTATATACCCCCATCGCAATGCTGGTTAAATTCAGGGTGCCGCAGAAGTCATCCGTCCTCTTTGAGTTGATTTATTCCTGAATAGACCTACAGGGGGAAAAAGACACGTGAAAGGTCAATGAATCACCATCAGTCCATCACATCTGTAGGGGAGAGTAGGGTAAGTTGAGCCAAAGGGTAAGTTGAGCCACCCCTTGTTGCTTGGAAATGGTAAAAGAAATTGATCATGTGACCAAATATTTAGGAGATGGGCATCAATTCATGGAGCCTGTGAAGATTAGAAGCACATGGGTGAAGGGGTTAGACATTTATTTACAAAAAAACATCTTTTACTCTTGTTGTTGATCATAGGAGACCACTTTTTTTGGCATGCTATACTATCAAGACAGTTATGTTTACACTCATTCTGTTGGTTTTGCAGGGATGAACAACATCTTGAAATCGATGCAGATACACTAGTTAGAGACAAAACTATGATCGTCTTGATGTAGTGATCTGAAATATAAAAAATGTCTCATCTTACCCCACTCTCCCCTATATGAAACTCTAAAAATGACTTTATTACTCATTTCAAGTTAAGTTTAGCATTTGGTGGCAAACAAAGACTACCTGTCTTTTATAGGACTTGCTTTGTACTGAGCTAGCTTGATACTGCACACTACACCGACGGCAAAGCTCACTCTGCAGGATTCTGTAGAGTACAGCACATGGCCTCAAAACAGTTTGTAGGAGTCAGTGGGGTGCACTGCACTATTGCACTCTACAGGCAATAGTGGAGCAGATCACATACGGGAAACCCAGAGGATTTAAGATAGTCAGCAGACTTGTGAAAATACAGACATTCCTTCGCATAAAAAGGGGGCTGGTAGGGTCTGGGTAATTCAGACACGGCCTATAATAGTGTCTGTGGTGCTCAAAGGAATAAATTATGTGCAAAGCTTGTCACAAAATGAACTTTAGGCGACAGCAAAGTGCACTCCAGAATCAGGCCACTCTCAGGCTACTATTTAGTGCATCAAATACAGATGGCAGGTAAGCCATTGGACTACAGTGCACATGGCAATGAAAGCAATGTAGAGCTTTGAATTCTGCATGAAAAAGAAAAAAACACATGCTGCTTACCAGCAAAATGTATTAAAAAGCTGCTAGAAACAGTATGTACTTTTCTGCTATTATAAGCTTTTCCCTTAGGGTAAAATAAATATTTCTGTTCAGAACAGTTGAGGCAAAACAAATTAAAAAGTGGAAGCCACACCAAGAGAGGATGGATAATGAAGAAACATGACAATGATGCATTCTGGTTCATATAACCCAGTATTAGTCACCTGTATGAGGACGCTCTGGTTCAACCTGATGGCCGGATCAGAGATATGAATCAAGCTGTAACAAGTATGGTAAACAGAAAGAACATGTCAGAGTAGATTAATGTTTATAGCGCTTTTATTTTGCTTGCGTTTGAATGTTTTCTTATACTGCATACTGTCCTCTATAACAGTGGTTCTCAAGTCTAGTCCCCGAGGCCCACTGTCCTGCATGTTTTGGCTGTTTCCCTGCTCCAACACACCTGATTCAAATGATCAGCTCGTTATTAAGCCATTACAGAGCTTGATAACGAGCTAATCATTTGAATCAGGTGTGTTGGGGCAGGGAAACATCCAAAACATGCAGGATAGTGGGCCTCAAGGACTTTCCCTTTAGAAATATAAGTTTAACCAAGCAGCAACCTTGACAAAAGTTGCATTCATGATAAGTGGGCCGTATATATTCGCCTGGTACTCCTGTTGCTTCATCCTCCCCTATGCACTTGTGTTTCTTATCATATTTAATGGAGCAGCATGCATGTCACCATCAATCATTCGTGTGGCATCTAATGACACAGGCCGCCATCACTCCTCAATAAACAGTTAATCACTATTCATCATCCTCACATTACTGGCTCACTCCATCACTTTACAGCCACATCTATAACTTACACTTTTGTGTGCGTGTGCTGAAAAGGCCGTCTGGCTCTGAATGAAGGTTTAGCTCAGCTGTTTAGCTTTGGCCTTCAGCGTCCCCTTTTTTCCAAATCCTGTCAGTCTGTGGAGCATCGCCCTGCCTTTTTCAGCATCACACTTTAGCCTGTCTTTGAGTAACTGACAGCTGGCGCCTCACAAAAAGTTGCACTTTGTAAAATTTCATCCGTGTCTAAAACTGGTTTTGTTTTAGTTCTTGAAAAGCTGAGTGTTTTGGGGGATTGGCTTTAAGAGTGTCTGCTGGACACTGATATTACATGAGGCGCACCATGATCTGTTCTTTCTGCAACATAATCGCCCAAAACAAAAACAAAAAACCAAACAGGGCAGACAAAAACAGCTAGGCAATAAAGACAGAGTGAAGCAGAGTCCCAGACAAACAGCAGGGAGGTGTAACGCCAGGCTGATGTTAACACAGACCTGTTTGTCATCTAGCATTAAACACAAGGCTCGCAGGACAGATGTGTGTGTGCATGCCAGTGTGTGAGTGAGGTTTGTGGTGGCAAAGACTAGTGGTTGGATTGTGTAAGCGAAGCTGTACATACATGTAGAAGCTGGTAGGGTATGTGTGTGTGTGTGTGTTAAATGGGGTCTGGCAAAGGCCGTGCCCTGCTGCAACTCATTTACCGTCACCCAGGTCAGACAGACATTCTACACAGATTCACCTGCACTACAGACCCAAACACACACACACACACACACACTTCTACACACTCATGCAAACACATCTGCTGCCATCTGGAGAGTCACCATCAGTTTGCTGTGAATGTCCCCCCTGTGCACGTGGTCTCAGACGAGGTCATGAGTGTGTTTGTGTACATGGAGCAGACCTTGAGTGTGACTGAGGTCTGTGTTTGTTAATGGGCTGTTTCAGCGTGTGTGTGTCGGTGGGGGCGGTGTAATCGGTAATGGTGGTTGTTTACTGTGTCTCATTAAAAGCTTTGTGCGTGTGTGTGTGTGCATGTGTGTGTGTGTATGTGTGATGTATCAGTAAAACGGTTCGACTTTAACCTCTGGCACACTACCCCTCCTCTCTGTTTTCTGCCATAAGAGACTGACATATGCTTCCATTGCCACACATCACTCTCTGCCTCCTTCCTCTTCTTTCTTTGAAGCCAGGAGAGATGCTAATGCTCGAGGACCGTTCTAGAAACAAACCCCCTGTCCCTCTCTCTCTCTCTCTCTTTCTTTCTCTCTCTCTCTCTCTCTCTCTCTCTCTCTGTTGATGTGCAAGGCTGGCAGAGGAGTAGAGCAGATGATTGCATCCACACCAGTGCACATTCACAATAGGGCATGCAGGCAGGCAGACAGAGAGGAAGCTTCACATACTGTCAGCCACAGTCTTCATATTGCTCAGCTGTACTCTGTCACAAACTTTACGCCTTCGTTAGGAGACAGCTCGTCAGGGACAAAGATGAATCTTAAATACCTGCAAAGATTTTTTTGTTGAAATGCAAAAGCTGTGAGCCTTAAAGGTACTGTGGGTAACTTTTGGTGCCCCATGGCCAAAGATGTAAATCTATAAACTTTGCAGATTTCATTCTGTACTAGAGATGTACCGAGTATTGGCCGATACTGATCCAATACTACTGTTGAATGAATGAACTGTATACTTTGCCTTGTGAGTGAAGGCGTCAGGCTTGACATTAGTCGTGTTAAAAAAAAGCTAACAAATTAACACAGATATGAATTTACTAAATATTATTTAATAACAAATAACCAAATGCACATTAGCACACAGTAAACATTTAGTGCAGAAGGATAGACAGACAGAATATAGAGCGAACAGAATCGCTGTGTTGCTGTGTCTGATATTAATTAACAGAAAAAAAAGATGGTATCGGAACGCTGGATCAGCATCATTCATCAGGTATCCAATCCAATAATCTGTCAGTATCGGAGCCAATATTCTGTACATGCCAAGGTGACATTTTCTGACAGAAAATCATAACTATACTTTTATCTGATTTACTGGATTAAAAAAGAAGTCTGTCCTTTTGTGTGGTTTCAGACACTCAGATTTACAAAAGGAATAGGAAAATTATCCGCCGTGATGCTGGTGATTTCCCTTTCCTTTTATCCAGGTGTTTCACAAAACATTACAAACTCTTCACGGCGACTTTAACAAAGCAGAAATCCAAAATTGAGCAAAAGATGCTAAAATGCTTTTCAAGAGTGGAAAGAAACTGCTAGAAAATTGAGTCAAAATTACACTTGAAATCATGTTTGTGAGCTGGTTGTATAAAACCTGCGGTTCAAGTTGAATGTACAGTAGATCTGTTGTGATACATTTACTATTGTGCAATATCTTTTCATGTTTTGTTGAATTGACTAAGATCCTGCAGTGATTATTATCCAGTGCATGCATAATGATCATACCAAGACTGATGGGTATTTTTTGGATAAAAGATAAGGTTTATATGAAACAGCTGCAGTGTGTGTGGGGGTTTACTTTCGTATAATTTCAGAAGACCTTGAAAACATCACATAGAATGTAGGGGGTTTTCTGATAGCAGCAAGGCCGCTCGTCAAAGCAGACAAATTGGACCTTGTTTATGCTGACACTAAGTTTATTCTTATAATCTACTTGAAATATTAAACATCTCTGTTTATCTTGCAATGAGGAAAACTGATGAAATGCTTCATTCATTAGTAAAGAGTGTCACAGCAAGTTGATCGAGAGCACCTCTGGTAATTCATTTCAAGTATACTAAGATTCAGTTTTATGGATTTTGAATTTTATCTTGAAAATTTTATTAGAAACAATAAATTTGAGAAAGTGGAGTATTGCCTGGCTGAGTTCCCTGCACTTTCCTCCAAAACATCATCACTCAGCTCTCTGCTGACTGCCTCCATGATTGAATTACAGAACAGATAGAGGAGGAAAGGAAAGGTGTTGGGATATTTGTGTGAAAAAAGGTATAGCGCTCAAGAAAACAGAAACAGGGAGCGGGAGGGATATAAAAGGAAAAGAGGTGGTTTTTTTATTTGATGAGCAGGTAGGATGAGAGGGGGAGGGGCGATGATAGGCTGAACATGATGAAAGAGAGTACAAGGGAACGAGTGATGAAACAGAAGAAGAGCTGAACAGCATCATTTCCACCTCACTTTTATTGCAGACTGCTATGCAAACATGATGCCCTGCAGTCTCTTTCTCCTACACACACACAAGCTCATCTGCACAAAGTAACGCACCAAAAACCATATAGTTTAATGGGTCACTGGCTAGTTCAGGGAGAAGACGAGAGCAGTGCAGGTGAGGAAATGGGAGGAAGGGAGGAAGGGAAGAAAAAGAAACACAGGATGGGGAAGCAAATCATAGGGTAGGATAGAGGAAACAGCAGGAGGTGGTATAAGAAAGAAAGGATTAGGAAAGAAAGAGGAGAAGAGGACAGCGTTGGAAGTTTTAAATCGCTAATTGACTGAAAAGAAGAGAGGAGATAGAGAGAGAGAGAGAGGAAAAGGCAGAGAGAAGTTGGTTCAGGACAATACAAGACTGTAAAGGGGAGGGAAATAAAAATGAAGGAGAGAAACAGTCAAGACAGAGAAGGAAAGGAAAAGAAAGAACGGGAAAAGAAGGGAAAGATAAAGAATAAAAAGGACAGGGATATGTGGGAAAGAACAGAAAAGGAAATTACAGAAAAGTAAGGAAGAAAAGGAAACAGCAAAAGGAAAGGAAAGTAAGTTAAAGAGGTAATGTTAGAAAAAAAAAGAGAGAAAGAAAGCAAAATGAGGCAAACACTTATAGAGGTGATAATAAGGATGAGCAGGAAAAAGGGGGCAGAAGAAGAAAAGCGGCACATGTCTGAGGAGGTGTTTACTGAAGGTTAACAGTGATTGTTCTCAGTTTCACTCCACTGTAGCCCAGTGTAGACGAACAGTATTAGAGGTGAAGGGGAGTCAGGGGTTTAGTCTTGAAGGAAAGACCACCCACCAAATAAAAAGGGCAGCGGGGTGGGACCTCCCTCGCTCTATCAGTCTTCATTATAGATGTGGCATTAACCACCTGCTGCAGTGGCTTATAACCTGCACACACACTCGCACACATACACAGTCATGGCACTGGCACAGGGAGGTACAGACTGGAATTATCAGCGTGTGTTGTTATTGTTGAGACATAAGTCTGGCACTGCAGACAGGGGACAAAAGTCGTTAGGTTCACACACACACACATTGATATAAAACACATGCGCACAGCTTAGTATGCAAGTCAATCTCCTGCAGACATGAGATTTCATTCTCAGAGATGTCAAGGAGGAAAACGGATAAAAACAGAAAGAGAGACAAGAGACAGCTGAGCCATGTCGTTTGAGAATTTTATGTAACTAATACAGAAGCTGCATGCATGCGTGCGTGGGTGTGTGTTAGCTCGCAAAGGTGTGTGCGCTTCGGATTGCGACTGTGCTTTTTCATTGCATTGCAGGATTTTCCCACTCGCACCCTAAATCCATAACACTGAGTGAATTTTTATTGCTTCAGGTGCATGTTGAAGCAGCTAATAAAGGCAGGAAATTATGCATTTCTTCAGACTCAGCTCCTAAACGTACACTGACATAGTCCAGACAAGGGTTTTACTGTACTCTACGTGAGAGGCTCTCAGAAAATGTTCTGCCTGCTCCAACAGTGAATACATTTAGCATCGCCTTGGGACTTTGTGAATGAATGCTGGTGCTCTTGCTATGTAAGCCACTAAAAGCAGGGCAGTGACACAGTTTGGGGGTGGATTCACGGCTTGGGAAAATGTATCGCACTCTGACACACCCTTAAGTCCCTCCAGACAAAGTTTCTGGAAGTGATTTCTGGCTGATTTCTAACATTTGCTTAACACTACAGGTTGAATATCAGACTGTGTCTTGGCTTCAATTTTCTGGTCTGTTGATCTTGTTGGCTGAAACAACCAGCTTGCTTAATTGGGCTAATGTTAGCTTTTTAATTCAGAAATAATATCTTCGCCTGGCTTATCTGTTTTCAGCCCTTTGATATTCTCTTTACACACAAAATCATATTAAGAAGCTGAATCTAAAGCTACATGCCCTCGGCAATAACAAAGTTTTCTTGTTCCAAGTGGAAGAAATGCAAATAGTGTCAGCATTATTCTTAGACTGCAGCGTGTGACTATGATTTCATAACCCTGTTTTACTCAACAACTTCTCTATATCCAAACTTAATGTGAATAACCTGAAAATACTTCACTCAAAGAAGTTCTTTGCTCTCTGTTTATCTTGTCTTGAATGATAACAGGATGAAGAATATGCTGTTTGATTTCAGAAAACTGTAGTCCAATCATCAACCAAAAGGCCTAATTCTGCGTTCGAGTACCTCGGAAGTCAGAAGTCCGAGCAGAAAATGACGTCACTTCCGAGTTACCAGTGTAAAATCGGAGGCGGAAACAAGATGGCTACATCTTCGAAAGTTATTTTAGTGCTTGCCTTGTCTTAATATAAGGTAAGCACTAGAATAACGTTCGTAGATGTAACCATTTTGTTTCAGGCCTCCAATTTGCTTTTATCCAACTTTGTATGTGAAACGCTGGGAACTCCGGTCCAACATTTGACTTCCGAGGTAACTCAAACGCACCATAAGTTACCTTGTTCATGCCTGTATACTCTCATTGTAGCATACCACATGAATGCATAAGCTAAATTCATCAAATAATATGCTAATTTGGTATATTATTTGATGGTATAATGTTATAATGTTTGCTATTAGCCCAAGGAGCAAACATACTTTATCAAAACGGTCAGTAATTTAAAAGAGAAACTTTTACTGAAAACACATCAGACACATATTAACAGTTAATGTCGTTTAAATGATTAAATATGTCTGAAGAGGACTTCAATCATTAATGTCAGAATGAGGACAAGCTTGAAATTTTTGAAAATAGTGTTTTATTATTACTGAGAATGAAACAAACTTTCTAAAGTTCAGTAAAGAGTGAGCAGTTTGTCAGATTTGTGGAGACACTGAAGATTGAAGCTCAAATTAGAGTTGGTATCAGTTTCTTACACTCTGAAACTCTAGAAAATAACCTTGGAAACTACAGTCTGGCTCCACCAGGTCTCTGTATCTCAACATCTGTCAAATATGGCTGCCGGTTAATGCCGCTGTATTCAATAACATCACCATTAGCTGTGACAAAATATCTGCACAGCTTTGTGTGCATGTGTATGTGTGTGTGCATCCTGATACAGAAAGCAGAGACCTAAGACCAGAAGGGACAGGCTTGCAGGACAGATGTTAAGTCTCGACTAGTGTGTGTATTTGCATGCATATGTGTGTGTGCATGTACATAGACATGCATGTGTGATCCAGTGGTTGGACAGATGTTGTGTGTTGGATTGGCGCCCACACAGCTGCAGATTTACTAAAGGTTTCATATAATGTAAGTGACCTGTGAGACAGGTTCGTGTTTTAAGTGATTAAGTCTGTACGTGTTTACGTGTGTACAACACTTGATGGATGGTATCCACATCTGGCATTTATAGTTTTTTCTCACTGCCGGCTATAAGATACAGTTTGAACCCAGGGGGTACGAGTGTTATTTCTGTGTTTTGACATTTTCTTCAACCTTCATCAACCTCATTTCATGCATAGAAACTGAGAAGCTGTGCCCTCCGCACTGATAGTTATTGTGGGACAACCCCTTCTAGCTTTAGCCCTGCAGGACAAACAGAGTATCCTCATGGTTTAACATCAGTGCAGCAGCCTCACAGCAAGTGCATCTGTGCAACTCGATTCAGCTGTTTCTACTGATAATCATTTTGATTGAAGAAATCTCATAAAAAGTTGAGCAGTTTCGTCATACTGCTCTAATATTACACTGAGATCCGGTAATTGTTTTACCGAACTGTAAACAAGGTCAGAAAAGTGAAACAAAAGCGCCAATTCAGGTTTCTAATCACGAGTTTCCCCTCTTTTTTTCTCTTTTTTTTGTAAATTAAAGGAGCATTTACCCCTTTTTTTAAAATATCTATTCGATGAGCCAGCTTTTGGTTTCAGATTATTTTTTACACATTTGGGACCAGGTATCCGTCCAAATGCTAGGAAAGGTCAAGGAAATGAAATAGCTTTTCAGGATCATTTAACTGTAAGATAATTTTTAATGTATTTATCCTGCTGTTTTTGAAATAGCAACATTTTTCCCCCCTTGTTGTTGGGGTGGGAATCAGTAGTGGCCCTAGGAATTTTAACATTTTGCAATACAGTGAGTAATGTGATACGATATATTGTAATTTATCAAATTTTTTCAGCTGTTGAGCTAGTCTAGCATTTGTGTTTCCTTTATGTTTGTCTTTTTTACACAGTATTTTATTTTCATGGAGCACATCTTGCAAACCTCAAATCCTGCTCCATGATGTCACCTCTGCCAACCTCACTGGACAAACAGTTGATTTAATTTTTTCATTATCAAAGATTTGACTTCATATTAACAGTTAATTTGAAAAATTAATACTTGGTGATTAAGATGATACGATATATCAACAGACAAAATATCACGATACTATGCTGTATCGATTTTTTCTCCCACCCCTACTTGTCGTTGTGGTGTTTAAATGTCTTATGAAAAACAGTCTTCCATATTTTGGTAAAGCTTGCAGAAACTGAACGAAATGATCTCTTCAAGAGAGATTTAGATATAAAAGCCTCTTTTTCCTCATTTCTGACTCAGACTACTATCAACACTAACTCAACAGATTGTCAATTTACTGTTTAAGGTTGTGTTTTCAGGAGATAGATGGGGGTGTTTGTAAAAGCACAAACCCAAACATTTCTACCTTTCAGCCTGTGAAATCTCTCTGCCTCTCATGATGGTTCAGGGGAAGATATCTGGGTCAGATTTATTTTCCAGGAACTCTTCTAAAATATGCGTAAAGGCTCATGGTGAGAGATGATCAGTGAACTTGCGACTGGAGGACATTCAGACCATCTGAGCCCAATTCTCTGAGCAGCTGGGAAACTTGAGCATTCGAAGTGAGTGTGAAGCCTCTGTCCTCCCTCATGAAAAGAAAAGAAGAAAAGAAACAAATCAACCAGGGGAAGGATAAAATGTTCAGTAGGAATCTTACTCTTGGTGTATTTTGGTGTGTCACAGTTGCCTTCCTTTCAACTGATCTAAGACCAGCTGTATCTGTGTTTGTTAGTACGGTTGCATGGATCATAAATTCTCTGAGGATCTTTCGTTTGCACTGCCTGCATCCATCTTTTCCTGCAACGTCTCTGTTTCTTTCGCTCACCCCCGCCCCGTTACTCTCTTTCTACCCAATGAATCAGTCTGGCCGGCAGTGTGTCGCTGTCAGAGAGCCACGGAGGGTGATTAGTCATTTCAAACAGAGCCAGGATCTGGACGACCCGAGCTGACAGCAGGAAAGAAGGACAGGTTCTGGAAGGTTCCACCACAGCAGCAGCAGCAGCAGGAGCAGCAGCTGCCCCTTCAGTCTGATCTTTTTCCCTTTGTCGATGATTTCAGTGTTTTCAAACGGGATGGGTTGAGAAGGACACGTGGCAAAGGTCACAGATGACATTTTTTTCATTAGAAATTTCATCCAGATGAGCCACAGTGATTATTCAACATCTATTGTGTCTTCTCAGGAGGAGCATGTTCTTGTTGGTTATTTGTGTTTGTATCGTACGATTGCTCTGTACACATTATGTAGACATGCATTCTTTATAACACTTTGTCGACAACTCCTTTAAATGCTTGTCTGATGCTGTGATAGTGTGACTGCACTCTTTTTAATCAAGGACATCTGATATTTACGATTTCAAGTTGGACCCACTCTTTATTGAGAAATACAGAACGGATGATTTTAAGCAGATGTGCAGAGGTAGGTGGTGTTACTGAGGTTACATGGTGACTGAGCAAACACCACTGCTGCTTCTCTCATTTTGTTATTGATACTTTGTTGTACTTATCATTTAAAAAGAGGGAGCGAGGAAACCTGATCGACAAAATAACACAATACCTGAGGGTCTGACTCTGTGCTCATGCTACATTTACAGTGATTTATATAGACAGTGGACATTACTTTCAGCAAGGCCAGGGGGGGAAATGATGCGGCAGAAAACAAGATTGGCAAAAAAAGTATTCTTTCCACATCATCTGACTCATGACTGACTATATCAATAAATTAATGCCAATTCATTATTAGAAGGCATCTGTACAAAGGCTAAAATCAAATTTCAAACGTTGATATGGTGCTGGAAACTTCTCAGGACTTTTGGCTGCACAGGAGAAGATGAAATCCTAAATCTGACTTTGATTATGAACGGAAAAGCATGTGTGTCAAAAATATGAGCAGACATGAGCTTCTCTGTGCAGCATGTCTGTTTCTAGTATCATATGTGTTCAGTTAACTCACTTCCTTTGATCTCTTTGCTACAGTGGGTGTTATTGACCCTCGGCCAATCAGACGGTTGTTTTGCAGCGTGACAGCCAATGGGGGAGAAGTTGTAGCATCACTAAGCCAATGAGCTCTGTTGTTTGTGTGTTCTGGCTTATATAGGCTGGTTGTAAGTACACAGCTGTTCAACACATGCACAACATGTGGCTTTGGCTCTGCACCATACATAGGAGTTGAGACTGAGTGTGAGTGCACATAAGTGTATGTGTGTGTGTATGTGAGTGGGTATATGAATGATACCAAACCCACTCAAGCCATGCCTGGTTCTGGTTTCAGTTTCCTACATCTCTTTCATCCCTCCCCCTCTCCTCTCCTCTGTTTTTTTTTTCTTTTTTTTTGTTTCTGCTCTCACTCTCTCCTCTCTCTTTTTCTGGAGCCATCGCCATGGCAACAAGCAAGCAGTGCAGGGCCAGGAAATATCTGGATCATCTATGTTTTTTCCAACTCAGAGCTGCAGGGTCCAGTCAGACACTTAAGTCCTGTGCGGTGCATTTTTTTGTGTGAGAGTGTGTGTTGTAGTATGGGATTACACCACAATCTGACAATATGGATTATCACAGCAGACAGACTGGCCTTCTGGCTATTATATTTGAAGTTTTTGTCTTTATATTGTCTTTTTTCTTCATTCCTAAACTTTTTCACCTTAATCATCACTGTCTGTCCTCTTTCTCCTCATCCTCTTGCATAGACCCTCATGTCCACCTCTTTCGTTTCTGTATCTATCTTCCTTCCCCTTCCTCTCCTGCCTCTAATCTTCCTTCGCTCCTGCCTCTTTTTCTTTCCCTCCCCCCTCACCTGACTTGCCTCCTCTCATGCATCAGTTATGTAAATCTCTCACCTCACCCTCAAGGTGGATGAGAAATTCCTTTCACGTGCTTTCCCCTCTAATCACTCCTACTCTGGAGACTCTGAATTTTCAACTCCCTCTCTATTACTCTCTCTCCACGCACCCCCAAACTGGTTAATGAAGTAGGGGAACCCTGGGCCCCCTATGTGTGCTACTATGGTTGCAGGGCTGAGTGCCAGTAGGGGGGGAAGCAGTGGGTGCTAAGTGGGTAGTGAGAAAAGAGAGTTTAGTTGAGTTCAGCGCAGTTGTAGTTCCTCTTTCATCAATCTGTTCATTTGGATTTGGGCTGCCTTACATGCACAAAATGTATCACAGCAGGCTTATTAATTATTATTATATATTTTACTTTAAACTGGACAGATAGACAATTTAACAGTAAGTCAATAAAAGGCAAGAAAAGCTTTTATTCAGCGCTCTAATGTGGAAGGTGTATTTTGTGAAAGATTAATAATTCAGATGAATAAATGTTTGCAAATACTGAACCACTGTGCCAAACCCTGCTGTGCATGAAAGATACTTGAAAAGTCTTGTTTTTAAATCACTACACTAGGTCTACATTAAAGATCAGAAACTTAGATTTTTTTAGAGTTGAAGAAAACATCCTGCCCTACATGCTGGAAATAGTCTGGTCTACAGAGATTTCAACTCGTTGCAGGACAGACAGAAGCTGCAGACACAGGTACAATCAAGTTATTGTTCTCTATGTAACCCTACCACTTTACACACCACCCTGGTCCCCACAGTCACCTCACTCCTTCTCTTGTTTACCCTCTAAGCTTAAGTCACATTCACACACATATATGCAGAGCGTTTACCTAAGTTTGAACCGAGTTACATCATACGAGTGCATATATTTAACAAAAACACAACACAAATGAATACAAACCATAAAAATCCGTTAGAAAAGCCTCCAAAGCTTTTCATTGGCTCGTCAGGCAGGAATCAATGAGACACTGAATGGTTTGAAAACTCAGACAAAGGGGAAAAGAGCGAGAAGCACCAGAGCACTCAGGTTTCAAAGATTTCAGTGCGCTGTTTTAACTCGGGGTATATCAGTTTGAAAAGGCTACTTCAATCACTTCAAACCACTCCAAACCTCAAATGGAAAAGTCTATCGTCTTTTCTTTTTGCGTGCTTTTCAATGCGATCGGCTTTATATAAAAGATGCACCAAGTACAAAAAGTGTTCAGTTCATGACTGTGTGCCAAAAACAAAATCAACCACTTTGCCCGGTGTTGTATTTGGATCCAAAAATCTAATATTGTGACAACTCTAGTGTGGAGGCAGATTTTTGAAATTCTAAGTTCACTACCTGTGTGTTTTATTATCATATTCTGACTATTCAGACTTTACATCAGACCCATAATTATAATAAATGACCCAATAGTTATTACTTTTCAATGAACTGGAAGAATGTGGAGAGCCCATTTTCATTTGAACATCCCATGAGTCACACGCTTGTTCTCTTTATGCGAGTTAAATCAGCTCTGCTCTAGCGTTGGTCGTCTCCTAATGGGTAGGTTGTGGGTTTGATCCCAGATCCCAAGTGTTCTTGGGTGGAATCAAGTATGTTCTTGGATACTCGATCCCACCAGCGCTAAATTTGCTGAGAGCCCACCTTCTTTAAAAGCTGTTTTTGATGCACAGTGGTCTGTTGGCTGATGCTGACCACCGGCTAGCTTAATGGTGGGTCTTCATCTGCAGTGGACGTACTGCATTATAACAAGGTGTCTAAGCCAAGTAGTAAACATCACAAGCTGCAAGGTTGCAAACAAACATTTGATCAGTTCTTGGTGTTTCTTCAAAAACTGATGAATGCACATATAATCTACCGGAGTGTCAGACTCTGTTTCTGTTGGGACTGTGTACTGCAAAGATGGTGTACAAACTTGTTCGTCAGTCTTGTTTCACCAAGCCCCACCATTAGAAAGTTGCAACTCCTAAACTAACTTGCTTCAAACACATTTCATTATAAAATTTTGCCAGAAAAATACACCAGAATTTAGAAAATTAAGCATCTGACGCTCAAATTTTCAGCTCTTTTATGGGTACACAAGATTTTAGTACAAAGCACCATTAGTGCGCGCTAAAATGCTGCATTAGAGGTAGGCTCAGGGGTCTTTGCTTGGTGTAAGTGTCTTGCTGGGCTAATTCAAGAGTTCTGTCCTTCACACCTTCACACAAGGAGACACATAACAAGCACTTGTTCGGTTAAACTGTCCCACTCAGTGTGTAACTCTTTCAGAGGGTTAATCTATAGTTGTAAATTACGGCTCTGTTGCTGACACTGCATGATATCAGTTCATTACATGCCTCAGTGGACTCCATATACAGTGCTCCCAGAACCCATTGTATCATCCTCTCCTCTCCTTCAGGCCTCTCAGGTCATTACTACTATGCAAATACACGGTTTTGAATTCAATTTACCTTCTTTTACAAGTAATTATTATAACTGCATTATTATGATGCCTAATTAAGAGGCTCTGTGAACAACTTCTTAAACACGATAAGAAAAGTGTAGGTGTTGCCATTGTAGTTTTATGGTCTTATGAGCACATTTGTTTGTTACAGCTGTGAGTGTCCCCACGGGAGTTATTTTAAAAAAGAATTTTATCTCATCTCAGTTTAGATAAAGGAAACAAAACCTTCAAGACTAAGACTGATTTGACAACATTTACTGTGGATCCTGGATACTAAAGTAAAAGTACAGCAGTTTTGGAGATATCGCGAAACTCTTTTTTGGAATAACTATGAAATGACAGAATCAGAGTAAAGCTGATAATGGAGTTCGAGAGATAGTGAGTGGTGTGGTGCAATGTTGGCCTGGATCTCTGTCTGTTGGATCAGGTTCAGACCAGGGAGGGTTGGTGGTTCTGTGTCTGTGGGATTGGCTTCCTGTGATTGTAAATCTATCCCCTTGCTCTATAATGGATGGGCAAGTGTGTGTTTGTGTGTGTGTGGAGGGGGGCTAGACATCAGGGTGTGTCGACCAAATTTCAAAGGAGCAGAGCTCAAACTCTTAACCTGACCTCATGTCTTATATTAGAAACAAGGTTCTATCTGTACTCTCCATGTTTTATAATTAAATTCAAAGAGGCTTTTAAGAGATATATTTTGACTTATCTGTGCTCGTTTGTATTTACTGAAAAAGCTGTTTCTTGATAATGCAGTGCAAACACAATTTTCTCCTGTCTTAAAAGATTTAGCCAGAGCAAATTTATCATTGCTAATCCCATTAGCCATGTCTCGCCACTGGGCTATTTTTGTTGTATTTGTTTAATCAAGTCTTCCATGAAGTGTTTTTATTCACATATTAATGATTGCAAAATGACCGCAATCCGAAATAATAATAAGCCTGGAATTAAATATAATATCTGTAAGTGTGTTTATTATTAGTCTAGTGTGTAAATACAAAGATAAGTTTGACTTAAAGTAAGCCTTTTATATTTGCATAAGGTGTAAGTCCTGGTCTACAGAGGCGGCCATCTTGATCCACCATGTTTCTACAGTAGCACAGACCAGACAAAACATATACTCTATGGGATTCTGTATTTGGTGGGTGCTGCTGGATCACATGGCTGTATTTTGTATTGCATGTGCGATAGATACTTCTTAGTCTCCAATAATATGTGAGTATGATGGTAGGGAGCAAAAACTGGAGGAAAAAATAGGAAAAGAGACAAACTAGAGGAATATAATGTGTGGAAACTAGTTTTGTTAAATACTGAAAGAAAAAAAACAGAACTCAATGAATGCTTGTTGAACCATGGATGCTGTTCTTAACAGTTAGACTCAGTATTGGGAATTGTGGCATCCTGACTTTAAAGCTATCAGTAGGTCAATATTAACAATGACCACAATAACCCTCTTCAAAGTAAATATGCTTGACTGGGATACTAAACCTATGCGTTAAAACCAACAGTATGCTTTCACAGAGCTGCGGTCATATCTTTTTCCTCCACTAAACTTCCACTGACTTTTAAAAAATCCCCATCTTTCCCCTTTAACTCTCCTCCCTCTCAGCTTGTTACTTTAACTGTCTCTTAATTTCCCTTTTGTTTACCCTTCTCCCTGCGAACCCTTCCTTAAATGTCTTTCTCTTGTTGTGACCCATTTTACCTCGATTTAGATTTTTGAGGTCTGCTCCGGATATTTTTAGGTCAAAACGTCACAGCAGAAGATCTTAATCTTGACAGGCTTGTTTTCAAGGTTGGTTTGAGATAAATGTGAATCAAAATTGAAGCATTGTGATGGTCCTGTTATTTCGCTGTCTACACCCTTTTTTATGGTTTGGTGAGATTTACATACAATGCTAAGTATTTTCAGTAAAGCCTGGGTATATAAATACTTTCATCTTCTCGTTTGCTGCTGTCACTCTCCCCTCCCTCTTTTTCAATTCTGCCTTACTCTCTCTCTCTCTCTCTTCCTCAGTCTTCATCCATCCATCTGTGCCCTTGTTTCCCAGCAGTCAGACAGAAATAGCCCCATGTGTACCAGTAGTGAACTGGAATAGATCCCTACCAGGATCTCACTGCATGTGTGAATGTGTGTGTGTGTATGCGCGTGTGTTGTGTGATACACTGCTGCACATCTCAAACACAGGCACAGACACTCAGCGTTAGACTCTCTCTCTCTGGGCGTTCTCTGTTAGAAACCTGACATTTACACTTTGAGAAGGATGCACCATCTTGCACATCAAAGCCTTCCTGAACTTGGCCTTTCTCCTTCTCTCTCACTTGCTCTCCCTCAGCCACTCTTCCCCAATTCTTATCAATTTCAACACCAGACATTTGCTGTTTTGAACGTGTTTTTCATCCAACCCAGAAGGTTATTTTTGTATTAAAATATTCAGGTCATCTGCTGTTTCTTGATACCTGGGCACTTACATTTTACCGGTTCATAATTTCCTGCTTATAGCATACTTACAGCTGACTGTATCTGTCATAAAAATACCTTATGCAGCATTTAGCAAGATACAGTGAAGAGGAAAAACTGGATGCTTGACAGGCCATCAGTTATATCATTAGAAAACAGAGTTGGGGGACTCGAGTCACATGTCTTCTAAATAAAAATGCACAATAAAGCTGTCTTAAGTTAACTTATTGGCCTGTCAATTGGGTCAAAGGCTAACTAGAAATTATGTGTTTGCAAAGGCGCATGTGTGATATAAATCATGTCTTGACTGATATGAATGTGGAAACTGGTAGATTTTCAGATGTATGACTTTACTTGCTGAACTTATAGCAGGGACTCGACCTGACTTGCTTGATTCTCATTACGGTGACTTGAGACTTGCTTGTGATTTGTTAGATCTTTGTGCTGCTTTAGAAATTATTAATCATCAAACCCTGTTACAGATGTTTGAACAACAAATTAGTATTACAGAAACTGCTTTAGCTTGATTTTCATCATATTTGTCAGATTAGTATAAATTTGTGCATGTCAGCAATGGGGTTCCACAGGGTTCAATGCTAGGACCAATCCTTTTTACCTTACATATGCTTCCTCTGGGTAAAATAGTGACTTAAATGTCTCTCTAAGGTGTTTGGGTGCAAAAACAATAACTTGAGTTTTGTCAGAATTGAGTTGCAAAAAGGTCTTTATGTCTTGACGACATGCTCCAATTGAAGTTAATCTAATGTTTTCAATTGGCCTCACTGATAGGTATAAGTGAGTGTCATCTACATAGCAATGAAAACTTATGAAGGGTTTCCTGATATTTTACCCAGAGGAAGCATATGTAAGGTCAAAAAGGATTGGTCCTAGCATTGAACCCTGTGGAACCCCATTGCTGAAATGCACAAACTTATACTAATCCGACAAATATGATGAAAATCAAGCTAAAGCAGCTCCTGTAATACTAATTTGTTGTTCAAACATCTGTAACAGGGTCTGATGATTAATCATACCTAAAGCAGCACAAAGATCTAACAAATCAAGTGAATGATTACCATAAAATCATCTTTAGATCAATATGTAGAGTCAGATTGTATCTTTAGCCGGTCACCTTGCAATGAGTGAGTTAATGTTAATTCAACCCGTGGTCATGACTCCTCTAGTTTGTGTTGTGGTCCTGTTTAGTTCTGTTTAACATAACCATAGGCTAACTTTGCATCATCCTATACTCAATCACAAAGTAGGTACTAAAGGTGTTTTCTTGCCTTAGTCAGATTTCTCAAGTCTACACAAACTGCCTGACCATTCAGGTGTAATGATAAGATGTTTGATTACAGAAATATGAGGCCTAAGGAGGAAATATGTGCAGATGTTTTCCTGCGCGCGCACACACACACACACACACACACACACAGTTGTGATGTGTTGCCTTAGATAATTATGTAAGTATAGCAGCTGTGTAATTTACTGCTGGTAATTGATCGGCACAACAATTAAAAATTTGCAGCAGCATGCACGCACACTGAAGCACTCACACTCACTAATACAGACTCAATGATGCGGTGTTAAATCAGTGCATTCAGCCTGCCATATTAAGAGCCAGATTGGAGAGTCTCTCGCTGTTAAATGCAACACCCTGATAGTCCGTGGAGTACCGATGTCAGTGTCACGTGTGTGTAGATGTGCATTTGTACGTCTCTTGTGTGCGCAGGATTAAGTTTTATCTAATTAACTGTTGGCTAACCCTTTCCCTCACAGTGATGACTCAATCATAGCTTAGCAACTTGCAGGCTTCTTAAGCTTTCTCAACAAGCTGAAACAGTGTCCAAGGTGCTCTAATACACGGATCAGCAGCATTCAAAGAAGATTGTGCCGTCTGTCATGAAGACTCTCCAAAACCCTGGAAACACTGTATATTAAGAGTGTTAAATTAAACATGTTTGCATGTCTGGACGACTAGTTTAACACCTGTAGTGGCCAAACATTTATTTTTAGGCCATATTGCAATATTTTGTGTTTGTTTAAGTGCTTGATATGTTGTGTATATCCCGATTTGTGTGTGTGCGGGCGGATTAACCCACTCCTGGCTGTTTTCCAGAGGCCGTTTCAGCCTGAAAGTAGGAGATAACACAGCACTGCTTGGAAAGGGAGGAAGAGGATGGGGCGGGCTTGGGGGATTGGTGGGTTGGTCGTGGAGCTGAAAGACAACTCGTAGAAAAATTCAGGGAGAGGATGATGAAGAACGCAGCAAGACGAGAAATAAGAGTAGAGGTCAAGAGGTGAATAGACAAAACAGAGCGGTACCTGCAGGATTAAGAGAGGACTATAAAGAGGAGAAGAGGGGTCTCAGTGAGAGATACATGGAAGCTAGAGAGCTAGAGAAGAGTCTGAGGGATGAGAAGGAAGAAGAGGAAGAGGAGAAGCAGTGGTGGTGTTGATGTGTAGGGGGAAGTTCATTATGAGTCATGCCAAGGGAGGCTGCGTGCCGTTGGGAAAACAGCTCATTGACAGTGGCAGGCATCAAAAGGCCCTCTGGAGCTCCACATAATCTGTGTGGGGTCATCAGGGAGGGAAGGGACAGACAGATAAATGGAGGTCAAAGTGAAAGTGGGACGCCGAAGTTCTCCTCGCCTCTGCTCCTCTAGCGTAGAGGCGCGGATTTACAGCAGCTTTGCGAGGCCAGACGGATCACTGCACACACATACACACACATACACACTCTCACACGCTCTTACACATGCACCTTGTTCTGCCCAATTAACACCTCAAGGCTAACTAGCTTCACACGAAAGGTTGATTAATCTCCCTCCATCTCTATCCTGGTCTTTCCATCTGACTCTATCTCTCCATTTCACCTCCCCCTCTCCTCCTCTCACAGTCTAAATGTAGCGCGCAATCAGAAAATTTCTCTTAGCCCACGCTGTTGGGTTATGATAGAGAGATGGAGAGCAATAGAGAGAAAAAAAGGGGGGAGATACGGATACGAGATGATGAGCAGAGAAGCAGAGAGAAATGGAGACAGTAAAATTGAGAGGGTTCAGAGGAGACGGGGCGGTGGTGAGGCAGTAGTGTTTGTTGTTGTTGTCATTGTTTTATTAAACCCTGCAGCTCAGACTCTGTTTTCTAATCCAGCGCTGGCATACTCCTGCCAAGATCACTGCCAGGCTTGTGATGAATTTGTCATCTCAAACCCCCCCCACCCCCTTCTCATCCTCACTCCACCCAACACAGCCTGAGGCGTCATTTTTCCAACTACTCCTCCACTCCTTTCGGCCTTTCCTCTTCCACCACTCGTGATCTGGGAGAAGGTATTTTTTAACTTCTCTATGTCTCTTTTTTCACCTTGTTTTAGGTCCTCTTTCATTACACTCTCCTCACTTGTGTGATTATAGCGTCGGTTTATTTGCACAGATGTCCTCAGGGAATGTTTACCAGACAAGGACCTCTTGTGGCGGTGCAGATAATAGCTGCGGTGCATCAGAAGAAAATATGGGTTGGCCTTTGGGTTCAGCGTCGAGATACAAACACAACACAACAGAAAGCGTGTGGATTTCCACAACAGCTGCTGATATCTGCACTACTATGTAAAGTATTGATCTAAACATCACTTGATCACGATTTACATAATGCCAAATAAGCAGATGTATGAATTAGTGATCGACGATTAGTTTTTTTACAGGCCGATAAATAACGCCGATATGAGAACACAGTTTCTATCACAATGCTAACTAATAAGAAATGATTTCGCTGTATTAGTGAATGTTTTATTGAATAAATACAGATGGAAAAATATTGGACTCAGTAAAATTTTGCCACAAAGGACTTTTGAATTTCTTCCCAGCTCTCTGAAATAGGTTAAAAAAAAAAAAAAATTTATATATATATATATATATATATATATATATATATATATATATATATATATTAATATTATTATCAAACTGCCTTAATTTACAAATTATAGTCATCAGAATTTGCGTTGTGAGGGCAGATGCCAACTTCATTAAAATCCCTTCAATCTGCCTAATTTTTCAGTCTGTCCCTTGTAGGAATTATAGAAACTGTAAGTGTTAAAGAAACAGGCAATAAATAAAAATAGGGAGAAAAAACAACATTTTTTTAGAAAGACTGTCTGCATAAGGGCTGTTAATATTAAACCAACATGGCTTAAATAATATTACGGTGACATTTACAGAAAACTGCTGCTAGCTGTCAAATTTTTTAGCAGCTTTATCGTTCATCTCATCAGAAATAACAAACACAAGCAGAAAAATAAGCGCACTGATGAACAGTGAAAAGTCAACCACACGAACCGATGAACACAACATCCACATGGCCAAACACATGCCATCAAGATAAATCAAAATCACTGGCTGGTGCAGGGACAGAGTGTCCACAAACACGCTGTCTTCTGGCAGGTGGCAACCAGTGAACAAAACTGCATAGTCTCAGCTACAGTAGGGACTACGAGAAGTATTTTATTTATTACCAGAAAGAAATAAACATCATCTTTTTTGAGCTATATACAGTTTCACAGGACAGGGAGGGTATGAAAAACGTGAAAAATAACAACAGCTATGGGATCAATTTTATGCAATCGATGCAAATTTACAAGGTACCTCAAATCTGTACGTAAGTGCACTTTACAAAATGTATTAAATTACAGGCATGGTCCGTGAGCTTATACTGGTCATTTGTGTGCACTTGACCCTCTATCCTTCTGCTCTCTCTTCACAGACACTGTTGATCCTCTCGTCTTCGTCTTTACTTGTACAGTGTAGTTCACATATGAATGAGTGAAATAAGCTCAATGAACCAGCATGAACGCTCCTATGAAATTTCTCTCTGTTTCTGACTTAAGATCGAGAAGACAGGACCTCATCTGTTAATACATCCTCTCTGCCTTTATAGGATTTTAGGGCTTTACTTTTGTTGTGCGTCCTGAGAGAGGCACAGTCTATACTGGAGCAGAGCAAAAGTTATGTGCTCTGCCCTTACCACTGCAGAAGTTCCCTTGAGCGCCCGCTGACCTCTTGTACATCACTTTAAGATCATGTTCGCACGTGGTGGTATTTTACTAAGGTGAAATAAAACAGCAGGGACAGTCCAGGGAGTCACATGTGTCTTCCTCCAGCAATGCCCTACTTAACTTTCAAAATTCACACCTCATAATAAAGGGTAGAAGGTTGCCAGGTTGGTCCAAAACCCTCCTTTTGGGATTTTGTTTTTTTTTTCCACTAAGACAGTTATAGTGTGCATAAGAAAATAACATGTACACAGGATATAAATGTCTTCTTTCAGTGCACACAGCATGCAAACAGGATGTTTCTGTCCTCTAGCAGACTCACTCTTGCTTAAAGTCAGATAGTCAATACAATTATTGCGGCTTTATTGATTACACTTTTTTGTTGCATGGCTGCCTCACCTCATAGGCTTATATGGATTTTTGTTTTCAAGCTTGAGTAAAATTCACACTGTAATGTTTCATGCCGATTATCAAATGAAGATAAAGAAACTCATCCCTCCCTGATTTCGGCACAGGATCGAGATTGAATCTTAGACTACAAGATAAATAGCACCGTCCAAATACATCAGGGGTCTGAGAGCAGGAGTGCTGCCTTTGCAGAAAGTTGTTCGCGCTCATCCTTATGAATGAATCACACGGTAATGCAGGATCAGCAATCCTATTCGAGGAGGTTTAATACATACTAGCTCAGATTTACCGTCAATTATTTGTTTAGTGAACAAAGTTAGGGTTCTGTGTTGGCAACACTATGTCTCATTAAAGCAGCTAATCTCCAATACTTAAAAAATTCAGCAGCTGGCATGAATGTGTTCACATTTACAGCATTATCCAGTGTACTGTTGTATAATGAACCATCTTTCCAAGATTAAATCAAGTCTGTTGAGCAGTAATGGTAGGGTGCATACCAGGTTGTTAAATGGGCCGTGTAATGTTTTATCAGATGAGGGGAATTGGTGCAAGGTTACATGAGGAGGCAGAAAAAAGTGGCCATGGGCGATTACGATCTTCTAATTCAAGTTCAGAGAAGAACAGGTCACAAGACGTAGCGGGGAAATTACTAGACTAAAAGATAAGAATAAGGAAAAAGTCAAGAGGGACCACTCAAGAGAAAACACAGATAGTATAGTGACAATAAGGAGACAAATGCTAAAGGATGTGGAAAAGAGCATGAGAAATGAGCACGCCGAGTGTGAGAGAGCAGTGAAAACAGCGAGGGAGACAGCGAGGCAAAGAGAGATCATTATACAGCAGCACATGGTCTCTATTGATCACTAGGCCATGTGACTGTCCCCAGGGTGTGTTATTGTCCCCTGTAAGTCTCTCTTCGCCTGCCAGTGTGCTTGACTGTCTGTGTGGGTGTCCTCATGCCGTCTGCGTGTCTCAGAGTGTTAAGAATACAGGGATTGGAAGTGACGTTTCTGTCTGCACTTGAACTTCATTGTGTTTAGCATTTCTCCAGGCATAAAAAAGCTCAGATGGAAAATGACAATCAGCCTGAAATGCATGTTTCATCTAATTTTGGCCCGAGGCACTGGGATCGGGCAGCAACTTCAGCACGATTTACAAATGCATACGACAGAAAACTCAATAAAAATAGAATGTGTGAAAGTCAAAAGGTGCAATTTTATATGAAATCACTTTCCCCATTTGCAACAGTCTGTAAGGAATGTTTGCTTGTACTATCCTGTTCATTATTTATCATCTTAACCAGTTTCTTTGTTTCCTTTGTTCTGTACTTCCATTCATTCATCTTTAGTCCCAAAAGTTTCCGATTGTAATCTAAGCTCTTTGCTTTGCTCAGTGGGTCTGGGTTTCTGATGTTCTTCTGTTTTATGATGTTGTTGAGACATTTGCTGGGATGTTTGATATGAGCTTATTATGATGTTTTGAGTTTCTCTTGACAGAGCCATCTGTATAATGATAATAATAATAATATTTCTTTAAGCCTCTGGTAATTCCTACTTCTGCTATCATAATTGTTCATCCATGCTTCCATCCAACTATTGCCCCAGACCTCCTACTCCCAGCAATACCTCCACGCCTACCCTGGGGCCTCCTCACCACCAGCCACACTTGGAACACCTCCTACCCCAATCAAATGCCCGCACCATCTCAGTTGCTCCACTTCCAGATGTCTGAGCTATTGACCTTATCTCCAAGGCTGAGCCACCTTTTGACGAAAATCTGTTTCGGCTGCTTGTATTTGAGGTTTTTTCTTTCTGTCACTACCTGAAGTTTGTGACCGTAGCTGTGGGCTGCTCCTCATTCAGCAAGAGCAATCCCCGTTTTCTAGCAGGGAAAATTTGACTTTAACATTGGTTTCTGATGCAGCTAGCTTCATATTATTTACTCAATAGCCATATCTATTGATATGATAAGATAAAAAGAACTTTATTTATCCCTGAAGGGGAAATTTGATATTCTGTTAGAACAAGAACATGCAAGAAGCTGAGTGAAGTTGAAACCTGTTTCAAGACTGATAAAAGTACCGCCTAGCAACCTTACAATTCTGGTCTTGTACTGGAAAAAAAAACAAGAAGAGACCAAAGGACACAAGCATGATCAATCATGAGTGGACGTGATAACCAGATGTTTTATTGTAGGTTTACTGAGATGGTTAGATTACAATAAAAGCTGTCTGTTTTCAAAGACTGATCGTTTTTAAAATCGTTCTGCACATACTTATCTTTCACTGTCTGAATTATGGATTTAACTTACCGATATTTCAAAAATGTATCTTCCACTTCCATAAACTGCACAAACACAAAGCAGAGCAGATGCTTGTTTTCAGGAATTCACACGCTTTCAAAAAAGCCTTGTGTCTATGTCTATGTGTGTGTGTGTGGCTATGAGAAACGTGTTTGCCATCTGGGAGATAACCTTGATAGTGGGTGAGAAAGCTGTTGCTAGGTAACTATAGAGCGCCAGTGTACCTCTGACTGTGGCAGTTGTAAAGCTTTTGGCCAAAGTCTTATGTGCAGGAATAATAATCAATACATATAACCTAAACTTCATTCTTTATTTCATTTAGTTTGGTTGGCAGCAGGATCTGTTTGAAGAGATCGTCAAACAGTGTTGGGTGTTGATAAAACTGCACTTGTTCTCTTCTGACATTTTCATTTTGTTGGGATATAAGTGGTTTGAGGGAAAGTGTTGAAGAAGTAGAGAGCCACTCATAACCAGATGGAGCTCTCAGCTCTTTAGATGTGCTTGAAGCTCAGTTCTACTAATAGAAGTTATTTCTGTTACAATGACGACAGCGCTGTTGTCTTCAGGACGTCACTGAGGGATCCGTTATGATCCCGTTGATAGGGATTTCTTCTTTGTTCGTTTATGCAATTCGATACCTGAACTCTGACACAAATTTGAGCAACAATAATGGGTCCTATGCAAGGTGTTTCAGCCACAATCGCAAGTTTTATTGATAAGACTGACTTTTGATGGGAGTGAAGGAAGAAGCAATTAATGTTACTCCCAAAACACACTTGTGAATATTCAACGGACCTGATCCAACCTCTCTAGGCCTCACTTAGCACCCTGATTTGTACAAAGAACTGGTTGGACATGCCCTAATTCTCATTGTGCCATGTGCTTTAGGCTGTACATTTTAGATTGTTTAAATGGGGCCCATTTACAAGTGTGCTGAATGGGACGGGTTTCTTTTACAGATAAAGAACAAATGAAAAGTAATGTCCTCTGCAAGTGACCTCACTTCACAATTCCCTGTTTCTTCAATCTGAGGAGTTTATAGGTAACCCAATATCCCCATAGCTCTCTACCTCCCTCCTCCTGCTTCTTGTATGTAGGTTAGTCCCAACACAATGAGGTCAACAAGATGCCATGTTTTGACCTGTCAGCTCTGTACTGTGTCAGCTCTGCTTATCTCCGTTGCGCTGCTTCATTCTGAGTCTCGGAGATAGAGAGCCAAGGCCTGCCCCTCTACGATTGGTTTCAGTGGGCCAGTACAGTTTGAAACAATGTTGGATTGATAATACGGAAGGAGAGGAGCATTCTAGTAACCATAGCGACTGCCTCCAGTTGTTGGCTGAGTGTGTACGAGTGTGTGGTCAAACGGAGCAGAGGTTAGAGTTTCACTGTGTGTATAAATAGTACATTTTAATGGAAACAAACCACTATCCCAGTACTAGCTTCCAGTCTGCTCTACACTTTAACAGCAACATTGATTTAAGCAACTGTTCGTTAATAATTCTTGATAAAACTTTGGTCATACCTGTAAAATACTGAGCAGAGCCTTTCACTCTCACATGGATGGTACTTAATACAGTTAATACTGAAAAGGGTTGCAAGTTTATGATCAAAATTGACATGGTAGCCAATCTCATTTCCAACCTCTAACTTAATTGCATGACAGATGCATTAACAACAGGAAGAGGTTTGTATATACTGTACATGGAAACTTTGGATAATAGTAAACTCTGTTAGCATCCAGCACCAACCTGAAGACAGTGGAAAATACCAGACAGTAGGGGTAGGAATCACTAGTGGCCCCACAATACGATATTATCACGATACTAACATTTTGCAATACAGTGAGTATTGCGATACAATAACAATATATTGCGCTTTATAAAACTTTTTCAACTGTTTAGATAATCCAGCATTTGTCTGTCCTTTATGTTTGTCTTCTTTACACACCGTATCTTATTTTCATGTAGCGCATCTTGCAAACCTTACCTATATATGTTGTACTAACATTCTCCTGCTCTATGATGTCACCTCCGCCAACCTCACCGGACAAACAGTTGATTTTTCCATCATCATAGATTTGAAAAATCAATACTTGGTAAATGCAACGACACAATATATCACCAGACAAAACATTGCGATACTATGCTGTATCGATTATTTCTCCCACCCCTACCAGACAGAGTGAAAGGATCCTGTATTATGCACATAAGGGTAGTTAGTTTGAGATAGACTCTCCGCAAGTTGCACTACTCTTCAAAAAGCAAGGAAGCCAGGTTGGCTTGTAAAAGGGTCTTACACCTGCAGAAAAGTTGATTATGATTTGACTGCAGTTATTGAGGGTATAAAACATATAAACACAATCTAAATGCAACCAATAGTTGTACCAGAGTAAAAGGCAAATGGTGTTCTACTCTAAAGTTGGCTCTATACCAGGTAAAGCTTTGCCAGGGATATGCATCATCACGACCGCCATCATCACCCGCTGCACACGACCAGACCGAATTGGAAATTTGCCCCCAATCGCTCCATAATGCAAGCAGTTGATTCAGTGCACGAAACACGATGAGGCTGCAGATCAGGCTGGCAGCACTCACCCTCTTTAGGTCATAACCATGCTTTTAAAACAAACTCCACAGAAGGTAAACAGGTGAAACCAGAGAGCAGCACATCCTAAATCCTCATGCATGAAGACACGATATTCATTTATAATGTTGTTAAACAAGAAAGCAATAACATAACCTATGACATCCTGTCTTTATGATCAGTTTTTCTCAAAATCACTTCCTGCATTAGTGCTTCCTGTCCTGCTGTTTGTTTGCACTCTTCCTCTCTTTCCATCTTCGCCTCTCTTTTCTCGAAGATTGTCCTGTATCTATTTGGAAATGCCCTGCCCTGTAATTCAATCACTGCGCTTCCTGTTTACCTAGCAGCATGAGAGTGTGTGCAGCTGAGCAAACATGAATCGGTAGCTTTGAACTGATCACCACTTGTCATCCTGTCCTGTGCCTTTAGCCAGCTGCTGTTAACAGTAACAAAAGCACACGTGTGCATAAGCATGGAAACGTTTCATTTAACCTGCAGACCTTGGAAGTTTTCAGTGAGACGATTGTTGGGGTTTTTCCGGTGTATGACTCACGGGACAAGAGTTTAGAGGCGTATTAGCATCTTGTGGATACGGACTTCAGGGACAGGAGTTTAAGGTAAATGTTTGATTACTCAGTAGTAAGAAAAACCTGGAGAAACTGAAGTATTATATTCGTTAGTTGTTAGCCGCAGACTATATGATAAGTGAACATTGGTATACTCTAACTGGATCTTGAGATATGGCCGAGGGCCCCTGTGCTGCCAGGTGAAAAAACAAAACATCAGTGTGTAATAGTCGTGATTGATTAAGTGATGCTGAATTATTAATGACATGACTGCCAAAGATGTTGTGTCATATTCTCTGTACATGTGATCGCACTCACGGCCTCACAGAATCACCTGAACTTTACCCCAGATATGACAGGATACTTGAGAAGATGAGATGTTTTCTCTCAGAGACACAGAAAAGACTGTACTCCGTTTACAATACATGACCAAAATGATGGGGAGGGTGAACCTGTCATGTTCTTGTACTATTATATCATGCTGCTCCTCGTAAGAGACTGAAAGCCAGAGTTGTGTAAATCTTTAAACAATTCAACAGTCAAAATGAAGAATAAAGAGAGAAGCAAAGACAGCAGGAGACGGGGGCCCGAAGAGAGACGACTGGAGAGATAAAGAGGGAGGATGTAAGGAGGGAAGGGAAGAAGATGAGTCAAATCAGAGAAGGGAAGGCCGATACGGAGAAGAAGAGGAGAGAGGAGAGTGGAGTAATTGATCAGGTAATGGAATCAGAAAGATGGCTAGGTCTGTTGGCTTTATCAAGGAGTCAGTTCATCACACACACACGCACACACACACACACACTCCCTTCCTCTATTCAGGGCTATTTCTCCTCTCATCCTGCGCACTGTGTGTTGAGGCCTCAGAAACAGATGTGTCAGGATCACGTGTGTGAGAGAGCACAAAAGGCCTTCTCAGAGTGTTTGTGCTTTTATAATTGTGTGTCCGTGTGAGGGTTAGCGAGGGTATGATGAGTGTATTTATAGTAAATGCATTCAGCTGGCCGGACCTCTGACTTCCGCTGGCACACGCTCACAATACTCATCTGTTTTTATATGTGTGGTTCGCATGAGTGTGTCTGCCTGTGTGTCTATTTATTATATTGTTGTTTTCTTGTCGCCTTCCTAGAGTTTAAGTGTTGTGATGCATACATCATGTGACATCACCCAGTCTGACAGCAAGCAGTTATTGACCGCTGCTTCCCCATAATGCAGCTGTCAATCAATAAACTCGTCTCTTGGCAGCACTCATAGTGACAGTGATTTCCTAGATAGTATGGCAATCATTTGTAATTGAACTACGACCAGTCTTGTACAAATATCAAGTGTATTCATTCTCTCAAATTTACACAGCACAGAGGTCAGTGAGTGCTTGGACAGTAAATTATCTCCATCTTAAACCCCTCATGATTGCCTAAATATTCTTGTTTCTGGTATCTGCTCCTAAAAGAAGAAATCTGAAACTAAAATCACAGCCTTCAAATATTCAAATATTTAGAATATTACATGTTAAGCTGGCAAAAGAGATATTTCAGTCATAAATGTAATAAATCAATGCACAGGCATAGGACTGAGCATTTGTTTTAGCATTACGCTCCAATCCCCTCAATAATAAACTAAATTATAGCTCCTCAGAAATAAACATTTCTTAAATCCAGGGTATCTCAGAAGACTGTGTAAATGTTTATGTGTGTGTTTCCATCTGTGATCAGAGCTGTTTTTCTTTCTGGGTTTGTGTTTTTCATTTACCTTTGAAATAATCATCCGGTTATTTTGAAAGACATTAAAATACAAAAGTGGTGTGGTTACTACCAATTTGTGTCGACAGCAAGGAGAGACACTGAAATACTTCATAAATAAGCTAACTACTGCAATGAACTGAAGCGATTCCATTGTGTTGAGCTGATATGGATATAAACAGTGACTTAATGAGAGAGGGGGTCTTCACTTAACTGCAAATGTTCAGTCTGTGTCTCCTCTGTAGGAGGCAGAGTCTGTTTTACACAGATCATGTGGAAATGCTGATGCCACACTCCCACTGTCACTACTGTCATTATGATAATATGAGTGTCTCTGTGTGCGTGCGTGCGTGAAAAGGTGATCCTGTATTCCTGTGTTTTGGCTGCATGCGCCGAACACTTCTCCATGTAAAAGGAGAGCTGGGGATGCTTGTTGCCTAGCAACCATCTTTATGCAGCTTTAAGTGTGTCTGTGTGTGTCGGTGTGTGTGTGTGTGTGGTGTGGGACTTGTGCCAGAATGCATGCACGCTCATGTGTAAATTTCATCATTTTAAGTTCCATGCACACATGTGTATATGTGGCTGGACTACCAGATGCTTGTATGCACATGTTGTCTTTCTCTTTCTTCATAAATTTAGTTGTATTTGCTGTTTATTTATATGATATATCTTCCTCAGTTTTTTGAAAACCTTATACAGGGTTCCTACGAGAGTATGGAAAGTGTGGAAACAAATTTGATCAATTTCTAAGGTCTTCAGAAAGTTTTGACAATGAAAAATAAAGTATGGAAAAGTATGTTTGTTTCCAGACTATTACCACAATTCTAAAATACTGTTTTTCTAATATAGAAAAGTAGGTCTTTCCAACAATAATTCTAAAAAGTAGGGTTAAGACTTCAGTTGCATGCTTCAATACCTGGAGTTAATTGGCAGGTACAGACACAAAGTGCTTCAGTTTTATATGGCAGTTATGGTTCATGCTCGATAATGACAGAAAATAGAAATGTATTTATAGAGCGATGGAGCGAACACTTTCATCAACACCCAGTAGATGTTAAAGTGTGACATGTCTGACTGTTGTTCCGGTGTGTTCTGGTAAGGTAAATCACATTTCATTGACATGTCTTATTCTCAAAGTACATGGTTACAATATTCCATAACACCCATCATGCTTCAGTGCTGAGCTGTATGACCTGTTTTCATCAGAGTGTCTGCTACTCGGTCGAAAACATCAACAGATGTGGAACTAACACCTAAATTACCTCCAATTCCCACAGCTACAACATTACCGGCTGGACTTGCTGAGCTCCTGCAGTGCTGCACATTTGATCCAGCCACCCAGTTTTTGAACATCTCTACATATTTCATGACAGTTGGTTCAATCCTGACTCTTGAAATACAGAGTAGTCTTTGACAGCATTATCTGGGTTAGACAGGTGGTAAACCGGGCTGGTTTCTCATTGTTTGGCCTTGTTTACTACTTTCTGGAAATGAAATACTGTGATTTCGGAGGACTGCTTTGGAATAGGCGTACCCCTTTTTGTGTGTGTGTGTGTGTTTTGTGTGAGAGTGCTGTGAACAGATGGTGTGTGTGTGTGTGTGCTACCTGCTTGGGGAGCTATGACCAGGAAGTGTGGATGAGGTGGGTAGAAGCAGAGAGGGTCAACGGGGATCAAACGGCTCCTGCAGTTACCCTGCTAACACACACACACACACACACACACACACACTGTCCGGTTGGATGCTCATGAGAAATCATTACTGCTAATTATTTATACAGACAGATTAGAGTTATTTGCTTGTCAACATGTCTGTGTGCTTCGCGTGTGTGTGCCTGTGTGGATGTTGTGTAGCCTGTCTCTGTCTGTATACGTTCATGACGCAGCACTTTGTGTGAATGTGTGTGTAGGCCGATTTACTGTGTGTGTACATCTGGCAGGCAGAGGATGATATTGGCAGAGCTCCCACACTTACCCACTCAGTCCTTCTGTGATGTCTCGTACAGAGATTTTGCCCTTATTTGATGACATGATGGAGACCCTGTCCTTTTATGATGTCTGGACCTGAGGAAGGAGTTCACAGAGTATTTTTGAGTCCAGACCAAAACAAGAAAGGCACGGGCACATTCAGAGAAAGACGCAGAACAGCTTTCAACATGTCAGTGAGATGTAAACAAGCAAAATACAAAATTTACTTAATTTGTATTCTTTCTATATAAATTCAGAAATCCAAAAGTCTCTTATAGCAGTTTTTTACTGAGCCAAGTAGGGGAGAGTGGGGTAAGATAAGCCATATTTCATACTTCGGATCACTGCATCAAGGCAATCATAGTTTTGTCTCTAACTAGTGAATCTGCATATATTTCAAGATGTTGTGGCTCAACTTGCCCTCTGTCTCAACTTACCCACTCTCCCCAACTGTCCCCTATTCATTTATTTGATAATTTTTTTATTCAAGTTCAGCATTTATTTTCCACTTTTTAGTATGATTACCAATGTTAAACTGTACTATTTTGTCAAATGCTAAAAATCAAAAACAAGCAACAATTTGATATCGGCCATCAGCTCGCGTGCTTTCAGCCATAAAAAAGTAATATTGGTCAGCCATTAGTGCGAACTCTAGCTCAGAATCAATCATCCACATATGATAGGATTATGAGGTAGCTCATATGCACCCTACAGATGTCATTAATGTTAGCTGCTAAAGGATCTTTGTTTTTGTGCTAAACTAAGTAAACAGTAAAAGCTATGTGCTGTAGAACTTTGAGTAAAACTTGGGTAACAGCAGGGGCCGTACCGCAAAAAAAAAAAAAAAAAAATACATAGGGTGACCATTTCCTGACTTCCCAGAGGACTAGGCTACGCGGGGGTGGAGTCATGGAGTCACACGAAGTTAATTTGAGAGTTTTTCGGTTCGGATTGAGTGTCTTTTATGAACTTCTAACCCAGTACGTCTACGTGACACTAAATCGGAACTCTCATACAAAGCCGCGGACAATTGAAGGATTTTATAAACCTCGGCGGACAAAGCCGGACAAGCCCGTCAAAAAGAGGACATGACCGGGTAAAAGAGGAGGTATGGTCACCCTAAGAAACACAGGTTTACAGCCGGTACTTAGCGGTAAGCAAACTTTCACCCTTGCATTGTATGTAGGCAACATTAGCTTACCGTGTTGCTGCACGTCAGTCTGCACTCTGCATTGTAACTGTAGTAATCCAGTAAAACCATGCTGCTCGCGAGTGAGTCATATTTGTTTCCGCAAACAAACAAATTACGGAAGTGGGAACGCTTGGTGCGCACTTTTGATTGGACGCTGGTTGCCTAGGCGCTGGGGATCACCTCCCGCCTTTTGCGGAAGGAGGGAACTCTTGAAGAGACAGCTGCTTGAATCTAAACGCAGACAAATAAAACAAAATGCAGAGAAATTTTGATTTTATGTAAAAGAAAAAGAGAGATGGAGCAGATGATGACACTGTGTACTCCTCTTGTACAAAGCCTACAGGTACAGTACCTGAAAGAACCTTCTCCTACTCTCACCCCTGGGTAACAGCTCCACTTACATTGACATAGCCCTTGTAGTTAACCCTCCAAATCGCCGGATAGATTAGAAACGACTTGATCATCCTCTGCTGGTGTTTGGCTCAGATGTCCTTGTATCTCTGCTGCTCCTGCAGAGTGTCAGGGCTGTAACCGAGGAAAAACTGCAGCTGGGTGCCATCAGGGAGATTAGGGTTAGCTTTCCTCGCACCTTCAAGGATGGACTGTTGGTTCAGTGTTGCTTAGGGGTCTGAAAACCATGATCTGCACTCTCCAGGTGTTGTGGGAAAACATCTGGTGGGCTCTATTCTGCCAAGTGCTTTTCTGTGGGGTCAAGAGTGTCTTGAAGGGATCATTTGGGCCGCTGTTTCTCGAGAGTCCATTCATGCTGCTCTTGTTTACTCGATTAGCATAGTTAATTCTCCTCAGGATTCAGTAGCTTGCTGTTTTCTGCTTGAATCCTGCTTCTTAGCTCAACTTTAATCTTTTTTGTGGCTACATGTAATTAAGTGAGGTTTTTCTGTGAGTTGGTTTTGTCTACGGGTACTGAGTCTTGCTTGATTATACAGAATAAATGCACGCAGAGAAACCCTGTTTTCACACCAGACTGTGTCGTTCCCATGCAGCTATTTAGGAAAAGAGACGGGAACGGCTGCATGAGAAAGAAGAGAAATTAGTTCACCTTGTTTTTTGTGAACCTCAAGGGAAGGATGGCACAAGATAAGATTGGGAAAATGAAGGGGTTTTCACAGAAAATAGTCAGAGGAAGAGAAACGGGGACAGATCGATCAGGCCCAAGACAACAGGTCTGTTTTCTGAGAGCTCTCCAGAGTCCAGCACACTCTTTTCCATCATCTCTGCCAGGAAGAGAGAGAGAGGACCGAGGAGAGGGTGGAGAGAAGAAATTTAGAGATAGACAAAAGGTTAAGCTGAGGTTATAAGCTAACAGGGCCACAAAATCTTCCTTTTGCGTTCCCATATTTTCCTTTCCTTTCTTTGCTGTAATCCAAAGGTCTTTCCTGTGACAAAATCAACTTCCTTGTTTTCAAGTTCAACACACTCGTTCCTCCCAGGGATAGATATTATATAACAGCTCAGATGATTACAAAAAGCAGTGACACTGTTCCCTTTTGCCTCCCCATGACAATTAAATAAGCTCACTTTGCCAAGGGTACGAAAACAAAGAATCAGCAGACTACAAACAACCCTCTCTGGGATAACAGTCTCTAATTTCACCTTTTATACTGTGTTTAAACGTGGTAATATCTGACCTTTTTGCCACCACGCTTGCTACCACCGACAGCTGTCCTGACCTTTGCCCTTCACAGAGGCGTGTTAATTGAACAATCAATAGCTCATCAAAGTGAACACGAGAGGCAGAGAGCGAAGTGGACTGTGGTGTAAGCCAAGCTTCCAACCAGGAGCAGTTCCCCAAAGAGTCGAGCACTCACGCATGGAAACACATGGGCTCAGACATATTACAGTTTGCTATGGGTGAACAGGGAACACAGACGTTTTGCAGTGCTGTGCAGTTTGTCTCTAACTCAGGGTTGATTGTGGAGATGAGCTGTCAGCATCTTCACAGGGCTGTGCTGTAAGCTCTTTCTGTCCACAAAAAGATGATGCCCTGGATTGAGCTTCGACACATCAAACACGAATTTCACCATTTTTAACAAGGTGTCTTTAGAGAGCAGGTCAGTAAGAGCAGCTTGTTCTGATATCAAAAGGGAAGTATAACACTAATCCGGGTTCTGTGTAACAACCCAGACGGTCTCCATTCATGGGGACAAAGTGTGTGCGAGTTGGAGACATCCTCAGACTGCTTCCTAGCTTAAATAATGATAGTGATTATTATTATTCTTCTGTGAAAACTGTGACCACTGCTCTCTTCTCTCACAAATTTTTTAGACTTTATCCAAAAATATCAGTGAATACATAAAAGCCTCTGGGTGTACCCTCATTTACATTACAGTTGAATCTTGTAATGCGCTGTTATAATGAACTCTGCTTAATGTACTTCACTTGTCTCCTTAGCTGCAGGCCATCATTTGCTGCTTTGGGTATATATCATATTAATGTTGCTTTGTTTTAACACCACTGCTTATATTTCTTGTTTGTGTTCACTAAAGCCTAATCAAATTACCAAAGGCAGGTTGCCAACATCCTGACTCAAATATAGAAAACAACCTCCAAGAGCCTCCAGGCTGAAATATTTTTAATTAGTTTAATCATAATGGTGTGATTTCTGTGATTTTTAGAGCAAGTTTTTCCTTCTGTTGGATGGTTTATGTTAAGCATCGAGAGTCATCATTAGTCGTCAACTGATGAATGTTATTGTGTAGTTTTTGAGGTTGTACAGTACGTTGTTCTGCTGTACACCAACACCAAAGAGGCTCACAGAGATACCACCACTGAGCAGGTCGGATCATAAATTTGTTTATCTGAGATTCCAGACAAATAAATTTCCGTTTGTGGATAAATACAGTTCTTTTATTATATTGTACATCAACTTTGGCTGTGGGACACCCCACTTGTCACACTCATGTAAAGAATGCGGATAGTTGAATGCATTTGTTCATTTAAGCGTGTGTGTGTGAGAGAGAGAGAGTGAGATAAAAAGTGAGAGAGTGAGAGAGAGGGTGAGAGAGATCCTTGCATTTAGCAGCCAGAAATAGCCTGTTAGGAAATCAATGTTCCTCTCTCAGTGGCGCTGGGAGCTGTCTCCTCCACAATAGAGGGACTGTCCTGTTTCCTGCACCCTGGAGGGAGTGTGTGGAGAGAGAGAGAGAGAGTGAGAGAAAGTTAAAAGAGAAGGATCTCATCTTTGCTGTTTCTGGGTCCTGCATAAACCACCACTGGACATAATTAAAAATCCTGTTAATCTCATACTTTTTTACTTGACCGTCTCTCTGCTTGATGAGCATGTTGAGTTTATATGTTAAAGATGTAATAAACTGTCTGACCTACTTTAAATTTTGAAGATTAGCTAACCACAGCTTCAAAATCATCCCAGTAACTATTTTCGTTAAATTATCACAGGTCTTATCTCAATAACTAAATCATATCCTAACCTGTATTGTAAAAAGACATCCACAGGCTGCACTAGAAGTCAATTATTGTCTTTATCTGTGTTCCAGAGCTCCTTGGTACTGCAAAGAAAGTGAATGTCAACTTCCAGGATACAGATGGGTGAGTTACTCTCTCTTATTCCTGCGTTAACCCTCACTCTCTCTTTCCTTATGCCATTATCTTTCACTCCCCTCCTCCTCTTCTCCCTTTTAAACATCACTCCTCCCCCACTGTCCTCTACCGCTCTTCTCCTGCTCCCATTCATGTAAAAGCTGGTAGAATTACTTGTCTCTCTGTAGTATTAAAAGATGACGGATTAACCCTGATAGCACTCAGCTCAAGTTCAGGCTGGAATAGTGTGGATATCTGCGTGCTGGAGAGAGTATTAACATCATTAAAAGCCCCACATGTGTACAGACTGTGGCTACAATACCGCTGTCTATGTAATCACATATTTGTAAGTTACTGTTTGAAAAACAACACACAATATTTTTACATTTATAATCAGCTGGAGACCCCAGTCTGTTCTTACTTGGTGATGACGAGCAATGAGATGGCTGATGCCGATGCTGTCGTGCTGGAAAAGAAGACTCAGTTTGTGGCTAATTGTCCTTCTTGGGAAAAGCTTTTGAGAGTTTTTATGTTCTGTAGTTCTTAAAAAGTTCATTGTCCCCTGGAAAAGTTTGCTGTCTGCTTGCATTGCTATGAAAGCACAATATAGCGCAGCTTACGTTTCACACACAAAGCCCATTTCAGTGCTGTTGAGGTTTCAAAAATGAAGAGAAAATAATGATGCATTTTTTTTTCTGCTTTTGAACATTATGTGATTTAAAACCAAACCCAACCAGGAAGGACCAGTAACTTCATGTGAGTCCTGTTACCGCAATGCTCATGCTCAGCAACTTGTAGCCCCTTTCAAAGATCCTGCTCACAACATAAATAATATACAACCTGTGTACAATCTTAATTACAGCAGGCATTTCACTGTCTCGTGCATATTCTTAATGATGCACATTATTTACCCAGAAGCTTTTATAAGAGAATGACAAATCAAATAATGTCTTTGTCGAACAGTTTGCACTCAAGCTGCTCCTACGTGTGAATTAAGTCGAGAGGGTCTATGCCGAGAATCGTACAAGCTGTTCAAAACATCATTTGGTGCAGCTTCAGCATTACTGAAACTGTTCCAAATGCCCCCTGTGGCCCTTTCCATTAATCTGGCACTTTCTGTACAGTTCAGTATCTACAATACATGACTGTCTGCAGTGCAGCAGGAACAAACACAGCGTCGAAATGCAGATTCTTACAGCCATGAGTCATGCCAGCTGCGGCCCTTGTGAGAATCATTTTAAATGAGCTGAAAGACTGCAAACTGCACTGAATAAAGTGTTTTCTATGAAGATAAAGATCAGAGGTAATCCTCACAGCGCTGCTTTGCCACTCCAAGTGAATCTGAACAGCGTAATCTAATTAGTGTGTTTACTGTTATTGCCTCTTTGCCCCTTAATTCCTCCCATAGTATTAAGTGCTTCATGCTGATGTGGATGTATGCTTTTGTCTGCTGCATGGATAAATCACAAATAAAGTTGATGGTGGAAACGTATGAAAGCAGGGGAATTTTTACTTTATAATGAGCCCACACAGCTAATGAGTCTGCACACGAGTATTCATTTTATATTCATTGAATGTTTTTGGCAAACACTTTGAAGGCTCTAAATGAACTCAGTGTAAAAAAAACACTGCTAATTGGGATCATTCGCTGGAGATTTTACCCATCTGCAGTGTGCGTTTGGATGTGTGCGCATGCATGTGTGTAATAAAGCGTTTCTTAAGTGGTGCCAATCAGCTGAATTCTTAAAAGCCAGCAGTAGTGGTCAGTAATTATGTGATTTTAGTATAATGAGTAAGAACTGTAGAGTGCAGAAGTAGTGGTGGCGGGTTTAAAATAGCGAGGTAAACATAGAAGTACATCACATGTGGCTTCAAGGCTCTCTCACAAGATTTAAGACTTGATAAGAAAAAAAAAGCACTCAGCATCTTCCGTCTTTATAGACCCTGACAAGGAGATCCCCATTGAGTCATATAAGTGCATCACTGGAGGGCTTCACTGCAGTTCTATAGGCAGTGTGTGTAGGTGTGTTTGTGCGTACAGGAAGGTTTGAAGATGAAAAGAATAAGAAAAGGAGACAGCTTAATACCCACACTTGTGTAACTTCAGTATGAGACACAGGGCTGCAAAAACCCTGATCACTATTATTTTGATTTATATGATTATATAAAGCAGTTATTTGTGATTTGGCATCTGCATCCTGTGCATTTAAGTAACTTAAACCAAAATAAACAGTTTAACCTGCCTTTTTGTTTACTAAAGCATACTGTCTAGAATTTTTAACATCATAAGTACTAGTACCAAAAGGGACCATGCATCACTTAAATGCATGATGATTATCCGAGTAAGATTAAGATGTAGAAACATGTCTTTATCATAGTACACTTATTTTTTCACAGAATAGATGTTTTTTTTTCTTTTCTTTTTTGTTAATTTGTTTTCCATCTTCCTCCACTGTCAAGATCAGGCCTCTGATGGACTGTCCCATTTGTAGGTTTGCTTGAATACCCCCTTACTTAGTATTTACCAAATGTGATTATAACCCCAAAGCAGGGCTGGATGATGAAACGATAATGATATATATCAAAAAATTAATTTCCCTCAATTTCAATATAAAACATGGTCAACATGCTTTTCGATAGTCGGCATTCTGAGATGTTTTGGTAGACTCTAAGAATAGCCAGTGAAAAGTGGAGTTACTCTGGGTCCGACATGAAGCACAGTAATGTGCACTGCAAATTATGAGCACTGCATCCGAGCAAGGAACCCATTGCGCCTGTGTAACCGACCATTTAGTGTGCTTTCTCTAGCGCAACGCCTTGTGACAGAACGTAAAAGACACAAAGACCTCAGCAATGCAGTAGCTTATTGTATTGCAAAAGACATGCTACCAATAAGCATTGTTAAATTTCATTTTTATATCCTGAGATATCGATATCGACTGATATGAAAAAATATATTGTGATAAACTTTTTCTTATATCGCCCAGCCCTACCCCAGTCCTGTTAGTCTCATTTCTCTATCGGAAATGAGACCAACTTCACCCATTGAGATGTAGACAAAGCGTTTAGAAAACAGAAAACATTTTCAAAGATTGCTAGTAAAAATGTATAATGAGTTTCTCTTTAGTGAGTCTAGAGAGAAAAAATAGTTTCTCAAAAGATTATTTATTTTTGATGCCCAAAGGTAAATGTGATAAGTAAGAATGCTTTTAATATCTGAGTCATCTTGACATTCAGGAAAAGAGTTTTCTGAGGATCCGGCCATCAGGTCGTCAGATGATACAACAACATTGTATTAGACTAAATTGTCACCATGTTAAGCAACAGCTCATTAGATTCTTTTAATGTTTGGACAAGAGCAGCAGAAACCTCAGAAACCTTATCTTTCAGATGATGGAGTTTGTGTTTTATGAAGAGATAACACCTGCGACGCACACTCATACAGGCGGAGTGACAGACACTGATTAGCAAAAGAACAGGAGAACATGGACATGTACTGTTAGCACACCTGCGTTTTTGTAAAGAAAGTGATAGACAGCTTTTTTTCTCTCCTTCTCGTCCAGTGTGTAGTTGATAGAGAGGAGTGTTTTTGACAAGCCAAAGATGCACACATTTTCATTCAAGCTTGTTTAAGGGTTGATTGTGCAGAAGTGTGACAGATTGTGCGCGTGTACGCGTCTGCAAAAATGGGGCAGGGGTGATGAAGCTAATCAAAGATATAAACATGTAGAGTGTTCAAACAGCGTGAGAGGAACAGGGGAGAAAGTGGCTTTTACGGGATCATAAGAGAGGGGCTGAGATGAGCAGCAGAGAAGGGTAAACAGAAGCAGCTGGTGAGAGGGATTGGAGAAGCAGGATATGAAACAGAGTTTGGATTTTGAAATGTAGAAGCAGTGTGCAGAGATAGAGATTTAGTGAGTGTTGTTCTTGTGCTCTTGATTGACCTCAAGCCCTCAGACTGATCAGTGTTGTAATTCTGAGATGGTTAGATCATTTTCACACACCTGAATAATTCATATATTCATATAATGCAAACACAGCTTGATATACGGTGAGAGGCGCTCTTACGTGACTGGTGTTACCTACTTGAGTGTTTCTTTGTTTTGCCAAGCTGGCCACTATTGTATAACAGACAGTGTGATAGAAACGTTCCTTTTAAAGGGATATTCCGGCGTAAAATTAATTTAGGGTCAAACACACCATAACACCGAGCTAGACACCGACTGGAGAGATGAATGTTGCCGATCGCTTGCTTCTGTAGTTATACCAACTTTAGTAACGACCGAACGATAGCAACACACAGCGGTCTGAGGAGCCATAAACAAACCGCAACCAAAAACGCCACTCTATAGCCACAAATAATGCTCAGAACAGCACCTGACTTCATCAACAGTACATATAAGATCCCAACCATAGTACCAGCCACCAAACATGTTCTCAACTTTGCCTAATTTCTTCAGCAAAGAGACTAAACACAACTCACCCACTCTCTTCCAGCAGCTGCTATGGGGATTGCTGTGGGGTGACGCAGCTCAAGGAAGAACAGTTATGTTCGTTTCTTCATGGAAATGCAATCAGACTGAGATGCTGAAGAACTACCGCGTCTGCAGTGCAAAATGATTAATATGGTGATCATTACTTCATGGAAATGATAAAGAAATGAGGTTTGTTTATTGCTCCTCAGACTGTTGTGTATTGCTATCGTGCGGTCGTTACCAAAGTTGGTATAACTAGAGAAGCAAGCGGTCGGCAACATTCATCTCTTGAGGGGGTGTCTAATTTGGTGTTACGGTGTGTTTGACCCTAACTTAATTTTATGCCGGAATATCCATTTAATACAGAATCCAAATTGTAAATGTTTTTAGTTTGGATATTTGTCAGGGATTAACATCATCCTTGTGTAACTCGAATGATTCATACCATTTTTACCTTACTTAATCAGCATTACGTGTTGAACATATCTGGTGAAGAATCAGTCAAAGATGTAGGCTGAATTTTTCAAATGTGAACATTCATTCAACGCTCAATTTGTTTAGAATAGGCTCAGCAATATCACTGATATTTTCAGGACATTCAAGCTTTAAAGGTGAATACCGCAGCTCCTCATACGCCCCTGCCTAGGAAGTTGTATTTGAAATAAACTTACATGCAGATCTTTCCATTCCTGGAGTGATAGATAAACAGATCTGAAACAAAATGATAAAAAGCAAATAATTTATTCAAGTTAAAGAAGAGATTTGCAGGCATGAAGAAAGCAAGTTGAATGCAGGGGGGAGAAAGAGTTGAATTGTTGAATGCTAAAAAGGGAGGTGAAGAGTGCAGGAGAGGAAACTGAAGGAAGAATAGAGTATGTAAGAGAAGAGGAGAGGAGAAGGATGTATAAATATTGTATGGTTGCTTTTACTACTTGGCAAAAGAGAGGGCTTCCCTTTCCCTCCCCCACTACCATACATGCATCCCCCTGACACACTCTGCATGCACACAGGCATAGACACACACACACACAGAATACTAAGCCTTGTGCAAGATTGTGTAACAGTATCCCTGTTTAACCCTTGAGGGAACGTGAAGGGAAGAAGACTGCTGAGATGCTGAAGTAGGTTATGACACATGCACAATGGGAACTGATGTGGGTTCAACACTACTGAAATCTACACCATCATTGGACCCTTTATGGCATGTTAACTCAGAATGCTGTACAGAGACAAGCAGAGGTGTAGTGGTGCATGTACAGTATGGCCTGAATCACCTCTTAAATCTCCTCTCATGGGAGCATTCACCGTTTACCGTCTAAAATTAACCACACTTACTCGTATGTTTATTCTGCAGCAGATTGTGCCACTAAAGTCTTTATATGTGGGCTCTAGAGAACACATGATGGAGTAAACATCTAATGGAAAAAAATACCAGTACTGCTTTATGGGTAATTAAAGCTAACAAACCAAAGTACACAAAACACACAACCCCATAGTCCGGATTGTCATACTGGTCACATAAAAATTGTCATGTCTGAGCTCTTAGGTAGACAGTGGAGCTGAGGTGGTCTCACAGGACAGGATTAATCAGCTTGGATGTTTTATCATAAGCACTTTTGAATGTTTTAAGCCTCCGCAGGATGTAGCCTGTAAAAAAGTGATTGTTGGAGTTGACCCAACTGCTGTATTTCCCTGTTCAACTGAAGTCATTGGTGTAAAGGTGATTTTGACGGCCAATTTTGACTGAAATTAAAAGACGTAAATAAACTTTCATTCTGCATCTCCAGAGGACCTGATTTCGACAGCCAATTTTGACTGAACTGCACTTTATTTCAATGTCCGATTTGGATATATTCAAGACGTCAGAGTTAGACATCCATATGACATCCGAAAAAGACGTAAAATAAAATTTAATTCGACACCTTTAGGAGACCTGATCTAGACATCAAAATTTAAGCAAAATATATGTCATTTTGACGTCACATTGCGAAGCGGGGTGGAGCTGAGGTGGTCTCACAGGACGGGATTAATCAGCTTGGATGTTTTATCATAAGCACTTTTGAATGTTTTAAGCCTCCGCAGGATGTAGCCTGTAAAAAAGTGACTTTTGGAGTTGACCCAGCTGCAGTATTTCCCAGTTAAACTGAAGTCATTGGTGTAAAGGGGTCAGAGTGGGCTACATTATAAAGACATGCAAAACTGCCAAATCCACAGGAAGTGATCGTTTGTTTCAGAGCGGGGTCTCATGGTTCCTCCCCTTTTAAGGAGACCCTTTTTTCTCTTTAAGCTAACTCATGGGACGTCATTTATGTTCACCTGTCTTTGTCCTCAGGTTACGTAATGCTTCCACTTTTCAGACCCCTTCTTATGCTTATCCATCAGAGCGACATATTGATCTTCTCTACACAGCATACACCCTCTGCTCTTTCACACACATGACACACAACTCTCTCCCTCTCTCTCTTACACACACACAGTCTTTACATTATATAATCCCTTTTCCCTTGTTTTTCTTTTCATCTCCTACCCTCCCATCTGATATAGTCACTCCTGATCCTCTACTATTAGATGTATTTGTCATGCTAAGCTCTACAATTATGGCTGACCTGTGTGTATATGTGTGTGTATATGTGGAAATGTCTTCTGATCTTCTGATTGGGAGATGACTGACTCTCCCACTGAGCCACAGCTGCTCGTAACATGTAATGTGTGTATGTTTGTGAGACTATACACATTACTGTGAGACTCATCTATTGAAAAAGTGGAGAATATAAGGAATGAGAAAGAAAATGGATTATACCAAGTGAACAAATAGAGCTCTGATATATGAATGTTTGTGTTTACAACAGGTTTTCTCCCCTGCATCATGCCTCACTCAATGGGAACTTGGAGCTCATCACTCTGCTGCTGGAGTCACAGGCTGCTGTTGACATCAGAGACCAGAAAGGTAAGAGGAAAATATACACATACACACAAAAATACAAAGACCTGTTTTCATGCACAGGAGATACTGTACACACGGCTCTGTCACACATAAATACGCACCGATCAATACTACATCAGTGTATGATGGATTTGGCCTGTTTGTTAATAGTGTGTTCCTGTGTGTGTGTCTGTGTGTGTGTGCAGGTATGCGGCCGCTGCACTACGCAGCCTGGCAGGGAAAGGCGGAACCAATGAAGATGCTGCTGAAATCTGGTTCATCTGTCAATGGCCAATCAGATGAAGGACAGATTCCTCTCCACCTGGCAGCACAGCACGGCCACTATGACGTGGTGAGTGGGAGCTTTAAGAGAAGACCGAATCCACAAAAGACACATGTTTGCTCATTCAAATGTCAAAAACTTATTTAGTAGATAGATTATTTGTAACTTTGGCCTCTTTAGAGCTGCTGTAAGTTCAGATTCTCATAATAACAGTGAACAAACTGCTGTAGATAACCCCAAAAGAGTCACTCATACTAAATAAAAGAGAGAATAATCAGCCAACTCAGCTTTCTCTTAGTTTTTTATTTCATATTTTTATAAGTTTTATACAGATTAATACAGTACAGCTCTTGAAAGAAGACAAGATACAAAGGAAACACATCACAAACACCCCCTTTCCCTCAAGACCTTGTCTACTGCTGGATATTCCCATTAAATAACAAATTCTAGAGCTAAAACAAAAATAAATAAAAAAACAAGCAAGTGCTGGAATTCAGGTTTTGTAGATCTTGAAATATAAAAGACGTTGAGAAATATAAAGGAAAAAGAAAATAAGTTAAATGAACTACTCTACGTTAAGAGAAATACAAATGTAGACAAGTCGCTGAAAACTGAAAAAGTCCAGAATTTAAACTGTATGATTATAAAACATCACAGATATATATTTCAAAAAGAAAACAACTAGAAGAGGAGAGTGCTGATTCAAAATGATGATTCACAATTTCTGAATGTTGTCCAGAAAAGGTCCCCAAACCTTTTGGAATTATTCGCTTTCTCTTAGTTTTAAGAGCTTTTTAAGAGTCTTTCAGATCTTTTGTGGTATTCCATTCATGCTTCTCTGCACAGCTACAAATAGTCAATGGTCAACTCACGAAATCAAAAAGGACAAAAAAACCTGACAAAGTGCAGGTAAAAGCAGAACACAAAAAGGTGATTGATTTGCAGAGATTTAAAGGGAGGATGCTAATTCTTCTCTGTAGCTGCTTATTTATTCATTTTACAACTTTCTGAGTTGATCATCGTAGCAGCAGACTGTTGTTTGTGTTTGGTGTCTAGGTTCTGATCCGTCCGTCTGATTTTATGAATATTTTGCTCATTTTATTCTGATATATCACTCAGTCCATTTATCGTTACTTTAACATCAAACTGCAGGGTATTTTGATTCTACTCAGTCAAGCGGAGTTACGTCTGTTTGTGGTTATTTTTTTCTCCGCTATTTTTGTGAATGTAGCTTGGTAGCTGCCTGGCTTTAAGGGATGTTGGCGTTCCCATTCTCATACAGTCCCAATAAACCCTCCCCAGCTAAGACGACTGAATCTTTGAGGCTGTTCCAGCTAAGAAAAGAGTCAGGGGGAATCACTGCAGTGCCGCTGCAGGCTTGCCAATTCTGTAACAGTGAAATATAGCAGACTTACTACAGCAGCTTACATACACCAGAGAAGAGCAATACTCAGCATTTACAGGCTCAGAAAACTGAAGGACTGCTGCTTTCAATTGATTAAATAAGGCTGATTTACAAAGGGTAAAACCAGGTCCAGGGCTCTAAATCAACATCTGTTCCTGGTCCGCAAATAAATTAAGGATTGCAGACATTGAAACAGATCAGAAAATGTTATTAAACATCCAGTCAGACAGACATTTGCTTTTAAATCAGGAACGGACATTTTTTTATCTTATACAAAGACATGAAATTTGGCACATCTTAAAATTGGTTTAGTTTTAAGGTGCATTAGAAAAGAAGATTTTTATCATTTTTAGTCTTTTACCATTAGAACAAGCTTTTCCTCTCAGTCCTCATCACTGTGCTATTCTGGGGACAGTCTGCAGGGATGGTTTCTCTTAAACGGATCTGAACACCAGCAGATCTCAGCTTTTTTCACAGATATGCTCAACCTCCCTTTGCAAACCGCTCACATATAATAAACCTGGATTTCATGAAACGCAGGCGAAGCTACAAACAGTATTTAACATGACGGCAGGCTTCTGTTGTGGAATTGTTCTGTGATGTTAAAAGGTTGGTTTGAAGTCTGTAAAAAAAACACATCAATGTGTTGCTCGCTAATGTCTTAATGAGCGCGGCTACTTTCCCGAGGACATCTGTACTGCTTTTGATTTTTAACAGAGCGTGACATGTTGTCTGAGCAAGCATTTGGGTTTCATGTAACATCTGTGTCTTTGTAGCTATTCCTGCTTGTGTATGCATTGCGTAACTGTCTTTTTATATTTGCACTTTTTTGACAATGCTTGGGTTCTGCCTGTGGACATGCAGGCCCTTTCCATTTAACTACTAGTAATAATAGTAGTAATAATAATTCTAGTTTACTGTCTCAGCTGACCAGAACAGGGCTGAATAACTTTTGTCATTGGGTGTTCAAGGAAAGTTCAGCTCCTCTTTACAAACATTATTAGACAGGGCACGCAGGCTTGAGGACAGACTATTGAGGTAGCTTGAACTGGGGGCAGAGGGGATAATAACAGTGCTTCAGATTGTGAGTCATTCAGCTGTAGAAAGATCCAATATTTGATTTCAGTCTGACGGGATATAATTTAAGAAACATCAGAGGTGCCAGGCTTGAACGGGGCGTCGAGCTGAGAGTTTGTTTGGACCATACATTTGCAGGATTTGCCCCTAAAACTGTCGTCCTTTATATAATTTAAAGACAAAGCAGGCCTCTCATATTTTGCTCAGTAGTCGACTGTAAGCTCAGTTCGACAGTCCCTGCAGGAGAAGTGACTGTGGGTGAATAAAGTTGACTGATGACTCCAAATATTCTGTAGGGGAGAGTGTGAAATGTTGCATGCCAGTGCATGTTGGCCTTGGGATAGACTGACTGTTGTGCCTTGTCTCAATAGCAGAGACATGGATTGTGTTAAAGTTTCCTTGCGTGTCAATGAGAGTCTGCTTGTGTTTGTGATTTCCATCTCTAGTCTGAGATGCTGCTGCAGCACCAGTCCAACCCTTGTATCGTAGACAACGCTGGAAAAACACCACTGGACCTGGCCTGTGAATTTGGCAGAGTTGGGGTAAGAACTTCTAGTTTTAATTCAAAAGAAAAAACTAAAAAGAAACCACAGCAAAGATTGAATGTTTTTCTTGTTTTTTTCTCTGTGTAGGTAGTCCAGTTGTTACTCTCCAGCAACATGTGTGCTGCTCTGCTGGAGCCCAAAAAAGGAGACACCCATGACCCTAACGGGACATCTCCGCTCCATCTGGCTGCCAAAAACGGACACATAGACATCATCAGGTACACACACATAAACACACTTCCTGATGTTGCTTTATCCACAAACACTGTTTCTAATGAATTGCGAACTTCAAAGTCCACCTAAGCCTGCTGGGAAAATAATTATATAACACAACAGAGGTACTATGTAATCCAGTTATGATGGGAGGCATGTGCTGCCGTACAGTTACGTTTCCAGTCAGATGCTCCTTAATTGTTTTATAGAGTGGAAAACTGCAGATCCGGTCCTCTGTCACACTAAATGTCAGCTCATAATAACCTCCTCTCAGCTGGGAAATGAACCCAACTTTTGTTTATGTTTTTGCAAAGGGAGCATCATGCTGAAGTGACTTTTGTTGCCAAGGTGACGTCAGCATCGGTGCATGTGCCAGGGCAAAAAAAAAAAAGTCTGTTTTTACTTTCATCACTCCCAATCGCAGCTCTTATGTGTGTGTTTGTGTAGAAGTGAATGCAGAAGTTTGCTTGGCTGGCAAACGCAGACAGAAAGTGATGGAAATTGATAAGAGATGGTAGACTAGCGAGGAACGAAAAGAGAGAGAGAGAAAGGGAGAGGGCTGGGAAAAATAATGAGAGAGAGAAAGAGAGAGAGGTTTAAAACAGGAAGAAGGGAGTAGAGAGAGAGAGAGAAAGAGAGAGAGAGAATAAAGCCTGTCATAGTTGATAGAGCAAAGCGTGCCTCTCCAGAAGTGACTCTGATTAATGATTGTAAAGCAGGGCTGGCAGTTTGTGGAGGATACACACTCACATGAACAAACACACAGAAGCACTGACTTCAGGTCAGTCGGCTGAAGAGACAAACTAGATGTGTTTGGAGGCTTAAATCAACGATAAAGTGTTCAACCTTTTGCCTTTCCTGGGCTCTGTTTTTAAGAGTTTAAGGAACTGACTGTCCTGCAACTTTTATTGTTAACCATGGTCAGCTTCTTCTCACATTTACTGAAATTATCACACCCAGCTGTTTGAGTCAGTGATTAAATCTTTTTTAAGAAGGACGGTCTCTAACATCTTCACGCTCTCACCTTGAATAATCCGTGCACTACCTCCTCACCGTCTCTGCTCTGTCCTCTCTTTTTATGCGTCCGACTTCCTTCCCTCACTCACTTCCTCTTTCCTGCGCCCCCTTGTCTCCCGCTGTCAGACTGTTGATCCAGGCGGGTATAGACATCAACAGACAGACCAAAGCGGGCACTGCCCTGCACGAAGCTGCCCTGTGTGGAAAGACTGAAGCAGTGAGACTCCTGCTGGAGGTAAGTGGAACTTTATAGACGGCCTTCTTTCACAGATCTCCTGGTTCTGGTTCTGGTTCACATAAAGAAACATTACAAACAGATTAGCATAGAAAAAAATGTAACACTTTACAACAACCTAAACTTATAAATGGTAAAATGACCATTTATAAATGGTAAGAAGATAGTTTATTAATGTTTAATCATCATTTATAAATAGCATATAGACCATTAATAAATTGTACATTTTACAATTTTAAAAACCTAACCCTAACTTTACAACCATCTAAGTAATGTTTATAGATGGTATATAAACCAAACATGAACCATTTACTAAGTGCTTCTGACACACATTTAAATCTAGATGTTTTACAACCAGTATTTAAACCCTATATAAACCTTTAATAAATAGTCCATTAACAATTGATGAAAATTGTTAATCATAATTTCATTGCTTGTTAATGGTAAAGTAACTATTAACTTACATAAATAAACTATCTATTTGCCATTTATAATTGGTCTATATGCTGTTTTTAAATGATGATTAAACATTAATAAACTATCTGTTCACCATTTATGAATTATGGTAATTGTAAAGTGTTACCAAAAAAAAAAATTGGATCAAAAAATACTTTCTAAAATAAGAGGGAATCTTCCCATGTGGAGTATTTTTGATATTTGATTAAATTTGAGGGTTTGAGCATGCATAAATCTTCAGCCAGACATAGTTATGCAGTTATTACTCTCCTTCATTTATATTTACAACTGCCCTCCTGAAGGTGTAGTTCCTATGATGTTAATTTTTTGTAGTTAAAAGTGTATATAGCTCATAGAAGGTGGCAAAAATGACTAAATTGATCAAACTTTGCATACAGTCCACACAGAAATAATACAAAAAACAAGTTTAATGTAATAAATGCACTAAAAGCTGACTAGTTAAGTAATTAAACCCTCAAAAGGCTCTTAAAGGCGTTTGTTTTGACCATGTTTCTGCTGTTTTTGGGCTTTTGTTTTTGTCCGACTTTAACATCATGATAAAGGATCCCTCCTAAGGGGGTTTCTGTTAAAGAAATACATGAAGTGCAATTGTAGGGCGAGGCGTATGGCCGTTTATGAGAGATGTGGAAAATCCCCTCTTCCCCATGTGAGACATCCATTTGTGCTGGTGACTTGACATGCCACAGGGTGTATGAGAACAAAGGGTGTAATATGTTTTAACCAGAGCAGGAGGATCTTACTCAGTCAGAGGTCAGGGGGGAGTCTTTGACCTGAAATGTCTTCACATTGAGTTTTCATAGTGCTCCTCTTCATCACCAATTCATCATTTGGTGTGCGTCATCGGCCTTTCTCGCCCCACATTTCAGGCTGTCTTATCAGGCTTTTTTTTTTATCGAGATAGAAAAGATCAAAACAGATTTTTATTTTCTCCTCCTGATCACTCAACCCCACCTTCGTTTCTCCTCTGCAGAGTGGCATCAACGCCACAGTCAGAAACACCTACAGCCAGACTGCACTGGACATCGTCTACCAGTTCACTGCAACACAAGCCAGCAGAGAGATCAAACAGCTCCTGAGAGGTGGGATGATGAATGGATGACGGATGATAGAATATTGAGCATGTTTCGTGATCATACTGATGTTTTGTCCCTCGTCTCCCTCCGTCTTCAGATGCATCAGCTGCCCTTCAAGTCCGAGCTCTGAAGGATTACTGCAACAATTACGACCTGACCAGCCTCAACATCAAAGCAGGAGACGTCATCACGGTATAACATGCACACAAACACACACACACACAAACATATACTCACATAGTATTTCTGACAAACAAATAACCGCCTGCTGAACTCTGTATGCTCATATTTATAAGGTTTATAGTGATAACATTTTTAATATCAAGTGAATTAAATATTTATCAAGATTTTGTTTAGTTGTTCAGCTCAACTAATTTTATGCTAATTAGTTATAACAGCAGGAACAGACTTTTTTAAATGACAGATATTAATTTGGAGTTTTTGCTTCTTCGTGAAATACTGGCTGATCCGACCTTTTTCGGGTCTCTAAGAAAGTCATCAAAATAAAACAACATTAGAGTAAAAAAACACTTCGATATTGATTTCTTCTTCTTTTCTTTGCTCATGACAGGGTTAACTGTTTGAAGATGTGAGTGATGTTGATATAACTTATACTCATATTTTGAAGGTCAAACTCAGAATAAGTTTAGACAGCACTTACTGAAGGCAGAGCTGCTCACTTTGCTTTTTCTTGTTCTGTTTTCCAGAGGGAGCTATAGGTCAAGCACAACTTCTGCATATGAAGTATAGATGTTATTTAATCAATATTATATGCAAAAAATTGTAACTCAAGAGAGCAAAAAAAGCCTAAAAGTAGCAGTATAAAAATGCCTGTCTTAAATCACTGCTCTGAGTGAATTCCCAGAGTTAGTTTTGTGCTTCTTTAAATGTTGCTTCCCAGTTTGGCGAGACTATAGATGAATATACATAAATAAGCGGTTGAAGCCTCCCTCATTTACTGTGAATTTGTTCGACAAAGACGTGTATTTTTATGCTACTTTGCAGTCTGCCAGCCGATCATGAATATTCATGAGCCTTTATACAGCCTTTGGGATTTCATAGTCATAAAAAAGCAAAGTTGTGCCAATGCTTCTTTAAGTGGTTATCAGATAAAAATAGCCTGAAGGAAACCTGATAAGAAGTGTAAATTTTAAGAAGTCACAGCACCGCAAATACCTGTATGTTTGTTTTTATTTCAGTAAACGAGAGTGTGAAACTTTCCTCTTCGCAGGTTCTGGAGCAGCATCCTGATGGACGCTGGAAAGGCTGTATCCATGACAACCGGACAGGAAATGACAGAGTGGGTTACTTCCCTTCCACCATGGTGGAAGTCATCAGCAAACGCACAGGTATGTGAGCTCTCTTCAGTGTGTGCGTGGGAATGCAGAAGTTACTGAAAACTCAACATTTGGGCGTATCAGTTGGAAAGAGTGCTGAGTTACATCTTATACACTTATTTAGGTAGAAACATAGAAGAAGAGATGAGAGACGTATTCCAAAGGAAAAAAGGGCGTTTCTCATAAACCTCCTGATGTGAACACCAAACGAAACTCTCCTTTAAGTTTCCATTTCCTGGATGAATACAGGTTAGAGTGAAAATCCTATCAGACAAATCCTCTCCTTTCATCTCACACACCGGGATATTGTTCACAAATTATTATCTTGCTCTTTAACTGGACCTCAGCTTCCCTAAAAGAAAACACAGGACCCTCATAACTTCAGCCTGATGATAAAAACCTGTGAATGACAAACAGGTCCCCAGATGATGTGTTTTTCTTCTTCCTTTTAAACACCGGGTTTACTCTCTGAATAATTTTTTTAGCCTCTCTCCAAACAGATTCAAGTACAAAACTGTCAACTGTACAGATATCTTGTTAGTCACTTTCTTTCTCAGGGTTATTTTGGAAAAATTACGGTACTTTCAAGCATTAGACTACAGAAGAGTAGATGTCCTTGCAATGACTTCACCAGCTAACTACCTGACGTTGGCAAGCTTACACCGAGGTTTGGCTTGTTGAGCCAGCCTCCCCAGCAAATCTCTGACTTCAGCTTAAGGCTAAACACGGCATTCTTTAAATGTGATAACAACTGGTCAGAACACATGGAAGGAAAGCTGATGGGATTAAATAAGTGAATTCACCAAATAATCATCATGTTTCACTGAAGAATACTTTTAAGATGCATTTGGGATGACCAACTTTCTCAAAAACTTTCAAACAAGCTAAACTTTTGATTTTCTCTGTCGTGTAATATGCATATATTTAAGAGCCAGTCAGCTTGAAGTAGCATAGAAACTGGGAACAGACAGAAAACAAAACCTGATGTCTTTCATATATATATATTTTTGAATGCTAAGCTCATGCTTCAATCTCAGAAAGAAATCGTTTAAACTCTTTACTCCATTCGATGTCAGCGTGACAAGCTTCTGACCTCTCCGGTGAGATCTACAGAGCACATTCACATCAGCAACACCATCATTCCTGTGTCATTCACAGTCGCAAAGAAGCTCAGATGTTTAAGTTGTTTACTGATGATTGTCTGTAGGTATGGTATCTGTCTTTCCATCTGTATGTTTCTATGTAGTATAATGTCTTTGTCTCCATCTATATACTTGTCTCTCTCTGTAAATGTCTGCATTCAGCCTTCATAACAACTCATCCTCTGATCATCAGCCTCTTTCCTCATTGCTTCTACATCGTGTGTAGTTCATGTTTAACTGTGAAACCTGCACCAGTTACAGGAAATGCCATTGCGGCTGTTTCTCTCCTTACATACAGTTAAGAGCAGCTGTGGATACAGTAGAAAACAGCTTGAAATCCCCCACTCAGCTTGAACAGCCATACTGACTAATCACAGCCCTGCACACTTGGGGCTATAGCAGCTGTTTTAGCAAGAGGTTTCATTTACTCAACTGTTTTCATCAATTTTTAATTATTCCTTTTCTCATCCTTCTTCCCCAGTCAGTGTCTTCTGCATGTACTCCACGTCTCATCCTTTTATCTCTTCACAAGAATGGAGATAGGACATCATTTTAACCAAAATAAATAACAAATTAAACATTAGCTTGAGATAATTACTAAGAAATAACTTTCCTTGAAGTGCTCCATTATTCAAGTCCAACATAATGTTGCAGCAGGCTGTAAAAACAAAGTAAAACGCTGTTAGCTAATTTATATGACCACAAGAGCGAGAAGTTACTTATATAAGGTCAGATGTTTGATTGCAAGGTCTGTCAAAGACCTACAACACATGGAATCTTTCTAGTCCACGTGCAGGAACTGCTTAAGATCCTTACCCTGATCAACCTGTACCTAAATATAGCCTAGCAACAAACCTTACTGTGGCTCCACTGAGACAGCTCACCTCAGTATACTTAATACAGGATATTTTCTTTGTGTGCGTCAATGTGCAGCATTGACGTCTATGGTTTGAAGTCTTTATGAAGCAGAGCAGAGCAAGGAAGAAGTGAAGATCATATGTCTGTAGGAAGGCCGAGCTTTCGGGGCATCGTTGTGGTAGTGTCAGTGCACAGTCTGCTTAAATTTATATTTTAAATGGTTAGTTGTCTCAAAGTTGACACATATGTGTGGACGGTGCGTTGAATATCTACAAAGTTATGCAGCTAATTTCCCGTAGGCATCGCACAGGTAAACAGCTGCATGTAAACTGGAATAGCCACAGTTTTCGCTCAATGCTGAGTGGAAGTATGATTTTGCGGTTAGGGAAGAAATGCTAGCATCAAGCTTGCATAGTAGTTTTCACGTTTTAATTTGTTGTTTGAGTTCAGCTCTCATGGTGCGTTCAAAAACCTCAGCTTGCCTGGGGGCTTGGTAAATGCACCAGTTTCATGCAATGGGACTTTTTTTTATTTGACAGCCAACAGAACATCTTTATTTTTCAGTGTGTCTGCTGTATCTTAAACCAGTAAACACTTCCTGATATACTGTGACGTTGCACAAACACCGTTCTACATGGTAGCCACTGTAGCTTGCAGTGGTATCTTCTCACTTTGACGTTTTCTCCGTCACAAAATAAAACTTAAACCCAAGCCCATGCTAAAAGCAGAGGACCTTTCCTGGTCATCTCCCATACAGCCTCCTTGGACCATTTCCACATTCACCATGGATCACTCACGTTTTCGCCTCTCCATGCATTTCATTTTCAAGAACATCCACATTCGTTTGTCTTGTCTTTTTCTTCGTTCTTTCTTCGTTCATCAGTGGTCTCCACCATCTTTCATTGTTTTGTTTAACTTCAGTCTTTGTTTTGAATTTCTTTTTTTCCTCCTTTTTCTTACTTGTAATTCTCTGTTTTGTTGTTTGTTTGTTCCGTGGCGGTGGATCACTGTTGGCTGGTTGTGTGTGTGTCGGTGTGTCGTCACGGTGGGTGTTATCTAGGTTTGGCCAGCACAGTCATTTGCACTCAACAGTTTCAAAAGATACCGCTGGTTCCTCCGGCGACGGTTGCCCCTGCCAACGCGGTAGTCAACGGCAACGACACCACGTTCCATCAGATCCATATCCTGCCTCCACCGCCTCCTCCTCCACCACATTCCCATCAGCCACTGCTTCCACTTTTCACTTCCTTTGGCTATAACAAGTCGCCCGTGACAACCCCACAGGGAGACACACCCACTGCCCCAGGTACACGCCCCCTTTTCATTATTATTATTATTATTATTATTATTATGAAAGCTCTAAGGGATGCTTTCCCTCGGCCATTTTTATCGTGTATCTGTTTGTAAAATCGATTTCCGATTGGTCATGAAAAATTCCAATTGGTGTTTACGATGTTTTGAAGAAGGCATCCTTTAAAGTTTTCTTTTATGAATCCTTATTTACGTAACTTTAAGAAATTGTGTTGCTCATACTGTGTAACTTTTCTTTTTTGTTTTTGCTGTTGTCATCTCCATCACTTAGAGTCTGAGTCAGCTTCAAACAGGAGCCTGGAGAAATTAGGGCACGTCTTTGTTATTGTGATTGTAAAAATGACAGCATAGGGACGCTCCACTGACAGAGTGTATATTTTTAAGCATTTTACACAATATAGCTGACAAAAACACTCTGTTCGAGGTCATTTTAATTGACAGTCTGTCTTATTGGGTCGTATTGGGTTATAACCTCCTATGACTCAAAGAACTTTACTGGAAAACAAAACAGAGGCATAGAGGGAAGCAAAGGTAATGTCCTAGCATTAGCTTGTTTAACGGCTATCTTAGGTGCTCCCCCTCTCCCTCTTTAATGGTAGTAAAATCATTTGAGCCATGCCTCTTTGTCATTTATTGGTTGTTGTAGCTTTATACACGTAGAATTCAGATATTACAGGCTTCAGAGTAGTTCGTCATTATGGATGTGGTTTCCTTTTGAATAGAAATTAGTAAGAAGGACAGCTAAACACTTGCCATCGTGCTCTGTTCACCTGAGTTGGTTTGCGCTTCATGGTTATTTAATTTTTTGCCGTTATTATTTTCTTTCCCCCCTGTTTGTTCTTTCTTCCTGTCTTCTTTGTCCCCCTCCCCCCGTACCTCACTATTGTCCCAATCACCGAAACGATCCTGCAAGTGTTTTAAACACATATTCATTCTCCACGTTTTTCTCTTGACCAAACTGTGAGCACAAACGTTTCTTCTGTTGTAACCTTGTCTCTTGTGCTACTCTCATGCCTGATCATCTTAACATCACTTTTACTGACCTTGCACTTATACCCTTAATGTAAGCTTCCTTGAATGTTTATTGTAGTCGTGATGGTAGGAGGAAAGACGCCTAATCAATCTGGATCAAATTACTGAATATATTGTGACTGTATTATTCTGTAGAAAGATTACAGCTGTTGCTTTAATGCTTGCTTAGTTTGTTGTAAGGCATGTTGGATTTATTTACCCGATATTTAAAGTTTGGCAAACACCACCAGAAGTGTCTGAAACAAGAGAAATCATGCTTAAAAATGTTAGACATGCAGGAAAGTAGCGAGCAATGAACTGTCAAGCACATACACATACAGTTTTTAAAAACGTCACCCAGGATGATTTGCAGGTAAGGCATTTGCTGAGTTAAAGCTATAAACTACTTTGTGAATGGACATCTTCACTGGACATGGTTTTGTTTCCTCCAGGAGATAAAATATCTGTGGTGAAAAACGAGTAGAAATATTGGCATACATACATGCATATATTGGCGCTGACTACGATTATTCACGACAAAAATGGCAGATTTTTTTTAATTCCAAATGATTCAGATAACAACAAAAACGACCAATAGTCATGAAGTGAAGACTGATCGGTCCCTTAAGGTCACTTGGAGGGATACAAAACGGCCACAAGAAGGAGCTGCAGCATTACATGACAGCAATGGAACTTTTTAATGTGTGTGTTTCACTAGAGCACTGTTGGTTCACACATATAAACCATTTATAAATCCTTATTCTGAGGGTTATAATGGTTTATGACTCTCTTCAAATGCACTACAGCAGCCCCATTCTGACAAGATTTACATATATAATCACACACATATGGATGCATTATATATGTATGTGTATGTACATAATGGCATATATGTGTATATACACAGATATTCATGTTATGGATTTATTTATGTACTTACGGTATATAAATGTTTTCATATATCTATATCTATATATGCTGTATTTTTTCTGTGTGTGTGCCTGTGTGCGTGTTTGTGTGTGGGTGTGCATGTGTGTGAGGATCAAAGTGTGGTTGGTGAGCGTGAAAATGATATATCCTTTTTTAAAGCCTCCTTTACCTTCCTTTACCCACTGATCCTGCTCGTCCTTCTTCTTCATGAATTTGGAAACTATTTTATTTGCTCCAGCTCGATTTTAAACTTAAACAGTTTTATATTGAAGTCTACGCAAGATTTGCTATAGGGATAAATACAAAGTAAGAATTGCTTGAGCCAACTTTAAAGCAAACTGTTTATGAAATAACTACATTTGATATGACAAGGGTGGTCAAAATTTTCCATTTTTTATTCCTCATAGCATATATTTATACTTTTTTGATGATGAGTTCGCAGTGATTTAAATTTAGCTACAAGAGGAGCTAGATTTTCAACTTAAGACTACAAAATCTCACCAGGTTTGGATTTTTTTGTCCTGCTTCACTGGCCCAGTTTATGAAGTCACCATCCTTCTTTCTTCCTCTGCTCATTTTTGATACCAAAAGGATACCAAAAGGCCAGTGTAGGGGCAGTTAGCAGCTAACAGTGGTGTTCTGTGTTAAAGGTTGTCGCGGCTCAGAGGCAAGTCCTCACAGCTCTCCTTCCCCATCCAGTGGGCCCCATGGAGGCTCCAACGAGGAGATCTGGGTACTGCGCAAGCCTGTGGCAGGTAACTAAGCCGCGCTGCGCAGAGCCCTCAGTCCCTGACTCCTTAAAAGTCTGACCAGGGATTAAACAGTATCTGACAGTAGTTCAAATAAGGACTTTTTAGCCTCCAAGTGTCCCCAAGAGCATCCAACACTTTCTTTGACCTATAAAATAACCTCATTTGAAAACTCTCAGATACTCTTTGACCTGCTACTAGTCTCCCATGTCCTGCTTATCTCTCCATCTGTAGCCTAGCTCAACTTAGTGGCCTTATGTGTAGGACTGCAGCCATCTGCATTGGTCTATAACCTGTGTGTCTTTCCAACTGGATGTATGGAGATGTTCTGGATGGAGAAGTTTGGAAAAGTGAGGAAACAGAGAGAGAGAGGGAGGGGAAAGGCGAGGGAAAAGATACGTGTGAGTGTTGGGCATGAAAGCAAATGGTTCGTCTTGCTTCCTCCACTCCTGTGTTTGCTGCTCAGTCGTCTGTCAACCGGTCAGTTTGTCTGTCTATCCGTCCATCCGTCTGTCTGTCCTGATCTATTCATCCAATCGACCACATGCTGCCCAGTGCATTTTAACGGAGAGTCACACCTGTTACTTCGCTGCTTTTGGAAATCAGCTAAACCACTCGACGTGTGTGTGCCTGTGTGTGTGCGTGTGTGTGTATGTGTGAATGTATGCATTCATCTGGTTGTCGCATGTGTGCATATGTACGTACAAAAACTATGTGTTGTCTTGGTTGCATGCATGTGTGAATGCACGTGAATGTTTATGTGTTTGTGCATTTGTATGTGTGCGTGTGTGGGTGCGTGCGTGTGCGTGTGTTGCAGGTGGAGATCGCAGCAGTGTGGGTAGTTCTGGGAGTGTCACCAGTGTGAGGTCATCAGGCAGCGGTCAGAGCGCCGGCAGTGCAGCGCACATCCTCCATGCACAAGCTGAGGGGGTGAAGGTACGGCACACAAAGATGTCGATACAGGAACACCATTAACTTGATGAACGGATGAGGGGAAGGGGTCTTAATATCTGGTATTTAAATGAATACCAGGAAAATATCCTTAGTTTTGAAAAATATCCTAGACCTATGAGGAAAAAAAGTTCTGATAAAAAGTAAAATTATGTTCTTCTTTCTGAATTAATGAGTCAAGATAACTTGGTTGCATAAAAACGTAAATCACCAGTATTTTCATCATTTGCCCAATTGCCCTTTAAAGGCATGGTTGATGATCTGAGAAGCAGTTGAAAAAAACTGAGCCATTGAGGCAGATTTGAAAAAGCGTCCCACCCCCCACACACAAACCTCTCCCCTCGGTGCTCCACGATAACTCCCCCCTGAACCTGCATCGCCCTCCCCACGACACACCCCCTCTGGCAGAGCAAGAAGCTGGCCGGCAGAAGATCCTATGCTAGCTTCAAATAGGATTCACCGTGTTGGATTGCTAGTGACTAGCGGCAGTAAACGCCTGCTCTGGCAGCGAGCACCTTCTACAGCTGCCTGGACAGCAACCATGTTTACACTGCAGAGACTAATAAGAGTTATTTATGTAACATGTGCCATGATAAAAGGCAAAAATGACCTGTTCAAGAAAAACTCTGCTGTCTTGGCGTCTGTTTTCAGGCCCAAATCCTGGCGGAGCTTTCTCTGCCTCGATGACTCGTTGTTTGTTCGAGTTAGATTCCTCGCTTGGTCACATTTCCTCTTCGACTCTGCCCTTTCTTCTGTGGGCTTGCATTTTTTCTTAGCACTTTTGGCGGTGGGACAAGCAGAAGTATTTCTTTGCGTCCTTCTCTATCGCAGCTCCTGTAGCTAAGCCGCTACACTACTTTTGACGCTCAGAGCTCCAAGGAGGGCCGGGAGAGTGGAGAGTGGGAGGGAACGAGTCGGAACTACAGGAGAGGGGTGTGTCGAATACAGCGAGGTGATTGGATGGAGAGGTGGAGCAGGAGCTGTCCGGGGCGGAAGGCTCCCATTGGTTCATAATAATTACCAAGCTCTCCAATTGTCAACCATGCCTTTACGTCTCCACATTGCGAGCCCAGACATATTATCTTCCATCCATGAAGTATGCCACGCTTTGGCTCAGCGGATCATGGAGAAACACTGCGACACCCTGCAGATCAAAATCAAAATTTCAGCCACGGTTTGACCTTGTTTTATAACTGCCACTTAACATATACCTTTGGAAGTTACATCTTCATGTATTAGGATTTTAGCTCTTGAAACTTTAACCTACTTTATTATGAATGTGTGGGTATGATTTGATGACCCAGCTCTTCCATATGCAAATATCTATATTTAGTTACCTGCTGCATGTCATACATTATCAGCAGGTGACCACAAGTGAGGCACTTTTAAAACCTACCGAGGCTGTCACTCTGTATTATCATCATGTCCTGTTAGAGGTACTCACACGCAGTCTTTCTGGGGGTCTAAAAAAAACTATGATGTACCTTTATCTGGTTTTACTGCCCACAAGTGATCGAAAAAGATTCCTGCTTTATCGTGAGAAAATGTTAATTTCTCCACATCACTACATGCTGTTTAAAGACGTTTGTGTTTATGTCTGCTTGTGTATATTTTCAGCTTCTAGCCACCGTTTTGTCCCAGTCTGCTAAAGCCAAGGAGCATCTAATGGAGCAGTCCAAGTCTGTGGACCAGCCACCAGGTAGGACAGGGACCAGACTGAAGGGAGATCCTTCAGTTTTTGACCGCTTTTAACTTCCTCTCGGGTGTAAAACAGGGGAAAGATCAGAAAAATAGAGTGATGTTGAAAAATTAAGAGTCATTATCTACTGGTCTTTTGAAAATATCATGTATATGACTTCCCCACACTCACACTTGTACACACACAGAAATCTTGGCTGGTTTAGCAGACAGATGGCCAAGGCTGGGGATGTAGGAGGAAGTGTAGAGGACTATGATTCGTTGAGTTTTTTTTATATCTTGCAATGCAGGAATATGATTGGTCGATATCAAAGTAATAGAGTAAACTGAAATCAATTGGTTAACGAGTCAGAGCGGGGAAAAGTAAACCCATCTGTTGATTGATCCAAAGTGTGCAGTGATAGGGCAACAGCCTGAAACTGGCCAATGGTATTTCTCCCGCCAGGCTCTGCCAGCTCCTCTCGGACATCTAGCCAATCGGGATGCCCACTCCATGAGGCGCCGCCTTATGACGCCACGGCAACCAGGAAGGGGGAGGTGCCAGGCGAGGGGAAGGTAGGACATTTCCAAATTGCAGCAAATTCAGATCTCTCTCCCTCTTACACACAAACACGCATGAGTCACATACAGAAAACACTCTCAGTTAACATCTCTCTGCATCAGAGTGACAATGTAGCTTCTCAGTCACCTCAACCACAATCCTGACTCTTCTTTGCACACAAACACTCTGACTATATAGTTTTAAATACACACAAACAAACACACACTCACTCACACACACTCACAACAAGATGTCCCAGCGGTTTCTCTCCCAACTGGCCTCGTCCGTTCTGCGAGTGTTCGGATGCAGCCATGATACGGTGAGTGTGTGAGAGGAAGATCTGCAGCTCGGTCCTGTTTGAATCTGTAAACAGAAAATCTTTGGTGTGTGTGTGTTTGTGTGTGTGTGTGTGAGTAAAAGAGAGAGTCCTTTCATTCTTCTGTTTTATCTCTTACCTGCTATCCATCCTTATTCACTCCTTTTAGTTGCAGCTTCTCTTCTTGCATTGCAGCATTTTCCTTCGTTTGCAGAGAGAAATGTCTCTTGATTAGTGGTTGGTAGGTGTGCCTCAGGCAATCATAACTCAAGACTCGAGATGTGTGTTTGTGTTTGTGTGCGTGCTTGTGTGTGGGAGAGCATGAGCGTGTGCGGGCCCTGGCAGATTCTTAACAGTGAGTCTGTTGTGGGCGTACTAGCTCCACACGGGGAAGTGCGAAGTCTGAGCTTACATCATGTACAGTAAGCTGCTGTTTTCTGTAGTGTACATGTGCTTAGTCTATGTCTAATTATTCAGTAACTTTAAACACGGTTAATCAAAGAGCACGATTAAAGAGCAGGTGGTCGTGATGGTTCTGCTCGCATTGATTTCCTACAGTACCTGTTTATGTGTGTGTGTATGTGTGTGTGTGTGTGTGTGTTTGTGTGTGAGCGGGCTTGTGTGTGCTGTCATCTAAGCCATGTTCTCACGGCCATCTGTCAGCTACAGTCCTGATTCCTTAGCACCCGTCATCCTAATATGTCCCTCAGCAGGGGTAAACAGGATGGATGATGAGAAGCAGGGAGCTCTGATGGTTATTGAGGAGGGTTAAGATTTAAAGTGAAGAAGAAGAGCAGAAGAGATGGTCAGAATGGGAAAAAAAAAAAACAAGATGCATGCAGAATTTTGAAGAGGAAACAGGGATGTGGGAGGTTACACTCAGCTCATCTGTTGCTCTTTTTGCTACTTACAATTTCTACCAGGATGAATTTAATAGCTGTAAACCCTTCTATAAGTGAAAACGCATAGGCAAAATGCCAATCTGAAAACAGCTGATGCTGTCACCATGGCTACATCATGTACTCTTTCTGCTTGTTAGAACAAACTTACAGCATCTTCATTTTCCCAGCTGTTAGTTGGCTCGGTGTTTCCAAACTGCATCAAATCCTGTAGCTCTTGAGTGACCTTAAGCAGGGCCTTTCTCCTTCCTAACTTGGCCTGGTTTTCACTCCGGGGCCAAGCAGGGTTAACCAGGGCTTCCTGACGCTCATTGGGATGTTGAACAGAAAAATATAGTACCCAGAATGCACTGCCTATTTTACCCTGCTTGGCCCCGCTGAGAAAAAGTGGCAGTTGAAGAAGTCGACATGGAGCCAGTGACAGCATGCCCCCTGTCTTCTCTCCTGTAGAGCTCAGAGGCCGTTGTCCAATGGCTGAGCGACTTTCAGCTGCAGGTCTACGCTCCAAACTTCCTGGGCGCTGGGTATGACTTGCCCACCATTAGCCGAATGACCCCAGAGGTAAGGCTGCTGAACCCCACTCCCCAGCTATACCCTTGACTCCCAGAGAGGTTGCAGACATCCCCCCAAGGAGCACAATGGAAACAAGTCTGCACGACTTTGATTTGTTTTCATGTTTTGGAGTTCATGTTTGTAAGATGCATGAATAAAGCTTTCTTAAAACATGCTCAAATGAGTTCATGAAACTGGAGAACTGATCTCAGCTATACCTTTCTTTTCCTATCCTGTTTGAACCTTACACCTGTCACCCCTGTTGTAAAATCTCCTTCTCTGTCTGAAAACTGCATGCAACAACTTTTGTAACTTTTAAGTCATTCTTAGAGGGTTTATTATTAATACATGAATGCAAAAGACTCAGAAAAAGTATCAATATACTCTATGTAAGGTATAATCTGCACATCAGCAATCTGTAATTTCATACTTTTGAATTATTCTTCAATTCTGCTGACCCTAATCCAGACCTGAGAAGTTAATTCAGCAGTGACTAACAAGTGAAACTACAGAAACATTCATTACAGTGTTAATTTACTGTGACTGACTAAAAAATACAACCAAGTACAAAACATGAGGGTGTAAAGTGGGAGAAAATAGTGATTTTAGCAATAGAACGGAGAAAGTGAAAGACAGGAGAGACTGTTTGTATAGTTTGTTTCCTGTTTGAACTGCAGCTACTTTAGTTCTGGTCAGTCTGAGGTCTTTATAACCTGTTTAATGAACCTAAAAGAAATTTGAAAAAAGGTGGTCTAGAAAAAGGCTCAATGAAGTTTACTGGTCAACCCTGCACAGTGAAGATAAACACATACAGACTGATTGATTGATTTAACAGTGAATGTAATTTTATTATCAAATCAAATGATATTATCTACAAACTTCAATTCCTGTGAAGTTAGTATGTTGTGTAAAACGTGAATAAAACTAGAATACAATGATTTGAAAATTATTTTTTCACCTATATTCAATTAAATACACCACCAAGACAAGATAGTTAATGTTCAAACTGATAAGGTTTTCAAATTTTTGCTCATTTTGAATTTGATGCCTGCGACATGTTCCTTAAAAAGCTGGGACAGGGTCATGTATCCCTCTGTGTTACATCACCCTTCCTTTGAACTCTCAATAAGTAGGCCAGTCTAGTACCCTCACTCTTTCATCATGAAGCCACACTATTGTAACACGTGCTCAATGTGTCTTGGTGTTGTCTTTCTGGAATAAACAGTAATGCTCCTGAAAAAGACGAGCTTATGGACCTTTCAGCATTAATGAAACCTTCACAGATGAGACAGATACCCATGACACGAGCACTAACACACCCCCATACCGTCATAGATGCTGGCTTTGAACTTTAACCTGATAACAGTCTGGATGGTCCTCTTCCTCTTAAGCCCAGAGGACGCCACGACCATGATTCCCAAAAAGGCATCGAATTCAAAATGAGTGAGTGAGTTTATCAGTTTGAACAGGGTTTGCAAATCACTGTATTCTGTTTTAATTCACGTTTTACACAACATAGTATGTGTTCACATTCGTTAGCCCGGTCATAATATTAAACACAATTAGACCAATTTTGTATTCAAATTGTAAATTTTAACAAAAAGCAATTTAATTGTAAAAATAAATCTTTCTTCTGAACCTCACAACCCTCCCATCACCACCAACTGCTCTGCTGCAGCTGCCTATCCTGAGAGACTACATTGGTGTTCTCCAACACAATAACCTACATACAAATAATTGATAGCACAGATTAATTATTTGTATGTATTCATATATGTTCACTCCAGTGCTGTGCATGCTGAACGGGTCGCAGCTGAGCTGGCTTTGAAAGGGTTTTGTTGTCGGAGACATGTTGAATCCCGGCCTCCTCTACTGTTGTGTCATGTCTACATAAAATGATTCACTTATATAACTAAGTGTGTGCGTGAGATAACTGTCACAACTGTTCATACTTGTGTGTAAGGATGTCTTTGTCCCAAACAATGAGCACTGAAACACAAAGAAAACAAACAAAGTAGACAATGACAGGATGATGCAATGAATTGTTCATAGGTTACACTTCCTAATAAAGAAGCAAACTACATGTTTTACTTCACGTACTTTGTTGTTAAGAAAGAGCTGGTTTAGAGAATATTAAACTGAAGAGATGAGTTTGAATTATGGAGGATCAAGCTGATTTTTGTAGACGCTTCCTTTCCACTGCAAACATTTACTTTGGCCTTTCTTGCTTTTTCACATTATTTTTAGACATTTCCATCCCTGCTCTGCTTTCTTGGGCTGACAGGAGCTTCCATCTGATGCCCTACTGTCACTCTGTCACTTGTTTCTTTAGTTTTCTTTTGAGTGTGAGTGTGTGCGAGCATGTGTGTATACGATAGATAGGTCGATGCATGGATGGAGAGAGAAAATTGTAGACACTTGGGAGGTTTTTAATTTACTCCGGGAGAAAAGCCTGAATGTGCCACTGCTGTATCTCACTTGTCTGTACGTGTGTGTTTGTGTGTGTGTGTGTGTGTGTGTAGGATCTGACAGCTATTGGAATAACTAAACCAGGTCACAGAAAGAAGATGACATCAGAGATTAACAAGCTAAGTGTCAATGAGTGGCTTCCTGAGCAGAAACCTGTGAGTAAACCTCGAACACACCAGCACTTTGCTTCAGACTAGAGTTACACTGATATAAAGTTTGGGGGGCAATGTGTAAATTTTCAATGTGACAATCCATGTAATGACTTATTAAGCGTTGGGTGTAAATGGACTGTATATTCAGCCCATTTTCATAGGCAAGCTCCCTCTGTGGGTGTCCACTGGACTAGTGAGCAGTCATTTTTGTGGTGTTCCCATAGGCCAGTCTGGGAGAGTGGCTGTCTGCTATTGGTCTAAGCCAGTACCATCAGGTGTTAGTGCAGAATGGCTATGAAAATATCGAGTTCATCACTGACATCACCTGGGAGGACCTGCAGGAAATAGGAATCACCAAACTCGGTAAGATCAACTTTTCTTGATATAGATTTTAAGTCCACTATGAAGGTTACCTCAGGTCAAAGGACTGAAGTATGTCTACATCAGTGTTTGTGATCAATGATATTCACTAGAGATAGTTTATATTGAATGACTGAGCCTGTGGTTAAACTTCATCAGTGACAGGACTGTATATATGCTGAAATTTATAAGGAGAGGGCTACCCAGTAATGCACTGAAAAGATTATAATATATAGTGTAGAGCAGTGGTTCTCAACTGGTCTCACTCTGGGACCCACATTTTCCCATGGTCCTTAGGTCGCGACCCATTTTTATAGAATTTAAACCAAGCAAATTTATTTGATATGAAAAAAACCTTTAAAGACTCAAATCTTTAACATAAATACACCCGTTTTATTAAGTAAAGTGCATTTCAGAGCACAAGAACTACGGGTGACAACTGCTGAAGTTGCATTTTCAGAAAATATCAAATTGCACAAAATAAAGACCAAAAATTAAATATATATGTATTTATTATTCAGGCCACATTAATACAAAAAAAAGCTATTCTTCAAAATAAAAGACATGTCAAACATTAGTATTTACTTTTTTGACCAACTGTTCGCGACCATTCCATAACGTGTCCACGACCCACTTTTGGGTTGGGACCCACCAGTTGAGAACCACTGGTGTAGAGTAGACGTGTCAAATAGGAAGTCTTATCATTAAGAAATTTCCAAAATGCTCATCAAACAGGAGAAAGATGTAGCCCAGTTGTTTAAAAAAGCTTTTTCCTTTATCTATTTCCTATTTATTGTCTAAATTTGATAAAAGTCTGAATTATTTTCCCTTTTGTATTCAATATTTGTTTTTTAGATTTAACTATAACCAAAAGACAGGGATTTTTTTAGCTGTTATAAAGGAGAGAATTAATTGATAATGGTATAGTAGCTGGTGTAGCTGTATTACAGGGTGAGCTTTAGCTAGGTGACAAAGTAAAACAAAAACAGACTAAAGTGTGTTTATCCAGAAGTTTTTCTGTTAGTGTTAACTGGTATAGATATGTTGTAAAATGTGAAAAAATGGGGCTGTCAATGTTTTGATTTTCTTGTCTAATATTTAAAAATTTCAGGCCACCAGAAGAAGCTGATGCTAGCAGTGAAACGACTCGCTGAAATGCAGCGCAGTTCTGATGGGCGGGGCTCACTTAGAAAGAAGCCTCCACCAATCACACAGCAGCAGGAAGTCATGTCAATGGACGGCCCGCCTGCAGACGGTAAGCCAACAGATAATCATGATAAATACCAAATGAGATTTGTGTACAGTTAATTTATTTGATACTCATTCAAGGACTTCTTCTTTTTTCAGAGGTCATGTCTCCAAAGATGGGAACCTTCCAGGACAGCGAGTTGAGCAAAGAGCTACAGAACGCCATGACTCAGCCAGGGCAAGAGGTCTGCAAGACTCAGCGGACTCGCACCCTCAGTGACGACCATGATGAGGTGATGACACGAGGAGGAGGAGGAGGGGGAGGAGGAGGTGGGGGAGGTGGAGGAGGAAGTACTGGGCCACCCAAGAAGGAGGCACGGACTATGAGGCAGCAAAGCAGCCAAGGCAGCACCTCCTCTCATAGAGGGAGTGTGTCCTCGCAGGGGAAACACCGTCACTCCCACTCCCATTCCCAGCCTGCGCCTCCCTACACTCCCCCTCACACCCCGACCAAGACAAGAACCTCCTCTTCCTCCTCCAGCTCATCTGTACAGAGCACAGCGTCCCCACAGGCCAAACACAAGCCCTCCACCCAGTACATCCAAGGAGAGAGACCTCAGTCGCCGCGCTCCCACCCGCCTCAGTCTCCGACTCACCGCGGTGCTCCATGCCCCCAGCCGCAGCCCCAACAACCACAGCAGCCTCAAGTCCAGCTGCAGCAACAAGCACCACCTCAGCACCACCCACAGGTGCAGGCCATGGAGGCGGGGGAGAACCAACAACCCCAGGTCCCACTTCTCTGCCTTCCACCTGAGGCTGAGCTGGCTGAAGGAGAAGGAGCAGATCCTTCAGCACTTCAGCAGAAACGAGCTCACAGCCTCAACAGGTACGCCGTCTCGGATGGCGAGTGTGACGAGAGAGGAGTGAGAGGTGGAGATGGAGGTGGAGGTGGGGAGGTAGTCGGAGGTCAGGGTGCCCCTGTCGTCAGAGGCGATGGAGTCAAATACGCAACAGTGACCCACCGTGTCAGCCGCAGTCACTCTGTACGCAACCAGGACAAAACGGTCAACCGCAACCACACACAGTCTTTTGCTCTCCGTCAAAAGAAAAAGGGTCCGCCCCCACCGCCGCCCAAACGATCTAGCTCTGCCATTTCCAGCTCGAACTCCAACCTGACGGAGGCCAACGCACAGCAGAACACACACACCACCACTGGAGGGATGTTGGATGTGCCTTACAACCAACAACGACGGGCCAGTGACCTTGGAGTGTCGGTGGAGGCTGCGCTTGTGGAGACAAGCAGCGTAGGTAGCGTGAGAAGCATCGCGGCCATGTTGGAGATGTCCTCTATAGGGGGCGGAGCCAAGGGCATGGCGTTGCAGAAAAATCTTTTGCAGGTAACGTGAAATAGTTGTTTGTTATATACTGTAATTACACAATACAAGTAAACATAAGTAATACACAACAAGCCAGAACATCTTTAGTCAGTCATGCGTTTATGTTTTCATCAGGTGGGGAAAACACGCGATGCCATTGGCCTGGACGGCGAGGTCGTGAACCGAAGACGAACCATCAGTGGCCCCGTCAGTGAGCTTGTTGCAGCTGCCAGGCGTGACCAGCCAACCCCCTCTGCTTTACCCTCTCCCACACCCGAGTCAGAACCCCCGCTGGTCATGGTTAACTCCTCTTCGCCCAACCCGCCATCCTCCCCCCACCCCAGTTCGGGTGGCAGTGGAAGTTCATCAGAGAACCTCCCATTCGCAGACGAGGGAAGTTTGACTATTCGCCGCCAAGGTCGAGGAGAAGGAGAGGGACAGGTAGCTATCTATATATATGTCCTATCTATCTTTCTATCTATCTATCTATCTATCTATCTTTCTATCTATCTATCTATCTATCTATCTATCTATCTATCTATGCTACATATATGTGTAATGTAAATGTAACGTGCTAAATTAAGTGTGCTTAATGTACTTGGACTCATAGTGAAGCTTCTGTATTCTGTAAGCTCTATTTGTGTTATTCATTTATATTTGTTGTTTGAATGTTTGTGCAAAAATTACCTCTTATCATGAATGTATGAATTTTCCGTTAGTGTGTATTTTGTGTATGTCTGCAGGGTGATGGGGAGGGTCCCCCGGGAGACACCCAAGAGGACATCTCCAGTGTTGAGCCTACGACTACCTTGAAGAGACGACCTCGCAGCTCCACACCCCACCCCAATGGGACCGATTTCACCCTCCAGGAGTCGTCCACCGTCAAGCGACGGCCCAAGAGTCGTGACAAGGAGCCTGAAGGCTATACGGATATGGCTGCAGCCAACGGAGAGCTGGCGGGGACGAGGCAGCCGAACACTACCCAGCCGGTATCCTACCAGAACGACACAGGCACAGTGAAGCGTCGCCCCGTGTCTGATGCTGGAGTGACGGAGCAACCGCAACCTCAGCCTCAGCCTCAGCCTCAACCTCAAACTCAACCTCAACCTCAACCACAAGTGACTGCTGCTCCTCGCAGAAACAGTGCAGACCAAGGAGCTCCGGTGGGCAACGAAGGAGCCCCAGTGAGAAAACCAAAGCCTCCAGTCTCTCCAAAGCCTGTCATGGCGCAAATAAAGAGACAGGGAGGCCCGCAGACCCCTCCACAAACTGTCTCCAACAAGAGAGTCCCCCTGCCTGGACCTGGGACACCTGGAAGCCCAGGTACTCACACGTGTGATTGTGTGATAGCTGAGGGAAGGCCTGTCATTTCATTAAGGGGTCAGATGTGAGAACTCAAGCCCCTCAAAACTGATGCATGAAAGAATTTGCTGAAGAGTTTAATCCAGTTTGGCACTTTTTATGAACGTTTAAACTACCTAGGCTGTGGACCGGTAAAAGTCAGAAACAAAAATGGCATAAACTCCACTCCTGTGGAGTCAATGATTAAAACCATCAATCTAACACTAATCTCACTGCAATTGACCTAAAAAGCAAGTTTAGACTACTGAACAGGGTATCCATGGGATCTTAAAAGGTCCTAAAACATCTAATATCCAATCATTTGAATTTAAAGCCTTAAAATATCTAAAATCCTCTTAAAATCTCATAAAATGTCTTAAAACGATTTTGAAAGGTCTTAAAAATCTATTAATTTTACAAATAAATTACCTTCCATAAGTAATGTAAGTAATTTAAAATGTTCCAATTTCCCTTCATATCTACTTTTTTGCCTGTATGGATGTTAATTTGGTTCTAAAATGTTTTCATTACAGTCTTAAAAAGTCTTAAATTTGACTTGTTGAAACCTGCAGAGACCCTTTAAAACCTTTTATGTAGTGAGATGATCCAACCAGGTTCAACAACGACAATGCTATGGTAACAAGTAAAAAGTTCCTCTGATAGAAACATCACAAAGAGATAATCTTATTTGTACCCATGTGATGTCACCAGGAGGCCCAAAAAATCTAGATAGAGAAGGAGACAAAGAAAGAGAATTAAGCAGATGTGTTGATATCGATCAGTCAGTAGATCATTCATAGAGAATTCACAACAAAAAGTTAGCAGTGACTTGTGTTTGACTCCATGATTTGTTACTTCAGCTGTTGAGAAACCCTCACAGTGATCCAGCTTTGATGTTTTTTCTCTTTCTCCATCTTTTAAGTGGAAGGAAAGAAGATTCCTCCGCCTGTCTCGCCCAAACCTACACCCCCGCCCATGGCGCCAAAACCAGCCAAGCTAATCCACTCCATGACCAGCCCCCCTTCTCCGACCCCAGCCCCTGCTCCTATCAAGCACTCTGTGGTGGCCAGACAGACCAGTTCTCCGCCCAATTTTCCGCCTTCCAACATCCCGAGTCCGCCGAACGCCAAGCCTCTGAGCCCGTCTTCCCAGAGTCCCCACACCCCGCAGACCCCAACTACACCGCAAACGCCCCAGACTCCTGCAACTCCTAGTCCAACCCCACCACCAGTCAAGCCTCCCCGCTCCTCCATAGGGGGTGTGTCGGTGGATAGCGGGATGACAGGGGGTGGAGTCACGGCGCCGCCCCCTCCAACAACGGACTTTGGTGTGGATTCTTTGGTGCACCAGAAACTGGAGGAGACGAGTGCGTCCCTTGCTGCTGCTCTTCAGGCTGTGGAGGATAAGATACTGCGGCAGGAGGAGTAAGGACGGCACCAACACATGAACACATATTATCAATCAATCAATCAATCAATCAAACTTTACTTTTAAAGCACTTTTCATACATAGAATGTTGCACAAAATTTTGTCGATTCGCGCAGGATATTTAAAAACAATGAAATTAAATAAATAAAAATACAAATACCAAACCCCACCCATTCAACACATACAGCACTCACACACACTCTCACACACACACACACAGATGCACGCTCAGGAGACCAGATGAGTGAGGAAACGCTATCTTGAGTTAAAAAAAGATGAGGAAACACTGGATCTAGGACTAAAATGTTAAAACCATGATAAATTATAATAAAGGTGATAAAACGTTAAAAGTTAATTAAATAAAAGTCTTAAAAAAAAAAGTGGATTAAAAAAAAGAGGTAATAAAACCCAAAATGATTACTCAAGGACTAAAATAGCTTTTAAAAGATTAAAATAAAATTCAACTAAAAGCCAGACTAAAAAAGTTTGTCTTAGTTTACTTTTAAAAATATGAACATTAGGTGTCACTCTCACGTCTGCAGGTAGGCTGTTCCACAGATGGGGACCATAATGTTGGAACGATCATTCACCATATGTTTACGTTTTTATTTTGGGGACAATTAAAAGACCACCACCTGAAGACCTGAGGGTTCTACTAGGTTCATACAGTAAAAGCAAATCAGACAAATAAGGACCAAGACCATTAAGAGCTTTAAAAACTAATAAAAGAACCTTAAAATCTACTCTTTCAGACTTTCTAGGTCTGAATTTTGTAGACGCTGAAGCTGTGAAATGTTCTTTTTAGGAAAACCAGAGAGGAGAGAATTGCAATAGTCAATTCTGCAGGTGATAAAAGCATGAATAAGAGTCTCTGCACTGGCTTGAGAGAGAAACTGGCGCACTCTGGAGAAGTTCTTCAAATGATAAAATGCCTTTTTGGTAACATCTCGTATGTGTGGCTCAAAACGAAGGTTTAAATCAAGTATAACACCCTGATTTTTTACTTCTTTGTATGGATTAAAAGCTGGAGCTGGGAGTTTCTCTCTCTGTTGACCTGTACCAAGAACTAAAACCTGAGTTTTGTCCTGATTTAGCTGCAAAAAGTTGTCTGCCATCCAGGACTGGACGTCTAAAATACAATCAAAAAGGACATCTCACACTCTTACACTCTTACACATATTACACTCTCACAACTCACTAATGCCTTTATGCTATCGCTAAAGCTCAAACATGTATCAAAGCCAGGCTGATCTGCTCACCCTACTCTGCTTTGACTAATATTGAACTCTTAGACCCCCTGTGTAAAGGGCTAGTCTTAGGAAAGGACACACACTTCACACAGTCAACATTATTATTGTTATATTTCCCTTTGGTTTGTTTAACGTTGTGAGTCTCTCCGTGTCTTTGTGTATCTACAGCTCTGTGGCCGAGCAGAAGACCACGGTTAGCATCCTTGACGACATCGGCAGCATGTTCGATGACCTGGCCGACCAGCTGGACGCCATGTTGGAGTAACCATAGAAACCAGTCAGCCTGTCTCCATGGCAACGCTGCTTTGGGAGTGACTCAGATGGCACAATAGGGCAACACTCCTCTCTATCTCTCTCTCCATCTCTCCTCTCTCTTCATTCTCCTCTCTCTGTCGTACTCGTCCTCCCGGTGTCGACTCTTCGCTGCTTTAAAAGAGAAAAAAAAAAAAAACAAACACGACGACTCCTTTTCTCCTTCTCTCGCTCTAATCTGTCGCCGCCGATGATGAGAATTAGGATTGAGCAGCGTCACAGACCCGGACTGATGTGGCGGAGGGAGCGCAAGAATGAAGACCACACAAAGAGAGAGAGGGACTCAAAGAGAGAGAGAGGATAGAAAAAAGGACCAGAATGACTGACATGCAGAGAAAATATAAAAGAGTCATCTGAAGATGGAGAGAGACAGAAAGAAAATGGAGACTGCAATCAAAACGTGGGTCTTTTCAGAATTCCACAACCACTCTTGAAGCTATCATGGCGAACAATGAAACTTAACTAATACTGATTGAAAAACCAACTGTGTAATGAATCATAGTATGGTATGTGTACATTCTAAGCATGGAGAGTTTATATCTACTGAAAAAGTCCTGCATTAGCACAGTAATATATAATATACCGATAAATATGAATCTCTAGCTCTTTGGTTTGATGTCTTGGTTCTGTGTGGAATGGTGACCTCTGGTGTTGTGACGATGTAAATGAATTGGTGGAAAGATTTTTATCTGTGACCAAAACGAGACTATTTAGCTCCTGATATGTGTGTGTATGCGTGTGAGGGAGAGAAAGAGTAAGACAGAGAAATGTGTGCACTTGAGCGTGTGGATCGGTGGATTTGTCAGGATCATACTCAGTTTCCTGCCCTGGCTGCTTCCATAAACTCTGCTTCGATTTTGTTATAACCTCTGACACACACACACATTCTGTATATTTGCATACATACACAAAAAGAGAAGCACAATGACCCATGCAGCAGCTTGCACACATACGTACGGGAGCCTGCACAGTACAAATAGAAAGTCAAAGTAAAGTGAGACAACAGCACAGCAGGTTTTCTGAAAGCAGATGTGACGTGTTGAGAAGGAAATCAGGACTGTTAAAGAGAATGTCACTTTGAGGCGATGCAAGATGGAGGATGTTTTGCATTGGTTTGGGATAAAGTAAAGTTCTATTCTATTTCCCCAAACTCAAAGTTAATGATTGAAATTCAACGACCTTACACTTTTGATTCATCGTCGTTTTAGACTGCAGGGATCTCCAAATCCAATATTTCAAGGACATGCTTTTGTCGTCGGGCACTTTGATTTTTAACTTTAACTTTTACCTCAAGACTTGGGCTGGCACAAAGGACAAATCTAGGAAATGTAAAGATTCCCCTCAAGACTCAATATTAGTAGATAGTGCATGTTTATATTGTAGATGTGGCATTATCACGGTTAAAAACAGGCTTGATTTTTGAAGAGGCAGATCTCAAATCTGTCAGTCAGCATCCTGCCTTGAATTAAAGAAGTTTAATCATTAAGTTTTATAATACCACTCAAAGTTAAAGAGGTGTGTATCAGCCCTTGTATTCTTTAAGATTAAGATCAGTATCGTTCCTGCCTCTAATTTTCACGCTAGATTATAAAAAGTTCGTTATAATAGCACCAAAACCCTTCCTTACACCCCGTCCATCCCTGTCTCTCTCGTCCCACACTCTCCACAACACCCAACACCCCTTGTTGCCATGACAATCTACATCACCTTCACCACCCTCATTGGCATCGCCATGGTAACTCCACAATGTGTTGCTGTTATGAGCTTGTTTTTTTGGGATAAAGGAAGTTTAAAAAATAAAAATAAAAAGACAGTGTTTAGGCAGAGGGAGAGGTTGTAGAGATTTGTGCAGCTGGATGGTGGGTTTAGATTCCTCAAGTCAATCAAGAAACTGCATCCAGCCAGGTGCAGGACCACATCCCCCCACCTGCATCTCCATCCATGAAAAGAAGACAAGGTTTCACAGTCCCATAGCTGCCAGCCTATTTATATAAATAAGAAATCAGAGAATAGTTCTGGTATTTAAATATGATCACATAGAGATTATATATATATGGATATTTGCAACAAAAAAAAAAAAAGATGAGTATTTATGGTGCGTGTGTCCTCTTGAAGACTATTTTTCAAAGTAAACCAATCTAATCTGAGTGTTGAATCAGTTTGCTCCTCCATGCTTCAGCAGTCCGAGCTGATGTCTCATTGTAGGATACCATGTTAGGATATTTGCAGGACATTTTTTTTTCTTTTTGTTTGTTTGTTTTTATGTTTTTTTTTGTTTTTTTTGTGTGCAAACATGTGTCCAGGTGTGGCAATGTGTAAAATAAAAGTGACTCTTTGTCGTTCTGTTTTTATTATTTTTGTATAATATTAAATGCAACGCTCTGTTTTGTTTTTATTTTCAAACATGTGCCTTGCTTTGTGATTTTGGTCCAAATACAATACAGTAGATGGGTATGTAAAAAAAAAAAAAAAATATGGGGTTCTGTCTCTTGTTCTGTTTGTTAATAACGGATTCGCTGCCCCTTCCCCAACATACAGCATCAAATCTGCAGACCTCAACAAAGTCCGTGTAACCATGAGTGGCAGGATTACAAATCTACATGCACAGATATACCGGCTCTTTTTTCCTCACAGTTGCTGTTTCAAGTAAAAACACTATCTCGGATTCAAACAAGACCAATTCATTTAGCACTTCATGTATGAACATGTTTTTTTTTTCTTACTTTAAGGTGGTATCACTCTTCTCACTTCTTTAACACTTCTAAATAAAGCTAATAAGCCGATTTTTACAAAGTTACTGAACACTTTACAAAAACAGATTATCTGAAGTGAATATTCAGCCTCTATCTGTGAGGGAAGGTCCTATCACAGGTTTGAAAACACATGAAGATCCGTTGAATGCATGGTGATTATTTCTCATGGTTATTGCTACTCTTGATTCCACAGCACACACACACACACCTGAATGTCTTTCCCTCACAGCCACAGCTCACACAAAGACCTCCTTTCTAACCCTTTTGTGTAACACTTTCTTCCTTGCTTTTGGTCTCATTTTGGTCATTTTTCATGTTGAAGCCATTACTTTAAAGTGTGTTATTGGCGTGTTGGGACTGGGGTCAAGCGACAAAGGTGACGTACCACAGATGGTGGGAAAAAAAAACACAGATGGTCAAAAAAATGTGGAGCAAAAGTACTGTTCCTTTTTTTTTTTTCTTCAAAGAAAAGCCAAGCTGTTTCCTTTTTTGATTTTCCGCCTGTGCTTAACTAAACAGACACCAGACCGGTGTCTCCTCTGCTCTGCAGTGACTGTATGTGAATGCTTGAGAGAGGCAGTGTGTGTGTTACTTGTTGCTCTGCTATTGACAGTATGAAACCTGTGTGTGCGAGTGTGTGTGTTGTAGTGGCTGGACATTGGTGTGCTTGCAGTGACTGCATCTTATGGCGATCTGCTCTGAATAAATAAATGTTCTATACAAACTGCACCGACTTCAGATCCCTTTGTATTGTGATGTTGAGCCTGTATTTTCAAGGTTCTCCTCTAGGGGGCAACACATGTCTGCTATAATGCACTCCTCATGTGTCTTATGAACCTTTAACAGCCTCTCACAGGTGTCATTTAATTTTAAAATATTGTATATTTGATGAAAAGATTGTAAACTTTCACTGTCGTATAAGTCATACATTAAATAACAAAGAAGAGTGAAAATTTGGGGAAATATGAGATCATATCTTAAGGAAAAAAAACGCATATATAGTCACTCATTACAGATCATTTAACTACTTAAAGGGATATTCCGGTGTAAATTTGATTTAGGGTCAAACACACCGTAACAACGAGTTAGACAATCCCCTCAAGAGATGAATGTTGCTGACCGCTTACTTCTCTAGTTAAACCAACTTTAGTAACAACTGCACAATAGCAAAACACATCAGTCTGAGGAGCCATAAACAAACCTCAACCAAAACACCACTCTAAAGCCACAAATAATGCTCAGAACAGCACCTAACTTCATCAACAGTACATAAAGGGTCCCAGCCACAGCACTAACCACCAAACATCTTTTAACTTTGCCTGATTTCTTTAGCAAAGAGACTAAACACAGCTCACCTTCTCTCTTCCAGCAGTCGCTTGTTAGTAGCGAGACCTCAGGCAAATCCATTACAGACTGCTGCGGAGTGATGCAGCTTAAGAAAGAACATTTATGATCATTGCTTCATGGAAATGCAATAAGACCAAAATGCTAGCGCACTAGTCCAAGGTCTCGCTACAAACAAGCGACTGCTGGAAGAGAGTGGGTGAGTTGCGTTTAGTCTCTTTGCTAAAGAAATCAGGCAAAGTTAAAAAGATGTTTGGTGGCTAGTGCTGTGGCTGGGACCCTATATGTACTGTTGATGAAGTTGGGTGCTGTTCTGAGCATTATTTGTGGCTATAGAGTGGCGTTTTGGTTGAGGTTTGTTTATGGCTCCTCAGACCGCTGTGTATTGCTATCCTGCAGTCGTTACTAAAGTTGGTAAAACTAGAGAAGCAAGCGGTCGGCAACATTCATCTCTCAAGGAGGTGTCTAACTCAGTATTACGGTGTGTTTGACCCTAGATTAATTTTACGTCGGAATATCCCTTTAACTCCCAAGTATGTTGCTTAAATTAGTTTTTGGATGTTAAGACATTTATTACTTAGGCTGAGAAAAGCAACAAGGTCAGTTTGACTGGAAAAAAATGAGATCAGCAGCTCCAAAGTGTACAATAGTTTTATTGATCGATGAGCAACTCAGGCTTACACGATTACAAGTATACAAGAAATCACTGAAACTGTGACCAGTGAAGACACTTCTTCTCTTTCAAAATAACTTTCTCACCAAGGCTACTGTAAGTAGTGGTCAGATCTGTGTTGAAATGAAGGCAAAATACTTTTCAACATCTGTAAAAACTTCATCGGGTCCATGCGTGTGAATTTAGCTGGATTCAAATGTTCTCATGAATCGACGTCTTTTGCGTTTTTTTCAACCCAATATGGGTCCTGAAACATACTTTAAGAAAGATGGACTCAGTGGCACTTTCTGCGTACGCGTCCTGGAGTTTTAAGGTTTTTAAGCACAGTCACTAACCTGCCTGTAAGTCCACTGTGTGCGTTACAGTCATAAAACAATCAGTTAATCTTTGTTTGTGTTTGAGTCTAACCAGCTGAGGTTAGCGAGGATCTGAGAGTGGGCCGGAGGGTCAGAAAGAGGGGAGAAAAGACGCATCATTACAGCCTGTTCTTACTTTCAGGCGCACGTACTATGGCACTCATTGAAACACAATCGCACATACACAACAATAGACTTGTCCATGCACACAGATGGTCCTCTCCTCTCCCTGTCCCTCCTGTTATTAATGTAGGCCAGTGTGACTCATCTTCATGGGCACACATCCAGGCTCGGCACTATCTGTTATCATACACGCTGTACAACTGTGGAGTGGCTCTGAATACAGCTCTATCATAGCGCTATTAAAAAACTTAGTAAATCTATAGAAATGTCATTCTCTTTAAAGTCTTCTCGAACAAAAAAGATGATTTGACAAAAGGCTGGTTTCACAAACTGAACCGGATGGCGATGTGAATGATCGAGGAGGGAAGAAACGTCTTATTATGGCTGTGGCTTCGCGACTTAGCTCAGTTATTAGCTGAGTCAAGACCTTCATTTTTAGTCTGGTTTTTAGCTGATTTTTTGTTTTATTCTTCTAGCCTCTTTTAGTCTACTCTTTTTATCTCAAGTATTTTACTCGTTTACTTTAGTCCCAGAATTATTATTTCATGTTTTGACACTATTTGTTTATTTTCTTTTATTGTCTGATTTAAAAACAGATTTATTATATATTTTATTATTATTTTTCATTATTATTACTATTTTATTTTGTTTTATTTTCTATCATTTTATGAGTCTCCTATGTCTTGTCATGGTTTTATCAGTTTAGCTTCAGCTCCAGTGTTTCCCCATTTTAGTTTAAGATAGCGTTTCCTTGGTCCTCTGGGGCTTCCTGCTGAGCCCTGACTTGGTGTCCCAGTGGCTGTGTGTGTGTGTGTGCGTGTGTGGTTGGGTCTTTGTTGAATGCGGGCTTGGAGGGTGGGGTTTTGCAATTTGTATTTTATTTCGTGTTATATTTTGTATCTCCTGATCCTCTCCTTCTTGTGTTCTTTAATGTACAGCACTTTGTGATACAGTCCATGTATGAAAAGTGCTTTACAAATAAAGTGATTGATTGATTGATTATTGTGATGAGAGTTTTAGAGTTTAAAATCAATCAACAAACGCCGGGAAACACACCAATCTTAGCTTCCACCAATTTCCTGTGTTTACTTTCTTCAGCAGATCTCTCATCGTTAACTTTTTAACCGTTCACGATAGGCCTGCACGATATATCGTTTGAGCATCGTCATCGCGATGTACGTGTGTGCGATAGTCATATCGCAGAGCCTTGAACTCAGTTAATTTCAAGGGTAACTGACTGAGATACACTGCATGTGACTCTGCATGTGCTGTGCAGCGATCCACCAATCACCTTCGTCCTTTACTCAGTTGTCAATCAGACTACCCTGCCAGCTGTCAATCAAAATCAGAGAGGAGGAAACCCACCCCTGCTCATGTTCTGCACATGGAGTTACTCGCTGGCTGCTGGTGTTGAGCCGAGAAACGCGTGTCCACTGAGAATTACTCTCGGAACTTTACTCATGACTGTTAAGCCCAACAGATAAGAACTGTATCGGTTTTAAAATGTACATTTCCGTGGACCACTCTACTATAAGCGGTGCACGTTTTGCGAGGTGCATGCAATTCTCGGAGGACATGCGTTTCTCGGCACAACACCGCTAACAACAACAACGATTGCAAAATGAGCAACGAACAAGAGAAAACCACCGAAAATGAAGATTTGTTGCCAAAAAGAAAAGGAAAGTCAGTTATCTGGAATTATTTTGGTTCAAAGAAGGATGATGTCGACCAAAACACGTCTTCTGTGTTCATCTGTCGCCACAATAACGTCCCAGAACAATAAAAGCTAAAAATATCTCTGAGACAGACAGAAGCCGTTGTACTAACATTCACAAAAAGAGGTAAGATCAGAGCAGGTTAACTGTCTCAAGACTTCAGCGGTGCAGCATAACATTAAATGCTATTCAGGTCATGTGGTGAAAATTCCTGTATTTTTAATATCGCAATATATATCGCAGGGTTGAATCGATAGTTTTTATCCGACAGGTTTAAATGACTCAAGAAGACAAATTCATCCGTCTCTTAGAGCAAATCAGTTAAGTATGACACTAAAAAGACACTTAAGCCGTGTCAGAAAATGACTCTTGTCAAAGAACGTCCTCCCTGGAGTGTATTGGGTAATCGTGCAAATTTAATATAACACTGCTGTTACTCCCGTTGCCTCGATCCAGATTTCTTCTCTTTGTTCGGTCTCGTCTTGATGACTCATGTTTGTGAAACCAGCCTTTAAATTCATGTTGAACCGTTCGCAGTAAGCATCATCAGTACAGTTCATGAATGGCAGCTGTTTGTGCAGGAAGTACAACTCCCCACTCTAAATATGGAGTGCAGTGTCTGTAAGTCGGCTTTTTTTTTTTTTTTTTTTAGCTCGCCCCGTGATGCACTGGTCATCGAGATGTACGACCCGCAGTTGACCCTGATGACCAGGGTTTAGGTATTGGAGTGCATGTTTGAAAGTTAAAAGCGGTGCAGACACTAAAAAAAGGGATCTGATCTTGAGGAGGAAGTGATCAGTCTGCGACATTAGTTCACAATCAAAGAAAGAGGAGTGGAAGATGGAGTGGTGGTATGTTATAGAGTCCCTCTGACATAAAAATAGATGTGAAGTTAAGCGGACTCCTGCAAAGAAAACCGTTTGTTTAGCACGTCCACACCTGGAAGAGACAGAGAGAGGAGATAAGTGAGTTTGGAAAAGCTCACAAAGATTAAAACATGAGGTTACAGATGAAGTAGAGGTGGGCTGGAAAAAGGGCTTGACACTCATTTTTCACGAGGGGCACATGTACTCTTAAGTTAAAAAATTAAGGAGCACACAAAGAACTTAAGGGGCACAATGAAAATTGATCAAATAATGTTTGTCTTATTGGTCGACATAAGTACCATTATTTGAAATCAATTTCAGGTCTTTTGGTCACATGACATGGAAGCTATAAGCCTTTTCTGAGAACATCAACCGGTAATTTATTGATGGTCCCTTATTCAACACCTGACATTGACAGCGAGGGAGCTAAGTAGATTTAACTGCACTGCTGTTGCTATTCCCGGTTATGGAGAGTGAGGAGACACCGGTAGATCTGAGGTGAATGTCCGTCAGATATCAAACCTAAAACTAACTTCACCACCGTGTTTACATGAAAAATCATTTGCAGCCTCAGCTAATTTTTCTATGCGCACATGTGCCCCTAAATACATTTTACAATTCGCACACATCTATTTTTAGTCGCAAATGCGAGTGAAACGGTCGCATTATCGAGCCCTGCTAAATATGTAGCAGATGTTGCAGAGGAGGTCTTTAGTACCTTGACAGTGCTGTCCACAGCTCCGGAGAAGAGGCGCCCTCTGGAGACGGCGAGAGCTGTAACACTGCCCTGATGTCTGAGCAAGGTCTGGGTGCAGATCATGTTGTCCATGCTCCACACCTGAAAGAAAAACAAACAAATGTTCAATAATATTTCTAGAGAGTAAACAAACTTGACCCCTACCCTCTCCAGTGACTTTTACCCACAGTTCATGTTGTTTTTTTGTTTGATGCCGATCAAATCCCTGTTTTATAGATTTCATGCAGTCTCGATTTGGGTGTCTTCAGAGGTAATTAACGTTTATAGCGGCTGTTATTCTAGTTCAGCAACATTTCAGCTGGTGACAAAACAGCAGAGTACCTTTGGAAATCCATGAGCCACAATAGCTGGTGAGCAGAGTTAATGTGCAGCCCTGGTTGTCACAACCAGTAGTGGGTTTTGCAAAATAGTAAAACCCCTTCCTCACAGCGGTTTATGACTTCATATCGCTACAGAGTTTACAGTGTTTGGTTACTGCTAGTAGAGCACACATAAATCTTCAGATGCAGCTTATCTGAGTGTTTGACCAGGCTGGTTCAGAGAAGAAACTGATTTGGATCCAGCTCTTTGTTTTTCTACTACCAAAGAGCCAAAAAAGCTGCTTCCAAAAGAAAGACCAGCTCACCTAAGAGGCTGGAGGCGTGGTTATTTGGCCAAAATTAAACCTCATGGAAACTGCTGTTGTGGTTTATAATAAAAGGAAATAACGTTTTCTGCATTTTCATGTGACCGTCACAAGTCTTAGCTTAACTCCACTGAGCCAACTCCACCATACAGAAAACTTTAATCACATTTACAACCACAAAATAACAAAATACATGAAATAATCTTCTACTTAATCACCATTCATTGCAATCTCTACAGGCAGAATGTAGATTTGTGTGATAAATACTGTATGATGAATTGGTTGACAGAAATAGACACACTGTCAGTCCTCACCCTGAGTGAGCGGTCGTAGGAGGCGCTGAACACTTTGGTCTGGTCAGGAGTGGAGATGACAGCAAGAGCATAAACTGTTCCCACATGACCGGTTAGTGTCCGCACCTGCTCTTTGGACTCAATGTCCCACACCTATGGAAAAGACACACCTTTGTTTATCAGGGTCATCACCATGACAACATCCAAGTCACACTGGTTTGACGAAGTTTATTGGTTTTATAAAATCTCACAGAGAGGCGATGACCTGAGAGCCCTCTGAGAGATGGTGAGAGAGTTTATGACATCAAGCAAGACTGAAGTACAAATCAAAATAAAGAAAACAGAAAGTCTAAATCCTGTTCACTGTATGTGTGTTTCTGTGTTTCTTCTTACGTGGATGAGGTTTTCATAGGTGCCACAAACGATGTGATGGTTGGTGACAGCGATGGAGTAGACACTGCCCCCGCTGGTCTGCAGGACATGAACGCACTCCAAAGAGCGGATGTCCCAAATCTGACAGGGAGAAATAAAGTGTTTTAGAATTTCAAAAGAAATCTGTTTAAACGCCCGTAAACAAACCTGCAGCGTTTCTCTGTCATGGATATTTGACTGCAAAAATGTCAAAATAGATGTAAACATTGGCAGATAAGGAATCAGTCTTCTGTATTCGTCCTTTCGTCTCCCTCACTCCAAAAAGACAGCTCCTCTCTCTCTCTCTCTCTCTCTGCTGTGGTTTCGGTCCTTTTTTTATCTCTCCACAGACTCCCTGAGGTATTCATTAGTTACCGATGCCGGCTCAGGCACACAGACAGATGCACAGTCTTTTTTTTTTTTTTTAATAGAAGACAAAATCTCCCCGACAGTTCCACAGTTTCAGTGACAAGGTTTCTGAGCGTGTGCTTAAGACGACAGCAAATCTAAGTCTTTCATAGTTTTTAGTAATAATAATTCAATAACCTATACCAGCTAACATGCATGCCGTAGTTCTTGACCGTTTAAAGTTACTAACTACCATTTTAAAACATACGAGATATGGCAGCAGTACTAGAAATTGAAAGTGTAATGAGTTAAAATTGTCACGAAAGCAGCAAAGCAGACTGTCTGTAACCTTCACCCACCTTAATGGTTTGATATGAGCCGCTGTACAGGTGGTTCTGCGAGGCCACCAGCGCTCTCACCCAGTGATTCAGACCAGTCAGCTCCTTCTTCAGCTTCAGCTCTGTACCCACAATGTCCCATACCTAAGAAATGCAACACGAAATTTATGAATTTATGAAATTTCAAAATTTTGTTGATTGAAGTAATAATAATAATAATAATAATAATAATACATTTTATTTAAAAGCGCCTTTCTGGACACCCAAAGACACTGTACAGGGCATTAAAAACACAGTTAAAACACAGCTAAAATAAATTAAAATAACATACAGGTATGAAGATGGACAGTTAAAGAGAATATGCAACATACACATACAATACATCAACATATTTACTTAATTTCTTTGAGGAAATGAGGAATGGTTTTGAGCCTTTCAAACCACTTCTCAGTAACATTAACCTCAGTAATATTCCATGTATTTATCATGAATCAAACTCAGACCAGAAAAGCGTTTTCGACACCCCAACCCTCCCCCCTTTTCAAATGGCGTAACATTTTCAAAGTGAAACCGAGTCTTATTCTCCGCATTTTATTTCTGAAAATTGTCGATAGTTTTATTTTTCTTCTTCCCTTTTTCCTTTTTCTACATTTTTTCTTAATTATTACATTTATAAGTTCTTAATATTACAATCCTTATTTTTTTATAACTGCATTTTCGCACTCTTTGTCTGTCATGCTGCTGTGACAAAAAAATTTCCCAAATAGGGGATCAATAAAGCAATATTCTATTCTAAAATATCGGCAACAATCGGTGAGTTTTGGCCGATTACCGATTAGTCTCAAACGGGCTAAAACTGACTGAGTTCTAATCGAAGTTTATTTACTTTGACAATTTGCTCCATCCACCATTGGTCTAATGTCAACACACAAACCCCTGTGTGTCATGAACAGAGCTGCAGTTCAGCAGGATTTCACTGCGATGAAGTAAGGAGAAGCAGGAGGACTGAGCGCGCAGAGGCAGCGTGTTGAGTAAGAATGGAAAGTCCCTGTGTAGAAAGGAGTGACATCACAAGACTCGCACAGCTCCGCCATCACCCTTCCCTGCTCTCTCTCGCTCGCTCGTTACCATGGTAACAAAGACAGTGCTTCTTGCTCAACTTTTCTCCTTCTCCACACTGAGCTACATCTTGACTACTTCTTCTTCTTCTTCTGCGTCAAAAACGTCGGGCCACTTGGCAAAACATCTGCTCGGTGCGTCACATTTGGAGACAGTGAGTTTGTGTTTTGCTTAGAGACAGACAAACTGGGACCAGCTGTAAAAGTGAGCGAGTGATTTCACTCGACGAAAGCGCCAGATAAACTTTTCTCAGTTTTTAAAACACCACAAACGACATCCACGCGGGGTGGTGCGTCATGTTTATGTACATTACCTTAATTGCCTTGAGGGAGCCGCTGAACAACATGTTGTGAGAGGAGACCAGTGTGCATACGGGGTTGTCATGGGCACGGATCGTATTGACTTTCTGCAGCGTCTGAATATCCCAGACCTGCACACAAATCCACAGCAGCAACAAAGTCAGTCTGTTGAGCAGTAGATTCTCGTGTTGTGCAAGCTGGCCTTGACTAAAAAAAAAAAAAAGGAAGTGTGAAGTAAGCTGTACTTACGATGATGGTGCAGTCGGCTGAGCCACTGTACAGCCTGTTACTATGGAGACAAAAAGAAGAGAGTTGGTTGAGTCCTGCTTTGGGAAGCAGGATGGTGAATCTCAGATGTCATGCACCTGAATAATCCTTGTGTGTGTTTTCTTACCCTTGGATACAAAGTGCCAAAACAATCCCATCATGACCCTCAAGAGTCTTCTGACACTTGTAGGTGGTGCAGGTGTCCCACACCTAAAGGGTGGGATGACACGGATCAACCTACGCTCAAAAGTCAAATAATTATCTCATGGTTTAGAAATCTGGAGCTGAGGGGTTTATCAGAGGTCTCTATTTTCTCTATTTCTATGTCCTTGTTTGCGTGTTGATATTACCTTGATGGTCTTATCTGAGGACCCTGAAAAGAGCAGGTCTCCAGTGGAGTAGACGCACAGACACCAAACAGGCCCCTGGTGGCCAACGAATGTCCCCTTACATTTGAAGATCTGCTGGGGGTCGTATGCTGCACAGAACCAGAAAAAAAAAAGATTGGATATTCATTTATTTACAAGAAAGGACTATAACTCATGCTGAAACAGGACAGAGAGGTCGGTGAGAACAGTGAGAAATCCTAAATAACTCAAACTGTTCCTAAAAAGCTCATTAAGGATTCGCCACATTTCCAGAGGGAGGTGAAAAAAAAAGAGAGGATGAAAAGGCGGCGACTTACAGCCCAGGATTCCCATGTTGAGCCTCGCGTTGATGTGAGACAGCTCGTCCTGCCGGGACAAACAATTTTTCTTTCAGAGCGATTTCTTTTCTGCACAAACACTTAAACTCTGAGTCTGCAAAGTCTGCAAAGGATTTTTTAAACGGTGCACACCCACTTACGTTAAGCATAGAGGCATCCCTGCGAAACTCCATGAGGTCCTCACTAAGTTTGCTCTGATTCTCATCCAAAACATCTAAAATGAGCACAGAGGAATATTATCAGTTAGGATGCTAAAGAAGAGTAGAAGTATGGATAATTTAACAGTTATCCATTTGCACCAAAGAAACTGAAGTATCCAGTATGACCCCAAATTTCCACCACATCCAGAACGGCTAAAAAAAGGCTGCATCCGCCGATCACAGATGATCGTAACCATTCATGTTAATGTGTCAATTTCCATCGGCTTCTTTCCATTCCGTTGCAGATTGCCGAACCCCACAGCTGATCGCAAGGTTCTACTTTTTCCGGACGCTGGAGCATGCCGGACAAATTCAGCACAGATTAAAGAAGTAAATAAAACATCTGGTTTCTTTTCAAAATAAAACACTCCGGGCGGGGACGAAAAAGTGGTTTTTAGACAGCATTTCACCCCGATGACACCATGGATGAGGAGATGTTGATTCTAAAAGTCTAGAAGTAGATTTCCTCCTTTGGAAGGACACAATTTACTGCTTATATGGTTATGTGGCTATCTTTATAGAGACAACTCGTTATCGCGCGTTCTTGTGAGTTCTCGCGATTCCCGCTGTTTGTAATCTGCCATGAAATCTGCCTCACAAACAGATCTGGTAGGAATTGGCAGACGGTGAAAACCGCTGCCTTTTCGGATCGGAGCTGTTCCCGCTGCGGTGGAAATTTGGAGTAAAGCTTTATCTATTGCGTCTTTATTGATTCCAGCACTTCTGTCTTTTCTTTCTCTGCTGTATTTTACCAAATTTGAGCTCCAAATTCTTCTCGAGCTGATCCAACTTCTCCGACAGTTTTCCCAACATGGAGCGCAGGAAAGCGATGTCCTGATCTTTTTGGGCCAGAGTCAGCTGCATCTCATGGAACCTGAACAGGGTCAAAGGTCACAGGTGACATACAAATAGAGAGGAGACTTTGATAACTGTGAAAAAGATTCGTTACACTTGCTAAACAGACAGAACCAATCGAACTGATGTTAGTGATGAGAATCTCTGATGCTTACCGATCATCAGTCTGCTGCAGAAACTCCTTTAGACCCTCAAATTTACACACCTCCAGGTGGGTTTCATATGTGTCCTGGTTACCGATGAATGTGCAGCTGTTAATAAGGACAGACAGATTGAAGAATTAAGCAGATTAGAAACTTATATGTCAAATATTTAAAGCATGTTTATGACTAACGGATCTATTTTTATTCACCCGTATTTGGAGTGTGGACATTTGATGTGTTCACATTCTTTAAGGTGAGCCTCGAGGTTCATTGTGAGCAGAGGGGGGCAGGAGGGGTTGTTGGGACAGCGGACTGGCCTGTAGTCACAGCTGGCCTCATGTTCTCTGCAGAAATATGAAATACAAGGCGAAAGGTCAGAGCCAGCTGTGCCAAGAGCTGCTGCTTTGCAGTTTGACATTTCACATAAAGAAGGAGAAGCGGTGTAGATTTATCCTGTGGTCCTTACTTGCGTGTGGAGAGTTTAATGGTGAACGGGCAGCCAAGGGGATCCACCTCGTACGCCCCTGGCTTACCAGCCACTGTGGAATTGGAGGCTGCAGCCCCGCCTGTGCTGCTCGCTGTTGCCCTGCAGCCGTACTTACAGTGGATGAACAGCTCTCCTATCTGCTCGGCGACGGCGATGTTGTTCACGACGACTGTAAGCTTAGCTGCATCCACGGGGCACTTGTCTGTGAGAAAAAAAACCCCATCATAACAAGGATATCACTCACAACACATGTTACCGCTCACCTACATTTGTGTTTAGAATCTTACCTGAAGTCAAGGCACATCGTCTGCAGAAGGTGTGCTGAGAAAAGAAGCAAAATATATCAATTTGATCATTTCAGCACAACTAACCTGGAAACTAATAAAAGCGGTTAATATGACAGTGCAGAGTGGTTGAGGATTGGTTTGGTATCAGGAATCACGACAGGATGGCTCAGTGATTGCAACACTTGGCCGCCTTTAGACAAATATGGTCTGATAAAAGGGAAGTGAAAATAAGACTTTGTGAAAAAGAGTAAGGAAGACAGATAGGTGAAAGAAACGCTACAACAAACTCACCCCGCATGTTGTGATGACCGGGTCCTTAAAGACGTTACAGCACAATTGGCAACAAAGTTTTACTGATGGCTGCTCCGCAAACACCTGGGGCTCCTGCAAAAACACACACGCACACACTTTCTGTTGAGTTTGAAAAGTGGATTCAGTTTTGAACAGAAACACTTTTATGTTTTTAGGTACCGTACTTTTCACACTATAAGGCGCACTTAAAATCCTTTCATTTTCTCAAAAATCCTCAGTGCGCCTTATGTATGAAGTCTGGTTGTGCTTACTGACCATGAACCGATTTTATGTGGTGCACAGCGCTCGAAAATCTGTCAAAATGTTTAATCACGACTTTGGTTATCTACAAAGCTGCACAGCATGATGGCTTGTCGGAGCGTTGCAGCAACACACACGCACAGAGCTATTGAATGAGTTAAAGTTTGACTTATCAGACTGTTTTGTTTGGCTTAATGCTCCACAAATTCAAATCATTGTTTAAAAGTAAGGTGATCGAAAATTATAGAAAAAAAATTGATTGAGGTTACGGATAAACTAATATTCTGGATTTAATTTGATTATCATTATTATTATTTTTATTTTTTTTTCTGAGTCATTTTTTTGTTCTTTGTTTTGTTGTTGTGTTTTGTTTTGTTTTCTGTCTAACGTGTGGAATAAGATGTTTTGAATATTTTGATTTAGTAAAAAGGATAGGCGATAATAAGCTCTTGCTTCAGCCTATGCCTTTTCGGTCCGGTTTTCAATAAAGTTTGACTTATCAGACTGTTTTGTTTGGCTTAATGCGCTTTATAATCCAGTGCGCCTTATAATCTGGTGCGCCTTATAGTGCGAAGAATACGGTATTTGTGTTTGAGGTATCATACCGTGTCCTCCTCCTCTTCATGCAGAGAGAACGTGGAGCGCAAAGACATGTTGGACTCAGAATGGAGAGATCTCACTGAGATTGCGGAATCTGACCTTCGCGGAGTACCGATCGGAGGCTGATGGGAAGGAATGAAGAATTAGTGGTGAGAAGAGGGTCGCATATTGTTAGAAATACATAAAGAGGTCAAATGATCATGCATCATACCATTCCATCGTCATCATCCCGGGGAGAGTAGGTGAGAGTGCTGGAGGAGGAGGGAGTTCTTCTGTGCTGCTTGTAGTTGCTGGATGCTTCAGCTGTAAACATAAGAAGAGAATTCAGTAACTACAGTATAAGAAGGGGAAGGGTATCGAAGAAAGTTAAAGTTTTAATAGGAAGATTATCTGTGCACCACCTTTTGTTCCAGCAGCAACAGCTGAGAAGGTCGGGCCAAACGAGGCCTCCATCCTGCTCTGCACGGTTGGATAAAGCCAAAACCAGGAAATAGAAAATCATTTAAAACAAAAGAGTGATAACAGCAAAAACGTGTCACTGAACCAGCACGATCAGGATTTTTAATTAAAACATCTTTCCATGTTGCCTTTGTGTCTCTTACCCTGCTGGAGTCTGCTGGGGGATGGATGGAGTGCTCGGGTTGGTCGCTCTGGCAGCTGTTCTTCCTTCTGGGAATTTACTGTAGGAATGTGTTTATGACTGTTTATATCTAAAAGTACACACAGATTCGAGATGAATCGCAGCAACTGGGCTGGGACTGGCGGTTAGGCCTGGGAGAGAGAAGAGAAGAAAAGGTGTGTGGAGAGGGGAAGTGAAATTAAGAGAGGAGAGGAGGTACTAGTGTGTCCAAAACATGAGGTTGTGGGTCTGAATGCAGTCTTATTCTGCCTTCTGTGTACTGATATTTAAACATGACTGATCACTGATGAAGTCAAATGTACTGAAAGAATCATTGCTGCCTTTGTACTGTGAGAATAACCTCTGTAGCAAGTCCATATTATCAGTAGCAGATCAATAGTTAATAGATTTGTAATACTAATTCTCATCTTTCCAAATACTCAAAGCTTTGACATTACCTATCACAAGCACACATCGCTAGGCCGATTTTATCTGCGAGCTGATTAAATCGGCCAAAAGGGGACCATATAGTATACTGTTAGCCGTGTCACATGCCACTTACTGCCAGTAAACACTGCTGATCTATTACTATCATATAGCCTTGCATGTCAACATCATATGGTAAAGTAAACTCTTAGCCACTTTTCTATTCAGGCATTTCTCCCTCTCCACACATTTATTATTTTGTAATACAAATGACTCAGTTTTTAAATATGTTTAAAATAAATTAAATTCGATTACACTTTGCTAACTAATTATCTGAAATGTAAATTAAATAGCTGACTGACTCTTGATTTAGGAAGTTTTGCCTCTGACTTGTACTGATGTGATGAGCTGTTTGCTGGCTTTATCTGCAGACTTTGCTTGTGTAGTCAACGCATGTGTGCTGGTGGTAAAGATGGGCAGCTGGATGATGTGATTGGAAAAACCAGTTAGAGTGTCAGTAAGTCCTCGGTTAAAAATGAGGAATGTTCTTCAGCACATGGCAAAAGATCACGCATAAAGAGGTTTTATTTTGATGTGGCAGAACGTCTGTCTTTCCAGGGATTATTCATGATTTTTAATGAAAATTAAAATGGATTTTTGTCATGAAATTGTTCCTGAGCACAAAATTGCAAACATTTGGGAGATTTTATCAACTATGGTGCATACAGTAATATCATCAAAAAAATACAGATCATCTCCATAAATGTCTGTATAAATAGGATGAGGTCAAAACCCAAGAGTTGATGGCCACAATGCATGAGCCAAGTTCACAACAATATTCACAGATTCAACAAACCTGGATCAATATCTTGTCAACAGAAAATCTATCTATCTATCTATCTATCTATCTATCTATCTATCTATCTATCTATCTATCTATCTGTCTTTAGTTACAACTGCACAATAGCAATACACAGCGGTCTGAGGAGCCATAAACAAACCTCAACCAAAACGCCACTCTGTAGTCACAAATAATGCTCAGAACAGCACCCAACTTCATCAACAGTACATATAGGGTCTCAGCCATAGTACTAACCACCAAACATCTTTTTAACTTTGCCTAATTTCTTTAGCAAAGAGACTAAACACAACTCACCTACTCTCTTCCAGCAGCCGCTTGTTTGTAGCGAGACCTCAGGCCAGTCCACTACTGACTACAGCAGGTTGACGCCGCTCAAGGAAGAACATTTATGATCATTTCTTCATGGAAGTACAATCAGACTGAGACGCTAAGGCAGAAGAATTACCGTGTCTGCAGTCCAAAATGATGATGATTATTACTTCAAGGAAATGATAAAGAAATGACCATAAATGTTCTTTATGTTCTACAGCGTCACCCCGCTCTAGTCTGTAATGGTCTGGTCTGAGGTCTCGCTACAAACAAGCGGCTGCTGGAAGAGAGTGGGTGAGCTGTGTTTAGTATCTTTGCTTAAGAAATCAAGCAAAGCTAAAAAGATGTTTGATGGCTAGTACTATGGCTAGGACCCTATTTGTACTGTTGATGAAGTTATGTGCTGTTCTGAGCATTATTTGTGGCTATAGAGTGGCGTTTTGGCTGAGCTTGTCACTCTCTGTATTGCTATCGTGCAGTCATTACATAAGTTGGTATAACTAGAGAAGCAAGCAGTCTGCAACATTCATCTCTCGAGGGGCTGTCTAACTCAGTGTTACGGTGTTTGACCCTAAATTAATTTTACGCCGGAATATCCCTTTAAATTTCATTTTTTTTCATCAAGATGTATATCTATATCGACTGATGTGAAAAAACTATATCGGGATAAACTTTTTTCCATATCGTCCAGCCCTAAATACAACACTTACACCTATGAAAGGAAAACATAGAACATTTGAATGAAAGCAGAAGTGACCTCATGATCTTAATAATGACAGAAACTGTGATCAGCATCTCCCAACCCTCAAACGCAGAGGGGACGGGTCTGGAGCAGAGAGAGAGAGGGAGAGAGACAGAAAGTGACAGTGAAACCTCAGTGAAGCAGATAATCAGATTCTGATGTAAACACAAAGGTATGCAGACTGTCAGCTCACATGGTAACGGCCTGCAGAAACTATCCAGGACCCCTAATCCCCCCTCCATCCAGCCTCACTGTCTGTTTCCACAAACCAGGAGATTCCCGTAAAGAGAAGGGGGCGGAACACACTCACACACACACACATATGCATGCATGCACTCGCGCACGCACACACACACTCTCTCTCTAAACGGGCTAAAGTTGAACAGTGACAGCTCGTTTGTCAAATGTACTAAAATACTGAACACAGACTTGAAACAGTCTAATGCACGTTATCCGGTATAAACGACAGCCTCTATCGCCATTTGTCAGCAGTTGTAGTCTTGTCACTGTCTGTTCAAACTGCAATAATTAGCTAGCTAAAGTGCCTTGTTTGCTAGCTAAAGTTAGCTTCTGTTACATTTCCTATTAGCAATCACTGCTGCGAGCTGTCTGCGGCTAATTATGGCAAACACCGGAGGAATATCCGACTTGTTTTACTCTTAGTGTGGCGGCGATTTCAACCAAAGCTTGTTTTTCGTCTGTGCTCTTACCATCATTCCTTAAAAGCGCAGATCACAGCCTGCAGACGAATTCCTAAATCTTCCCCTCTCTCTCCCCCCTCTCGCTCTCTGCTTCATATACACATCTCAAATGCCGCAATGCATCCTGGGATATGTAGTAAAAAGCACGGCGCCGTCGACTGAAATGATCGCTTCTCCGCGTTGTCGAACTACGCTACCCACAATCCATTTCGTGGAGCTGCCATTGGTCTCGGTGCTGTCAGTAAATTCCACAGACCAACTGCAGAGTACTCTATTCCCGGTTATCCACGCGCTCGCCGAGGAAAAACGTCGCATTGGTTAAAAGAGTTGCCGAGCCATCATGCGACAACCATCATCACGTTTTACGGTGAACGCACGTGCACGGTGGTGTGATGTAGGGGGGGACACCCACCAACGACGCTGTATGGAGATGGAAATGACCCTACTATGAGTGTATAGATTCATACATGACTGTGTTATAACGACACCTAGGAAGGAAGGCGTAAACCCATTTATTACACAGGGCAATATCAGAGAGGCAGATTATCAATAACATAGATGTGTATAGATCATACAGTCTGCATACCAATTAGTTCACATTCCTTTTGCATTAACACAACTACACTACAGTTTTATTATCAATTAATCAACTATCCTGTCATGATAGGTTGTCTTTATGTTTAAGAAATTTCTTCATATCTTGTTTAGTATTATTTTCTGTGTACATTTCATTTTGTTCCTGCTTCTCTTTGAATTGTTCATTTATTTTATTCATGTCTTTGTGATTTTACTTGTTCTTAATGTTTCCTGATTTTTTTGTCTACTCTTCCCTCCTCTTTTAATAAGTCATTAGTTTTACCTTCAATCAATCAATTAGTCTTTATTCATATAGCACTTTTCATACACAACCATGTAGCACAGGTGCTTTACACAAAAAAAGGAATAAAAGAAACAAAGAATACCCAAATCTACTCCAACCCAACCCCTCATTCCCACTCCATGATCTAAATGCATCAGAAACATTAAAATCCATAAACTTTAAAAAGGCATGACTTTGTGGGAACAGGAATGTGCAGGAAACATCATTTTAAAACTCAAGATAAGGAAACACTGGAGGTTTAGGTTAAAAATGTAAAACCAAAGTAGCATTGAATGACATTTAAGAAATAATAAATAAAATGAAATAAAAACAACAGTAAAAGATACTAAAATAAGAGCACCAAAATAGCTCAATAAAAGACGATCCTGTCATTAAAACTAGAAAGAGATAAATACTAAAACACTTAAACAAAGTTAATGATATAAAATTTAGTTAAAAGCAAGACTAAAAAGGTACGTTTTCAGTTTGCTTTTAAAATCATTAAGATTAGGTGCAGTCCTCAGGTCTTCAGGTAAGCTGTCCCACAGACGGGGGCTATAGTGATAAAAGGATGCCTTACTGTATGTCTTGGTTTAAACTTTGGGTAATGTTAACAGTATAAACGACGTTGCAGTAGTTATAATAATCTAAAAACATTTCAAACATATCAGCTTTTGAGGAACTATGTTGATGTGTTTGATTTTTCATTATGGGGTGGCTGTAGCTCAGTGGTAGAGCTGGTTGACTCCCAACTGGAAGGCCGGGGGATTCGATCCCAGGGCTGTCCACATGATGAGGTGTCCTTGGGCAAGACGCTTGACCCAACCCACCCCCACTGGCTGCACCTAGAGGTGTGAGAATGGATCTATTAAGAATCGATGGTGCCATCAGTGTGTGAATGGGTGAGTATGACATGTAATGTCAGAGTGCTTTGAGACTTTATGAACATACTGTATATTTGAGTGTTCTCATTTTTTAATAACCAATATTTTGCAGAAGAGGGCGCTATTTATCTAGATATAGTCACATCACTGCTGAGATAGCTTTATTGCGCTCTGTGTCTCTGTAAAAATATAGAAGTGTAACTTGCATAAATTGCTTTTTGGTGTATCTACTGTTGAAATGTTATTATGAACAAAATATGCAACTTTTAATATTTCAGAGAAATCTTTTAAAAATGTTACAAGGAGGTTCAGGTGCAATAATGAAATGACCAATAGTGTACAGAATCAACTTTAACATCACTGTTATTATTGAAATCTTTAATATATGGGTTATATTACTGAATAATAGTTAGCCATATCATCATTTTTAACACATGATGAATGGTATATGTATAAGTCTGCCAACAACATTTTGCTGTTCAAGCCTAGCGGACTGGAATTCTGACTTTGAAGATAATTTAGTACACATAGAAATTCAGTCCAGTGATTCCAGATATGGACAGTTCCAAGGGGTCACAGGGTCACAGGATAATCATGACCAGTGGTGGACAGTAATTAAGTAAATTTACTTAAGTACTGTACACAAGTACATTTTTTTGAGGATCTGTTCTTACCTTTTCTTGACTGTATTACATTGCTATGCGTGGGATCTTCAAGAACCCAAATAATTCTGTGTGGGATTAGGAGAGGTTGCTGTGCATTGGTCCAGTACAGTAGATGGCGATGTGCACCTCTACATTCTAATGCAATCCACTAATTAACATAGAGAAGAAGACCCTTACTTAGCAAGTCATCCAGAACTTTAACTCAAGTAATAATCTGACTAAGCAACTTTCACTTGTATCGTAGTACTCTTTGATGAGGAGGAAGTATACTATGACTTAAATACGAAGTTAAGTACATGATTAATGGGGTAGAGAAGAGGATAAAAAGACAAACCAAACCACATCTCATTAATGAAATCATCTAATTAAATAATTAGTTTAAATAATGTTGAGGCAATTAAAGGTTGCCTGTCTGGCCAGGTTCAATATAAAAGTCACTTATTGATTTCTATTCTACCACAGTACTAGCTACATGTCTATCATAGCCACAAATATATACGTCTACATAACCTCAGTGCTATGCATGATGTAAACAGCTGTTTTTTTGTGTTTTTTTTTAAAGGAATAGTTGGTACTCCTTTTTTTACTTCCTACAAAAATAAATGATCTGGCCCATGTAGCTCTCTGCATGTGTACTCTTCCCACCACAGGAGGCACCGAAAATGACACAAATAAAACTTCCTCACAGCTGCTTGAGACCAATATGAAATATAACCATTTTCTCAGTTCTTTATATAATACCATTAAGATGTCCAGCATGGATATCGGCCTTGGTAAAGAGTGCATATAGCTAGAACATAAACAAGACATCAGCCAGACATTCACATCCACTTCAGGTCACACTAATGTGATATTTACATTATGTGAGACATCATGCAAGAGGTAATTTTACTTAGAATTATCCCAAATGGGGCTGATGCGTGCAGCTCTGCAGCCTAGAAACAGTAGGTGCATGTGCAAGATGCCCACATGTAGGGAGGGAGAGAGCTGTAAATAGAAAGAGAAAGAGCAGGCCTGAATGCAGCTATGAATAAGAGAGGTTTTCAATGCAGCTTTGTTGATGTGCGGACACACTCACACACAAACACACATTACGCAGCTCAGCGTTCCATTACAGGAAGCCCAGGCCATTAGTACTTTTATCTTCTTTGTATGAGACATCACTGACAAGGTTGCTCTCTCCGTCCCCCTCAGCACACACACAGACACACAGACACACACACATACATGCAGCCGGCCCCCCCTCTCCCCCTCTCTGAAGCAGATGTTGTGGATGGGACCACACTGGCTTTTGATGATGGTCCAGACAGTAAAGTAGTCTCTCTTCTCTACAGAGAATGATTGAGCTTCAGTTTCAAATGTCTGTCTCTCTTTTCATGCTGATAAGATGCCTAAAACAGCTGACAGTGTACTGCAGTGAAAAAAGAGAAAATCTATGCCAGTCTTCCTGCATGTGCAATAACAAAACATGTCATTGTGTCACTTCCATTTAGCCTTCATTCACAAAGAACTTGTCTCCTTCTGTGCAGATAAGTATGCCTGTATCAGCTGTCAGGGCTCACACAGAGCTCTGTCTTCTCTCTAACACATTACACAGAGTTCAGATGTGACACTGACATATTGTAATGACTCATACTAACTGTGTCACCTATTTTTCTAGCAACAGGAAACAACTGGTGGCATATAATATGGTGCTCAGACACATAAACAACTTTACCAAAGAGTGAATGGAATTCTGAAATGTTCAAATGTATGAGATAGTCAGAACATCCTTTTACAGCCAGGTCAAGAGGAACGAAGCGCTCTTGGGGAAAAACACAAATAGGAGAATATCAGAGGAAAACTTTACTTTGAGTGAATAAATTGGCAGCTTTAACAATAAAGATCCAGCATTTGAACATGCCAGAAGACCTATGGGACATGAAAAAATCCAACATTTACATTGACAAATTATGAAAAAATAAGCCAAAGGTGGAGGTGTTGGTTTGGCTTAGCACTCAAACTGTGCACCCAATGCATAGAGGCCATAGTCCTCAAAGCCGAGGGCCAGGGTTGGATCCATCTGTGCTAAATGTCGATATTGTTATTTTATGTAAATTTAACAAAGTCGAAATAAATCCCTGAGCTCCATCATGCCATGGGTTCCTCTGGATTGCTGCTGCAGAAGATTTACTGCTGTGGACCTGCCTGCTTCCCATCTGCTTCAACTACTTCCCCCTATGTCCATCTCTCTCTCCTTCTGTATCTCCTTCTATTCCCTCTCTAAACCCAATGCAATAGCAGCAGATGACTGTCTAACATGAGTCTGGTTCTGCTCAAGTTCTCTGCCTGCTTTTTCTTGCCATTGTAACTTGCGAAATGCTGCAGTGCTACACTCACGTAGTTGAAGATGGGATGGGAGTGGGTCTGATCTCACAAGATCTTCAATCTTATCCCTCAGTATATCAATACTTTGTTAATAAGCAAATACATAAACAAAACACTACCCTTCCCTTGAGCCTCAGCTGCAGGCCCTTTTACATTCACTGATAATAACTGCACAGATATTTGCATGCCAAGGCGCTAAAGAATGACAAGCATTGTATCTCTAAATATTGCAGCATGATAATGCTAACATTCATCCCAAACTCCACCTGAGTCACGGCACTGTTTCACAGAGGTAATAACATGACTGCACACTTAACTGAGAACAAAAAAAG